CAAGTTCTTCAATAGCTTAAACTTATCAATTCGACACTTCTATTCATTTCTTGATGCTAAAGAAATTTATATGCCGCCGAAGAAATGTACGAATGTAAATTTCACTTTGTTTCATAGGGGATCACAACGTTACGGTGAGGGGTATAAAGCTTTGTTTCCTATCTAAGATTTATGTTTGGATATTGAATTAAAGATTAATAGCAATTCCTAATAACCCTCTAACAGCTATTTAAAATTAATAGAAATGAAGTCATTTTATGGTTCCGACCTTATTTTCAAAAAAACCGTTCAATTTTTAAGACACTTTCATGTTATACAAATCTGTTATAAAAAGTTGTTATAATAGTTTGTGTCTCTGCTAATCTTTCTTTTCTTCGCGAAACTCGAGGGTGATTGATAATATTCTTCAGTAAAATGGTAATTACTCTCAAATTATCCACTTTCTTATAACAAAAAATATTGAAATTAAAGATTAACAATAACAGTTAATAGTGCATATTAAATTAGTGGCTTATAATTTCAATACGCGTTATAAATTTAAGTTTTGTTACTTTCAAAATTTGTAACACTGCACACTGAGAATTTTTATTAAATCAATTTTGCAAATTCGTTGAATCTTACAAAACAAAAAGTGAAATATTGTTTGAATTAATGAAATCTATTCAAAAGTTGAAATTATTATTATATTATTGATCAGTTGCAATGTTAAAAGACTTTCATTATAAAAAATATATTTCTAACCTATGTTTATTGTTTTTATTTTCGTAGACCAAGAAACGTCGCAATGGAGGACGCTGCAAGCACAACCGCGGACATGTAAAGGCTGTTCGTTGTACAAATTGTGCAAGATGTGTACCTAAAGACAAAGCTATTAAGAAGTTTGTCATTAGAAACATCGTCGAAGCTGCTGCCGTTCGAGACATTACTGTTGCCAGCGTTTATACCTGTAAGTTATCAGCAAATCATATTCTGAACAAATGTAACTCATGTTCTCTCGTTTTTTAGCTTATGTGTTGCCCAAGTTGTACGCTAAACTTCACTACTGTGTCTCTTGCGCCATCCACAGCAAAGTTGTACGTAACAGAAGTCGCGAAGGTCGACGTATTCGTACACCACCAGCTCGAGCTTTCCCAGTTCGTCAACAAAACAATCAAAGAAAGTAGAAATGTTAAACAACATCATTTCACTAACATTCTCTGAAATAAAGTTTAATGATCCTTTGACATTTGCAATGTCTTAAAAAAATCGTCATCGTTGTTTTTATTTTTGAAATTTCCAGAAATTTTCCTGATGAAATTGAAAAACTGAAACAAATAAAACTCAAAAGAAACTACAAAACGATTTTTCTGCTTAGGAAGTTTTACTTTCAGTAATTTTTTACACTTAAAAAATATTCTAAAATATATTTTGAAATCTTTCTTATTTCTTCTTCTTGAAAATATTCATCGTTTAATTATCTACATATCGCCCAGGCCTGTAGGATTCATGTTTTTTCGAGACATCTGATCAGTAAGTGGAACTGGAACCGAATCATGAGTTTTACGTTCCATGTCAAAGTCCTAAAGAAAAGATTTATAAGTTCAATCGTTTGATATTTTATTAAAATATTACATTTAATGTCAAGCTTGATTGAAGTTTCAAGTGACTCATTGAAGAGATTGTTGATGGCGTTAAAGAAACGTTACTTCCTCGAATCTTCCTCGACGGTGTCTTTGTAAATGAAAAAGCACGACCAACTTTCAACCTTGTACGCGTTGCCAGTCTAAATGCTCTTGACAATGTTCCCAAGTTAACGTCGTGAATGTCAATGCCAATTTCTTGTGATTGAACACCGACAACAAATTTTTCCTGTAACAATTATCAATTAATTTTGATTTTTTTCTTTTATCTAATGAATAATTAATTTACCGCATCAGCTCTACAAGCGTTTTCAGCCAACTGATTGCAAAAGTTTTTAATGTAAATTGTTTTATCAATTTCTTCATCCGAGATACTGAATGAGTAAAGTTTATCTTTACTCATGTCTTGAATGTTTATACTGCTGCGAAGTGAGATTGCAAAAGCTCTGGGACTGTCCATAATGTCAGCAAGAGTTCGAATTGATGAAAGTGGAATTAATTTGATATGTTTATAAGGCTTAATGCTCGATGAGTTGCTTTTCGTTGAATTTGGTGATTTCGAACTGTGAAAACGTGAACGTTTTTTGCAAATAACAAGCGTGTCAGTAAAAAGGAAGAGCACAAGTGAATCACCACGTCCACTTAAAGTCTCAGACAATTCCGTGCATTCACAACGTGAAATGAAACTTCGATGTGATGATATCAAATGTGGTGGACAGTTCTCAATCTCATTGAAAATGTTAAACATTTGCTTTTGTCCTTCAGTTTTGCGTTTATCTTCATTAATATAAGTCATAACTTCTTTAATCGCCTTCAAAGCTTCACTTAACAAATCCTGATCTCTGTTTGCCTTCGGTGTGTGCTTTAAAATGTCATTTAAGAGAAGACTTATGCTTGGAAGACGTTGTACAGGTCGAATCATGAGATCTTGAAGTGATTGACGACCACATTCAGGTTTTGCTTGATTTATCTTTAGAAAGGCTTGAAATCGAGGCTTTGATTGAGCTGCTTCTATTAATGTTGTCTTCATTTGCTCAAAAAAATTCACATAAGGTGGATAAGCTTTCAACAAACTGTCACGATTATCCAAAATTATTTGACCAATAGCGCAATCTTCTTTCCAACTTGAATTAATTTCTTGTAATGTGTTAAGCATCTTACGATGAACTTCATAAATTGGAAGGAAATTACTGAAAATTGCTTTCACTTCAGACTTGTTAAGAAGATCGCTTTCATCGGGATTCTCGTCTGCCATTTTTTCAAGTGGAAGTTTAAATAATTTCACGATTGTTTCCAAAATTCCAACATAGTTCGACTCTGTATGATAGAAATCCATGAAATGATTATGACGCATTGAGAACTTTTTTGTCGAAAATTCATTAACAATGTCTTCAGAACTTTTTGGTGTTTCATTCTTATCAGGACTTGCTGTATAGTCAATGAGACTTTCTGAGAGAATTCCAGCATCTGATATTGATGATCTTCTTTTCCCAGCACTTACAGGTGTTCCATCGTTCACAATACGTGATAAGCGTTTACGTTTTCTTTGTGTTTTTGCACTGTAATTAATTAACGAATCTCTTCTTTCACATTTCTCTGCTTGTTCGTTTCTTATACTTTGCATGTACTGTAATTAAATTATTTTAAATTAAACATAATTTGTTGATTGGCAAATATCTTACATCTTTGTATAAGAAATCATCTTCTGGTGCATATCCTGAGGAAGAATTTCATTTTGTTAATTAACGATTTAAATAAATTCAGAGTTTGACTCGATTGACTTTTTCTCTTGACACAAGTTAAGTCAAGTCACGAAAATCTTTTAAGACAAGTCCTTGAACAAGTCAAGTCAAGTACAGTCAAGTCAAAGCCTGAATAAAATGAAACAAAATCAAACCTTCAGCAATTCGAGTCCAAAACCATTCCGCTTTGACCACAAAGAATTTTGATTCTTCTGAACCATGATCGTACTTAACAGTACTTTCATCAACAACCTACGATAAGTAAGAGTTTTCTTTAAATTATGATCTTTAAAACCGAAAGAAATTGCATGATTCGATAAATCTTTGAATGAAAAGTTAAATGAACTCAGTGTTAATTTATCAAAAATAAATTGGCAGCACTCTAAACATTTATCAATGAATAAAATTGTAGAAATTATAATTAAAAGTTATGATATTCCAATCACCAAAGATTTGAGAAGAATCATGCAATTTGTTTTATGTGAAAATGAAAAATCAGTGCAAAGTTGAAAGAATGAAGCGTTTTATGATAAACTAAAGTGCTGCCTAATTTAAATTCGAAGTTGAAATGGCAGAAGATTGTTAGTGACAATTTGATTAAAAGAGAAAATGAATAATTTGTGCAATGATGACGATCATCTTCTAACGCTTCTAATTTGAGAGAACATTTCAAGTGGGAAGAGGGACAAAAACATAAAATTGCATTAATTTTTCCAACAGCATAAGAATTGATGAAGAATAAGTACCAATTTGTTTTCGACTGCTGTGTTTGTTGTTGCATCAACAAAATCAGATTCGATTGCTTTCATTGATGTGTCGAACTTTGAACTCAATTTTATCGATTTGCTAACTGAGTTTGGACACGGAACTTTTGGTGTTTTAAACTCTATGGCATCAGAATCAATGATCGATGTTTCTGGAGTATTTTGTGCATAATCATCATAAGATTTCAACTTGCAAATGTCTTTGAAGTTTGATAAATTTGATGCAGTTAAACGTGCTTTAACTTTAGCTGATTTTGGCGTTGTTGTAACACTTTTGCTAAGTTTACAAACTTTGTGCTTAATTTGACGAAACTTTTCTTTGATCGGCTCCTTAATCGATTCATTGAAAGTTGTTTCCAAATTCGTCAACGTTGAACAAATGCTGCTGTTGCTATCGCTTGAATTTCGTCTCTGTTTAAATATTTTCTTTATTGGCGTTGCAATCCCGAAACTCATTCGTCGTTTGAAAGTTTTTGTTATTGAACCTGCACGACTTAATTTTGGTTTTTTCGTCGATTCCGTAGACATGAACGAAAAGTTTTCAAAACTTTCGTCAGCAAGTCGCTTACGTTTGCCAGTTTCTCGTTGTGATTCATCATAAATAGAATCATAAGGAAATGCGTCGTAATCTTCTTCTTGACTTGTCGTAACCTTCGCTGCTGTCGTTTGTTCAACTCGTCGTTCATCAATTGAAGGCTTGAATATTGGAGAAATACTTCGAGCATTTGAGAACGCGCCGTCTTCATCACGCAAAATAACTCCGTCATGATCTTTCTTACTTTTATTATTCTGTTCTGTACTTGTAGCAGATTTTGAGGCTTCATCTTCTTCCATTACTATCGGTAAGTCGCATCCATCCTTTTCAATCTGCTCAAAATGTCGCAAAAACGATTCATGTTTCCTCTGTATGATTTGTGATGCATAATCATTCGTATCATCAAAGTTTTCTTCTTTATCTTCATCATCACCTACAAAATCATCGTCGCAGACTGCGTTGCTGTTATCGAATGTTGCATTATTCACGTCATTTGCGAAAACAGGACAATCAGCGATAATCTGAAATGTTAGTTTGATGTTTATGGATATTTAGGGAAAGGATGACGATAATGTTAAAACATTTAATTGATGTTAGATTAATGTAAGGATTCGATGATCGACAAAATTGTTAGTTGCCCTTTTGCCATATTTTTGAAGCTCATTTATTTAAAGAAAGAAAGAAATTAAAGTTTAACTTACTTTATGAGTGCATGTGTCATCATCACTCGTTGTCTCAATTCCATTATAAGATCGAAGGAGATCTGCCATATTTGCTTTCTCAAAATCAGGAAATCCAATGAAAGCAACGCGACATCCTTCGAAGATTTTCAATCTATGATTTGTTGTAAATGTTTCATTTGTAGCTGAAAATTCAGCTTCGTTTCGATTCTCCCAAGCATTTAAAACCCACGACGAACGAACAACGTTCAAACGAAATGTTAAGGCATATCGATATTTCTCGCCATAAGCGTTCGAACAAATTAAATGAGTTGCTCGATGATTCATTTCTTTTCTTATTGATCCTCCCATGAAATGAATGAGATGAACTAATTGAGTCTTGATAAAGAAAAATTTAATTTAAAAATTTATAGAATCAACAAACTGAATTTCCTTACCAATTCATCTCTTTTACGAATTCCTGTGAAAGTTGTTACAACTCCTTTCATGCTGTAATTATAAATTGGTCGGTTATGTTGCGGCAATCCATCGGAGACATTCTTTGAAGCCGATAAGAGCGCGGGCGGGCCCAAAATTCTAAATAAAAGCGAATTCCATAACATGAAGTCATAAAACTTTAATGCCAAACGAAACTTACTTATTTTTTACAGCAGCTCTGTAAATATTTTCAAATATCGGACCTTCAAATTCTTTTAAGATATAATACGTCATCCAAGTGTCATCATCGCAAAATTCCTTTCCCGTTTCAGATGACAAAACAGGAACGTTGAATAATTTTGCTGCACTTGCTACTTCATCGTCGTCTACAACTGTTCCAACAAGGCAAATTCTTTTGGGAAGTTTCGATTTCTTGGCATTTTCCGCAATTGTTTCATTTTGGTGATCTACTGCTGGGTAAAATGTGAGAAATTAAATCTTGCAGAATGTATTTAAAAGAAGGAAAGATTAGAAAGAGAAGACTTAAGACATTAAGACTACCTGGACCTTTATGAATGCAAAATTTATGACAGAAAGGACATGGAAAAAGAGAAAAAGGGAAGAATAATTATTCGGAGCGAAATTCCTCCGTCCCCTTGCAATAAACTTTATAGAAATATTGAAAATTTGTGCAAAAAAACTCACTCACTATACAGTTTCACTAAATTACCTTTCTGATCCGTCATATCGGCGAGTTTAGTTGTTGATTGATTATCCAATGAGAAATCCATGTTTAAAATTTCCGTTAAAACCTTCTTTCAATACTAACACATTTGCACAAGCTTGATAAAAAAAAATATTTTCTAATGTCACTTATTAAGGAGTTTTTCAAATTATTACCATATTTTATTTGTAAATATATATGCTTAGAACGTTTTTATTATTTATTAACCGTGATCACTACCCTGAGAAACTATAAAAATTTCATTTTAATGATCGCTTATTCTCTTGAAGCTGGTTACAAAATTTCAAGTTGATTATATTTTGTGGAAAGATGCGCTTTTAGAGGCTAACTGGAAAATAATTACAAAATGTCCGTCTGACATTATGACAGCTTTTGAACAATTTGCGTGAGATGTGAGACAATTTAAGATAATTAAATTTAAAATATTACAAATTGAATCTATAATCAGTTATAAAATATATTTAAAAGCAGTTCAATAAATGTTTATAACAATTTTTTGTTTATTCATGAACTTTGACAACGAGAGTGCTGAAGTTTGTTATAAATTTGTCATAAAATCAATAATATTGAAAGACTTCGTCTTGACGAAAATATCAGAAAAGTGTTTTAAAATTGTTTTCCTGTATTGAATTCTAGATTGTCTATCCACAATGGCGATGGTAATTATTTAATTCATTAAAGCATTGAATGTCATAGTAAACTCATCATAAAATTCTAATTTTTAAGCGTATGAAAGCTGGTAAATGTCCAACTGACGAGTTGTCATTAAAAAATCGAGCAATTGTTCATCCATCAGATTTCTTACATGAAGAGAAATACATCGATGTGTGCACAGGACCAGGACAACATTTTATTTTCGCAATTGAAAGAAGTCCTGAAATTCCTCCAAGATCAATTGGATTTTCCCTTTTACAAAGAAAGTGGGCAACATTATCGATTAATCAGGTACTTATCATTAATCTTCCTTATGATACTTTTTAAACTATAATTTTCTAACGTCATAGGATATTGATGTCAAACCATTCCGTTTCGAAGGCTCAGGAGCTGAGCATGTTGTGTGTACTGTCGTTTTGGAAGTTGACTTTCTTCAGAAGAAAACGTAAATATTTTGTTTAAAGAAGAAAAAAATCGATTGGCATAGTTTCATAAATTTTCTAATCCTCTTCATCACACAGTGTGACCACCGAACCATATGACTCCGACTTAATGGCGAAAGATTTTCTAATGCAATTTGCTGGTCTGGCAATAACTGTAGGACAACCGCTTGTCTTCAGTTTTAATGATAAAAAGTTATTGGGTCTAAACATCAGAACAATAGAAGCCGTTGATGCGACTTCATTACGTGACAACCAAAATGCCGAAGCAAGGAAAATAAATTTCGGAAAATTAACTGGAAATGCAGTAATTCAATTTGAAAAGGCAGAAAACTCTTCAATCAATCTCGTTGGAAAGGCTAAAGGGTATGTTAATTGATGAGTCCATTAAATAAATAAGAAGACACATTCAAGAGAGAAATACTTACAGAAAAATCGTACGTCAATCAATTATTAATCCTGACTGGGACTTTGGAAAGATGGGAATTGGTGGTTTGGATAAAGAATTCAATGCAATCTTTCGTCGAGCTTTTGCTTCGAGAGTCTTCCCACCAGAAATCATTGAACAACTTGGATGTAAACATGTCAAAGGCATATTGCTGTATGGTCCACCGGGAACTGGTATGTGATCCATTATATGAATTATTTATGTTATTAACATCCGACTTTCAGGTAAAACATTAATGGCCCGACAAATCGGAAACATGTTGAATGCTCGTGAGCCTAAAATTGTCAATGGTCCTCAGATTCTTGATAAATATGTTGGTGAATCTGAGGCCAACATTCGTCGTTTGTTTGCTGATGCTGAAGAAGAAGAGAAGCGACTTGGACCTAACAGTGGACTTCACATTATTATCTTTGATGAAATCGATGCAATTTGTAAGAGCAGAGGATCAGTTGCAGGCAACTCCGGTGTTCATGATACTGTCGTCAATCAATTACTTGCAAAAATTGATGGAGTTGAACAGGTGAATAATGTTATGAATATTTCTTTATCAAAATATTAATTAAATTTATTCTTCAGTTGAATAACATTCTGGTTATTGGCATGACAAACCGAAGAGACATGATTGATGAAGCTTTGTTACGACCAGGTCGATTAGAAGTGCAAATGGAAATCAGTTTACCTAATGAAGCTGGAAGAGTTCAAATTCTCAACATTCACACCAAACGAATGAGGGAATTTAAGAAAATTGACAAAGATGTCGACCCAGCAGAACTTGCCAGTTTGACGAAGAATTTCAGCGGTGCTGAATTGGAAGGTTTAGTTCGTGCTGCACAATCAACAGCAATGAATCGTTTAATTAAAGCTGCATCGAAAGTTGAAGTCGATCCTGAAGCAATGGAGAAACTTTTAGTCAATCGTCATGATTTCTTACATGCTTTGGAGAATGACATAAAGCCGGCATTTGGAGCTGCAGCAGAAATGTTGGACAATTTATTAGCGCGTGGAATTATCAATTGGGGATCGCCAGTAGCTCAAATATTGGAAGATGGCGGTTTATATACCGAACAAGTTCGGGCATCGGAAAGTTCAGGTTTGGTGTCAATTCTCCTTGAAGGTCCACCGAATGCTGGCAAAAGTGCTTTGGCAGCCAAACTTGCTAAATTATCAGATTTTCCATTTGTTAAAGTTTGCTCTCCAGAAGACATGATTGCATATACCGAATCAGCAAAATGTCTTGCAATTCGTAAAGTTTTTGACGATGCATATCGTTCGACATTGAGTTGTGTCGTTGTCGATAATATTGAACGTTTATTGGATTATGGCCCAATCGGTCCACGATATTCAAACATCACATTACAAGCTCTTCTAGTGCTGTTGAAGAAACAACCACCGAAAGGTCGCAAGCTTTTGATTTTATGCACAAGCAGTCGACGACAAGTGTTAGAGGACATGGAGATGCTTTCAGCTTTCACATCGATTTTACATGTTCCAAATCTTTCAACGCCAGATCATTTGATGAATGTTTTAGAGAACAGCGACGTCTTTTCAAAATCAGAATTGAAATCAATTCATAAAAAAACGCAAGGACACAAGTAAGTTCTTATCTTCTAAACTTTATTTTACGTTTTTGTTGACATTTTTTGTTTTTATTCACAGAGTTTTTATTGGAATAAAGAAACTTCTGGATCTGATTGATATGGCACGTTACACCGAACCTGAGAATCGTGTGATTAAATTTTTGACAAAACTCGAAGATGAGGGAGGATTAGATGCTGGTACAGGTACCAATCATTAACTCCAATCTGCAATACAAGAATTCTATCAATTGAAACCATGTTTAATAAGTGAAACATTTTAAAAAGGGAAAAAAGTGTCTCTGAGTAATTTTCAAAACGTTTACCAATTTTTGTTGTATTAATTGCATTAAGATTAATGGAAAACATAAAAAAATATCATGACGAAGGTTGGAAACATTTCGAATGTCAATTCTAGCTACGAAATATTAAAATATAAATTAAGTTGGCACATTTTTAAATGTCGCATATTCCATGAAAGGTATTTATGAAGAAAAATGTGAGCTTCTTGATATTTACAAGATTTATCCCTAACTCACTTAAAGATCAAAAAAATTTCTCATTTCTAAACTTATCTACACTAAAATTTCTCAATGTTGCTTCCTTCGAATTACATATATCAATTTGGATCCACCCAGATTGCTGGTTGTTGAATTACGGTTTCATGATTCGAATAAAGAGTTAAAGTTGTGACATGTGAATCGAAAATTATTAAAACTTTAGAGAGTGTCCATACTATCTGTCCATTTCCATGAATATTTCACTAACATTCTTATGTTTTGAAACATTAATCATGATTAATATGAGGGCTTAGGCAGATAAATAAAAATATTGTTATGAAGAGCGAAAGTAAACAAAAATTTATTCTTCATTTAAGAAATTCTATAAAAAGAAAATAACTAACATAAGACATTAAAAGTTTCTATAAAAATATTCAATTAATAACTAAATACCATTTAAATTGTAAACGAAAAATTTTATTTTACGTTTTGAAACAAAAGACTTGAGTATGATAATGACAAGCATCAGAAAAGAAGGAAAAAATTTCTTGTTCTAGTCGCATTTTTTGTTATTTTACGAAAAAATTCGTTGCTAGTTGAAATATTTCTTTGAATTTTAATTGTAAAGCTTAATTCACAGTATTGATTGCAATTTACAAAGAAAATGTGCTTAAGATCACTTATGATAAGATAATTTATTTTGTCAAAATCTCTTAACATTAATTGCACGTAGATATTTATTTAGGAATCGAAGCAGTTTTCCTAGAAAATGTTCTTTGAATATGATATCTAGATAAAGACATTGTCTTTGTATAATATTTAGAGAAAAACTTTAAAATATTATTAATGCAATAAAATTAATTAAACTGTTGAATCTTGTAACTTTGAAGTAGAAAAGAAAATAAAAAAATGGAAGAAAGGAACGAAATTTATTTTTTATTAATTTATTTATCAAGAGATTTAAATCTAATGAACATGCTCATTTCATAGTTCTCAACAAGGATGAAAGGATGTAAATATTATGGAGGTAAGCACAACATTTCATCCTTAACAGGTAACACTTTCCTTTGTAAATATTCAACCAAAGGCTGGCCAAATTTCATTCTTAGTTGAGAATTCCTAAAGTCATATCGACCATATGGAATTGACATTTTTAATTATTTCTTTTTACCCTCTTATTAGTAACAATAATTAAGTTAAAGAATTATTAAAAAAAACTTTATTTAAACTGGTGAAATTAAAGTTTTTAATAAAATGATGTTGACAGTTTCAAATGGGTTCGTGTAGAATTTTCAATGCGCATGTTTGCTAAATTCCAAAATAGAATCCTAAATAACAAGATATATTTGTAAGATAATTAATCGTTTTATTAAAATGAATTAATTATAATCATTCTTTATTTATTTGTAAATATCAATAACTGTATTGGGAAGCTTCATTCATTTCAAACATCGATAGACAACAACGAGGAACAGAAAAAATAAAGAAATAAAATCAACAAGCAATACTCCCACGCCAAGGTTTAAACCTATGAGAACGTCTGCTAAAAAATATGTCTAAGGAAACGTCGCTTTTGTTAGTTGTCGCTCAGGCATCAAATTAAAAAGAAGATTTTTAATCACTTGCCTATCTTTTTATTTACACATGTACATAGGTGTGAGTTTTGATTTGATAAATTAATGTAATTTCTTTATTTCAAATCTGACATTAATAAGACTTTTATCTTGTAGAGAAATGCATACATAATTTATAAAAATGAACATAAATAGATAAAGTTAAGAAACTTTTTTTGTTTTGAGCTGATGTTTTTTTATTAATTTATCTGTTAAAAGTGTGCACTTCAAGGGTAAATTTTATAGTACGTTTAAACGAAATAAAAAATTCTCTTTGGTCGAAATTAAGTTTAAACAATCAAGTTAGATGTCTGAAGTTATCAAAACGAGAAGAGAATACTTAAAGTTAGTATTGACAAATATTACGAAAAAGTCACGATTGGCAACAAATATGTTTGACAGCATGTGATTTTTATTTGTCCTTTTCTTTAAGTGCTACATAAAGGAAGAAATAAGTCATCGAATTGAAAGGTCTATTTATTTTAGTGCTTGAATTCAAATAAATTAAGAGAAATCAAACATATATAAAAACAAAACATTTTTATCGCTTTTTGATTTCTTAAATGATTTTAAATTGTAGACAGAACCTAAAAGCAACTTTTTTGTTGTTTTTACTTCTTTCAAAAATCCACTTTCCTGATAAAATTGTGGCTAAAACAAAGAAAACGTAAATAAACAGAAAATAAGTCAACATTAAACAAAGCAACATATCTAGTGATGGGACTAACCCTTCATTAAAGTTTATTAGATATTCAAAGTTGTCGACATCATTAAAAAGGTCAAATATTAATGCAAAGCTCACACACATTAAATCACTACCTACAACATTAAAAAATATTTTTCAAACTCCTAAGATGATGTTTCACACTTCAAAATCCTTTTTATGTTTCATAAACAACATAAATTTTTATTATGTGAATTTTTCAATTTTCAAAACCCGAAAATCAACTGAGATGAAATTAATATTTTTTCATTTGAAGCATACGCACAGGTAATAAAAGAAAAAAGTTAAATTCAATTAGGGAATTATTGAAATTATGAAAGGAAGTATAGGAAATAAAAAAGAACATTTAACCCTGCTCTATGCTGCCGTCTTATATTAGCAGCACATTTATATTTTTTCCGTTTTTTCGTTTATTCATGTCATTTGTTATCCTCCCTGTTCAACAAGTAGCAATTTATTTACTTTTAATCTTGACGTTTTGTCAAGTTCTCTCTAATGATCTCATTTTTCATAACCACTTCCATTATTCGCAAAAAAAAATGTTAAATATTGAAGATTTCATTTTTTCAGCTGCACACGACGATTTAAATCGTGTCGCCAAACTTTGCAAATTAATATGTGTGCTTCTCTCAAAATATAATTCTTATCTATTAGCCGATATGCATGTTCAACTTCTGTCCTTAACAAAGAACGTTTTCACCCTACACATCAATAAAGCAATAAAATAGATTATACTGGATCATAATACAAAATCGTATTGTATCTATGTAAGTTAGATATTGCGTTGTTTTCGAGAGGGTCTCTTGTCAATAAAAGAGCGAAATATCTGTAATAAAAATTATGTGTTATTTTTTATGATGTTATTGATATGAATTAAGTTTTAACTATCAAAGTTTTGTGTACCTACTGACAATAATTTCAAGCATCAGCAGAATGGAACTACTTTGTTCCCATCTTTCTAATTATCTACAGATTATCAACTTGTGCAAGCACCCACGTACAATGTTCAAAGTATGTTGGTGCACGCAAATGTATTTGCAAACATTCTTCATGGAAAACTACAAAAGTGCCTATAAATCTTTGGTTTTCATTCTAAAACCTACATAGAAAGTGTCATTCGAATTTACTTTGTGACAGCTTGGGGCTGCAAGACCAAAATAACTAAACAAAACTCTTTTGTAAAACTTCACCCTTCTTGATCAATGGTATTGAATATTTGAAAAAAGCATGAATATTTGATGAATAGAATTTTTCCACAGAAATATATTTTGAAATTATGGAAATTTAATAAAATTTGTTTGCATATGAGGGTCATTTCTTGAATTTCTGTTTTTTTCTCCTCTTTTTTCTCGTTCAAACTTTATTTGAATGCTACGTAAATTAGAGAATATAAAATTGAACTTAAAGCTGCTGGTTCGTGTGGTTTTTCATTTCGATTCTTTAATCCACTTTTCAACATAAAGGTGAACGAAGGGAAAAATTGAAATTAATTCATTTAACATTCTGGATTTTTCATCATTGGGAAAATGCCCAAAAGTTAACTCTTGGAATGTAAATCTGAAATGTCAGATATCTATGTAAATATGTATGTACATTGCGGCAGAAATGCCGACGGGAAACAATTATTCTGGTTTTGCGAAATATCTTCTTAAAAGACTTGAGGAGGAATTTCTAAAGGAGCAGTGACAAAACAGTTAAAATATTAAATTGAAGACATCTAAGATTAGGCGTAGAAAATAATAGAGTTATGTTAATTTTCATGAATTTATAAATTGTGGCTAATGAAAGAAAAAGCAGGAAGACGAAGTTGAAAGAGTTTACTTTAAGATATTAAAAACTTACATCTCGAACTCTTCTGCCATTAGAATATTCCCAATGTTTAATTTAGATGTGTCAGTAGCAATACTTTAAATCAGCTTAAGCCTAATAGAATGTTAACTTCACATACATAAACTTATTTTGTATCTTTAATTTTCTTTTATATCCTTCGAAGATGGATGTAAGACCAATTTAGTTCTCATATCTACGAATTATAGCATTTCTGATAATCACGAATGAAGACTTTAGTGGAGATTACAAAAAACAACCTTTCTTCAGAAATTAACCATAAAAGTTTGATATTGAACAGAAGAATCCAATATACAACGCATTGACGAAAATAATTAAGACAGCATTCTACGATTTTCCCCAGACAATATTTAACCTGGTCACGTTCTACCAAAAGAAGTTTCATTTCTTTATCTTAAATCTAATGAAGGAATGAAAAATTCTCGAGATACTTGCCAAATTTTCACAATATTTGCTTAATGATACGTTGATTTAATAAAATATTACTTTCTGTGGTAGATTTTTCGTAATTTCAAAAAAGGAAAATAGAGACGTTTCTGTCGTTTTTTAAAAATTACCACCCAAAAACCTGTCAAAAGAAAAGCAAGAAAAAAACAATCCAGATGGGAAAAATTTGAGAAACCTAAGATTACACTAAGAATTTCGGATACACAAATTCATGAATAAATTATTTTTTCCCGTAAATATCGATTTTTCTGACGGTACCATATTGCTTAAGATTTTCAACTTTCTAAAGGAAAAAAATTATTAAAAAATTGAAAGCAGTAATTTTCATAATTTATATGCAAAACATTTCCTTTTAAAGTGAATGAAATAAGCAGTATTTTAATATTTAAATGACACTATTCCCATAGATTTTACATTTTCTTCATCTCAAAACAGCGGATTGGTGAAAAACGCTTTTTCGTTTTCCAGATTATTCAGATTATGATTTTATTACATCAATGCGCTGTGGTTTACACATTCATTTGGCTTTCAAACGCATTTGTTTGTTTTGCTTTTAAAGAATTTACTTGTTATGATTTTTAAGATCGAAAATGTTCATTCATGTGAATTAAAAATAAACTAAAATCAAGGCAAATTTACATTATCTTTGTACATATTTTACAAATCTGATAATAAATAGACTTTCAATCATTATTATTTTAAGATTATGGCAAGCGTAACAATTTTAATTAAGGATGAAACGTTTTAAAAGGATAACGAAGAGCGAAAATGTAAGTTAGACACTTTGAAAATCTTTCAGCCAAGAGCGGTAAATTTGGAAGGCGTTGGGCATTTGAAGTTAAAAAGCAAACGAAATGAAAAGATAAATGTAACAATTGTATAATAAACATTACAATAACTACCCTAATATCACTTGTTCTAGCTCTTAACAAATTAATTTCTTTTTTCTTTGTTCCTTTTGTTTTAATTCCATCCAGGAGAAATAGGTTTAACAACATTTGTAGTATAAAATGAAAAATAACGTAGCAGATTTTCTTTTTATGGTTAAATCCTATTTCAAGTTATCAAATTAAAGTCTCCTTTTCATTCTCAATTTTCTTAATTAACACAGTGAGAACGATTGATTTAATTCTTCCGCCAAAAGCATTTTTCTTAAGAATATTTAATGTTTTAAATTTTTCTTCTTGTTTGACCATTATTTTTTTAATTTCTTTTCTTCTTTTAAAGCCAGTCCGGGAAAATTAGGTGACTCTTGAGATCAATTTTGTTTTAAAATATCTTTAAACTGGAGAATACTGCTTTAAAGACGAGAAGAAAAAACAAAAGCAGTAGATATTTTATTTATGAGAAGGGATTTACTTATATAAGGGTATCAACCCTCTTTTTGCACGATATTCACCCATAATTTTTATAGCACAAACTGTGTTTTAAGGTTTCATGATTTAATCGATAGTCGCTCCCTTCTAAGTAGAGATTTCTTTCTTTTTGCAATGAGAAGAAAATCTCTTCGTATTTTCTATCTTGGGGAAATCTTAGGCAGTTACTGTGTTTTGTCTTTGCATTTTCCTTCTTTTTTTTGCCTTCTTTTCTTGTTATTTGTTGACTCACTACGAATCGAAATTTGAAAATAAATGTAAAATATCTATTTTCTTTTTTTTTCACAACAACAACACCTGATGAAGAAAGTACTTAGCTACTTTGAAATTTTCTTATTAAAAAGTTGCTTTTATGCGAGGATTAAAAAACAAATTTAATAAGTTTTTGTTAAAAAAAAATTATTTCGATTCAAATAGGTTTTTAAGATTTCTTTTTGTCTAATTTGAAGGGATGCAAGTAAGAAAATATTTCAACTAAAATCAACTTAAAAACATCAAATTCCGCTGACTACAAACATTCACCAATATTATTTAAAGTTTATTTAACATTTATATAACTCTTGTAATTCCTTAATCAATTTTGTTTATGACATTGCAAGATGACGACATGTCTAGGGTGAGTTTTGTTGAACCATATACAATAAATATCCGACAAAAGTTGCATATCTCGCTTTTGTAAAAATTATTCAACGGGAAATGACCCTCTTGAGACACTTGGAAACTTGGAGAATCTTCATGAATTTCTAAATTCTCAAGACTCTTTACAAAGATTAAAACACTCATTTTTAAATTAACAACTTGTGTGATCATTTATTTCTTTATTTTGGATTTGAAAACAAAAATATAATAAATAAAGATCAAATTGAAGTAGCTCATTGTCTAAATTCCCATACAATTCTATTATCATAAGGTGAATAAAATAAATTATTGACAAGATTACTTACATACAAGTCGTAAATCAATGCATTTAAAGAATATAAATTTTCAATCTTTAAACAGATCAAACTGATGAAAAAACTATCGAGGATTTACATAAAACCTTTTCAAGTAGCAAGCATCAGACAAAACAAATAAAATATGCGGGAAAAAGGAAAAGCCGTCGGATAATCATCAAATATTGTCCCCTCATGATGCTGAAGCAAAGATTTTCTTTCAGTGAATGTTTCAGACTGTTCAAGAACAAAATATTCTCTTAGGAATATCAGTCATTTCAGTTAAATTATCTCATAGTTGTGAATGTAATAATTTTGAAAATTTGGGGGTTTAAGCAATCAAGAGATTTGCTGAAATTATTAAAAAAATCGTAAAAACCTTAGAGGAAAACTCGTGTAGAAACTTTCAAATTTCACAGAAAAGTTTTATCTATATGGAAATAAAAAATTTTTATCTGTAGGGCAAAAAGTTCTCAATTATATTGTGACTTTGAGATTAGTAAATAATGGAATTAAATCGAAACTAGATTCAAACTTGAAACAGACTAAAGCTCTTACACACTCAAATGATGTGACTCAAACTTTTTTAGTTATTATTTATTCGTTCTTCTCATTTATAAACGCGGAAGCTTTCCTCAGAGGTTTTCGATGGGGTTAAATTCAATGCTACATGCCGGCTATTCAACATTCTTGAGGTTTAAATTAAGGACTTTGGTAAGACTTGCTTACACCTTCTTTATGTGATTGTTTACAGAAGACATTGAACTTTTGATGACAAAATTCATCTTTGAAATATTTAATTAAACAAATTAATCTGATAAGTCCATGAACTTCCTATGTCAGCTTTAGGTGTAGAAATTGAAATCAAATGAGTTCCAACGTCAACATTAATATTAAATTTGACTTTAAAAATATGTTTCATTTAAACTAATCTCTCACATTCGGTAGTTTAAAAATCATTCAAAAGATCACCTGGAAGCTTAATTAATTCAATTTCTAATCATGGCTGATATTAAAAACATTAAACTAGTTTCAGGATATCATCAAAATTGGCTCGTCGATGTAATGAAAATATTAATTTAAAATGCCGTGAATTTTAAGAGAAAAGGTTGAAAATTTTACAGAGACTTAAATAGAATATGAGAAGGATTAGGTTGCAACGTTCTGATGCTTCCCACGAAGAGGTGATAAGTGCCAAGTTATGCATCAATTAATTTCTTTATTTGTGATAAAACTTTTCTCCACAACCTTCATGTTAATACTTTACTCCTTAAAAGAGATATAAAATGATAATAAACACAACATACATCTGATAACAAATATCTTCAAATGAATAAAATATTTTCCTGACACAATTTGAATTTCAAATTCATATTTTATTCCAAAGAGAAAATTTTAAAAAGAATTTTGCAGAGAAAAAAGAGATTTAAAAGCGTTTATCGTTACAAGATGTGGCTTAATGAAGTAATTCAAACATATTCTTAGCCAATTTCGCATATTTTTAAGACAGAACGTGATGGACAAATATATTTAAAAATTATTCCTTGACAAAGTAACTTAAATTTACTTTTTGATCTAATATTAAAAAAGTGTGATTGAAAAAGGTTTGATTTCCATTTATTTTTAGAACTTCGCTTCATCATGAACCTTTCGTTGGTTATAGAAAAGGTTTTAAAAGGCGTTATTGAACGTTGCAATAATTAGACACAATAATTTATAGATAAATAAAAGCTCGCAGATCCTTAACTAATTCAACAGCTAATTGAATAAATTCTTTTTTACGTTCAGCCTATATTGGTTTTGGTTTGTAAAACAGAAAAATTATTTTCATAAACAAAATTAAAATTTTAAATTTTCAAAGCAAAAAATTTGTCAGTTTTTTTTAAATATTTTTATTTAGCTCATTTTCTTTAAAGCACATTATAAGTTATAAATATATATGAATGATTGATTACATTTCATGATTACGGTCACTTTACTGTATTTTCTTTTTATAATTTAGCACCCTCACAAAATAATCTTTATTTGGATATTTGTGGACGGCTTCTGTGTGACTTAACTTAACTTATGAGTTTTAAATTAGACTATCTTAAAAGATCAAGACTTATAAATAAAAACATACAACAGAAAGGACTTGAATACAACAAGAAAACACAGAAATAGATGAAAAGTTTTTAAAACTACCGAAGATGTTATTGAGAAACTTTCAATTCATCTTCAAAGAGTTGTCCATAATTTGGGAATACCGACGAATTTAATTTCCAAAACTATTCACAATTTCTGAGTTCCACTCGTTAGCCAAATACTCGATACACAAAAGATAAAAGTCAAACAGTTGTTACCAACAAAAACTATTTTAAATTCAATCAAGAAAGACACACGTGATCTAAATAGGTAAGAAGAAAGTTGAAAGAGGGTGAAAAATGGTTCAAAATATTTTCTTGTTTTATCCAATGATCTTTAAAGATTCTCTCTTAACAACTTCTTATTCCAAAAAGTGGTCAAGTGCAAAAAAGTTGCACTTCAAACCGACGGATTTATTTAAGAAGATGAAACCAAATAAATTCACAAGAATTGTTCTTTCATCATTTGTCTTTATAGTTTCCTTTTCATGTGTTTGGTTTAAACCCTTAATTAACAAGGGATACTAGTATGTAGCTAGTTCCTTTGTCATTAAAAATGAAGTGAAAATAATAAATCTCAGGATTCCAAGTCATCAAAAACAAGCTTCAAGGGAAAGCTCAATGATTCTATGCAATGTTTCCCTTATTTTCCACAAATTAAATCGCACCAAACATGTATATTTTCGTTGTCAATAAATCAATTTCACACATGGTTGAGACATCAATTTTCATAAAAAAAAGGGGGAAGCGAAAATTCTTTTATTGAATAATTTTTTCCACGTTTGATTTATTTGTTTGTTGGGAATAAGATTTATAATTTTCATTATTTGTTTTTGATAATATTTTTATGAAAATTTATCCTGCTGAACTTTTGACGAAAGCCTTTGAAACTTTAAAGCCTTTTTAAAACTGATGTAAATTAGAGAAATTGTGAAAATTCAAAAACAAACAAGAAGAAATTATTAAGCAACACACTTTCTACTTTATTTGAATTCAGGAACTTATGAGTTCGCTCTAAACACTTATGAATGATAAAGATAAAATTTTTGTTATGCTTCTTATCAGTCCGACAAACTACGAGACACTGTTCGGCTAGGCGTATCTTTAAATATTTCGTAGAATATTCGTTTCGTTCCTAACATGCGCATGAGGGGATAAAACTTTTGCTCCACACATTTTCCCCTATACAAAATACTTCGCAAAGTATTTTTTTGAAAAAAAGACCAAACTCTCATTGGGGTCGATCCGCCCTAACTCCAAAAAAATACCGAAGAACTTTTCCTCCACAGAAAGTAATAACAACAAAAAGAAATTTCATAAAATCGTAAATTTTTCCCGAGTTTTTTTCCTCAAGTATACCGTCAATTCAGTCTATGTATATTGTTGGATTGTAAATAAGAAGAAGGAAAAAGTTGGGTTGCAGTTTTCATATCTTGTTTAATCGTAGCATTTCGTAAAACTTTTTCGGAAAGTTTGATGTCAGTTAAAAACAAACTTAGAACAGGTAGAGACGAGAGAGTTTTGTGTGCGGCAAATTTTAACTGTGTTGTTGCTCTTCACTCCGGGGAAAATTTTCTAAGAAAGTTTTTAATTTTTGTTTTATGGAAAGAACTTAAATAAGAAAAAATTAATAGTCAAAAGTTTTCTTTCGCCGTTTTGTTGAAAAGTAAAGAACTTTTGGGAGGGTAATTATATTCATGAAATATGATTAAAGCAAGGCCATTAAAAGTTTAAACTTGAAAAATATTTTTAAACAATTTTCCTCATTCTTTTATAGAATCAAAAAGTGTTGAAATATTTTTTTCTGCGTTTCCGAAAAATCAGTGACGATGTTTGTAAAAAGTGCTTAATCAAGAATTATTTGCAAAATAAATAATAAAAGAAAAAATAGAATAAATAAATAAATGAATAGACGCTTTAAACGCGATAAATACACAAAAAAGAAAGTTATCAAGTTAACAATCTCAGACTCAGTTTTCACCGCCCTTTTAATTTCACGAAATATATTTACGGAAACAAGACTAATAAAAAGTTGATTATATCTACCAAAAGACCCTTTTATTTCATCGTAAAACTACTTTCGCTATCATGATAGTGCTAAACTGTTTAGATATGTATCGTAATATTTCAAATTAAAACACATTTGCTCAAATCAACAAATTACTCATTAACATAATTCGTGAATTTCTACTTATTACTACGCCAATTAATGTTACCATGTTTTGTCTTCCCAGTTTTTGTGCCTGGTAAACTGAGTGTAAATCATTAAAAGTGACTTTGAACAACATGAATTGAATTCACTCTGCGTTTCACAAGCCTTTTGATTTGATTCTATTTTATTTTTAAAGAAATATTATCAGAATTCATCAGTTAGATATAATTTTTCGTGAAAGAAAATTTCTTTTTGCTGCCGTCACGCTAGCGAAATTAAAAGAAATTAACATAAAGGCCAGCCAGTGTGTGACAAGTACTGCATGGAACGAAAAATTTGTTGAATTTTTTGAAATCACGTATGTTCCAGACACAAAACTTCCTTTCGAAGTTTTCAAAATAACTTTCCTTTGCTGCTAATAATTCCGTTAATAGTGTGTTGGCAAATGTAACAATAAAAATTAAAGAAAATTATATTAATGTTTGAATTTTGTGGAAGAGAAAACCCCCCCAAAAAATTAAAGGCAGCAAAATCGCATGTCGTCACGTCAACGATGTCAAATCCTTTTAAAAAAGAAAAGAAAACGAGAGAGAGATGAATTTTTAGGAATCAGAAACACCACACAGCTTATATTTATGTGTGTTTATTTAAGTAGGGGATAAAAAGTTAATTTTTGTAAGAGAATTTTCAAAATAAGGATAGCTGAAATCTCCCTTCTTTATTTCTAATTAACAGAAGAACATTGTGAAATATAAATGATTTCGTATTTCCGTCGCAACGACAGCTTTAAAAATTCATCTTAAATAAATTTCTTTGCCGCAGAAAATTTTCTGTAAAGCCATTGAAATACTTTTACAACTCTTTCGAACGGTTTCCTTCTCTCGTTTTAATATTTGTGCTGTTTATATTTCTTATAATTTTATGAAAATAAACCCATCTATATGCACGATTCATTGTATTTTTTGGGGACCTTTTTGACCTTTTACACATTTTAAAATATGCTATCAGAATTAAGCCATAAAGTTTCCATAATTTCAACGCAAAGAAAAATAATACCATTTTATGATAAATTAGAAAGTCGAAAAGCTATGGGATATGAAAGATAAAATTAATCGTTAAGTTTGCAATCAGGCCTCATAATGAAGACTCTTCGTGTTTTTTTGTTATTTTTTTCAAACAAAATTTGAGATAAAAATCCTGAAATAAAGGCAGAAAAATGGATTTGAAGGCAAAAATATCTGGTACGACTCAGTGATATGTCTCGAAGAGAGAATCAATTAGATTTTACGTTTAAAGAGGGTTGAAGAGATACAAATAAATTTTACATTCATTCCAAATGAATAACCCTTTTAGCAATAACGATACGGGTTAGATAAAACTCAAAACAAAAACTTTTTTCAAAGGAAGATAGCTGATCTTATGATATTGCAGAATCAAAACCATTATTTGAACACACTTTGAATTATCTTAAATACGTCTTTTTCTTTATATTTATTTCTAAAGCTTCAAGATGAAATCACAGATCTTCATAAAAGCATTTGAGAGAATATTCAAAAGAACTGATTACAGCTTACATGCTAACAAAATACTCTCGAGGCTAGTTTCAATATTTATAATAGTGATTTCATGTTTCGTTAAAGACTGTAAAATGCCATAGAATGATCCACATTAAATTCATAAACTCTGCTAAAGTATCTCAAGAAAATATTTTATGCTTCACAACAATTTTCCCCAGATAAAAAATTAGTAATTTTACTTTGGTTTCCACGAATACATGCAAGATGAAAACATAAATTTTAATATATTTTACCATATCCATGGATATAACATTTTGAGATGAAACCCCAACAGGGAATTGTTAAAAGCAAGTTTTAATTTTTCCTTTTTCTACGACACATTCATTATGTCTGGTCTGGGTTTTTTTTGTTTTTCGTTTTTCAGAACCATGTCGAATAAAAGTGTCTTTATGGTAATTAGAAAGTTTTCACTTGTCACATAATATCAGGTGCCAGCTTTCCTTTTTTTCTTTGTTTCTTCTGATCACAATATCGTTCCCCTATTTTATGGTTTCACGCTTTGTGTTCATAATTTCCTCAAGCTCAACTTGATAAAATTTTTATAAAGATCTTTAAGAAGTAGCTTCTTTATCTTAATGGATTTACTATTTCTGTAATGATCAATTTGAATGCATTTAAAGCACACTCAAGTTTCGAACGTAATTTTAATGACAAACATGGTAATAAAAAGGGGTCTAAGACAATCAATTGAAAGGGTTAATTTAAGGAAAAGAGCCTTAGAACACAAATAAATTGAACCCGTTCCCAGAGATTTACCATACCTATTAAATATTCATCATTTTATATCATTAAGAGGCAAAAGGTTAAATTATGTTTAGTTTTATGAAACGTTATGGTTATAGAATTGTTGTCATGCATGTAAACTTTATATTTTCTTTAGTCCTTAAAGGAAAACCATTACACGTAAAGCAAGAAAATCGTAGGGAACTTTTGGGATCAATTTTCCGTCGGAAAAATTTTGTTTCGTTTAGGGGAGAAAATTTTCAACTCTGTTTTTATTTCTTTATTTTACGCTCTCCAAAAAGGTTATTGTTATTGCTCAATATCAGATTTCAGTTGATCTATGTACTCAAGTGAATTTTTATTTAAGATTTTAAGGAGTTAATAATAGCATTTTTCACCTACATGTGCTCATTTATTTATTGTGCAATGAACTTTTTGGCCTTGCTGTTAAAATTCATATCGACTGAATTATTTTTATCCGTGTTGTGTTTTCATGATCTGAAAATTTATATTCTAATTTTATTTTCTTTCAGAATACCATGAAATATTTAAAATGAGTGATGAATGGCACTGAAAAAGGTATTAAAGAAGTTGCCGAAATAATTAAAAGTAAAAGTAGTGGAGATTTGTTAAAAGCAAATAAAATTGTGAAGTCTTCAGAAGTGTTTCAATTTCTGCGAAAGTTTTCTAAATCGAAAAGCATAAAACATTTGTTAACTACGAAAAACATAAAAAATAGTGATAATAAAAAACAGAATGAACATGACATGTTACAAGCAAATCAAGCTAATTTAAAGGGCTCCTCCAGTTATGCGAACAATATTAAACAAGTGATTAGTTTGAATTCAACAATTCACGAAAGATATCAAAAGTTGCAGAAAATATCGCTTCATCATATTTTTAATAAAGGTAAATAACAAATTAATTGGATATTTTGTAAATTGTTAGCGATTATGTGTGGAAAATAATTTTAGAATTCAAAATTGTAATTTTGGGGGTGGTCATGAAAACCTTTCAAGATAAAAGTTTAAAATTTCAGCAATTTCTCATCTTTATTAATTACTAATCTATGTAAAACTTGCCCATATTAATTTCAAAGCATTTCAAGTTCTTTTTATGTTAATAAACAATTTACAACAATTCTTACTTTGGTCATTTCTTTAGGATTGAACTTTTCTGAAGAGTTACAATTTTGAGGGCTAAAAATTGAAATAGTTTGAAAGCTTTGCCAAAAACTAGAACTAGAAATCGTTCAAATATCCTTCGGAGAACTAAACCAGAACTTTTCTAAATTTCCATCAATTCCTTACATAAAATTTTAGAGACTTGGATATTAATTATAAAGTTTCTGTTTACAGGAATAGTAAAACTTTAGATTTCCAGACAAAATCATTTGAATCATCTCTATGGGAATGCTTGCTTATTAACTAATTTATTTTTGTTGCTAATCTTTAACTAATTTTAAAATTTTCATGTGCCTTAAATGATGTTCTTGCAGTTTTGAATTTCCAGACAAAAAATAGTTTTGTTACAAAATTTTGAATATTTCTTCCCAACATTAACCCGCAGTTTAAAAAACTGAAAATTTGTAACATGAAAATTGCCTAGAACAGCATAAATCAATGTGAATAAATTGAACACACACATTAGACATTTATATCAAGATAGAATAAATATTTTTCACTTTTTAAATCAGCTTATGTTTGTTATAGAATGCATTAAAAGATAAAAGCATTGAAGGTAATAATCTCAGAATTTTTAAAAGTTATTTGTACTCTCTGATAATCTATCAATGTGAACTGCTTGGTTTATTTTTGTTTATTATGGAAATAACCAGCAAACCAACGATCTAAAAGAAAATCTACTTTGCTAAATAAATCCTATCAAAAAATTTCATTTAGACAATCGCTATTTTAAAACCATAATTCCATTATTTCTCACCAAAATTTACTCGAAAATTATGAAAGACAAAACCTTTAATCAAAAGACTTCTCGAGTCTAGAAATCGATACAAAACTTTTGAAGAAAGCGAGATGAATACTTTCAAACTGAACTTTGGGAGACTTTGAAAACTTTTTTTGTTCTTTCTTTTTAACTTGTTTTTACTTCCCCAAGAAATATCTAATTTTCCAAAACTTTATAAATTTACTTTCAAAAGTAAGGCAAATTTTTCAGACACAAAAACTTTTTACAACTCATTATGGATTTTCTTCGTTAACGCTTTAAGACGCGCAAATGACTAAGTTTTGTTCGCTCGTTTTAAAGTTGTGCTTTAATGACAACTTCAAAGCGGTTTCTAATTTTATTCAGATGAATAAAGAGTGCGAGATAATTTGATTAATTATTATTATCTTTTATTATGTTTCAGGTCCTACTAGTAAATGTCCAACGCCAGGTGAGTGCGCTTCATTATCCTTTTTAAAATTTATGATTAAAAAGGAGACTTTTCAGAGCTCTCTTTGATATCTAATAGAAAAATAATTAAAGAGAGTAATCAATTCACTCATTGACAATGAATAGAAAACGTTGTTTACTTTCTTGCTGAAGTATTTGCTTTATTTGTTACAATAATGAGAGACATTTTAACGACTTTACATAATGCAACGCCAATAAAACATTTTATGATTTTGTGGTAATGTAAAATTGCCGACGAAAGCAAACATTTCTAAATAAAATTATCAGAAAACATTAATTCAGTTTCATTTTCTGAAAGTTTGAAATAGAGAAGCTTCCTCAAATGAATTTTCACTTACAGGTTGTTCCGGACAAGGTCACAGCACTGGTCTTTATACTCATCATAGAAGGTAAATTTTGTCAAAGAAATTAAAAACTTTAATTAAGCAAATTGTTTGAAAAAAACATAAAAATTATTATTTTGCAGTATATCATTTTTCATCATAAATGAAAGACTTGTTAAAAGCTTTTAATGAAAATTAAAATTCTAGCTTATCTGGATGCCCAAGAAAAGACAAACTTTCATCTGAATGTGAGTAAAATTTTATTTATTTGATCATTAATTAAATTTTGTCTTTTGTGAGTATTGTAACGATTTGCATATATATTTTAATATGCATTTTGCTTAACAAACATTCCAAATTATTTGAGAAAAAAGAATCATAAATGAAATGAAATATTTTAAGACGGTCAAATCATTCTCTGAAGAGTATTTAAATATTAAATACTTTGCTTTCATATAAGTTTTTAATAAGAAACGTTCTTTGCTTCTTTTGAGTTCTTATCAAACATCAAAAAAAAATCTTCTCGTTATTGGGAAAAAGAAATTTCCAATTAAAAGAAAAAGCAAATAAAAATGTTTCGGTCGGTCATTTGAAGTAAAAAGTAAACTTTAGAATTATTTATGAAACGAAATATGAAATATATTTGAACATTAAAAAAGAAGCGACGGCAGTTTGAAATAACTTTACTATTTAATGTTAATAATTTATTACGAACTGCCTTTTATGAAACATGTCCATGTGGAGACAGAAAAAGAAATTCGAAAAGCTATAAAAAATATTTATTCTCTAACATTTCCAGTACTTGCATTGAACGAAACTATTTTGAAATGTCCTACAATTGGATGTAACGGAAGAGGTCACATAAGTTCAAGTAGAAATACTCACAGGAGTTTATCTGGTTGCCCAACAGCAGCAGCAAACAAAGCAGCAGCAAAAGAATTTAAATACCAAAACAGTTTGATTTTCCGTAATAAATTACAACCAGGTATGGAAAATGTAATCATACGACTCGTATGATAAGTTTCCTTAAACAATTTCACCTTTCACAGTCATAAATTTCCATCAACTTAACAAATATCAATCAAACTTTGCATCAAACAATTTGAGAACATCTTTGAAAGAAAGTTTGCCTAACAGGGGAGATTCTGAGAAAGTCATAAAATCCAACGACAGTGGCAATAAAGAATCAACACTCTCAGTGTCAACAGAAAAGATAAAAAGTGCGGAAGATAAAACATCATTTCAGAGTGACGAAGAAATTTCAAGAAAAACCCTAGACAACTCAGTATTCAAATCTCAAAAGAGCGCCATGCTGAGTAATCCTATTGAAAGTCATTATTCACGTGAGCAAGATCTGCGATACACAAGCTTAAGCGACGTGTCTCGTTCTATTTCATCATATGCTATAGATACTGTCACATCAAATCGCTTAACCATGCCAGATTACGATGTTCAGACTGTTCACTCAACAAATCATCGTCCATATGATCCCGGCTCTATAGTGAACTCACAAACAGCCTTTGAAAGATATGACCCAAGTTATCCTCTGCAAAGAACTGCTATGTATTCATCATATGGTCAACCATCGTTAGAAGATTTAGCAAATCAACAAAAATATTTACTAGAACAACATTCTCAGCAGCAACAACAACAACAACAACAAACACCCATAATGAAGACAGAGCCAGATGAAACAAACAATGGACCGATTTATCCAAGGCCAATCTATCAATCTTACGATCCCACAGGTAAGCTTACATTAACATCAAGAATGCATTTGTCTGACGAAAATACTTTAGCTCCACTATCTTATAAAGCATCATCGAGTTCTCCTTCACCAACTTCAACAACATCAGCACCACCCGCTAGCGGTGTAGCAGTCAACAATGGTGTTAATGGTGGTGGTGGAAATACGAAAGCTCCAGTGATTGATTTGTCGACAAATACAATCACTTCAACCAGTTCAAATTCAGGATTTTCTTCGTCCGAATACACATTAAATAATTCTAGAAATTCGAGAAGCCCACAGCAAGCAGAGTCAAGTCCCCAGATGACAAGCCCACAGGTCCCAAGTCCACAAGGTCAAACTCTTGACTTGAGTGTAAATAGAATTTCACAAAGGTAATGAAAATAAATAAAACCATTCTTATCACGCTGTTGTCTAATTACCCCCAATGCATTCTCATTCATTCAAAAATCTTCGTCTTTACGAATCAAAAAAGAGAAACCGAAAAAAAGGGAAGAAGATTCAGTGAAGAGAAAAGATGCTATGAGAGTTGTGAACATAAAATGTAATAGTATGTTAATAAAATAGCTTGGAGTAGATTTTATGCTTTTTCTTTGTTGTGTACGGATAATGCCGTAATTTAGAGGGTTTTGTATGCTTAATGTGCCACTTAAAACATTTTTATGCTAAAAAAGAATATAAAATTATCCTTTGGCAAGGTGGCGAATTGTTTTATGATATTCCAAAAATTTTACGGCTCCATACATGACAACAGCGCATTAATTCAGTAAACATAAGAATTATATGTTAAAAATGTGTTGCGTTGAAATCACTTCATTCCAAGGCATTAATCATCCCCTAAATATTCCTCAGAAACAAAAATTTTAAGCAAAGTAAAAATGAAAACAAAATTAAGTTCTTTCAAAAACATTTCAACAAGCTCTTTAAAAATTTAAATTTTGTTTTTCTTCTACTTTTCATTTTACACAACACTCGACGAAATTAATTCATAAATTAGTGGATCTGCGGAAAGTCCTTACCAAACGCAAAATGAAAATACAAGCTCGTCAACACCACATCCGAATGGATTTTTATCACGCTCACCCCAAACTGAGCCGGTAGATTTTAGCGGACCTCGAATGAGCTTTGGATTAATTGGCCCAACTCCATACAGCCGCGAATCAACACCTGATAGTGGTGGATCTCATTATATTGACAACTTCAGAGATCCAAGTGGTAATGGAAGGAAAAATATTGTTTTTCCCTTTGTCAATATTAATTTTCATGTCATTGATATTCAGGCTATAGTCCACATCCAACCTATGGAATGGTGGTTCAACCTGATTACGCAAACACTTATCCCGGCTATGGGCCAAATGCTTATCAATGCAGCGGCCCTTATGGAAGCTCTTTAGGCCCAGGTGTTTATCCGGTATCGTCTGTTCCAAGCCCATACTCTCCAACTACAACGTCGTGTTATGCTATGCCACCCCCACAACATTTGCCATCGCATGACAAATTGCTCTCAAAGGACGGGTGAGTGTCTTCAAGAAATTAAGTTATTTATTTTAAGAAAACCTTTTTCTTAGAAATAATATTTACACATGGCTTATACATGCACATAAATTTACAATATTGTCTTTTGAATTCATTCTCTTCCTACCCAAAAAGGATTTATTTTGAGCTTATGTAAAATAATTGAGTTTTATTTCATTACATGTCCTTTAAATTGTAAATCTGTTTTAATTATAAATTTAAAGTATGACATTAAAACATATTTTGGGCGAATTCCAGATACAGCCACGAATAATTTCATAGTTTTTCTTATAGATATTGCACTGATGACCCAGCCGAAGAATTCCTGTTATTCAGTAGGCAAGCAATTCACGTCATTAGAAGAGCCTTTAAAATTATTTGAAGCTTTCTATGAAACCATTTTCATTTACCACCACATTATCTACACTTACTTACTTAGAGTATTTTACCTTTTTGTTTATTTCCTTAATTTTCTTTTCATTTTTCGAGATTTTAAATCGTGGTTTTCCTCAAGATTTTCATTTACGAGAGAAAGGATAAACAAGTGCAAAATATATTTTCTCGAGAAAGGTAGAAGAAATAAATAATTATTATTGCTATTATGATTTTTAGGCAATCATAAGTTGTTGTACGACGATATAACTCTCCCATTTATCTCAAGAAAATTATCCAATTTAAATTTAAATAATAATATTGAAGAAATTCAAATCCATTCTTAAGTTTAGAATAAGAAGAGAAGGGAAGATGAAGTCCCGAAAGTGAATGAAAAATAAAAAGTTATCTCAAAAATAAAATTACCTACGCTTTCTTAAATTCATTGATTATGTCATGAGCACGCAATTAAAGACTAGAAAAGTTTCTCGAAAATTTTAAAGTATCTTCCAATGTCTTTAAAATATTAAATTTTTAATGTATTTTCCATCATTTTGAGGGTTGTATTATTACGGAAACTGGGAAGAGAGTTAACATTCTTTTAACACAAGTAAACAGACAACGAAGCGAAAATCATTAAAATTAGGGGGCTTCTATATTAAAAGTTGTCTGATAATGAGAAAAATGTGTAAATATATAACATCAAACCCAACGTATATGAGGCAACAAAAAAGATAATGAAAATCACATGATTGGGACTAAAAAGGGAAGTCTCCACTAAAGAAATAAAGGGCTTTAAAAGGATACACGAAAAATATTTTATCGTTTAATTTTACTCATAGTCATGCTCAATCCAATTTACTTTTAAGCTCTTTGAGATTAAAATATTAATTAACTTCAAATTTTGTTCTTCTACTTTAATCAGTCTTCCCGGTTGTCCTCGAAATGATAGAGGTTTACAATCTCATTCGCAAGAGCTCAAATGTCCCACGCCAGGATGTGATGGTTCCGGTAAGTGAAATAAGATAAAACATATAAAAGAAATTTTCAATTTGATGAAATCTGATTATAAATTGTATCGTTGAAAATAAATACTTCACAGGACATGTAACTGGTAATTATTCATCACACCGCAGTTTATCTGGATGTCCACGTGCCAATAAGCCAAAAAGTAAACCTCGTGATGGGCAAGATTCTGAGCCTCTACGGTATGAATGAACATAGCGGACGATGTTGTTATTAAATCATTTTATTTATAATTCTTTATCTTTCTCCAAAAATCAGGTGCCCAATTCCAAATTGTGATGGATCAGGTATGTTAATGTGGAAAATTTCAACAAAGTTGTCGTTAAATGAATTTGACAAAAAAAAATCTTTCTCTCTGTTTTCACAGGTCACTCTACAGGAAAATTTCTATCACACAGAAGGTAAGGTTAATTGAAATTTAGATGCGTGCGTTTTTTGTGTATGTTGCTTCTTCCCTTTGTCAAATTTAATTTTTAACCTTTTTCGTCCTCTCTTAAATAATTATCATTTTTATGTGAATAAAAGATTTAAAAGGTCGTTTCTCGCAGTTGAAAATTTTCAATGAATCCAAAGAGTAAATTTTTTATGAAAACCACACGGTTAAACATGAGGTTTTTCTATCTGAAGAGAAATTCTTTTATTTTTTATAAATGCTTTTATCTTAGCTATATATGGCTTTAATCAGAGAACAATGCTTTGTACAAATTTCTAGTTGAATATATTCTTGGGGAGACGAATATTGTTTCCTTTCTCTCAAAATGTGTACTTATAAGACAACAGAAAAGTTTTTATGTTCTCTATCCCGTCGGAATTCTTGAGAAATGCATTTAAGATATCATAACTTCCACTTCTGATTTTAATAACAATCATTCCTGAATGTTTTATAAGTAATCTTAATTATTATTTTTTTATTTCGTTTGTAGTGCTTCTGGTTGTCCGATAGCGAATCGAAATAAAATGAGAGTACTTGAGAACGGGGGAACAATTGAACAACATAAAGCAGCAGTAGCAGTGGCAACAGCAATGAAATTTGACGGTGTTAATTGCCCTACTCCAGGTTGTGACGGTAAAAACGTTGAGAATTGACAAATGTGGGTATCAAATAAAAAATAATTTTTAATAGGAACAGGTCATATCAACGGAACTTTTTTAACGCATAGATCGCTATCTGGTTGTCCCGCAGCAGCTCAAGGTATCAAAAAGCCAAAGTTTGATGATATTTCTCTATCCGTTTATCCAAAAGGCTATATAACAGGTTAGTAAACAAGACAGTTAAAAGTTAAAAGTGTTACTTAGGGTTAAAAATCAAAATCAAGCTGAGCTTTAAATTACAAACATTGAAAAGTCACAAACAAAACCGAAATGGTACACCAGATATTTAATATTCCCTTCATTAAAGCCCGGGAAGATTTATATAAAATCTATTAACATTAAAGCTGCGAAAAGGCGAATAAATAAGTTAACAAACAAATTAAATAATTCATGCAAGATTATGTAAGCAGGCGTACTTCGGAGCTCCTCGAACTATTCAAATCTGAAATTATGTGGCATTAAATAATTTTACGTTTTAATAGCTTGAAATTATTGTGCCTATAAATTTCTCACCTATTCGCACAATATTAATAATAAAAATAATCAATTAAAGCGATAAATAGATATTATAGCAGATTACTTGTTGGCATGAAAAGAAATTAATTGTTGTATAAATATGAATTAATAGTGCACAGCACAACAAAGAGCATTACAAAGCATTCCACGTAAATCGAATGAGTAATAAAATTATTTTATAGAGAAGTAGACGATAGTTGGGTTGTTTGAATAACAATAAAACTTTTCAGTTTTCCTTTGATATTTGATGTTTAATCTGATAGCTATGTAAAAGGAAAAGAAATATAAAATAAACATGTAGTTTTCATTGAGTAATCGAACACGTACTTAACAATGGCAAATTGAAATTACCGTAAAAGAAAGGAAAAAGATACTTCAGAAAGAATTTTTCCAGAAAGAAATTTTCCCGTTTTCCCGTCGGGATATTTTCTTCTGGCCCTTCATGAAAATTATGAGAAATGTATTTGAAATTCTCCCTCATCAAAATAAAACAAGGAAAGAAAGAAAAATAATGCGTTTGAAAAAGGAGATTTTGATCTTCAATAATTAAGGAGTAAAATTTTTTTTTAAGTTGTTTTTCATAATGTCAGATATTTTTTAATTTTAAGTATCTACTACAACTTTTCCCTGAAAAAAGAAATATCTATGAACAAATTTTTAATGATTATTTCCTACTGATTCATGCATTTCTCATTTAGAAAGAAATTTTCATGATTCCACTGTTTTCGGGTAGAGAAGAATTTTAAAAAAAGGTTTTTATTCCAAAAATTGTTTCAGACAGAAGCATTTTAAACTAATTTTCTGCTTACTCATTCTTGTTCTCACTCCGTTCTTTCCTTTCCTAGGAAATGCTTCTATGGAAATGATGTTGAATGCTCCCAATAGTAATGGTGAAGATTTGATGACATTAGAAGCTGAAATTTCTGAATTGCAACGTGAAAATGCTCGCGTGGAATCTCAAATGCTTAGACTTAAATCAGATATCAGCGCAATGGAATCACATTTACACCATGGCGAAAGGGTACGTTTTCCAAAGAACAGGTTGGTTGAAGCAGAAAATTAGTTGTAATTTAAAATTCTATTACGTAAGAAGATTGAAACATTATAGTTGAAAACAGTAAATTCTTCAGTAGGAAAATATATATCGGCTTTAATGAGGCGTAAAAGAATAAAAAACAATTTTTTGAAGTTCAATTGCTCATAAAACGTGGAAATAAAATCATTGAATGATTGACTTTGTTCGAATAGATCCGGCATTGCATGCCACTAGCTTCGAAACTTTTTAAAGAAGTTTTTTCTTATTTTATTTTTTCAAAACATCTCACAAGATTAAATTATTTGTAAGAGAGACATAAGGAGGGTGAGCTACAATAAAAATTGCGTTTATTTAGTTCTTTCTGCTCGGCAATTTCTTATAAAAATTACAGGGAGTTTTGTATGAATTCTATTACAGTTGAAAGTACATTCATGGTTCATTTGTAAATCATTTTTCTTATGACTCTTATGTCTGTCTTATAAAGGCATAGAGAATAACAAAGCTGATGACTCATGATGTGAATTGTACAATCTTTTGTGATAAACTTAGTTATCACAACTTGTTGAAATAAGAGGGGATTTAATATCTAAACTATTGTATTATTTCATTTCTGTAACAAAAACGTTTTAATAGTGTCACACTCGTCTTTTGGATTTTTCAAGTTAAGGCATTATTCACTTGATTGTTTAATTAGGCTCAATTAACTGGTCGTCACTTTCTGAAGAAAGACTTTTTTCAAAAATCAACTTCATAATCAAAATTATGAAACTAACAAACTGTTCAACCACAGTTGTTGGGTGAAAGTTTAAAAAATATTTTAATACAGTGATTAAAGCTCAATTTTCCTGACACAACTTTTTGTTACTTGTTTTAAGTTTGTTGAGTAATATTAAATCATTTAAAGTTTAAATTACTGTGTCACTGGATAACTTTCTTTATTGTTTTATTTAATATTGAAAATGGACAGTGAATTTATCGTTTGAATCCTTCTTTTCGTTAATAAAAACGATCAATCAGTTGTGTTAATCAACTTATATATTGTATATATTAATAAAACTTTACTTTTTTTGTTTCATTTATTTACATAGGTGCACGTAATCAAACCTACATCACGATATGATGATAACTATATTAATACAAGTCTTTAAATATATTTAAGAAAGCTTTACAATTTTTGTTTAATTAAATATAAATATTTATGTTGATGTATGATGAAAATTTCATTAATTTTTCCAACGACATGTATTTAAGAAATAAATCAAGAGCATTCTGAATGTTAAGTTAATATTGTCCAAAGAACAAAAATAAGAAGAACAATTAGAGAATTTCTTTTTAAAGCATTGAATATGTTACATTTCGTACAATTGAGAGTAATTTGATCGTTAAAAGCCGTCGGAACTTGAGATACATGCGCACAGTACAGAAAAAAATCAATGCTTTTGAAAAGTGCTATGCTAAACTTTGTTTTTATGAATTTCGTCTTTACAACATTTTTTCATCTGATTTTTTTATATTAATACATAAACTTCCCATTGGGCATGATCGTTTTCTAGCAAGAAAGAAAACAATAAAAAGCACATATAACCACTGAAAAAAGCTCCGAATGAAGAAACGCCCTTAGGTTGGAACAACTTTTCATCCACCTTGCAGTTTTTGCTATCTCTACCACGAAGAGCATTAAACTGCAGAATTGCGCAATGAGTTCAAATATATTGAAAGAAAATATAAAAAATTTCAGGTTTATTATGCAACGATTGCATGTGAACGAAACACTTAAAAACGGAGACAAAGTTGGGGCGTTTCGAGACTGTGTTGAAAGAAAGTTTAAGAAAATTGATTTTATGATGTGTTTTTCTTTACAGGAAAATGTAATGATTTCTCAAAAGACTAATTTGAGTGCTTACTATAAAAGTTTACGAAGCAACGTCATAACTTTACTTGAACATAGTCGCCGGTCAAACGATTCATCGATTGATAAGAAACATCATGAAAAAGGAGATTCTTTTGGAATGAGGCTTAAATCTGAATTTTGATAGTACTTAAAATCAATTTTGATATCTTTCAATGGATGTTTTTCAGAAACTTAGATGAAAGTAACTTTTCACATCTTCTAGGAATTTCCATGAAACAACATCTAAAGTAACATTAAAAGAATGTCGTTGTCAGCTTAAATTGATAAATTTAGTTACTTTGAATCAATTCGTGGTTAATTAAGTTGTTATTGTTACAAATTCACGTATAACATATTTACGATGATCACAAGATGACACTTTAAGAAGAAGTCAGAAGATCATTCGTTATATTTGTTTAAAAATTACGTGGAAACTTTTTCTGTCTATGTAAGAAATTGTAATACTTTATTTAGTTCTTTTGGAATCGAACTTAATCGCAAAAGTTTTGAAACTTACGAGGAGAATAAAAAAACAGGGATTAAAGTAATTCAACATCAATATAAAGATTTACATTCTGCATCGGTGACTATAACGATAACGTTCATGTTTAAATTAAAGTAACTTTTACAGAATTTTCAAAAGAGAAAAGCTCAGAGTTAGAATGCAAAAAATTATAATAAAAATTAGCTACAAACATAGGAAAACAAAAATGTACATATGGATACGAAATTAATGAGTTAAATGATTGAAAAGTTCACGAACACTCGACTATAGCAAGGTTTGCTACGCTATAAACAATAATTCCTTTATAAATATTTAAAAAGAAATCTCTTAAAAATGGTTCTAATAAATTGTTCTTTAAAAACGAATTATGCTCATAATGGATAGTAAATATTGGGCGAAAGGTTTGGCATCCATCATTAATTAATGACTTGATTTTTGTCAGAATAGAATCATTCACAATTAATAATAAACCAGTTTACATTATGACGAAATATAAAGGCGTCTTTTATGTATATGTAAGAAAAGTCAAGTAAAATCGTAAATGTGATTAGAGTTAAATCAAAAAAATGTAATAATGCTGAAGAAATGCTTCTTTCTTTCGTTACTTAAGAAAGCAAACAAAACCTTTTGTCTTTGGAAAGCTTTTGACAGAAACTCTTACGTGTTAATATTTATTTAGTTAAATATGTCCAAATGAATCAACAATTTATGGTAATTATTTAATTTACTTTCACCTGTTTCAATCTTATTCCTTAATTAAGTAAAACACTCTCACACCATCTAAGAAGACTTCAAGAAATTTTTTTCTTAAACAATAAAGTTGACAAAACATTCAATAAGATATTCCCCAAATCATCAACAACACAGACCGTGAACAGATGACCGTTAAGATAAAATCAATTCTCAAGTTATCGATTTAAATGCAAATTCCAAATTTCTTTTTCATTCAATAGATTGAAATAATAAATAAATAAAAAACACGCAGCATATCACTTTATAATAAAATCTTTGTAAATATCTTCGAAATAATACAAAATAAATTAAATAGAAATCTGAATGAATGTTCATTGTATGTAAAGCAAAATAAACAATTCTTGAGTCACGATATTAAACTAAGTAATGATTAAAGCTAACTCTTTAATAAGAAACAAAAAATTTCATGATTATACTCATTGAACTTTAGAGCTGTAGAAAAATGATAAATATAATTTAATAAAATTAAAAAAAATCATGTAAACGAAGAACTTTCACTTTATTGATTATAATTGGATAATTCATAATTCTAGAATAATTAACATGAAAATTATTTTCAGATTTTTAAAGTTTCCAGGAATTTAAAAGTTTGTGTTTGTTTCAGAAGTGTTGACTTGGAGGAAGAGTACACGAGAGCAGAGTTTGATAAACAGAAAACAGATAACAGAAAACAATCAACATGATCCAAAACGAATCACCAATTTGATGCAGTGATCCCTGTTCAGTTTTGATGACGAGGGTGGCACTGCTTGTCATTAAATTTAACTTGCAATGTTTCTAACTGGAAATTTCTTTAACTTATTTTATTTTAATCATATCTAAAGGTTAAGAAAGTAGTTAAGCTCAAACTTTGGAACTTATTAAATCAATAAACAACCAAAACAATTGTTATATTTGGTTGCATTCTTAAGATTTTTAATAGTTACATTGAGAGAAACTTAAACTCCAACAGCATTAAATATTTAAGTTCATTTAATCGTACAACATAAAGCTCCATCTTTATGAAGAATTCTTTAATGAAAAGCTCCAAAAAAAGCATTTGATAATAATTTTCGATCATGCGCAAAATCATTTTTGACTTTTTCAATCATTTTCATATTATTGTGTCAGTAGTTTAAATGCAATCGGTATTTAAAGAAGTTGTAAAATAAACTCATAAAAATGTGGGGGAAAAGAACCTTATTAATCAAGATGAAGTTTAAGTGCAGATTAACTGTTAAGTGATGCCTTTGTGGATCAATTTTTACAGATAAGAAAGACAAGAAACGAATCTAAAAATTTGTGACCTTTAAAAATTCATAATTTTCATTCCAACTAAAAGAAACTTTTCCAAATGTAAATTAATGGATGTTATTTCAATGTTACAAGGTAGTCAATAGTTTAGTTTATCATAAAAATGGACATGAAAGCCGAAAAATTGTAAAATGATTTTCAATCGATGGAGCAGAGCAAGGAGATGATAAAATGCAAAAAATTAATGCGAGTGTACTAGATTCTGCAACTCTTTTCTTTATTTCTGGTAGAGCTTTTCATTCGTGTTAACATGAGAAGTAAATTAAGTTTAATATAGTGTAAAAAGTGGAAAATAAATTGTTAGAAAAACGTGCTATCAACAGTTAAGTGACTAGACGTCAAAATACTCTCAAATAGAATAGAAAAACGTGAAATAAATTGAAAATGATCTGAGTGAGATCTTATGATTTATGAAAAGTGTTGTTGCTTTTGCAAGGGTGTGTGATTTAAATAAAAGCAAATAAAGTAATGCGATGATTCCACCAAAGAGATGATACAAACAGTTTTTGAAAAGTTCGCCCATTGTGTCTTTTGTTAGCCCAATTAGGATGAAAATAATATTCTGAAGCAGTGAAGAAGTGAAAAAAAAAGAGTTTTATATGTTGCTAGGAATGAAACGTTTAATAATGATGCTGTTTCTAAAGAAATCTAAATTGCAATTGCATAAATCATTTCAAGTTTTGATAGTTTTCATTGTTTCAATGGAAAACCTTTTTCAAAACTGCTATGGAACATCCGTCGATGGAATATCCTTGCAATTCAATAAAAGAGGTGAGAGAAAAAAAATGTAAATTATTTCATCTCGTACGTCGGCGCATGAGACACGAACGTACATCAAAAAGTTTATACGGAAAGATAAGAAAGTAAAATTTTCTTAAATTTAAGATTGTGACGAGATAAATACGATTAAAATTGTTTTAAAGTGTCAAGTATTTAACCTTTCTTGATGGGTGTTGAAATTTAACACCTTGAAGTGCAATTAAAGCAATGAAAGAGAATTTAAAATTAACAGTGATCATTTTTCAATTTTAGTATTGCTAAAGAAAATTTTATCATAAAATCAAATCTCATTTTTGCAAAAGATAGTTTAAGTAAGAATTGAATTATAAATTAATATGTGACCACCGAAACATCAGCAATTAGAGCTTAAAAGTAAGATTTGATCTTAAATCACTTATACATTTGCACACATTCCCTGGATAAACATCCTTGAGGTTCTACAACCCTCACAACCCTGGGAAATTTTCCTTGAAAGCGCAGGCGTTGCTTTTCTTTCTTTAACATTTTTCTTCACAAAGATTCGCTGGTCTTTTTAAAATCAGTCTCTTATGATATAACATTGGAAATAAACAGTTGAGAACGGCACGTGGATAAAGTTACATTTTTTTCGGAATCATTTTAAATTTCAATGCAAGTGTCAAATGTGTGGTAAAAAAACATTTTCCACTTCACTAAAGATTTCTTATCATTCTCTGAGATTATCATTGAAACTCTTTTTTTTATTCAAAATTTTAGGTAAGAGAAAAGGAAATCCCTAAGGTTTGCACAAGTCAAGGGATATATACATCGATTTATCGTAAAAGATGACCCACATTTTAGTGGTCCTTGCAATGGTTCACTTATCAGTAGGTGTAAATACTTTATCAGGTGAGATGCTTTGGGAGTGTCGACCGCATACTTAACACTTTGGATTCTCCAATTAATTAAATTCGGTTTGTTTTAGAATTCCTACGCTTTACCTTAAACAAACTATGGCAAAGCGTTTGGATTCTGAAACGAAAAGAATTTTGAAGCAGCAAAGGAAAAGGAAAAATTGTTCAATGAGTGAAAATTCTTAATTAAGAATTAAGTGAAAGAAAAAGTTCATTGGAATATTGAAGATATCTTTCTTCATAGAAATTGTTTTGTTATTTTCAGAAGCAGATTATACGCTAGATGACTCATTTTGGAATGAAGAAAGTCCAGTTGGTAAGTTCAACATGAAAACATTAAATTATTTTGTTTTTCATCAATTCTTTCAAACTTTACTCAGTGAATAAATCTTTAATTGTCCTATTTTCAAAAAGTTTTCTTTTGTGCTAAAAAAAGAAGCATAAAGAAGAGAAAAAAGTTATCTAAAGAAAGAAAGTTCACTTTTGTCAAACACTTTTTACTTGTTTTAATGCATTGTTCAACAAACTGCAGTTTGCAAAGAAGATTTCAAGTAAATTTTTCTTTCTCTATGACTAGGTGAAGTTGAGAGACTCTTGAAAGAATATCGACAGAATCAAGAGTTAGTACGTAAGATAGGAGGGCACTTTTATCAAATCATTTATCCGGTGCAACTGAGACATCATGAAAAAATGGGCATCTCAACAAGAGAAGTTGGAGGATCAAAGGTACGATTTTCTTTAGGAAGACGAAATATTATGAACACAACGGTATGTCACCACTTCATATTCCCATTTCTTTTTATTAAATCATGAAACATTAATTTTTGTTGAAACATTCATTGCAACATGAAACAAGAACAAACATGAAAGCATTTTTTGTCACTTGTTCCAAATATTTCTTTCATTTTTATTTCAGGGTGGAGGTAACAGTTACACCGGTCGAGGACGGTCACGTGTAAGTTTAATATTTGTCAACATTTTAAAGATGCTTGCAATATTTATGAATGTTTTAAATAATTTCAGACGGGAAAACATTTTCATCGTACATCTTTGCTTATCAAAGCATTTAATCATAAGTTTCGATTAGATTTAGAATTGAACACACAATTGTTAGCTCCAAACATTCAACAGAAACATATTTTACCAAGCGGATATCCGCACGATTCTCATAGGGTAGGAATTTCTTTATCTTCGAATTTTCTTCAAATTTTATAAATTTTTGATGACTTTCCGAACAGGAAATAGAGCATTGCTACTATCATGGGACTGTCAAAGATTATCCAGGTGCAAGCGCTGCTTTTCACACATGTAATGGTGTCAGTGGTGTTATCCATGTTGGAAACGAAACCTTTGTCATTCATCCTTTCTACGGTGGTGATTTATCGGTGAGCTTAAAGTTTGAATGAACATAAAATCACAAAGAAATTCGAAGTTGATTCTGTCATTCAAAAACTCTCTCTTTTTGTAATTTAAATGAGATTTGTTTTTGATCTATGACAGATTCAGGCATTGTTGTAGTAGGGGAAACAACAAGAACATGAATTTTTCATACGCTTAACATTTTGAAATGTTATTGAAATTAAACTCTCAATACATAAAACGAAAAGCTTTATTGTTGAACTTGGAAAAGGTCGAACATTTTAAAATTTCTTCACTCATTCCAATAACTAAATGAACTTTATTGTTTTGACTTTTTAAAATCGTTCGTGACTGCATTACTCAAATTTGTTTCAGCAGAAACATCCCCATGTTATCTTCGAAGCCCGCACGAAACAAAACAAAGGTTGTGCAAATTCTGGAAATTTAGAATGGCGTAATCCAAGAAGACAACAACACTTAACTGGGTTTGTAGAGAAGCAAGACGCAAATGGAGCTGGTCGATATAAACGTGATGTTCGCGATGCAACAAAATATATTGAGACTGCAATAATCATCGACAAAGCGATGTTTGATAAGAGAAATGGCAGCACAAGAGCTGAAGTGGTTCATGATGCAATTCAAGTGGCCAACATTGCTGATTTGGTAAGATGTTTCTTTTATTTTTCTTTCAAGATTCTTCAAATCACAATTTTATATAAATTTGTGTCAAACAGTATTTCAGAACTCTTAACACGAGAGTTTCTGTGGTTTATATTGAGACGTGGCAGGGTCAAAATCAAGCACAAATTGATAGCGGTAAAGACATCAGCAAAGCAATAAGCAGCTTCAACGATTATACTTCTAGAAAATTATTCAAAATTGACAAGGATACAACTCAATTGTTAACGTAAGATTTGTGTTTGCCAGTTTTGAATTTTTTTTTTAGAATTTTTTCCTTTTTAAATTCCTAGTGGAGAAAACTTTTCTGGAGGTGAAGCTGGAATGTCAGTTCCGGAAACAGTTTGTACAGCAAAAGCTGTTGGAATAAGTGTAGATATTAATACATATGAGCCACATCTGTTAGCAGGAACAATGGCGCACATGATTGGACATAACATTGGAATGGGCCATGACGACAACCGTAAGAAAAACTTTTTTCTTTTAGTTTCCATTTCAATTGTTTTCATTTACAATTTTTTGTTAACAGGAGAAGAATGTTACTGTCGTGACTGGCATGGATGCATCATGGCACAATCAATTATTGGTTTGGAAAATGTTCAACCATATAAATTTTCCGAGTGTAGTCGTTCGGACTACATTGATGCATTGAGAATTGGTCACGGTCTTTGCTTATTAAATAAGCCCAATGAAGTAAGAATTTAAGAAAAGTTTACCCATTTCAAAAACACTCATTTCTTATTTTTCATTTTCCAAATCACAGCTTGAAGTACGACGAAATTGTGGCAATGGAATAGTTGAAGATGGCGAAGAATGCGATTGTGGATCGTTTGAAGAATGCAGCAAAAAAGATCCTTGTTGTGATCCAATCACATGCAAACTTATCAAGGAAGCTGAATGTGCTTCGGGTGCTTGCTGTGATAATTGTCAGGTAAATAGTTTAGTTAAGAAAATTTAATTATGAAAGAAATTACATTGTCGAACACTTTACCAACCAGTTAAGACAACCAGGTTACATTTGTCGCGATGCATTCAATGAATGCGATTTACCGGAAGTCTGCACAGGAGAAAGTGGTCAATGTCCAACAGATGTCTATAAAAAGAATGGAAGTCCTTGTGGTGTTGGTGCAAGTGGAATGGAAAAAGCTACAGGTGGGACATAAAAACTTTTATTTTTTTGTCTATTTACAAACTTATCATTTGATGTCTTCCTTTCTTTATTCAGGATATTGCTTCAATGGAGTTTGTCCAACGCTCAATGCACAGTGTGAAAAAATTTGGGGCTACGGAGGATCTGCTGCTGATAAACAATGTTACGAACAATTCAATTCAAAAGGCTCCATGAATGGACATTGTGGAATGGACAATGCCGGACATTATATCAAATGTGACCCAGAGTAATAATAATTTCACGTTTTTGTTAATGGAGGAAAAGAGTTGACGATGATTGTAACTTTTGTCTTTCAGAAACGTTCAGTGTGGTTCACTACAATGTAAAGAGGGTGATCATCAGCCTATCATTGATGGAATGGATCAACTCTTTTCACGAACAATTATATCAATCCGTGGTGCTGAATATGAGTGCAAGTGAGTACAATAAAGTTATGAATAACAAAAGATTTGAAATAATTTCATTTTGTGTTGTGTGAAGGGCAACAAGTGGAACTATTGAAATATCGACGGAATTTCCCGAACACGGTTTGGTTCGGGATGGAACACCTTGCGGTGAAAATTTAGTGTGCGTTAATCAAACATGCGTCAGCCTTTTTCCTTATATAGATACATCAAAATGTCCGACAAACCATAATAATGTTGAATGTACGGGTAATGGGGTGAGTTAATTTAAAGATTTTAAAGTTTTGTTTGTGAAATTTATGATTAATTATCCTTCAACAGGTTTGCACAAACATGAATAAATGTCACTGCAATTTCGGATGGACTGGAAGTGATTGTTCAATTGAATCAACAATCACAAGCACAATTCCAGCTATCGTAACTATAACACAAGATCCATCAATCAAGATGGAAAGAAAGGAAACTCCTTATGGTGAGAATGAATGATTTGAAATTGATAATTTATGATCAATTTTTGAGATAAGATGATGTTATATGACAATGGTAATTGATATATGATTTCTTTGGGACACATTCACATTACCTTACTTTACTTTCTTACCTTTTTAATTATTAAATCTTAATGACAACATAAAAGAAATCAAATCATAATGTTTATTATTTATGCGATAAATAATCAAATCTAAACATATTTAGATGATGAAGGTAACAAAAAGTCCTCGAAAATATTTACAGAATCAAAAGACCAAGATAAGTTCAGCACATTCACGATGGTTGCAATTTTAGTCATAGTGGTAACATGTTTCTTCGTATTTTTCACATTAATGGCTGTTTGCTACAGGTGTGTAAAGAAATGATTAAACATTGAGCATTCTGAAAGTGTTTTTGCTGTATGTTTGCATTCTATGTTGGCTCGTCTTATCTACATCGAAATAAATGGTAATTAAGTGAAAGTGGAAGTGAGACATGTATTTGATGTATAATGAGTGTTATGTTTTCTTTATGTTTTCTCATATATACGTGGATATGTATGTATGTATGTATGTACATATCTTTTTACGTAAATATCCGTCAAAGTATATAAGGAACAGCTTGAAGAAGGATCAAATCTTAGATAAATTATCTGAGATAACTTTCAACAGAAATAATAACACCAGCAACAAGGAGAAAGCTTTGCATGTTAAGAGTGAAAATAAATTTAAATATTCCACAATATTTCGTGTTACGGCTTGGGTCGAGTTGGGTCGAGTCAAATCACTTTGGAATTAAAACATTAAATAATTTTTCAGATGATTGATGATAAATACAAGGAAATTTCTTGATGGTCTTTCGGATTAACTTTTTAGTATGATGAACCTTTAATTCGTGGTTTTATCAAATTTATTTCAAGTGGAATATTATTTTGCTGCAGGAAATTAGTTTATTCACTATTAAACTTTTAAGATGTAGAAATGTTAGATTAGTAAACATTCTTATTTCTCAAACCAATTATAACTTCTTACTTTATTACTTCTACTTAATTCTATCATGTCAGAACTCAATTCACAACTTTATCAATATCAACATTATTTCATGAGTAATTATTACCATTGTCATAGTATCTTGTAGAAAAAAATCGATTATGGAAAGGAAATGATGATAAAACTTCAACTCTCTTAATGACTATTAACCTCTGTACTTTTCCAGAAAATTATCATGGCTCAAATACAGGGTTTCTAGTCGGGGTTCTTGTTTCTGTTGTAAGCGGTGTTTTCTTAACATTTGCTTTAGTCGCTTTGTGCTACAGATCATCAGTAGTACACAAAAACATCACCTTATGTTTAAGGTTAGTCTTTGATTACTTGAAGATTCTTAGAACCAAAAAAAAACAAAAAACATCAACTACCGATCCAAAGACTTGATTCTAGATGGTTTCTTATTTATTTAATAGAATAGCTCTTCTTTAATCATAAACACAAGTTTTAAATTGCACGAATTTTAGTTTTAAATTCTTTTTAAATAAATTCATTAAAAATTGATCAAACATTTTCGACATAAGGAAAGATTTTTGATCAAACTTTCATTATAAAAATGCTTTGCTCGTCCAATTCTCTTTTGCCCAATAAATTCTTCAAGCCCATAAGTATGGTCCAATCTACGGGTTTTATTAAGATGGTAATTAAAGTGATAAGTAAGGAACACGATACCCTCAAATAACAGTCAATGTAATGACTTCACGCTCAACGTTTTTTGTCCACCACCGCTTTAAATTATGTAAAACTCATGTGAAAAATCAACATTATTCATTATGTTTTGCTGTGTATAAATTAAAATTAATAATAGTTTTTTAAAATTCTTTCTTGTTTCACTCAATCTGGTTTATAATTTCTTTAAAATTTTCCTAAAAAATGTTTTTTACTTCTTTAACATTTTTAATTTTAAATTGAAAGATAAAATCAAAACATGTAATAATTGTGTAGTTAATGAAACTGCTTAAAGCATGATATGTCAAATAATTAAGCTCAGAAGTTTGATATGTCGTACAGGGTGATAAATTGAGTGGATATTGGGCATATAATGTTTTTTGCCAAAGTAAATAAATATCTGAACACATGAATACTTCGCACAAGATAAATATTTTTCAAGTCTGTCTTTATGTATCAAAAGTAAAGTTTCTTTAAGCATGTTGTAAGATAAATCTCTATACAACAAGAATTTTAAATGTGCTTACTCTTGCTTTAATAACATTATCAGTATTTCCTCGTGAATATTTAGCATGTAACCCGAGCTTTCAAAGTCGGCACCGTGTTAGGCGTTTCCTCTTTTCCAATGATTTTCATCAGATAATGTCAGAAATGTTTTTTGCTAAAATAAATTTATGCGGTTACAGACGGAAAACTACACGATTGAAATATGACCCACCATACGTGAAAAAACCTATGGCAAAATACGTTACTACGGCTAATGCAAATCATCATTCTGTAGAAGAAATGTCATTAGATGGATCGAATAAATTAATGTTTAATAATCAAAACCAATTCGGGTAATAAACCTAAAACATACAATTTGTATGATAAAACCATCGTTGTTGTTCTTTTACAGACCTCAAAAACTTCAGATAAGAAGAATGACAGCAACAGGAACGGACGAAGATCCACTTCATGCAGGTAAAATAAAAATCAAATTTGTTTAATATTCAAAGCATTGCTGAGAAATCTTTTTTACAGTTGGAAACAATGCAGTGTCTGATGTTGAACGAACATTAAAAAGTTTAAATGGATATCACGAAGATATTCTTGAAGCTTTGCGTAATGCAGCTTCGTCACATAGAAGCTCGGGTAACACACCATCAGGAAGCATAAGTGAAGAGATTTTGAGAAAAACATTGCAAGAATGCGCGGCGGGTACGTTAGGATATGAATATAAACGAAGCAGTTCAAAAAATAGCTCGAGAGAAAATATTTGTGACAACAATGCTCAACTTAATGCAATGCTTGGTGATGTCAGTGGATCATTACTCCATCACCATCGTTCACAGCAACAATTGCATCAACCTCAATTACAACAACCGCCAAATCCACAACAATCAATGCAACCACAACCTTCACAGCAACAAATAAATCCTGAAGAAGAAGTTGGTCCATTGAGAATACGTAATTTAGAAGATCTCATAAGACAACTTGAACATCATTCTTCTCGTCACATGAGTCCGAGTGGCTCCGAAGATATTCGAATGTCTGAAACTGAAGCTGATAGACATTATCGATTAGAAAGTTCTGCAGCTTGCAGTGAATCATCTCATGGGTAAATTTTTTATCTAAAAAATCATTAAAACAGGTGAAATGTGTGTCGCCCATAAAGAAATAATCAGAAATAATTTTATGAATGTTCTTTTAGTTTAGAAATTTTTTTCTTTACAAATCTATGAAAATAATAATGAAATAAACATTGAGATAGTTAAATGATATAAAAAAGAAAATATTTATGTAATGTTAAGGCGACGCTCAAAACCTGAAGCTAATGTCGCATGATATTTAGCTAATTATACTTCAATCGGTTTTGGTTATTTCACCAGTTCAAACCAACACTTATCGCAAAAACCTTCTACAATGTTACAATCGTCTTACAGCAGCCGTTGTCGACCGCGATCATCAGACGATGAGAATCGTTTTGTTTACGGACGATATCGACCAACAAATAATCGACATCAACCCCATTCACCTCATCAATTTAGTCATACTCATCATAGTCATGCTCATCATTCATCGCATGGTCATTCATCACATCATTCATCTCACACTCACTTGCATCAAGATGAGGAAGGAATTTATGAAAGTGCTGACCCAAGAGAGCGGAATTCTCTTGACATTCGGGATGTTAATGACAGTGAAAGGTAAGTTTTAACTGGATGAGATTCAAAAGACAAATCTTTGTATAAATCCAAAAAGAAAACTTGATTAACATACAAATTAGAGTCTAATTGAGAGTGTACTTAAGCAAATGTTTGAATGCTTGCCTTCCTTCCGTTATTAAAGGATTTAAAAAGCAAAATTAGACAATAAATTTGTGTGTGGTTATATCTTCGTCATGCCCAAAATTATTTTTTAGTGATGACTTTATTCAAGCTCAACAACAGTTAGCCCGATGGGCTAGTGAAGATGTCGTCTCCGTGGTGGTAATGGAGTCAGATTCGTCCGCAGTCGGTCCATCGCAGGTGGCCACTACTCAAAACCTTCATCCCAATGTAACACAATTGGGTCAGACAATAGGGATTGGCAATGGGTTAGGTGCAATAGCGTCCCGGACCGATTATTATCCATCTCCACCATCCACGACGGAAACAGAAAGCAGCGGAAGTGTAATGGCACAACATCATCAGCAGCAACAACCGAGACGCGGAGTTATCGACGTAAACGGCGGACCACAGGAGATTACAGGACGATTCCCCGAATATAAGCCAGAATATAAACACTGATAATGACCTTAAGGGATATGATGATGTTAAAATTAAAATATCCCTATAGCTTTCTGTACCCCACACTTAAACACGAAAAAATATTAAAAACTGTCTTTTAAACATTCAATTAGATTATTTAAGGTGAATTTTATAGACGAAATAGAAACTTTGTACACGTTCGTACAGTCTTAAAGTTAGTTTTAAAAATGAAAAAATAGTTGATGAACTCGTGAGATTTATTCAAAATGAAAAATTGTCTTATTTGTTACTTATGCATCTAAAGTAAGCTGTAAAGAGAAACGAATCTTAAATGGTCACGTTTAATGACATCATGATGCAAAAAACTATTTCACTTAACCGTCAAGGAATGGATTTTCAAATTAGATATCTAAATTATAAATATCTAATCAAATATTCATCATCTCTTATTTAATGTTCAGTTAAAATCTTTTAAATCAGAGTGTTAACTATTTAAAGATATCATAAGTAAATGTTTTTTATTTTACTATTAGATATATGTTAATTATATCATGACGAAGTATTTAAATGAGAAGTGAATGAATCATTATTCTGACATTTTTTGTTATCTCATTAATTGAATTTTAATATCGTGTAATTGTGACATGTTTTAGTTTATTTAATGATGCTGAAGGAATATTATTTATTAAAATATCTGAGAAGAAACTTGATTATGATTTTCATCTTATTTTCACTCCTAATTCTCAGTTTAGTTAATGTCAACATGTTATCCCTTTTTATCTAATAATTTTTCAATATCATTTGAAGTCTAATCCTATTCCATGACATAGACAAACAAAACACAGTATTTGAATGAATTTTAGTTAATTAACAAAATTTGTGCCTTGTTTTCTTATGTAAATTACAATTAAATGAAATTAATGCATCTACATACAAAAATTTGCATAGCTCCAAAACTAAGAAGAAAAGATCATCAAAGCCTTTAACGTAAAACAAGTTTTCTCCTCGAAAGTGATCTATGAAAATGATTTGTAAAAAAAGTTCATTGATTAAAAAAACTCACGGTGTTTGAAATATTTGTGCACTGTTTAAAAGAAACGTTTCTTCATTACTTTAAATTACTAACTAAGGCGTTAAATAGAATGGAACAGTTTTCAATAACAATAAAGGGGATTTGGACACATTCGAGACACGTCAGGCTACGGCCTTGAAGACTCTTGAACTTGGCTAAATATCCCACAAAACTTCATGATTTATAAACAATTCAAATGACTATTTAGATAAATTCAATAGAAAATGTACAGAAAGATATAAAACTTCATTTTATTTAAAATGATTATGTTAATAACAGAGATAAAACGCCATAAAGATTGTCTAATCAAATGTTCTGTAAATATTATTTGTAATTCAAAGTGTATTTGAGGAACACTGCCTAAATAAATGAATGATAGTTACCCGTGCATTTTATTGTCTTTTTTAAATTTAATTAAAGAGCAAACACATTTTTTATCTTCTTTCAGTAGCGAATCTTTATTTCTACTAGTTACTATGATTTATGACACATCTTAACCTATCCAATGCTTAGCCAATTCTTATTAAATGAGTGATAATGAAGAAAATTATTTGAATAATATAAGTAATTAAAAAACAACAACTAATGAGCCAATATTCATGCTTTTTTAAGCAAGTGGGACTCGTCTACTTTCCGAGATCATATGAAAGTTCTGACATTTTCCTTTCCTCATAACGAAGAGTTGAAAATGTTTCCAGTAAAAACAAACAAAAAAGATAAATCATAAAGTAAAAAAATGAAATCATGAAAATAAAATATAAATTTGACCAAAATCAAATGCACTCTTAAAAGTTTAATGAACATCCGCGGTTTCTTTTAGTGTTTTTGTTTTGTTTATCATAAAAAAATATTCAAGATTAAAAATATACAGTCGGAGATAACAAAAATCTAAATAAATTAGCCAAAAAGTGGCAAAGGAATGTCTTTAGATTTTTTATACGAGCATGTAAAAAGTTTTGGTTTAGTTTCATTGAGTGTGGTGGCACTTTGAGAAGACGAACATGTCGCTATGATCGACTGATAAGTCAATTGAGATCCCGACAATTTCTTGGCTACTTCTGGAAATTTTTCAAATAATTTACTGATATCCAAAAGTGGAATGTTGACGACTTGATGGAATATTTTGTGTGAATATTTATTTCGGATAGTACTTAGAGTATCTTTCGGTTTCCGATGCAGAAGTGTGTTGAGTAAAACCACAATAGGAGCAAAATCAATAAGCTTGTATCCTGTTTTAATAGAAAATTAATTAATACAAGAAAGTTTCGGAGGGATTCAATTAATTTACCTGAGTAATACTCATAAGTTGTGTTCCATCCTTCTATGTCAATCATTCTTAATGCCATAAAGAGAGCAGCACAAGCTATCTTCGAATCACTCAATTGTATTGTAGAGTAATCCATGAGAGCATACTCGAGAATGTAACGTGCTAAAGTGAGAGCAACCATTGAAATTTTTCCACACTATAAAGAAAGTGAGTCAATAAAGAATTTAGATAGAAAACATTTCTTATACTTACACGAGCATAACGTCTGAGAAATCTGTATGACAATGGAAATGAAAGATCAAAATTGATTGCTCGAAAAACTGACATTTCCATTTTCAGCAATTGTTGTCGTTTGTATGCTCCATCACATATGAACAAAAAATCTTCAATAAGTGGAGGCGTTCGTTCCTAATTGAAGCATAAATTGAAAATTATTTGAAAAGAAATTAAATAAAATTTTAACACTCACATCATATTTGCATGCTATCAAAAGTGCAGCAGCTCCAAGTAACTGTAATGAATCTTTTGCAACACGTTCTTTCCCTAGATAAGTGTCAACAATTTTAACTGCCAAGTATAAAGTTTCATGGTTCAGCTCAAAAGATTCTTGCACTTCTACCATCCAGTCAATTAACAATGAACGCATCCATTTTGAAAGTTCAGGTTGGTCAGCCATGTAGTCTTTAATTTTGTAACAATGCTCACGTTCCTTTAAGTAATCAAAGATGTTCTTAGCATATTGTGACACTTGGAATGGATCATTCCAGTTTTCTTTATCAAAGTCTTCAACACCATCGGGAAGACGATTTGTTGTATCAAAACATGAAGTGAAGGCATCCTCTTCATATTTCTCATCAACTGATGATTGCGATGAAGGCGAAAATGTTGACGATGATCCCTGTGACTTAACCGATGATGTTGAATCCGTTTTTGTAAGAATGCTAACACTTCCATTAGAAAATCTTGAATTATCTGATGAGATCTCATCAAGTGCAGATACGTATAAGCTTTCTTCAGTCTTTTCGAATTCATTTGAGATGCGGCGTGAAATTTTAGTAGAAGGTTCGACAACATGTTTTGATTTTACTGTTGTTGCGATTATATTTCCCTTAATATTAGAATTTTTATCAGTTGTTTGCGGTGGAGGCAGTAAGTCGACGTTAACTTTCGATGTCTTTGGTTGAATTTTTGTTTTATTTTGAACTTTATTTGCAGCTCGTGTGCGAGAACTTACAGGCTGAATAATCGCTACATTTTTTGTTGGCGCTACGTTTTGTCCTTTTTTTAAATTTTCATCTGAATCTACGCCAATCAGTGCATTTGTTAAATTTCCTAAAGCCGATCTCTTTATTCTATCATTTTTTATCGGACTTAACTCAGCTTTTCGTTTTCTATTGAAGCAACGTGAGAATAAATTTTTTTTAACTTAATTAAATCATTTTTTTTACTTACCCTGGAGCACATTTATGTTCATTAGGTTTTCCGGTAATTGCAGTAGTTGTTGATTTAGTCGATCGAGTTGAAGCCATTTCTATTAATTTTTTAACGTCTTTTATTTCAGTCTTATTTCTTCAAACTTATTTTTTTCTCACTTGTAAGGAGACTATGTAGTCTAAATATATATTGCAAATGTTATCGGTAGAAGTCCACAGCAGACCGTGTTGCACAAATATATTATCAAGCCTGCTAAGAAATAAAAACTTAATATCCTTAAATTTGAAATTATTTTTCTTTATCGAATTTTTGTGCTTGATTGCTTTTTAGCGCGAAGAACACATTCTTGTCTTTTTTTCCTCACTTGGTTCTTTTCATCTATCTCCCGAAATCAGGATTTCCTACTGCTCTTTTTATGTTTGTGTGTGTTAGAATTTCAGGTAATGATTTCTTCAAACACTACTGCTTCTTCTTATAAATGCAGATGTTTGTAAGGATTTGTTCCACTACATCAAAAGAATTTTATTATAAAGCATCGGAAAATATTCAATATTTAATTAATTTCACAGAGATATCTTAGAAAGAACGGAAAATTCACTTTTATCTAAACTTTTGTTCTCCTTAACGGTCATGGAAGTTTTCTGTTTCAGTATAACAATATCAAGAATTGTAAGAAATATGCCTCAAAGTGTTGAAAGAATGGCCTTTTCTTATGACTGAACACTAAATTTATGTTTTATTCTTTAATTTCAATACATACTTTTATTTAATAATTAATTGATCTCACTTGTTATCCTAACTGAACTTAATTGAAATAAAATTTATTGAAACTGTTGAAACGGCAAGAACTGCTGAAGCTACTTGCCCACATCAACGGTTTTTGTGAAGTGGTCATAAGCTTTTAAACTTTTGAATTTTCCGTTTGCAATTTATAAAAATAATTCAATCTGATCAAATGTTAAAGAAACAGCTAATGATTTCATTTTTCGTAGTTTAATTTAACAAAATTTAATTGAATCTCAGCATTTAATTAGAATTTTAATACTTCTAAATCATCTTTTAAAAATAAAAAGAATCACACAATATTTTCACTGTTTACTTAAGTTCAAACTGAACGAAAAACTAAATTCGGTCTGCTCGGCAACAAATAACAAATACCGAGGGGAGTAGAAGGTGATCATTCAAAACAATAAATATTTTATTCTTGATTGAAGTGAAAATGCCGACAATAAACTTTAAAACAGCTTTTTTATCACTGATATCAGTAGCTGTTTCAGGTTTTGGTAAGTGAATATTTGTGTTATTTAATTATATTCAATATTATCAATTATTCTTCTATTTAAGGAATAAAAAGCTGCAAATTAATATGGTTTCTTGCTCTTATTTGGATATCTATTGTTATACAACTTTTTGGTGTCGTTGTTTACTCAAACCCCATCGCTTCAAACAAATTAAGGTATGCTGAATGAGTCCTCGACACCCTCCACTTTTAAATCTGTTAATCCTCATTTCTTTCAAGGGCTATGTATGATAAAACAATGGATATTTTTATTAAATTATTTTATTTACCCCTAGTCAATATGAATATTTTAAAGACTCATAAAAGTGATATTTCAATGTCTCTATATGCCTTCTCTTCTTTTATAATTTTAATACTCCATTCAATCAAAAATGTTCAAAGACAGTGCATGAACATAATAATTGTTATTCAAGTTTCAATTGCATTGTATTTAGCGTTTGTTTATGAATCAGAAAATTATTGGCTATTGCACCTGATATTTTTATACACAATTAATCATTTTACTCTGCCTTGGATCTCTGATAAATATTATGTACCTCGAATAGATTTATCAATTGTTTCATTATTATTTTTGAATGTATTTTTAATAAATTCTTCTTTCTGATAACAGAAATTTTTTGTATCATTGCAAGGTAGTTGTCAGTATGACAGCGACATGAATCAGCTTACATTTTCAGAAACATTCACAGTGTGAGAAATAATAAAAAGTTCGTCGAAAATAAGCATTGCGCGTGAGCAACGAACGAAGAAGAAACGAAGAAAACACAATAAAAAAACGCGGCTTAAATATATTTTTTCTCATTTCTTCTTTTCAGTTGCATTCGTGAGTTAGCTCATACATATAGGATTATCAAAAAATTTAAATCTCAGCCGAAATAAAATTGATATTAAGGTAAAAATCTGCTTAAAAATTATTTAACAACGAAGAATCTTGTGAAAATATAAAAATTTTATGTGTATAAAAGTTCAACAATAGAAAATATCTCACTATTCACATAGTTCACATTAAAATGACATCATCGAAAAACCATTTGTTTCTTTTTCTCATAATATTACTTCCATGAAAGTGAAAAAGTTTCAAGATTTAATTTCTAAATTTATTAGATGCAAGTTTTCTTAAACTTCTCGTGATGAATAAATAAAAGAAGAATCAATGATCGTTTGCATTTTTCAATAATAATTAAACGAATGTTGGAAATGAGTAATATCTATTTTTAGAACTCTTTATTGCAATGCTTCGCTGAATAGAGATGGACAACACCCACTAGTATTAATACTCGATTTTCTTTTCTCACTTTCGCCTAAAGTCTCGTGTTTCTTCATTGACTGAAAAGCATACATTTTATGTTATAAATGTTACTTTTAAATACCTATTAATATTTCCCAACAGTCACCATGAGTCACGCCGTTACTATTACTCGTACAACAACAACTACCACCAGCACATCTGCAGTAATATTGAATACTGGCTACCTTAAGACAGTGCCTGGACTCTTAAAATTGTCCCAACTGGTAAATCTTATGTTTATCATTGATGAAATTATTAACTGAAATTATTTTTCTATTTAGATTATTGGAGGGTTTATTACCTTCTTTTTCGCATGGCATTTCCGGTCATACTATCAATACATGACATCTCATCTTTTCTTCCTTTGCATCGCAACAGCATTTTTCATAGGCACTTTTTGTCTTCTAGCTTCGTGCCTTGTATCGTTATCAACAGGTAATGTTTTACAAAAATACAACAAATAATGAAGTCATTAATGTTATTTGACAATGCTGCCAATCAACAGGTGGAATAATTTCGAAAACTATTTACGAGTTGGTTTATCATGCAGTTGCATTTATATTGTACTTGGCTGCATCGGCATGGCTAATGTCGAATACAAGATACAATGATTTATCTCATCCACCGTTTCTTTGTGCTGTAAGTTAATTGAATTCACTTTTATGATTAAAATATTTCCTAATAATATTTTTCAATTGCTATCTAGGTCCTTGGATTGATATTGTCTATTTTATACTTGATCAGTGCAGTTTATGCACAACGCTCTTACCGTGGAATTTAAATTCTCATCATGCATCAGCATACTTAAGCAGAAATCATCTCATGATGATCTGAATAATAAAAACTCGAGTAACTTACAAAAGCAGTCAATTTTTATTATATAACTTTATCCATAACAGAACGTGACTTAATTCTTTCATATTTTGGTTACCAGCTTTTAAAGAATTATATTTTTTAACCAATTTAACATCTTTTTTATAAACATTATTTTTATATTAATAATTAACAATAAAATCTAAAAGAACATAGAAAATTATGAACAACAATGTAAATCAATGTTGAAAAATAAAACTTTGTGTTTCACAGTTTAGTCGATGTTATGTAAAAGAAAATATTCAATTTGAGTTATCAAATTTGTATTGAAGGTAAAGGTAATAAGAAGAACTTGCATAAGCAAGGCAATTCACCAGTCCGAAAAATCCGGCTATTGTATTAGCTCCAGCATTTCTCTCATTACTTCCTACCCATGTTGCCATTTGCATGATGAAAGCTGCAGCATACAACATTGTAGCAATTACTACATTCACAAATTCCTGCAAAGTTTTGTGTCAATTGAATTAGAAGAAAAAAAGGTTTGAAATATTTACACTAAGAATCCAATTGATAGGTAAAAATAAAACGTCTTTGATTCCCAAAAAGTAGACAAATGACCATAACACAGTTCCAATAAAATTGATGATAACGACAAACAAAAAGAAATGAGATACGCCTTTATATGCCGGACTTGCTAGAGCCATGCAAATGATTGCAATAAACTAAAATATAGAATAAAAATAAAATATTTTACTTTTAATTTTATGTAGAAATTGTCTGACTAAAAGTAAAATGATTATATGGGTCCATGCAAATCTTCCAAATAAGTGCAGTTAAATGAACACACATTAACAGCAACAGCTGATCAAATTAAACACGTTATAACTAGATAATTTTTCTGCGTAGATATTTTTATTTACATAATCGAATAGAACAGAATTCGAGAAGATTGTAGGTGTGCCTAAGTAGGTGTCTTTAGAAACGAGAGATGGAAATGCAATTTGAAACTTAAAAACGTCTTCTTAACACGACCTTGAAATTATAGATTGTTGACAACATTATTTAACAAGCCTATGATATTATATTTGACCACATTAAAAGCCATATGGCAGTATTTACCAGTTGAAAAAGTTTCAAAAGTCCGTCTCTATTTTTAAAGTAGTCTACATTAAATTTAATCCAGCTGAGATTTTCTGCGCCAGCATTGCCATTCGGTTGACCATTCGGATAATGACCCATATTAACTACTGTTTCACCCATTTTTAAAGTTCACGACAATATTTTTTAATAAGAAGTATGAGGCCTATTAATAAACTTGTTCTCACTAAAGACGCAAACATGCAACTAATATCTGGCTTAAGAAAGTGTTGAATCAACGAAAAAAAATTGAGAGTATTTCATTTAAGAGGGGGAATAAATTCCAATGAAGCTGAAAATGGACCTCAATTCATATTTTTACTTTATGTTTAAAATTCTTAATTTAATTTAATTATTGCCAAATGAATTTTGTTTGAAACTTAACCAGAAATGGTATTAACTAATGAAGAAATAGTAATAATTCTCAATGATCAAATTTTTAGTTTAATTTTTATTGTTTACATTTGAAATTTCCGCATTTTTCGTCATTGTGCTTTCCTATATCTGCCATCAATGTTAAACCCCTCATGTCATAAGCGACGTACCCTTCCTTTTAGAATTCACTTCTCGAGAAACTCTACCACGTTCAAAAAAGTAATTTATTCCAAGCTTTAATCAGTGATTTCACAAACTAACTTACCTGACTTTTCATGCTGGCTCATTTCCTGTTTCCAAAAGCATGAAAAGTTGGCGTAAAATACAATTTTTGGCAAATAAACAATAATTTTTTATAAATGAAATTTTTATTATCTCTGATGTTGTTTATTAAAATTTTTAAGAATTCTACGAACTTTTGAAAAACATTAAGGGCATGCCTAAAATAAGTGGACTATTTCCAAGCCATTTTATTATGAAGATCTATGATATTGGAAACTTAAATAAGAAATATTTAATAGTGGAATGTTGTGAGAGTTCTAACCTCATTTTCTCTTCTCATTTTTAGGATGGTTCGAGTAAGCGTTCTGGCCGATGCATTGAAATGCATCAATAATGCCGAAAAACGAGGAAAACGTCAGGTTCTCATCAGACCCAATTCAAAGGTCGTCATTAAATTCCTTACAGTAATGATGCGTCATGGATACATTGGTGAATTTGAAGTTGTTGATGATCACCGAGCTGGAAAGGTTGTTGTAAACCTTACTGGTAGATTAAACAAAGCTGGTATCATTAGCCCTCGTTTCGATGTTCCAATCTTAGATATTGAGAAATGGACCAACACACTTTTGCCGTCCCGTCAGTTCGGGTAAGTTTAAATTATTTGATTTTTTTACGCGAACAATAATTAAAAATTGTTTAAATTTCAGCTATGTTGTACTCACGACAAGTGGAGGAATCATGGATCATGAAGAAGCTCGACGAAAACATTTGGGTGGAAAAATTCTGGGATATTTCTTCTAAGTGTAAATCTGCATCCAGCATAAGAAATATTCAATAAAAGATCAGTTGAAAAAAATGAATTTGTGATGAGTTTATTTTAATTGAAGGATAGAAAGTGTTCATATTTTCAGGTTTCTCTACTACAGGCAATTGCAAAAGATGAAATAATTTTAGATGGTTTTAATGGATGTGATCGCGTGTTTAACTGGTTTGTCAATTAAAACTTTGTGCTCCGATGTCATTTTGATTTTAAACATTAAATAAACATTAAAATCTTGAAAAGCTCCCTCATTACAGAAAGCTTATGTAAATAAAACTGATTCATCTTTCAGTTAAATCGTTGAATCATTAATTAATAATTAATTCATACATTAATCCTTTGGTCAGTCTTCTTTGAATGTAGTTGAATGATCTACGAAAACTTTCAACTGATTTTTCTAAATTGTGAAATTTCATGAATTAGGTATTTGAGATCACAAAAATGCAAATTTGTGAATATTTTAATGTTAAATGACATTAATACAGTTTCTTCTCACAAATAATTCAAAGTCAAATAAATATTCTTGTGCAATGGTAACAAGCTCGAGCTTTCAACGTTCATGTTGCATGTATTGTAAAAATCTAGTACAAAAGTTTGCGTAAACGCTTCACTCTTGGTAGTGAGTCAGTCTATTACAAGCAATTGAATGTGTCGGGTCGGTTTTGTCATTTCGTCGAGGAAATAAACATTTAGTGATCATGAATTAATAAAAAGTGTTCTAATGAGATATCGTTTAGGAAAGAATTGAAGAAATAATAATAAATTCACTCAAATGCAATAATTTTAGAATAAAAATGATGTTAAGTTTAAGGAATTTCCTTTCTTAAATGGCTTCAGGTGTGTTTGTTTGTACGTTAATTTCATTAAGTTGAACACAGAAACGTTGGTTAGTTATGTGTTGGTAAAACAGCATTGGAGTTGTTAATAAATATCTGTGCTGTGGTTTGTCTTTAGAAGAAAAAATGTTTCAAAGAAATTTATTGTTTTCAAACAAAAATATTTTTTTGCATTGAATGAATTCACTTCATTCTCAACTGAGTGTATCAAATCTTGTGTAAATAATTGAATCAAGGAAAAGAAGTTGAATAATAATAGAAATGATCCGATAACATTTTCATTTAAATTAATAAATCAGTTATGAAAGCAATTTAACAACTAATCACATGAATTCGAAATCGTAGATGAAAGTGTAACAAAATAGTTCAAAGATTAATACTTAAAAGATCATAATGCTTATGCTTAGTGGAATATTCATGAAACATAAAAGTCGTTTTGGATTAGAACGAATGAAGTTATCAAATGTGGGAATTATTTTTCTCTTTTTAACTTCATTCCTTCATTGTATATGTGCGACAGGTAAGTGAATTCTTTTATCGTGTAAGAATTGATCTCGTCTTCTTTCTCTCGAACGAACATCATTATAAAAGACAAAAACGAAAGAAAGAATATTCTCAAAATTATTTTCCAAAGGTCATTGTTAAACATGTGAATTTTTCTTGAATTGTTCAAAAATAATTTTTATGCTCCAAATATTTCTGAAAGCGTTGATGTGTTTTTTAACCCATGATTTGTATCAGAAAATATTTATTTCATGTTACTAGGTTGCACTTTAAATATTACCAAATTTATTACATGTAGTTGTTTTATTTTTGCATTATAAAAATATTACATGAATGTGTGGAATCGATTTCAATTTTAATTATGAGACGTGTGAACCGGCTTCGATTATCTTTACTAACAATTTTTTTGTTTTTTGAGCATTAGCTTTCTTTCTCTGTAACGTAAACTGAAACTTGATGTATTAACAATGAAGAATAGATAGTAACATGAAGGTTCTAAGTTTTAAGGCCTCGCCAAAACCGGTTTCCGGAGAGTAAGCTACTTTCTTGAAATTTAACTCTCATTCTAATAGTATTGGTGTTTATTGCTATCCCTAAATTTATGTGTACTTACTACATGCATATGGTGCAGACTGTGCAGGATATGTCATTTCTCAACGTTTATTGAATTGTTTTAATGCTAAGCAGATGTAGCGATTTATTAATAGATCGAATAAGAAGCCTGATAAGTGTTAAATGGGGAGACTCTAATAAACATTCATTACTCATCGAAAGAAGTTAATTAATGGACAGGAGGGAAGACAAGCTCTGATCAATAAATAGTGTTGACTTTGCAAGATGTTCATTTTCCATAATGTGCTTCTAGACACGATTATCAACCATCTCTATAAAATTTTTCCTGGATTTCCGACAAATAAATAAATATGTAATGCGCTTGTTATGTTGAAGATGTACTACCAACTTCAAATGTGCAGTACAGTGTAATATTTTTAGATTTAAAAGATACGTTTGTTTAAACACGCATTGCAGCTGTAGGGAAATTTTAAAGATTTCCTCATTCCAGTGAAGAAAAAAACCTTCTCGTTAGTAGATTTATTTTCTTAACAGCATCAATTGAGATTGATTTCATAAAAGCACATCTTTTGTCTGTTTTGTGTATTATTGAAGCACCAAGTTTCTGAATTTTTAGTGTAATACGTGAATATCTTTCTCTTGTTAGTTTCTCAATGATACTAAGCTTGCAACATGATGATAAATACGAACATATCAGTTTAAAATTGTATTCAATTATGAATGTAAGACTCAAGTTGCTCCAAATACTTTTTTCATTAATGAACCTTTTAAACCAGGGTTGTTAAATAATAAAACTTTTCATTCTCTAACAAACATTCGAAAGTTCTGAAAGATTACATATTTCGAAATGTTTGTCTTGTTATTTAATAAACAATCAATTTCAAGTAATAAAAACTTTTTTATTTTCACTTAAACACATCTGTAATGAATTAAAATTTCTACATGCATACACATATTTGGGTGACCTTTGACAATTTGCCACAAACTCTCGTTAATAATTTAAATACCTTTTATTAAATTATTTTTAATCAGCGTTTCGTATTCTGCAGAGCGTCTGCCCACATAATCTTTATTATTAAGGGATGTTTAACTTTTACTCATATGTTGAAGTTATAAAAGAGATTTAATGGTGGGAATTGTTTAGTAACGTTGGTTGTTATTGCGGTTTTCCATTCAATGATTTTTATCTACCCAAAACACCAAAGCATAAAATTTAAACTATTAATAACTTTTATGATCTTTCAGAGTGAAATTTAATTTATTCTGATATATTATTCATGTAACATAATCAATTCTATTAACTAGAAAATGAACCCGTCCAAGCACCAGTTTTTGTTGAACAACCGTCGACTTCGTCTTCGATTGTTGCCGAAGGAAGAACAAAGTTTCTTCAATGCAAAGCGAAAGGTAAAGAAGAAATATAGAGAAATGAGTTATCGTAATTGTAAACATCAAAATGGAATTTAAAATATTTCAGCTTCACCGCACGCTCAGTACAAATGGATGAAAGACGGCGAGCCGTTGTCAGATTACAAAGATGCCGTTATTTACAAAATTTCGAATGCAGCTAAAAATGATTCAGGATCCTATCAGTGTCTGGCTCATAACATCGCTGGGACGATCTTCAGTGAAAAGAGTGAAGTTATTGTAGCATGTATGTCACTCACAACAATGATAACGTAAACAACTTTTACGAGTCTAACGAATGTTTTTTTACTTTATCTAGATATGGGAGGATTTAAGAGTATGAGAGAAAACATTCTGCATGTAAAATCTGGTCATGAAGTTATATTAAATTTGACTGATATTGACTCGGTGCCTTTGCCGTCTGTTGCATGGGAAACAAAAAAAGGTCCCATCAAAAATGGATTGAAATACTTTTTAACATCAAAGAATCAGTTGGTGATCTTATCAGTTGACGATGAAGAAAACGGCGTTGGATTTAGAGCGAAGGCAACAAACACACAAATTGGAAAAGAAGAAACAAGTGCTTTGACTTATCTGAATGTAACTGGAGATGCTTATTCGGAGATCGCTCCAGAGATTGTGATTCCATTAATGAACCAAAAAATAATAAAAGGAAAGTCCATTGAGTTTGAATGCATTGCGAATGCAAGACCGCTTTATGAAATTGAAACTCATTGGTATAAAGATGATGTGCCGATTGAAGAGACTGAGATTGTTTATGCACTTGAATGGTGGAATCGTACGTTAGTATTATTATCTGTCGACTTAAGTTACAAAGGCGAATACGAGTGTCGAGTTTATATGAAGACTGGTGGATATAATGCAAAGTCATCAAAAGCTGTTTTAACTATCTTAGAACCACCGCAATTTAAGTCACTGATACAAACAGAATTAACCGCTGAATATTCAGCGAGGCTAGAAATTCCTTGTGATGTTACTGGATATCCTGAACCATTCGTTACTTGGTTTAGAAATGCCGAAGCGATTGATCTCTCATCGAATGTTTACAAGAAGAGACACGATAATACTTTGATAATTGAGAAGATAAGCATCGAAGATTCAGGAGTTTTTCAATGTTTAGCATCGAATGAAGCTGGAGAAAAATCGTCTTATTCATGGATCAAAGTTAAAAGTAAGTTGGATGAATGGCCAATTGGTAGGCACGTCAAAAAAAACTCCACAAAAGATTCAAATTTACATCACATTTCTTATGTCTATTTAGCATCTTTAAAATTTTTCTTTCATTCTACAGACAAGAAGAATCAAGACAATTTAAAACTTAATAATTTATTGAGAAACTCTAAAGCTTTGTCAGAGATTTTTATACGAGAAAAACGATTAGCGCAACCAAGAATTATTTCAGGCGACTTCTCGTCAAGTTTATCTGAAATAGTTGTGCAAAACTGTAAGCAATAATTTCGATTTTCATATCAGCACGTTTGCTGCACAATTCCATGTAAATTTCAACTTTCAATTGTAAAAATTTCTTCACAAACTTTAAAGCCTGGGAGAGTTACATTAATTTGATTTTATTTGATAGAATATGAGACTTTACACCATGTATTTATGCACTTGATCTTCTTTTTTTTAGTGGGATGAATTGAGTAGTTAAGGTTCATTACATTGAAATATTTGTTCATTGTGTTTTATTTCACACTTCACTTTTATACAAATATCACAAGTTTTCTATTTTCTTTTGAGTTTATTCAAATTATTCAATGAAATGTAATCTTTCTTAGCGTCATCACCGGTAATGGAAGTTTTTCCACAAAACATAACATCGTTAGATGGCAAAGATGTCACATTTAATTGTCGAGCATTAGGTGCACCACTTCCGAACGTGACCTGGATTTTCAATGGTAAATTAACATTTTCAACTGAGAGAGTTTTGTATAATTAATCATTGCTTATTTTCCCATCAGATACTGAAGTTATAGAACCATCGAATCGATTTCAAATATTTGCTGATGGCGATCTTGTAATTTCAAATATTCAAGAAAAAGATTCTGGCGTCTACAAATGCATTCGATCAAATGAAGCTGGATCAGTGTCTGGTGAAGCATTTTTGGGAGTTTTAGGTAGTTAATATTTAAAGTGTAATTAAACAAAGTTTTGATAAATTTTATAAAAATTCTCAGTTCGAACTCACATCACGCAACCACCAGTGGATACAACAGTTCTTCTAGGATTGACAGCTTCATTGCAATGCAAAGTATCGAGTGATCAAAATGTTCAACATACAATTCAATGGTTCCGTGAAGAGCAGTAAGTCTTTAAAATGATTAATAATTCTACAAAAAATAATCAAAAAATTTCTTCACAGATCCAATCCGATCAAGAACAGTCAAAGAATTCAAATGAATGACGATGGAACTTTAGAAATTTCAGCTGTTCGTGCATCTGATGTTGGCGTTTACACTTGCATGGTAAAAACTTTTCAACATTAAATTGGAATGAAAATTGAATTAAATTTAACTTTCCAGGTCTCATCTCTTGCTGGTAATGAAACACGTTCTGCGAAATTGAGTGTTGTTGAACTTCCATTTGCACCATCAAATGTTAAAGCGCAAAGATTGAACGAACCTAATCAAAGAACAGTAAAAGTCTCTTGGACGCCTGGATTTGATGGCAACAGTCCAATAATCAAATATATTGTGCAACGTCGTGAAGTGTCAGAAATTGAAATTTCAGGTCCATTGCCTGATAATTTACAAAATTGGGTGACTGAGTTGAGCAATATTTCGGCAAATCAAGCATCAGTTTTAATCAAAAGTTTAAAAGCTGCCACAAGATATCAATTCAGAGTCAGTGCTGTTAATCGTGTTGGCGAAGGTTATCCATCAGAATCAAGCAACACAATTTCATTACCACATGAAGGTGAGTTGAATAACTTTAATTAATTTATTAACTTAATAATTTAAATCTTTCACAGCACCATCTGGACCTCCAATAAGTTTCATGGGTTCAGCACGTTCATCATCAGAAATCATCGCTCAATGGCAACCGCCTTTAGAAGAACATAGAAATGGACAAATCTTGGGATATATTTTACGATATAAACTTAATGGCTACAAGGAGAGTCCATGGACTTATATGAATATAACAAATGAAGCGCAAAGAAATTATTTGATTCAAGATTTGATAACATGGAAAGATTATATTGTACAAATTGCTGCTTACAACAACATGGGCGTTGGTGTTTACACAGATGGAACGAGAATCAAGACTAAAGAAGGCGTTCCAGAAGCTCCACCGTCAGAGGTTAAAGTTAAAGTTTTTAATTCAACTGCTGTCACAATTCATTGGAAGCCACCAAATCCCCAACAAATCAATGGCATCAATCAAGGTTACAAGATACAAGCAACTCGTCGTGTAATCGATAACAACGGATCGTTACAAGAAATTGAAGTTTTGACAATGAAAGTTCCACCGAACTTGATAAATCCACTTGCAGAACAAAATTGCACTTTGGGATCATTGAAGAAGTTTACTTTTTACAACATAACGGTTTTGTGCTTTACACATCCTGGTGATGGCATTCCAAGCAATCCAATTCTAGTTCAAACTGAAGAAGATGTTCCTGATGAAGTTTCATCGTTGCAATTTGTTGGTGTGTCGGATCGTGAATTGACAATTAAATGGACGGAACCAATTGATAAAAATGGCATTCTTACTGGTTATCAAGTGAAATATCGAATGAAAGATTCATCTGACATTAAAGTTGTCAACTTAACAGCACATGAAATGAATTTACATGTGACACAATTGAAAGCGTTGACACATTATTGGTTTGAAGTTATTGCGTGGACATCGAAAGGTCCTGGAAAGCCTAAAACAGCAACAATTCAATCAGGAATTGAACCTGTTCTTCCTGAACCACCAATAACCTTAGCATTGTCGAATATCGAAGCGTTCTCAGTCGTCATTCAATTCACTCCTGGATTTGATGGAAATTCATCGATAACGAAATGGATTGTCGAAGGTCAAACAGCGAGAAATGATTTGTGGTATAAAATATTTGAAGTCTCTGATCCTGAAGCATCGACATTGACCGTCACTGAATTATCACCTTACACTCAATATAAATTGAGAATCATCGCCAGAAACATTGTTGGCGAAAGTGAACCGTCTGAAGCGACAAAAGATTTCCAAACACTTCAAGCGAAGCCGAAACATGCGCCATTCAATGTCACTGTGCGAGCTATGAGTTCATCTGAGCTTAGAGTTCGATGGATTCCTTTACAACAAGCTGAATGGTTTGGAAATCCAAAAGGTTACAACATCAGTTATCGTTTGATTGACGAGATCAACAAAACGAATGAAGCTGTTCATGTTTTAATCGAAGATCCGACGTCAAATTCTTACGTTCTTAAAGGTCTTGAGGAGTGGTCACTTTATGAGATTGTCGTGTCCGCTTGCAATGAAGTTGGACAATCAATTGAAAGTCCACCAGCACTTGAAAGAACTCGTGAAGCTGTTCCTTCTTCAGGTCCTGTTTATGTTGAAGCAAATGCAACATCATCAACGACAATCGTCGTGAAATGGAGTGAAGTGCCCAAGAAAGCACAAAATGGTCAAATTGAAGGTTTTAAAGTTTTCTATGGAGCTCCTGGAACTGGCATTCCCGTTCTGCAAAAGACGATTGGAAATAATAAAACTTTTACAACAACTTTAACTGAATTAAAGAAATTTGTCATTTATCACATTCAAGTTCTTGCTTACACAAGACTTGGCGATGGTGCGCTGAGCATGCCGCCAATTAGAACACAAACATTTGAAGACACGCCTGGAATTCCTTCCAATGTTAGTTTTCCTGACGTTTCATTCACAACTGGTGAGAAACAAAAAAAATATTTAATTAAATTATTAAAATCTTATCTCATTTTAATTTAGCTCGAATAATTTGGGACGTTCCTGAAGAGAGTAACGGAGAGATTTTAGCATATAAAGTAACTTACTCTCTAAATGATTCCAACAAACTTGACTACAGTCGCGAATTTTCGCCATTGGATCGAACTTATCGAGCTTCAAATCTATTAGCGGAACATTTTTACAAGTAAGTCGGATATGAAATTGTTAAATATTTTCAGATATTAATTCATTAATTGTCGATCAGATTTACTGTCACGGCTCAAACTCGTATCGGTTGGGGAAAAACTGCGAATGTTTTAGTGTTCACCACGAATAATCGTGAAATTCCGCAAGCACCGTCTGTGCCTCAAATTAGTCGCAGTCAAATACAATCTCAACAAATCACTTTCAATTGGACACCGGGGCGTGATGGATTTGCACCGTTGCGTTATTACACGGTTCAATTGAGAGAAAATGAAGGAAATTGGATAACTTTGTCTGAACGAATCGATCCGAATAGCAATTCATACACAGCTACAAACCTTAAGCCTTACACACTTTATCAGTTTAGAATCAGAGCAATTAACGATATTGGAGCTTCGCAATATAGCAGAGAAAGTGTCGATGTGAGAACATTACCAGCTGCCCCAGCATTTCCAATCACCGGCTTAAAAGTTGTTCCAATTACAACATCAAGCGTTCGAATCGAATGGGTGCCATTAAAGAAGAATCTTTGGAATGGAGATTCTGATGGTGGTTATCGCGTTGTTTATCAACCGATCGATGATTTTGGATCGAAAATTCTTGCAGATGTTCCTAAATTTGACATTACTGGCATTGATCAGAAGGGCGCAGTGTTGAAAGATCTCACACAAGATCAAAACTATGAGATTGTTGTTTATCCATTTAATTCTCAAGGTTTAGGACCACCAAGTTCACCTCCAGTTGCTGTTTATGTTGGTGAAGCTGGTAAGAAAATTCTTCTTTTTGTGATTTTCTTTACTAATAAAAAATTTCTCCTAATTTCAGTTCCAACTGGCGAACCACAAGATTTTGAAGGTGCTGCTGTGTCATCAACTGAAGTACGATTGAAATGGAAGGCACCGACATTTGCAGCACAGAATGGCGATCTTTTAGGCTATAAAATATTTTATTTGGTGACTGCTTCGCCGCAGCCATTTGAAGATGGTTACAAGTTAGAAGAAGAAACTGAAGTTGTCCCAGCTTCATACAATTCTCATAGTTTGGTGTTCTTGGATAAATATACTGAATATCAAATTCAAATATTAGCATTCAATCCGGCTGGTGATGGTCCGCGATCGAAGAAGATTACAGTTAGGACACTCCAAGGACTTCCAAGTGCACCACTCAACTTAACTTTCCTCGAGATCACAATGAACAGTTTACGAGTTTCATGGCAACCACCAAAATATAGAAACGGTGAAATTACTGGCTACATTGTGACATATGAAACAACAAAAGATGATGAAAAGTTTAGCAAACAAGTTAAGCAGAAAGTTACAAACACAAATCTTGACATTCACAATTTGGAGGAAGAAGTCGCGTAAGTCAAGAAATTTAATTTCATTTATAGGAAGTTTTTCAATTTCTTTCTTCTAGTTACACGTTCACTGTCAGAGCACAAACGACAGACTATGGTCCACCAGCTATAGGAAACATCACAACTGGACCTCAAGATGGAAGTCCAATAAATCCTAAAGATTTAACGCTTTCCAAAAATGTTGCATTTATTGAGCTTCATTGGCTTAATGGACCATCAGGGAAAGGTCCAATCCTTGGATATTATTTCGAATCGAAGAAAAGAGGTGAATTCTAATTGTTTAATATTCATTCCAAGATTTCCATTTAAATATTTTTTTTAATTTTCTAAAAGATGACACAAAATGGCAAGTTGTTGCAAAGTCAAGCAATGGACCGATTCAAGATTTTACAATAAGCTTCCAAACTCTACTGCCATCGACTGTTTATACTTTCCGAGTTAGTTCATACAACAAATACGGAATATCTTATCCAGTGTATTCAGAAGAACCAGTTTTAACTCCATCAAAATTGTATCTTGAGTACGGTTACTTGCAACAAACGCCTTTCTATCGACAACCTTGGTTCAGCATGTCAGTGGCGTGTATCGGAACAATTACAATAATTATGATAACTGCAGTTCTTTGTGTGAAGAGCAAAAGTTATAAATACAAACGTGAGAAATTTTATTCATTTAATTTTTATTTCTTGATCATTAAATCATTTTTATGAATGCAGAAGAAGCACAGAAAACGTTGGAAGAGTCGATGGCGATGTCAATTGACGAGAGACAAGAACTTGCTTTGGAACTTTATCGATCACGTCATGGACTTTCGAGTACAACAGCTTTGAATCCCACTGGGACTATTGGACGTAGTAAGACGGGAACAAACAATAAAAAGTCGAGTAGTTCATCGGCTACTTTGGGCAAGTCGCCCCCACGGCCATCACCTGCTTCAGTTGCTTATCATAGTGACGAAGAGAGTTTGAAATGTTACGATGAGAATCCAGACGATAGCAGTGTCACTGAGAAACCATCAGAAGTCAGTTCTTCAGACTCACAGGTAATTTTTTGTTGCTTTAATGCGGTAATAATTTTAATTCGTTTTTTTTGTTTCTGAAGCAATCGGAGAGTGAAAATGAAAGTGTTCGCTCTGATGGAACATCATTCGTGAATCATTATGCTAATATTAACAATACATTAAGGCAGTCATGGAAACGACAAAAGCCAATGAGAAATTATTCCAGTTATACAGACTCCGAGCCTGAAGGTTCTACGCAAATAAATCTGAATGGTGGTCAAATAATTATGAATAATATGGCAAGAAGTAGAGCACCACTGCCAGGTTTTTCATCTTTTGTTTAATATTTTTTCAGTATTTTGTGATAATAATTGTAAGCTGTGTTGTCCAGTGTATGTTCAATGTCGTTAATAATTGTAAATATTTATGCAGTTCTTGCATTTTGATAGCTTTTAATCTTAAGTTTGTTCAGTTAAGATTTGAATGCTTTCGATCATTTCGCATGTTTCGAACAAAAACCGCATGTATTCATCGCATGTGAAAACATGCGATTAAGCATAAAGTTCAATGAAACTTAAACTTCTTATGTTTAGATACTTAAAACACGAACATTGTTTGTTCGAGTCACCAAAAATTCATCTTTTCTAATAAATGTTTAGAAATTCTCTTATTTTATTATTTAAGTAGTAACATATTTCATAGCATTTAAACAAATTAATTTATGTAAAAAGCCTCCATGATTTCAAAAGAAAAAAATTGTATTCAAGAAAAAAGACTTAATAGCCTTAAGCTCATTGAAAATTAAATTTTTAAAAATCATTTCTCTAAGTTTTAGAAAAAACTAAAGTTTATAAGAATGCATTTAGGAAACAATTTAAAATGTAACTAAAAATATCTATAATGAAATAAAAGGAAAACATTAAAAATTTTATTATCTTGTTTGAGGTAGGGATTGTTAAGTAGGATAAGCTTGACTTATCAAAGACTATGTAGCCTGAAAGCTGTTGAAACGATGTTCACCCTGCATATATTCTAAAAATTTTTGGTTAGTTATTTTAAGCTCGGTCGTTATTTTATTTACAGGAACTACAACTTATAGATTATTTTATTTCTTATGTTATCTATTAATTTTATATTTACTCAATTATTGGTTCTAAACTTAATTAATGTGCAAAAAGTTAATGCTCAATTTGATTCAATTAATGGACGATCAGCACAGATTCTTAAAACTCATCTTGCTACTCTTTGAAAATTGTATCATAGAAATCTATCATCTTTTTACACAACATATTACATTTAGAAATATCATTCTCGAAGAAATCACTATTGGAAGGGTCAAAGCTGGATGAAAAGATGCAAAGACCCCAGCAGATTGCAATATTTCCCGAATTCATCAAATTATCTTCACTGAACTGCTCAACTCTGAAATGGAAAAATGATTTAGTGAGAATTTTGATTTTGTGTACTGATTAGATTTGAATTTTTACTTCTTAAGATGAGCCATTAAGTATTTAAGAGTTTCATAATTACAAGCCGGCATTTCCTTCAAGTATAAACAAATTTGATCCAAGGTGACGTTTCCTAAGTAAAAATATTCCAACATGATTGAAAGTAAAGATTTTTAATAGTTTTAAAATAAACTCACCGTTAGTACATGAACGAAAAACTTGAGGTGACATTAATGGTGGAGTGAGTTCACGGAAAAACATTTTCAATACTCCTGCAATGCTATGAACATCTTGATTCTTCAAAAGACTTGTCATTGATTCTTTCTTTGATAACTTCTTATCGTTCATTTTCTTTTTGAGAGCTTCGATCACAGTTTTATTACCTGATACACGATAAAGTCCCGGTGTCTTTAAATTGATGTCGTTTTCTAGAATTTGAACACACTCGACGACTATCCTAGGAATAACTTTTGATTTTGAATCTTTCTCGACAGTTTCCAGGTCAGGTCCAAAAGATTCATCATCACTTTCCTTCGGGGTGTCTTGATTGTTCACTTTTAGATTTCGACTAGGGCTTGGAGTTTTACTTGATTTTAATTTAAACTTTCTTAATTTGTTTCTGAACCCTTCTCTTTCTTTTTTTGGTTCTTCAATTTGTTCAGAAGATTCAGGAATTGATGTTTCTCCTTCATTTATGTTTCTGTAGTTTCCTGGGATGGGCTTGTCCGTTGCAGTTTCTTTCGTGCTAGAAATTAAAATTTCATTGAATGTATTGAAAGGTTTTTTAAATAAAATATTCTTACTTCAACTCATAACTTCCATCTTGAAGAAAAAAAAACATAAAATTAAAAATAAATCATAAAGTTTTCAATTTAAATCTTTATCATACTTGACATTGAAATTATTTTGCTTTTCGGAGGCGATTCGTCTTTTGATTCCAAACTGTCTAAAGATTTGTTCGAATCTTTGTATTCTGCATGAACAAGCTTACCAAACGTTAATTCAGTTTCTGACATAATCTAATAAGAAATTAAGCTTAATTAATCATAATTAATCAGTGAATGAATTTATTACCATCGATTCTTCGTCGTCAATATAATTTGGATGTTTCAACAATGTTATCCAATCTTTTACTGAATTAAATTCATTATTAAAGTTGAATTCTTTTGACTGATATTTCGTTTCTGTTGGAGTAGAATCTAACACTTCAGTTTCATTTTTTGTAGGAGCAACAGTTTCACTTTTTATCTCTGATTTATAATCATAAATAATTTTATTCAACTCGGGATTTTCTTCACTGTACAGAATGCAAACAGATTTGTACATATTTTTATCCAATTCCACTAAACTTTGGTGCTTCGAACTTATGAACGAAAATTCTGAATCAACTTCCCAACCTTCGTAATCAGATTTTATTGATTCCAAAGATGCATAAATTTCATCACGTGTACTTATGTTATTACAATCAGTTCTCCACTTCCAAATTGGTTGATAAATATTCTCTTCCAATGTATTGGTTTGTTCAACAACTTGATTAATGTCATTTAAGAATGTCTTTTCATTGCTTTCTATGGCCTTTTTTTTATTTCTGCGATATTTATCAGAGAATTTATTATTGCACAAGATCACTTCTAATGTTTTCTGTAATCCAAGACTAGCAGCATTTTCTGAATGTGGAAACTTTCGTCGATTTGAAGCAAGCGAACGACAAAAAATTAGAATATCTTCGTTGTAACGTTGAAACGCTTGTGAATTTTCAAGCGCGAAAAAAGATTTTATACTTTCATTATAAGTTATCGTAAGTCTGTTTAAAGTGACTGATAAGATAAAAGTCTCGAGCTTTTGGAAGGTTCTGTTATCATTGGCTTTACATACAGTGGTGCTATAGGAATTTTCGTTGTTATTTTGTTGTCTAATGATGGATTTTTCCTTCGAATGAGACACATGTGGTTCATTCATTTTGTAAGTGGACGATTTCCTGAAGTATGCCGAGAAAATATCATTAAGAAAAATGTATAATCCACTCAAAATCTCATTTTCTGAGTCCCGATTCCATATCGCATCAAAACACTTGCTTAAAATTTCCAATTTGTATCTGTCTAAATCCGAATATGTCACGAAACGTGATTGTATTAACTTAAAAAAATCACTGTGTAAGTTTGTGCTTTGATAACACCTCACAGTTTCATGTTGACTTGGTATACATTTAGTAATCATAACTTCATCTGATTCATAATCTTCAGTGTTGTTTAAAAGAGCTTCAAGCCAATAACTTACGGAGTTTGTCTCAAATATTTCGTCATCGTCATCGTCATCGTCATCATCATAATGACTATTAAGATCGCCTTTGTTTTCGAAAGTTAAATTCTCGTAAATATTTTCTTCCTGACATTGACTAAGCGAACAAGAAGAATTATATTCATCGTCTTCTTCGCCCACTAAATAATTAAATTGTTTACGATTTTGTGAATCCGCTGATAACCATGTATTGTAATTGACCTGTTGATCTAATTGATCCGTTTTGGACTTTAACTTTCTTCGGTATTTATTAACAAAACTACTCCAACTTCGGTGCTTTTTCTCAGCTTTTAGAGAAATATTTTCATAAATATGTTCTTGACTTATCATAGATTCGTCGAACTTTAAGTTTTCATCAGAAAAGCAATTCTCACGACTACAATTCATTAAACGCGAATCAACACTAAAATCGTCTTTTAAAAGCGTTTCTCCGATGTCGTTTGTTGAGTGATTCATAGTATTCCAGTTATTAAATGTTTCCCTTCTTGAATAGTTCGATCATTCCACTCAAAAAGTTGTGATTCACTTGCTGTGATGCAACTATCTATACAAACGTCATCAAAACTTTAAATTGAATATTTAAAAATATTTAATCGCCTCAAGAGCTAAGCAAAATTATATTTTGAAAATGTAAATAATGTCAACATTATTTAATGTGACTTCTGTCGACGACGAATTGTATAAAACTGAGATGATTGATTTAGTTAGGAGCATAAAGCATCTCACTACGCCCTATCAAAAGCACTTGACCTCACCAATAAAAAGAAGAAAAATTACAAATTTAGAAGTCAACACATCACAGAACAGCGCACATTTCTACAGTTAATTAAATTTCTGTGTTTTCGCTTTTCAAAGACTGAATTTGTATTATCTTCAATTAAAAGCGTTCACAGTTATGAATGAGTATCATTCATGTGAGATTCACCAGAATTAAGAGATGTACATATTTATGCATACATAAAACGACTAACAACAAATCATGAAAATTATATTGCAGTTTCATAATCTCAAAACTTTTATGATGTTTCTTTTAAAATATTTTAAATTTTTAATGGCAAGATATTTGTAACTTGCTAATTGCGTGATTATTCTTGTCAAACATTTCATAAAATTTTATTCTTTCTAACGATTCTCTTCGCAGTTTAAATTATTTGCTACTTGGCTTTATGACATGATTTGTGATAATACTTTGGGAGGTCTAAATATTGTCAGTTGATAAGAGTTATTAAGTAAATAGCGAAATTTTATTGGTTCCAATAATTGGCTGTCATTGATCTAATCTCGATTAGTTTCTAATCCTAATCCTAATCTTCCTCTTATCCTAAACTTAATTAGAATTAAAAACAATAAATTGTTGAATTTAAATTTCATTTAAAGTTTCAATTTATTTAGTTTTGTAATAATTTTATCTATTACATTGTTTTAAAGAATGAGTTCAATTATGAAAAATTTTCACACCAAAACTTGGTATTAATTTGATCAATTACAATCAATGTTAAGTAGGTAAGATTACAAGAAAAAGCTTCTACTCATGACTCAAGATGTGCGTCAAATATAAGAAGTTGTATTAATAATAAATAACTACACTATTATTTCCTTAGACTTATTAATGTTTAAGTGTTTAGTGAAAATACCAACCAACATTTCTAATCATTAATAAACGAAATTGGCCTATAACGATGAGCAATCGTTGTTATCTTTCTCGTCTCTTCAACAAGTCTCATCATTCCATGAGATTAATATCTAACTAATCTGGATGGGATGTTATTGTTATTAATTATAATTAAAGATAGAAAGCTTTGGGAATCATAAAATAAAGAGTATCATTTTCAGAGTGGACTTGAGTCAGAGTCTCGATCTCTTATCGCTGTTTGAATTGAACATTGTAAGGCATTGGGTGTTAACCATTCTCTGTAATAAAAAAAGTAAAAATCATAATATTTGATTGATATTGCCGAATATAAAAATTTTATTTACTTTGGAAGACAACGCTGAAGAAATGGCACGCACGATGAAAATTGTGCAAGTCTATTTACCCAACTAGGAATTTCTTGTCCACAAAGTATTTGAGTCAAAGCAGATGAAAAGTGATTACAGTTGTTGTTCTATAAATTATATTGAAAGATGAATAAATTTGACAGAAAAGTTTCAGTAAAATATTCACCATCAGATGATATTTATCTCCACGAAATTGGTTTCCAATTTCTTCAACTATTCTTCTCACATCTTCTTCGGTAAACTCTGTGTATCCAATTTGAACACTTTGTCTGAAAAAAAAATAAAATTTGCGTTAAAAAAACAAAGAAATTAATCACACATTTCTTTCTACCTAAAGCGGAATTGTTCGCCTAGTTCATTATGTTCCCGAGGAGTTATTTCAAAGATTCCACTAAAAGCAAATGAGTGACCACCGTATGCAAACTCAGTATTATAGATTTCTACTCCAGAATGGTAAACTCCTATTCCCAAATTCGTCGTATAATCGTTAAGCCAATACTATGCAATGAAACATAAATTTTAGAATATTTGTATGTAGAAACATATTTTCTCATAAAGTTCACATAAAATGTATAGCAAACATATGGAACATGTTAATTTCAATATTAAGCCTTTGTGGATTAACTCACCATATCATACACATTCAGAATTACTGGCTCTCTATGATTCATGCTTGGAGATAACATTTCACTTTCGCTTCCACTATCTTTGGGAATAAGACAATGAAAATTACAGGAGTTTGTAAACATTTGATTGATCTATTTAGCTTTGTTAACAATATTTCAAATAGTGGCAGGATTAGGATTGGTTTGTGAAAAAGCACAAACTAAATGCAGTTAAGAGAACATAAAGAACTTCTGAGACAAACAGAATTTAATACTTTTTTTCATTCTTTTTTTCTTTAAACGAACAAATTTTTATTTCCGAAAGTTAGGTCACAATAATTTATATCTGAAGACTTTTGTTCGTATAAGTTCCTTGGTGACTCATTGTATGAATGGCTAACAATTAACTTCGAAATTTCGAAAACAAGAACCGATTCGACCGTTTTCTTTAAAATTAAAACTTTCGTTATTTTCCTTTCGAAATTTATTTTTTAAAAAGCTTTTTCAAAGTTTTTCTCAATTAATAGAAAGATTAAAGAGATAGCTAATTTTTAATTACTTTTGAGAAGAAACTCATTTGTAATAACATTCTCTCTAGCATATCCGCAAATATTTAAAAGAAATGTTTTAATAAGTTTTCGAGAAAGCAGCAAAATTGTAATCCAATGTCAAGGTAAGATAATACTTCTAAGCACAAACAATAGCGCACCAACGAAAAATATAAAAATGGAAATATTTACGATGATCATTGAAAGAAAACGAAAACAAAATTGAAATTGATGCTCATCAAAATCATTTCAGTTGAATTCAACTCGTTGACTTAATCGGATGGTTTTCTACTGAGTATCATCAATCAGGTGTAAAATAGTGAAAATTTCAAAAGTGTAGAAACTTTATTATTTGAACAAAGAGTAGAAATCGCTGATACTTGAGGCTTCCTACGTTAACCATCCGAAAAGTGTTTTAATAAAATATTTAGTTCTACTAAATATCCAATTTTCATTGACATTCTGTACAGATTTTAATGTAAAAGTTTTAATTTATGCACGATAATTTGTAAATATTTTATTTCATCCTTCTAGAGAGCATCAGGAATATTTAAAAATAAAGTTGTCAACTTAGTGTTTGAGAACATCGTTTTCCTTCGTTTTCTTCTTCTCAAAATGACACTTAAAAGCTTTAATGTAAAGTAAACAGCTCGTAGATTTCATAGTTTATTCACCTTAAATATTTAGTGAACTTGATCAAATAGAGCATAAACGGTTTGAGTTTCGGTGTCAATTTTTCATGCTCGCTTTTGAGAAAATGTAAAAGCATAGCAAATTCGACACAGAAGAAAACAAGGGACTTCAATGCGTAAAATGAACATTTACCAATAATAAGAAAGCTTTTTATTATAGATGCTCGCTATAATCACTGGAACTATGAATTATAAAAATTTTAAAACAGTGAGAAATATTTATTAATGAAAGCGTCAATAGTGGAAAAATAAATTGGAAAATCGAAACTTCTCAGTTTTAAAAAAATGTGTATTTTGGATTTATTAACAAATTCAGATTCATCAAAGTCACTCACTCATAAGTTTCAGCATTTGTTAGTGCAACGATATAAACATAGTAAAGCTGGTGTTATTTATTACAACGATAATATTTCAATGATGAATAGAAGTAAAGTCAAAAACTCACCAATGTTCAGTAAAAATTTGGCAACAAATTTTCATTTTGATAGCAGAAAGGAATGGGATTTGAAGACATCATCATACGAGTTCTCATCTGATGATAGAGAAAGGTCTTCAATAGAAGACAATGATGGTTATATGAGCACGTGTACATTGTGCACATCAAGTTTTAGCTTCTGTCAAGCTTCGCAATGCTCTGAAAGGTAAATAACAGACATAAGCAATTATTTCATCATAACTTAAAGAACAAGTTTTTACAGAAATATCTTTGATAGCTTAGAGAGAAAGAATGACACTCGTTTGTTTCATAATGAAAGGTAAGAATCTTCTCATTTGAAAATCGAGTAAGTGTTTTTACGTATTTCAATTAACGAGCTTGTATTATCATAGATTTAAACTTTTTCTCTCATTCTCTTCTTTAAGAAGAGGCTGAATATCGTAAACATTTCATGCCAACATTAAAAAAACTATGAAGCTCCACTCTAGTGTGCGAATTATTTTTCTTTTTCCATGTTGAACACAGTAAAAGTGAGAGAACTGAAGAAAATTGCTTTTACCGCTGCTTTTGTGTTTTCAAGTTCTCCTTGACTGCTGTGTTGAGAGAAACTCAAGATTTAGTGAGTTACAATTGATCAAATTAAAAAGACGTGTCTAGAAATTTCTTTCGGTTGTTCAATTGATTAATGACAGGTACACCAATAAAATGTGACAAAATAATTTAGAAGATTTAGATTTTCGTTAAAATCAGAGATTAAGAAATTGATAAAAAAAATTATAATTAATGTGACGTCATAAAACGATTGAAAAGTTTTCACTTTATAGAGAAAATGCATTTCATTCAGCGCACTTTCTTTCTTGTTGTAAAAAAGAGTTGGCAGAATGTAAACGTAAAATGAAGTTTCCTGTGATTTGTTAAATTATTTAAAAGTGATTTACAAAGTTTTTCGGTTTAATATTGTGACAATTCTAGAAATATTGTAGAATTAAATATTTAGAAGAGTTAAAAAAATGCATACGTCTTTCACTAGATCTATAACACCAGAAATTAATCTGGCTACACTTCGGAATAATCATCATGACCACTCACAACCGAGCTTCAATGGATCCCGGATGAACTCATCCATTGAACAAGATAACTTGGCGTTGCACTATGCAAGTGCTCGTGGATGCTTAGAATGTGTTCAATTGATAATGGAGTCTTCGCAAGAGATCAGGTACAGTTAAGTTGACGATAATCTTGTTTCTTTTCTTCGATCATAAAACATTTATGTGTGAGCCAACATGATTTTATAGAATGTTTCACTAACTTACTAACATACTTTATTAGCATTCATGCTTCACTTAAATTAATCTTCTTAAAATTGTTAATGGCTCAATTTTATAATATAAAACAAAAGGAAATTCAAATATTTTTCAATATCTTATTACGACGACTTTTGAAGTTGTGAAATGAAAATCGTCGTTCCGTTTTAATGGAATCAAAAACACTTGTCATTGTATAAAAAAAGCTTAAATGTTATGTTGAGGAAAATTGCCAAAAATTATTTATCTAAATACAACAAGTATTAACACATGTAAAACCGTCTATTTGAAATTGCACTAAGAAACATAACGTCTCTTCAAACTGGAAAGATGTGGGGCGGCGTAATTGTATTCAACATTGGAAACTGTTATTTCTCATATGTTCATTTTTACAATTTCATTCGATGTTAGTCTTTAAGCGTGAAAGCATCGAAAAACGGTTACACTGCTGAAAAGCTTTCAAGATAGTAAAAAAAATTGTTACTACTTTCTTCAACGAAATCAAAATTAAGAAAGTGATAATTGTTTGTGATTTTTTTATTATTATTATTTCATTTTGTAATCAGTTCAGTTCACGCAATGCCAAATCTTATAAACAGACGTAAAAAAAAGAATATTAAAGCGATTGATAAAACAGAGAAAGATGAAAGTGATTCCGATTCGTCATACGAATTTTCATCAAAGTTAAATATTCAGTGTCATACAAGTTCAACTGTACAAAAAACAATTCCAATCGCTAATAAAAGTGACGAAGCTGACAGCAAAATTTTAAGGTTTGAGAATTCTTTAGACGTAATTTAAGAAATGAATTAAATTATGCAACTGAATTTAAAGAGAAATGTGCGGTGAAGATAGAAAAAGAATGAACATATGTGATTGCGTTTGTAACTATTATTAACATCAAACCCACATGAGCTTTAAAAACACATTCGTTGAAAATTTCAAATGAATTAATTTTAACATAATTATAGTTAACTCAAAAAATTTCTCTTTTATCGTGGCTTTTTGGACAAAAATGATGATTATTATTTTAACTTTTTCAATTATTTAAAAATGAAAGCTTATTGTCTTGATTTTGGAACCAATCGATGCGATATTTTATGAATAAAAATAGCAGAAGCCTAACTGAGTAACCACATAACTGACATATCTCATATCGTTTTCAAATAGGAAGCATTTGAGTTTTCGCACTTTTTCACTGGTCCGGAAGACGTGGAACGTAACAACAATAAAAAAATGTTTTAATTGCATTTATATCATACTAAACTTCCACACCTTTTAAATACTCATTTCTTCTATTTTTTTTCTTCTTTTATTAATAGTTTTCATTAATTTCCGTAGACCGTTGGTAACAAAATCTTTTGATATGTTTTTAATTTATTTTATATTTTAGATTAAGTGATATCAGAATAACTTTCACTTATTTAATTAGATACTTACTTATTTGCGTAGATATTAACATGACGCTTCCTTTAATAATTTAATATGCTTTTTTTATGATAAACATAGATTCATATGCAAGTGCACATAATAAGTAGAAAGTTTAACAGTTGTGCTTGAAAATAGAACTATTCCACATAAAATTGTTGAAAAACATGTTTGCACAAAGTAGGACTTTCTTGCTTATACTTGACCCATTTCTAATCTTCTTTGTTTATCTGATGCTAAAATAATTGAAGCAAATTAATTGAGATCAATTTGTATCTGAGAGAATCTATTTCATTGCAATTATAGTGCCAATACGCAAATGGATAACGATGTAACTCCATGTTATCTCGCAGCGCAGGTATGTGAGAACTTAAATCTTATTAAATCTTAATTAACAAAAAAATTGTAATTGAAACACAGGAGGGACACTTAGACGTTTTGAAGTTTCTAGTTGAGTCGGGAGGTTCACTTTATGTAAGATTTTTGAAACATTTTGTGATTTTAAATGAAATTTGAAACTTTTTTTAAGGTAAGGGCGAAAGATGGAATGACAGCATTACATGCAGCTAGCCAAATGAATCGATTAGAAGTTTTAAAGTGGATGGTAAAAGAAATTATTAAGTAATTCTACTTGTTATGAATTATTAAGAATTATTAACTTCAGGTTGAAGATCAAGGAGTTGATCCGAATCTTAGAGACGGCGATGGGGCAACTCCATTACACTTTGCAGCATCTAGAGGTTTCTTCCGTTCTTCCTTTAACTTTTCAATCATAAATATATAATTTCTAAATTTATTAAAGGTCATATGTCAATTGTTAAATGGTTACTGAATCATGGCGCGAAACTGTCATTGGACAAATATGGTAAAAGTCCCATCAACGATGCAGCCGAAAATCAACAAACCGAGTGCCTCAACATTCTCGTTCAGCACAGTAATGAGTTTATGACAAACACTAGCAAGCCCAGACATTCAACACCGAAAGCAGTTGAGAAGAATGTTTTGCGACGTAATTCTTTTGTATCTAAATGTTCAGCAGCATCATCTGATTCAGAGCCATTTTATTTGCATCCTCCAAATCAGAAACAGTTAAAGGTGAGAAGATTGGAACTTTAAGTCATAAATTATTCTTCACTTTGTTTCTATTAAATTAGGATGCACCTTATCGAAAATCATCACCAGATGGTGGCTATTATGGAGCTTTGCCAAATGATGGAATTTTCATAAATCCTATGCGTGCAACATTTACACCTCCAAGCCCTTCTGATAGCACTGAAAGTTTTTTCTTGCATGATCCGCAAGAAGTTATTTATAACAGAGTAAAAGAAATATTTGAATCTGATACAAGTGTGAAAGAAGAACCAATGGTACGAAACAATGCAATGACAGTACAAGCGGAAATACATTCAAGTAGTAGTGGAGCCGCAAGCTGTTCTGATGATGATTTAAGAGAGAATATGAAAAGCAAGAAAATTTATAATGCCGAAACAAAAGCTTCTCATGCATCAAGCAACAACCACGATTATGAAGACATTTACTTAGTGAGAGAAGAAGCGAAGATTTCATCAAAGAATCTTTACGGTTGTAGAAGTAGATCTCGAGACAGCGGATCACATAGTCGGTCTGCAAGCACAAGTTCAACAAGAAGTCACGATGTTGTGGTTCAATCTAAAAGTGTAAGTGGTTATAACTTATATTCGTTAATGGTAAATTATAAAATTTTCTCATTTTTATTCCAAAGATTCAATTCGATACAACTGCAAAAGGATATGAAATTCCGAGAAAAAGTAATGAGAAAAATTCAAGTGGTCAGAGCTCTCAACAACTCGTTGATTCAACATATGAAAGTGTTGGACCTTCTGAAAGTGTCTATATGAGAAAGAATAGCTTGGAAAGTGAGAAAAAGTTTAAACATTCATCACCAATTGATGTTCCAATGGTAAGAAAATATTTGGAATTTATTTAATGTTTGATAATAAAAGAAATGCTACTTACAGCCACCGCCATTACCACCACCATTGAAGGGACATAACTTTATGAGAAATGCAAACAGAGATAGCAGCGACTCTCTTACAGACAGCATTGACTTTAATCAAGCTGAAAATGACACAAGTAACCCTGAATCAGATTCGGGACTTGAAGTTATTGAAGAACCGACATTACGTCCTAGTGAGCTGGTAAGAGGCAATAACAATCGAAGTATGTCAATAATATCAGGTACGCCAATTGTTTTATTAACCCATGAAAATGTCAATTGATATTTATGCACATAAATACTTTATCGAAACATAATCTGTTGCGATCTGCGATAAATAATTTTTATGTGTCTAAATAACTGTTTCGAATTAGAAAAGATTAGATACAACAACATAAATATTATGCACCGAGTTAAAGTATTTGTGAAATGCATAGTAAAATGAAAAACGTAGAAAGAAACATTAAGTAAAAATATCAATGCTTTTCTTCGGTACAGCGAATAAGAAATCCAAGTTTACGAACAGCACTGAATGTGGTTTAAATACTACCAAGAATAATAAACACAGGCAACAAAATGAACAATTGAGAAGCAACACCACCAAAACATCAAGTAGTGGAAAGGTTCATCAGCAGCAAATTGGAGCATCTTCTTCAGTTGGTTTTGAGCAGCATTCGAATCAAGAGCACGAGAGTATCTATAACGGAGTTTCGAATGATCCGAATAAGCCCACGTTTCTTAGTCACTTAGTCAACAAGCAGCTTGTTCTTCCAATCATTGCTTTTCCCAACAGTGCCGCCAACGATTCAAATCATTTGATTAAGCCATCAGAATATTTGAAGAGCATAGGCAGTGACAAACACTCATCGAGGTGAGTTGAAAAAAATCTTTAAAACTTTTTTCACTTCTTCAAATGTTCAGTAACTTTTCGACCTGAATTAACAGTACTTTTACTTTGATAGCATTAATTTCAGCAGTTTAACATTTTGCGTACAGAATAAGAAAATCTTTCGGCAGCATGTTACAACTTATTTTATTAGTGTCACAATTAAAAAAATTGTGTCGATATCGTCAGATTAAGTAATCTTACTTTCCCGAGTAAAAACTTTATGAAATTTTTAATAACTAGATAATAATTTTGCAGTTTGAAATTATTACTAAAGAAATTATTTATCTGAAAAATAGAGACAAGAAAAGTGTTGCTGACATCAACAAATTAAAAAAGAGAAGGAAAAAAGTTATAATTTCTCATTAAATTGTTCACGAAACTAACTGAACGGGTGAAAGTTTTTTTCTATTCAATCTTTTATAAACCATCTGGATGAAATAAAATCATTGGCGGTGCAGTAAACCATAAAAAATAATATTAAATAAATAATCTTCTATTCCATAGATCGTCTGATACAGAAGATTATTATCAAATCAGCAATGAACAAGTAGTTCTTGCAACAATTGAAACGACAACTACGGAAATAGATCGAAATTACAGTGAAAAGGTGAAACATAAAAAGAATCCAGACGTCTTAATTAATCACGGTAAACACTTAATATTTATTTCTCTTCCATAAAGATTCCAGTAGCTCCACCACCACTTCCTGCAAATTTCTTCAACACAGCCAATAATACAGTTACTAGAAACTCGAGTCAGCAAACTCAGTCAGAATCTACAATAAGAAAACATCAACCACTTTCATCGATTTCAATTCAAGATTTAAACAGCGTTCAGCTCCGACGAACCGATAATAAAATGCTTTCAAAAACGTTTTCAGCACCAACCCGCTCGATAAGTATGCAATGTTTATCATCAACAAACGAGCAGTATTTATCTCAAAAAACCGATCTGATTGCTGAACTTAAAATGTCAAAAGATATTACTGGAATTAAAAAAATGAAAGTAGAACGTGCCAAAATGGATCGAAATTCTGAGGTATATTCAGATGTAAATCGACAATTTTCCATGCAAAATTTTGTTGAGACGGTAAATCCTTAAAGAGCTATTCAAGAATCACTCTTTCACATTGAGAAAGAATTTGCACTTTAAGCACAACTTACTGTCAATTGTTTTTATCTTATAATTATTTTCACTTTTCTTTTCATTTTAAGATTCCGGATCGAGATAGTTTTGGAAACATAATTCCTGATTGGAAACGACAAATGCTTGCAAAAAAAGCTGCTGATAAGGCTAAGAAAGAGTTTGAAGATCGTTTAGCAAGAGAAGCTGAAGATAGACGATTATCAGCTATTCCGAAGTGGAAGAGAGATTTAATAGCACGGAAAGAAGAAGCCGAACATAAAATGAAGTGCGTGGAAAGAAAAAAAGTATGAAATTTTACATAATAATTTTTTTACTTTATTTTTCAAAGAAGCACAAATTGCAATCAACGAAGTGACAACAATTTAATGACTGATACTTGGAGAATTAAGCAAAGGGCTATGAGCATTGATAACATCAGCTTTTTATCACCCCCAATATCTCAACCACTTAATAACAATGAATACGAAAGAGATTTTGAAGTGTCTCCAACTCAAGAAAATTGCATGGAAAATTTAGAAATCCAAAACGAGCAGGAAAACCATCAAACGACAACAACACATCATGATGATGCGGGCAACGAAGATAATAATATAATTCCTTGGAAGAAGCTGTTGAGAAAAACAAATAGTCGTTTGAGTCTTATATCTTGAACATTTTGTAATTTTCCTTTGAGATTATTTAAAGTTTTTAATAAGCGTTTTTACTAGACAAAATATTCCAAGTATATCAAATCTTTTTCTTTATTATCTAGCTGAAGTTCATAAATATCCCACTTACTAAAATATATATGTCGAGTTATCAAAAGTATTATCCGCATTTTTTACATAGAAAGCGATTTTTTTCCCCTCTTCAATTCAGATTTATTATGACTTAAAATTAATCTAAATCAATATGAAAGTTTGCAATATTAGTTTTAATAATCGGATAGAATTAAAAACATGTTACATCTATTCAACATTACATTAAAAAGAGATGCAATAAATATTATTTTTAATTCTTTTTCAAATATTTTGTTGTTTTATTTAACAATGTGAAGTTCCTTTGAAGATCTTTGAAGTGATAAAAAACATCAAAAAATTCAAAAGAAAAAATATTTTGCTGAAATTCTATTTCTTCAATTTCTCCTATATAAGGATCTTAAGATTAATTATTTTATGATTTTATTGTTTTTATGTTTTTATGACAAGCATGGAATAATTCTAATTCTTAATGACGATAGAAGTGACGTGTAAGCCTAAACAACGCATTTTGTAACGTATAAAAATTCAAATTCCAAATGAGAAAAAAATGATTTGAGACCCTGAATAAGACAAAATTGCTACAAAATACATTTTTCGAACATAATTTTTGAAAAATCCCCGATAAATCGGCAGATGTTACAGTTGATTAAAAGTCATTTATGATATTTGTTCACAATAAACATGTTAATGGCTTTTTAATTACTTTTACGATCATCTAATTAGAAAAACAGTTGAAGTGAAAAAACATCATAAATTGTATTAGTGTTAAGTCGCTTTGTCTGTACATAAAGAACATGGTTTGACTAGATTTTGTGTCAGTGAACACCCTTCCATAATTTCTTAAAATTTTCAATTTCAATTTTTCATTAATTGTGACTAAGTGGAGAAATGAAAGTATAAATACAATGATTTAGACTACATAAATAATAATTTTTGGTCTCCGCTGGACCATTCAGCGGTCTGGAAAAACAAAAAATATAAGAAAAAAATAATATAGAATTTTCGTATCAACAAAAAGTAAAAAAAAAGAAAAACGCGATGTCGACAAAACTTTCCTTTAGGGCTAGGGCCCTCGATCCTTCAAAGGCAATGCCAATATACTTTGCAGAAGAACTACCTGACCTCCAGGAGTATTCTGCAATCAATCGAGCCGTTCCACAAATGCCTAGTGGCATGGAAAAAGAGGAAGAATCTGTAAGTCGCAAAGGCGAAGCCATGTTTGAAAAATTATATTAAATCCGAAAATTACGCTTATGGCTGACTCATAAGATTTTTTGAAAATTTAAAATGAAAAATCAGAATTATTCAAAAAAGTTGCGTAAAATTCTTGCTAAAATGAAAACATTAAAATTTTTTTGCATTAAAAAAATTATTTCTTTATTTAATAAAAGCCACTTTCAACATATGTGATAAAATTGGGCGCGCGATTTTTTTGTTTCTGTTTACAATATGCCATTACTGATATATTTTCCATACATTTTCTTATTATTTTGATTCATTTTTAATCCTTGTTCAATATTTTTAGGAACATCACTTGCAAAGAGCAATAATAGCTGGTCTCATTATTCCAACGCCCGAAGTGTCCGATGTAAAGGACGATGGATTTTATGATAAAAATTATCCTGCTGATTATAAAATGCCGAGACAACTTATTCATGTGCAACGTAAGTATTCATTTTAAATCCTTTAATCTTTATTGTTGACATGTCGGAAGTTGTTGTGTGATCTCTGGAAATTTGAATGTTGTACCATTCTTCGTGTCGTTTCATTGAAGGAGCAGCTTAAAATTATTTTTGTGACTGTTTTACATACATTTTAGCGCTTTCATTAGAACAAGATATTCCTGACTATGACATGGATAGTGCTGATGAAATGTGGTTTGATTCCCAAACAAAATCAGAATTGACACCTTTCAAATTTGAACAAATGATGGACAGATTAGAAAAGATTACAGTTTGTTCTCTTGATGATGCAAAGGCTTTGGTCAGACGGAATGAAGTTAATCAAGATGTTTTTGATTATTGGGTGAATAAAAGGCTTAAAACTGTGAGTAACAACAATCAATGTGAGCTTAAATTGAATTGTATTGAATGATTTTATCATATTTCAGAAACATCCTCTGATATTGTCAGTGAAAACAGAAAACCGTGGAAACACCACTTCAAACAATCCTTACATTGCATTTAGACGACGAACAGAGAAAATGCAAACCAGAAAGAATCGAAAGAACGATGAGACATCCTACGAAAAGATGCTTAAGCTAAGGTATGAAATATTTCTATAAATAAGAATGTTATCATAATGAAATAATTTCAGACGAGATTTGAGTCGCGCAGTAAAGCTTCTTGAGATGGTGAAGCGTCGTGAGAAGACAAAACGTGAAGAGCTTCAATTGAGTATTGAAATTTATGAAAAACGTTATCAAGCGAAGGATTTTTCAGGTCAACTTTTGGCCGAATATACTTCAGCTGCCACCAAACTAAGGTTTGATCAAATAATCTGAAATTAGAAGAATTTTATTAACATTTTGTTTATTATGTCTAGACCTGCATTTGCACCGATATACTCAAATCAATATCACCATCAGCACTCTTCAAATAATTCTCATCATAATCAATGGAATTCAACATCCCAGGGTTATTCAAATCTTCATCTTAATCACCACCTGCAGAACAATAAGCGTGATTTCGATGGGCTAAGCACAAGTAGTAGTCGAAAAGAAAAGAGGCAATACAAGAAGCGAAAGCACAAAACACCACGTGAAGTTAAGCCCAGTAAGTCAATTAAACAATTCTTAAAATTTCTTTTTAATTTTCTTCATTTTTTCATCAGTTGAAACTTATGACGGCATGTTTTCATCGGACGAAGAGGACATTCATAATAATCAAATTATTGCATCCGAAAGTGAAGAAGAAGGAATTTATCCATTTCGGAGGAATAAGAATTGTGATTATTATAAAGTGAGTAGAAGGAAAACGCGGGAAAATCTTCAATTGTAATGAATTTCCTTTAACATTTACAGCCGCATGTTGATGGCTTTGGTAATTGGCCATGGGAATCTCCTGAAGAGAATGAAAATGGAATTGCTGATCCAAAGTATCGTTTCAATTTAACATCCCTACGTTATCCAAGGTACATCACTCTACGATTGTTGATTGCAAATCATTAATTAAAATAAATTTTTAGACCACGTTGCATCGGATTTGCTCGTAGAAGAATGGGAAGAGGTGGAAGAATTCTTTTAGATCGTGCATCGTCAAATTATGATGATGTGTGGTCAAGATTAGACTACACAATCTTCGATACCAATAACGTAGACAACAACAACACAACTGTTGACAGTCGACTTCCAACAAGCAGCACCAACAACGAAAATAAAATTAATGATAGCACTGTCGTTGAGAAAGTTTCAGATGAAATCTCAGCTTCACAGACTTCCTCATCGAATCAATACAATCACCATAGAAATAACATTGTGATAAAGAGTGAAAATTCCAAAAATCATGAATTAAGTGACGATCAAATGGAGAAACTTTCACATGGTGAGAAGTGGAGTTCGATAAGTAATCAAAAGCTTGATGATTTTGAACAATTACTGGACAGTGCTAGTGCAAGTTCTAACATAATAAATAAGAAATTAGTGTGTAGAAACAATTCTGATATTAGTGACGACAGTTTCATTTTAAGAACGACAACAAGAAGTGAAAATAGTAATTTGAATAATCAAAATGAAATTTCAACTAAATCTATGAGTGTTGGTTTGCTTGATTCATTAAATTTAAATAGTGAGGCTTCCAACAGTGGTGTGACGAGTACAAATGGATCATCAACAGTCTGTCCAACGATTGGTGATGTTGTTCCTGTTGATAATAACAACAAACAAGACGAAGATAATTATGACAATTACGATATCATTGATTCTGAATCAATAACAACAAAAGAGAAAGAATTAAATCAGTCTGATGATTTCTACTCGAACTTTATTGATGAGATAAGAAAAGAATGGCTTCACTTTCGTCCAAAAACTCCACCATTATCGCCATCGTCTGATATCATGTTCGATAGTGATCTAATTAATGACACAAAGAAGTTTGCTGTTGATCTTCAATTGTTGGATGAAAATATTGACAATTTGTATGCTGACAATGTTTATTCATCACATTCGATGTCGTATAACTTCGATAACAAATATCTAATGTGTAATGATAACAACATAACGACAACAGCAACACAAGATACCACCGCGATAAATGTAAAAACGGAACCAATTGATGGTGATTACGAGTTTATTGATAATTCTATTATCGAAGATCCAAAAGCAATTCACAATGAAGCTGTTAAGAAGTTACTTGAAAAGTATCAAAATGATGTTGACAAAGAACTTTCACCTGTCATAGATCTTGATGACGTCGATTTTGACGATATTACGATGAATGATGAGACGAAAGTTGGTTGTAGTAGTTTTCAACTTCGTGACGATGAACATGAGAATATCTCAAAGGCAATGTCGAGTTTCAATGCTGCAAGTGGTTGTGGATCTGCTTCTAATGCTGATGGTGTCGAAGAAAATCCTATAAAGAAGGAAACTTCTGATTATTCATCATTTACAACAATAAGTTCAGTTGTAAATGTTCCAACAACAACAACAATCACATCAACATCGTCGTCATCAGTGAAAACAACAACAGTTAAGGAAGCACCAATTGCAGAACTTCAATCACATAATTATGTGCTTCAATATGGTTCACCAGTTCCGCAAAATACTGTTTCAAATAATTCAATGACAAACAACACTTTATCGAGTAGTTCAAGCATGAATACTGCAGTAGAATCGTTGACTCCAGTTACAACAATGTTCCAACAACAATTCATTAACAGCGGAAACAACATCATTTCAACATCACAACCGAACCAGCAAAGCAGACTTCAACCGATTGTTTATGACAGTAATACGATCGTTTTAGCAGCTGCTCCATCAAGAAAGCAAATGAATGGCCCATCAGATCGAAACTGTAAGAATTTCTTTTATATTTTCATTCTTTAAATCATTTCTTAAACATTTTTTTTTTAATTTTCAGTGAATCAAAATAAGTACAAGCATGTCTTTATGTTGGATTTAACACAAGGACAAGACAAAAGAAAAGCTATTGGAACGATAGCTGATAACAATACAATCAAGAAGACATATGCGGATCTTGGACTTGGTTCTCAGAATATTCTTGTATCGTCGGTCAATTCAAATCTCATAACTTCAACTTCTAATCTGCAACAATCTTCACAAACACAACAGTACAGTTTAGTTCATCAGAATGCATTACAAAAGCCAATAATTCTGAGTACATCAACAGCCAGCTCCCTAATGCAACCTTCGCAAGCTAGCAACACTGGGAATAAGATCATTGTCACACCAGCTCCACAAATTGCTGGCAATGTTTACGTCAGTACACATGGAAAGTTAGTCATACCGTCCTCAAATAATTCTCAAAGTATTATACTGGATAGTAGTAAAATGATTTCGGCAAATAATCAACTTCATGCTCAACAAAAATTACAATCGTCACATCAACAGAGAGTGAAAATGGAAAATAAGATGAATATGCTGTTGGAAAATTCAGGGGAAAAAAATATAATCTATGCGAAATATAATAAGAATAAACTTCTTCAAACTGTGGCAAATATTATACCAATGCAAGCGTCAACAGCAAACAAAAGCAGTCTTCAGACACAAGGACAAGTCGTGAAACAATTAACAACAATTAATTCATCACCGCAACAACAATCCGTAAGCGTCTTGTCGAATAATAAAAACATTCAACGTATTCAACAACAGCAACAACAAATGCTTCGACCACAATATGCAACGTCATCGATTAACTTTCAAAATTCACCAACAACATCAAAAATTATTCAGCAACCAAACAATGGTAATAATATTTTGGGATCTGTCAATACGAACGATAACAGCAATCAAGTAAATAATTCAAATCCACGATAAATTTGTTTCAAATGTTGCAAATCGGTTCATGGTTCTTCTAACTCTTTTCTTTACATCTCAATCAAAGATTCCTAAACCGCTTTAGCTTTATTCTTCAATATCTTGAAGTTATCAGCTCTATGCAAGAGAAATTTCTGTAATAGATTTCGACTAAAATCCATTAGACAATTTTCCACCAAAACACGATCATCATTAAAATATCTTCAAATCAGGGAATGGAACTGATTAAATTTTCTTTCTTATTTCAACAAAATAATCTTGTTGGGACCTGAAACTTTTCATTCTATGAATATTACATAAAACTTTTCTTATATTTTATTCGTAAGTGAAGGGTGGGTGTTCCTTTCATTAGCATGCAATTTTTCTTTCTTTTCGCATGATGCGACCAGATTGTAAATTATATGTTGTGACTTGTTTTAAATTCTATAACAAGCACTAAAGCAAAAATACATTTCTTGACATTCGGTGAAATAATTAAAGGTACATTTAAAGTAATAACATCAGAGAAGGGGTTTAGTTCTATGTGATGTAACAAACATTACAATTCTATTCTGTTGAGTATTGACAATTTTTTATAATCTGGAAAAAGAAATTTTTTTAAATTAAAATTGTGAGTTTTTAAAGCTTTTTTTTAAAGCAGCAAATATAACATGTTTGGTCCATATTAACGACTTTTCGATTCTATCAAATTATTGGTCTTTTACCCTAAGTTCCATTCCCTGTAACAAAACATAGAATCAACACATTAAAATTTAAATGAAAAGTTAAATCGATAATAAATAGTTTGCAACAGAAAATAAAATAATTCTAAAAGAAGTTTTCGTCTTGTCATCGGCTGATGATAGTTAATGACATGTAGAAAATTGTTAGAGTTTTTTACACAAGAAGAGAAGGAGAAGAAAACGTTCATTTATGACATTTGTAGAAAATATTCAAAGAGTGCTCGTATGAAGAACGTCATGTTTATGTAACGATGTCGTAAACTCAAGTTGTGCATTCTTTCTTGAAAACATGAGGTTGCTACACGCACCAATGATGAACAATAGAAATACTTCAAGATGAAACCACATGGAAGTTTTTCTGAGATTTAGAAAATATTTGCAGTCTAATTTCTTGTTTCTGATTTGTGACATACACAAATGTTTCACAATTCCAACAGAAGCATGTATCAATGTGGTAATATTTCTTTGACAGATTAGAAAAGATTCCATTGATGAATCAGCATTTGTAATCAGAATTTGTTGAGTGGCTTTGCAAAAAAAAATCTATTAGACGTTTGAAGAACATTGGACATTAATATTTGGCCAATAATAAAATGCAGCAAATATTTCTTACGATTAGATTGCGTGAGAAAAATTAAAAATAAGAAACAGATGAGTTCTGTTTTGAAACTTTCAAGAACTGATTTCAATTTGTAAATATTACACAAGCATAAGTTAAGGAAAGAAAAAAAATTGTAGAAACGTAAAGATTCTTTTTTTTTGAAAATATTGAAAACGAAATGAAATCCGAAACATCTAATAGATTAAATTATTTCTTAATTAAGTGTTTTATCTTATAATTGTACCATAGTTATCTTTAAAATAAACTGATAGTTTTTTTTAATTAAAAGAAGCAAAAGAAAATTAAGTTTTTACTTAACAATAAGTTTGATTATGTGAAATCATGTTCACATTTTCATTAATAATGGGTAAGATTTTATAATATCTACATAAATATTTTTCTCTTTAATTTTTGAACATAACAAATTACGCTTATATCATAATGTGTGTAAAGATAAATAAAAAAAGCTTTGACGAGAAAGAGGATGCGTTTTATTCACTTAGGAAAATTAAATGAAAAACAATTTTTCTTTTTCAAATGTCAAGAAAGTAAATAAAAGAAGATATCTGGAGAAAGGTAATGTATGAGATGAATTAATGTAATTTAGAACAGGATGTGATTTGCAACCGTCATTGTACATTGTATGTACATAGAAAGAAGTCTAAACATAGAAATTTTGTATTCATTCCAATTTTCATGCCTGAGATCATCGATCATTTAATTTTCATTAACTCGGACCATAAAATTTTTCAATTACAAAAGACAATTCAAGATTCAGGTCTAAGAGTTGGAAATCTTTTCTTGTGGTTTCAAAAATTATTTTAATTCCGTTTTATAAATTTTGATAAACTAAGAAATTCCATGTTTTTGATAAAGGAAACATTTTAATTCAAAACACGATTTCCATCTCTGGTTACCCCTCAATAAGTATACTTCCAATTACAGCAACATATTCCAACATTGGTTAATATAAAAAGTTTTTCAAATCAACAACTATATTGTATAAATCAATTGCTTTAAATAATAACTACATAAAACAAATCAACTTGAAATGGAATGAAGAGCAATTCAGAGATTCGTGATTCGAAGGCTTCGAGACAGATTTTTCTGTCAATTCTATGAAACAAAGCGAAGACAGAATCATTAGTTGCTTCTTTAGTAGCATCCATTTATCGTATCATTTACTTATACTGCTGCAACTGAGCGTGTCAATGATTAAATAATTTTTTTTTCAATTATTACTTTTAATTCTCAACATAATTCTTTTCTCGTGAAAAATACTTTTATGTATTTATGTAGCGCATATACATATATTTGTATGTTACAAAAAAAAAAGAAAAATATCCGACGGACACGATTTATTTTTCATTTTCCTTCTTCTCTTTCGGAAAATATTCCCTTTACAAGATTCCATTTCGAAAGTGTTTCCAGAATATTTATTTTGTAATAAAATCTAAGTAGATGTTTCCCTTCATTTTCATATACATATTGGCATAATTAGAATTGCAGAGCTTAAGTAAACTTTTGTTCTGATTATCCTTCCAGTATGTTCATTTGTACAAGAAATAATATGCAATGCAAGCAAAAAGCAACTTATTACAGTACTATCGTTTGTCTCAATCTCCGTGCATGTGTTGAAAGCAATGTATATATTTATACATTTATATGTGATCCTCGATAATGATTTCTTGTGCTAAGTGATAAAACGCTCACTGTTAATGCTCATTAAAATTTTATATATCTTTCGTTTTGTATGGAATAAATTAACTCCATAAATTTCTTGTAATAAGCTGGTTCACTCGTTTAAATGGTTTTAATAATAGGACCTACCTACATTAAGTATGTGTGCAAGTGAAAATATGAAAATATACTCTGCACCCAATCAGAATATATGTACAAATATATTTTTTGACACTCTTTCTATGTATTAGAAAATGAATGTACGGAAACTTGTTTCTCTTTTTCGTTGATGAAGCTACCGCCTCGATGCAGTTATTTTTTGAGTCAGTGTTTGAGAAGAGTTGGTCGAAACAAGACCGTTTTCACGGACGTGCGCACAATAAAAGAAAAAGAGAAAAAAAGAAAGAAAAAAGAAGTAAATGTCATAATTTAATGGATTGACTCAATGCTTTCAACATCATTGATCATACCAATTGGCAAAGCGAATAAAATTTAAAAGATTCTTAAGAAGTTAATGTTGAGTAGCTGAGAAAAAATAAAGAGAAAAAAAGAAAACAATCGAGAAAATTAGATTAAAAAAAGTTATAATCAAGAAAGTGATGTTTGATTCGGTTCTTTGTGAAATATGTAAATACTGTTACAATAAATATGGCGATTTTCATGCCACTCGATAGCAATTTCTCGCATTTAAGCTTTCATAATATTTTAAAATTTCAAACGCCGACGCAACTTTTCCAACAATTCGTAGCGAACAACAAAAGTGAAACAGAAAGCTTTGTGTCGAAATCAAATTTGTTTAGTGGTGGTTTTAATGGTAAAGTTTTGAACACTCAACACATAATGACTGACGATAAACATAAACCCTTAGATATTCAACTTGATGTCATTAACCATGCTGATGACAGTTGTAATAGCACTGACAGTGATTTGTCAGTAGGACAAGAAAAAATTGATGATGATAAATCAAATTTCGATCAAACAGAGTCGGAAATTATTGACAATCAATTGTCAAATAATATGATGGAGCAAGACGATGATAATTCGTCAAATGCATCATCATCAAAGCATATAAATATATCATCATCACGCTTATGCAATACTCAAAATCCAAAATTATTGACTGAATCTACAATTCAAACGTCAATAATGCGTCCAAATCCGTCACGGTTACATGAAGAAATTTTCCGAAATTCTCAGATATATGCTGAAGAGCTTGTTAAACAACAGCTTGCAGCTGCGGCACGTCTTCAAAGTATATCAGCGTCTAAGAATTATCCTCATATTGGATCTTCCGTTTTTGACGAAAAACAGCGACTTTCGCTCTTAAACTCAAATAACGAAGAGATAGATCCGTCGCTGGTATCAAAATTAAATTTGCCACCAAGTGTTTTTGTACCGAAAATTATGGAAACGAATCAAAATGGAAACAATTTATTTTGCAATAGTAAAAGTGCCATAAATTTTCAAAACATTCATTCTCACCTCAGTGCGATATCTCAGATAACAAATAACTTAACAAATAGCATCAAAAAAGACGACAGTACCAGTTTAAGTAGTTTATCACGTGAAAGTTCACAATCTCCTTCAAGTTTTCAACATTTAAAACAGCAGCATCATCATCAAAATATGATATTTCATACACAACAAAATCAACTTCATGAGCGCAACCTGAAGTTCAGTATTGACAATATCTTGAAGGCTGACTTTGGTCGACGAATAACCGAACCGCTACTGAGATCATCAAAGTCTAGAAAAGCATTAAGAGATGGAAAACAAGATAAAGAAATGTTCAAGAAGTTCAATGCACCTGCGGCTTCAAAGGACTCTTTCGGACGTTCTCCTGATGACAATCATAGAATATCAGAGAACTCACATTCCAGTCATTCACCCTCGATGACAGAACAAAGTAAAAGTGAAAGCAATAAAGGATCTAACAGTTCAAGTTCAGGAACTGTTTGGCCAGCCTGGGTAATTATTTTTTATTCTTATTTTTCTTAATTCGTCTTCATGTTGATGTTGAAAGAAATTTTAGTAATTTTTTGTTTTTTTCGTTGTACTTTTAAAGGTATTCTGTACTCGCTATTCTGATCGTCCAAGTTCTGGTAAGTGTTGAAATTACTTTTTTTCCCTTTTTTAAAACAAAAGAATAACCTTAAGCGTTTATAACAAAAAAAGTACTTAAAAGTCTCGATGACGAAATGTTTTACAAACCGTCGGATTTTCCTTTGAAATGAAATTCTTGAAAACTTGGGGAAGAAGAAGGAAAAGAAGCTTTTTAGACTTAAAAGACGGCATTTGTTGCTTTATAAGAAAATAATAAGAACTTGCAAACAGAACCCGAAAAAGGAAGCTAAGAATCCAGATTTGTAATGTTAATTGATTTATGAGATTCCTCTAAAATTTGATGAAGAATCTTGAAGGAAATTTTCGTCCAATTAATTTTTAATTTGAGAATGACACATGACGCTTTAAATCTGAATATTTATGTCTTTCATTAATTTGAGAGCAAAAGATGCGCATTTGAAAAGGAAAATAAATTAACTAGATTTATTTCATTTTAATTAGATTAATTGAAAGCATTTTACACAAGATAAAATCTGTGTAGTGAAAGAAAAGTTAAATGTGCAGATCATTCTTTAATGTTTTATAATTATTTAATTATTTACTTCACCATTTATTGAAGATTTAACACACTGAAGATTTTCTATATTTATACACGATGAAACAAACGATGGAATGAAAATGATTCACGCTCGATTTGTGCACTTTTGCTTAAACAACCATGTTATTTCAACTGTGGAAGTAGATAGCTACACATATATAGACAGCCTTTGCATTATGCCTTGTTACGAACGTTGTAAACACATTATTAAAAGTGGGAGAGAAGGAAAGAGATATTGAAAGCTATACATATATTTTTATTGTCATCGCTACTTTGTGGTAATTGAGCAGACAATTTATTCAATGAACATATATGTACATCTAATTGAAAGAAAAAATAAAGGTCAGAAATAGTCAAGTGTTAAATGCAAGAAAATTGGAATCGCTTTCAGCTATCGATGGCAGAAACTTGTTAATTGATTGGTAGATTCGTTGCTTTACATGAAATTACTTGAAATTATGAAAGTTTTTTTTCTTCAATTTAAGAAATTTAAATAATTACACATAAATGTGTGGTTTTGTGGTAATCAAAAACAGCTTTAAAACACGAACTTGAAAATTTGAGAAATAAATAATCTGAGAGAGGGTAGAAGTATCTACCATGATAATTATTTAATTCTATTTAATTTCAAATCGGTTTTTGCAGATGGAGGATTTGTTACAGAAATTTAAACAGATTTTTGTAAAGCAAAATTATAATTTTATCTGAAAGCTTTTTCAAAGATCTGTTTGTTTGCACAATACGAACAGTACGTGGGCGTACATTTTTGTTATATCATTTAATTAGCAAGCCAAGCTTATTTGTTATGTTGTCTATCTCTTTTGTGTTTATCTACTCGAAAAGGGTTTTTAAAATTAGATATTAGAATGATTAAGCACTGGCTACATATCTGAATCTGTTTTGCAAAGAACCAAAAAAATATTTTTTTTGGGAATGTTTGAGGAAATTTTTTGAAACTGCATTAATTAACAATGTTTAAAGGAAGAAAAAATATGCAAATTAATTACGGTAAACCCAATCGGATACATTCATTCCAACATTTTTCAAATTAAAATAAATTGATTTATTTTGTGACCGTGACATGTGAATGTCTGAATAGTAATTGATCTTGAGAATTCAAACATCTTGATGTCTAAGTCTAACAAATGCAAATAAATTTGAACTGTGAAAACACTCCCTAAATATTAAATAATCAGATGTGATAATTTATTTATCATTAGTAAAAAATTAATGCTCTTGACTTTTAAGGAAAAAATATACAAAAATATTTTTTTTAAAATGATTTTCTGTCTTCATATTGTGAAGAACGCAGACAAATAAGTCTCATGTGAATCATCTGTCCGTGGTCGCTTTTCAACTATCTAAATAACTCTTTATTTCTTTATATTGTTTATTTTTTCTTTCTTTAATTCAATATTAAAATCTGGAAATGTGGATTCATTATTAAATCCGTTACATGATCACGATAAATCAAGCAATTTTTATAAATGATCATTTTTGACAAAGCCTTCCGTGGGACCTCTTCGTGAATCATAATAAAATATCAAAACATTATGTGACGTCACGTACTGGAAAAAATCAGCTTCTGCACACAGAAGAATTAAGACATTTGTTGAATTCAAATGTATTCGTATATTTTCATACTCTTAGTCTCTTATTAATAAAGACCACACATTTGACATCAGACCACCCAATGTGAAAAAGTAAGAGTGAAATGATGTATTAAAACACATCCAATTCATTCTTTATGCCATTATGAAATTGCACAAGTACAGTTTGAACAATGTTAAGATATTTTGCAATTAGAACTTGATCATGAACAAATTTATTAATAGATGAAACAGGCGAATAGTAAAATAAAAAGAGGAAAAGATTATTCAATGTCTCAAGAGCAAGTTTTGTTTCGCTTTGACGCTTCTTCAATCAAATTTAAACTTATGCAGCAAAGTCAACATAATTCTCATTAATTGAGAAACAAAAAGAGTTGTCGGAAATGTAGGTGAAAAATCTTAATCGTCCGTTTATCGAGATCAACTGAAAAAAAAACTCGTTCTCGCTTGGGAAAGAAACAAAATTTTTCGACTTCCGACCAGATGTGAATACATCGAGCAAGCAAGCAAGCGAAAGAATGGGAAAGAGAAAGAGTAAAAATGCGCTTTTAATGTAAGAAGTTGCTTGTGATAAATTTAATAAATGACTCCTACTAGGAACTGAAGCTGACTTAGACAATACTGCGCCTTCTCGAGGCAATATATTAAAAATGCACTCAAACGTGTTGTGACATTCTTAATTTTGTGAGTAATTATTACTGCTTGAATTATAAAGTCTTAAATAAATACAAAAATTGTGTACGTGAAAGAATGATCACAGTTTTATATGTCATGCGCTTCTGTAACGTCCATAATTATCATTTAACACAACGAAATAAACTGAATAAAATTATCATAGCGTTTGAATAGTTGTCCAAATTGATTGCCAAAAACAGCTTAATTGACTTCAAGCGCCAGATAAAGTTTTTCTTCGCTTGAATATTTGTGTTTATAAAACAACTTGGAATTGTTCTTTTTTCGCTTTTAAATGTAAGACCACCCAACAAGACCCACGTTTTTCTTTCTTTTTATTTATTTTATACTTTAAAAAGATACACTGTACAAATACACAACTTGATGAAAAATTAATCAACACATATTTAATTTAATTATCGTTTTAAGCGTTTACGATCTTTGAAGTTCTCAAATATTATTATTTCATAATTTTGTTTGTTTACATGTGCATCGCTGACTACATAATTAATAGATAATAGTTTTCCACTAACCGATCGCGTCAGATTTTTCACGCAATTTTAAGCTTTTAGAATGTGCTTAAAATTTGATTAGCACTTAATGATTTCTCGCTCTGTCTTCATGATGGGTGGATTTGATATGTTCGCTTTCCCAAAAAAATATTTTAAACTTTGAAGTATTTACCGTTACGTGAAAAGAGAAACGAAACGGAGAAGCAATTGCAAGAGACCTTCTTTAAATGATGCTCTTAACCCTACCTTAACATTATTGATTTAAGTCGAATTTTGTTTTGTGTGAAGAAGTGTCGATATTATTATCGTGTGTAACATAGATTGTGGGTAACTCTCAGCTGGAGTCTTCAGTAGTTAATAAAGAATCAGCTGTCAGGTCATCGGATTAAATGTTTTCGATTGTGCCTACAGGTTCTATTATTGTAGATGTTGTCACGTTCTTTCCTTTTTTGTGGCGCTTCTATTTTGTTGATAGATCATTATCAGACTTCTACTGGGTTCAGCTTATGATTATTATTCAACTCTTTTTTTTTTCATCGTTTAATTATAAAAATTCATCATTTATTACTTCTAAACACGATAGATAATTAAACAGAAAAGGGAAATATGTGATAGAGATTGTTAACTGATTTGAACAATTTTCAGACAGACGAATTCATCGATCGTTTAAACATAAAATAATAAAATTGACTTGTTTAAATATTTTAACTGTTGAACTGTTGTTATTCGCAAAATATAATTATTTTTCTCATTCGTCATTCTTTTAATGATAACATAAACAAGAGTTTGAATAAAAGTCCTCAATTATTATCGTTATTTAACTCTTTCTTTTTCCTCGTTTAATTCATAAAATATTTGTCGTTTATTTCCTCTTAGCACGATAGATAATTAAACCAAAAACAGTAGGAAAATATGTGATCGAGATAGTTAAATCTGATTTCAACACTTTTTTAGTCAGACGAATCAAATGTTAGTTTTTTAAAAAATTAAATAAAATTAACTTCTTTTCACATTTCACTTAAATATCTTAATTGCTTTAAACATTTTTATTTTGCAAAATATAATTACTTTTCTCGTTCTTCAGTATTTTGATGATAACATATACGGAGGGTTAGAATGAAAGTTTTTAATAACACCTATTTAAATTTATATAAACATTATTCTGACCCAAGCTCTAAAATGTAATCGGAATTAATTATTGTCCTTAACATATTTCTTACACAATTTTTACACGCATGTATGTGTATGTTTTCTGTTATTATTATTGAAATTAATTATCTTAATTTTCTACAGTATGTCATTACTATCCCCATGAAAAGCGAATAAGGAATATTAATTTAAATTCATAGGAACGAAGGAAAATATCAAATAATAAAATCATTGAGTAAATTTACACCCTCATTTTTTTTCACAAATGGTTTATTGTTAATTTTATATCTTTGCGTAGCTAGCATAGCATTCACGTACATTCACACCCGTAATCTCTTATATTCACTCAACATTTTCCTTCTTCTTTATGGGAATGCGAACGAAAGGAAAATAAATGAAAATAAAAAAGAGCATTGGTTTAGAAATATCAACATTTTTCGTGAAAAGTGCGGATATACACGTAGATGTTTATATATTGAACGACTAAACGGAGTATATTATATTGTGTGGATAACAGAGGGGAAAGAAAATTTGTGGAAAATGAAATGTTTATGGTTACTATAAGAGAATTATTTAGGACTTTTATGCTTCGAGAAAATTTTTTATGGCAATTTTATTTTCAATTGATTACAATTACGCAAACTTCTTTTTTTTCTCCCTGGAATTTATTTCTCTTGAGTGCATTTGCTTTTGTTTCGCTTTCTTTGATCAAAATGAAAAATCATTGAAGAGTCACGGTCATAGATTTTAATTTTTAATTCAATTTAGAAAATTGCGACAAGAATCCTATTGATTTAATTAAAAAATTCCTCCAAGTGAAAAATCAACCATTCATCAGTTGATGATATTTTTTTTCCGGTATTGCATTGTCATTCCGTCTAATATCAATTTGTCATGGATATCTTATTTTTCAAATCAACCAACAATTTAAACACTAAATAAATTAAAAGCCTTGAAACATTTTTCACCCTCTTATCAACTTTTATTTTTTGCATTCACCAGACTCTCACTACACTCTACACTTTATCATAACGATATAATTTCGCTTGACGTACATGTTTAACAAGCGTATCGAATTTTTATTTTTAATAAAAGTTTCCTTTTTTTCAAAGTTCATTTCTTTTTTATTACGGCTTATCGGGTAAAATCACATACACTCAAAAATGGCTGAAGGGGTTAGCATTCCTTTTATGTAAAATATGTAGTAACAAAAAGAAGCGGTGTTTTAATGCCTTGCGCAAATATTTTCCGTGTTCCACCCTCTCAACTTTATAAAGTTTGTTTGTATTATTCTTAGCTCTTCAACAATGATTATTATAGCGATCTACTCCCTTTTTCACCCTAATACTTAATACAAGGGTTTGATTTGATTAAATTGAATAAGAATCATGTTTGCGTGAAATTATCTTAATATTATCTCAGAAAAACACGTGTTAATGTTAGCATTAAAATACCAAACACCAAAAAGAGGATAGAAAATGCTAATAAACGCTTTGTAAATCTCAAGAGATTGTCAAGACTATTAAAATGTTTTAAACAAGGTTACACTTACAACTTTTCTTTTATTTTTCTAATGTTTTCTTTCTTTCTTTTCTTGCAGGCAGAAGTAAGTAGACAATTGTACAATTTGAAAGTCGACGAATGCCACACATCAAAACAACAAATTTGCACATTAAAAATGTTCTTTTCCAAATTATAAGAATAGCTTAATTGTTTAATTACTTTCTGCCTACAGTGCAGCTAAAAGTAAATAAGTTATAGGATATTTACCTCAATATGTGCTTACATACATAATAATGTTATGTTTTTTTAAATAAGAAAGTTATTTTTCCACCCCAAATTTACATATTTTAATTTCTTGTAATGGTTGAAAAGTTGATGCTATTTCAAAACCGAAAATTACTTCTTGAACTTTTCAAAAGCAATTATAACATTCTTTCCACTTTATTAAGTATTCACAACTTCCAAGTGGAAAATTGTTTTCTTATTGAAGATGGAAACTTAATGGTTATGTTAATTGCAGCTAATGTTGACTTTGGGGAATTTACGATCTTTAAGAAATTAAAATGGGGTAACATTGCAAATTGGTTAGATATCTACAATGTGTTCGAAAATCATATTTTCTTTCTTCACATTTACTCATGAGAGTGTTTTGATTGACTTTTGACAGGTCCTCGAGTTAAACGACCGAAAAAACCTCCATCTGATTCAAGTTTAAAGTCTGAAGACGAGAAGAGGCCACGGACAGCATTTTCTGGGCCCCAACTCGCTAGATTAAAGGTATTTGTGTAATGTTTATAAAGTCAATAATATAAAATAATTTCAACGTTTTCATTTCTCTCTTCGACAGCACGAGTTTAATGAGAATCGATATTTGACTGAAAAGAGGCGTCAGCAGTTAAGCGCTGAACTAGGACTTAATGAAGCCCAAATAAAAATTTGGTTTCAAAATAAAAGAGCGAAAATTAAAAAGTCAACTGGTCAGAAAAATCCATTAGCTCTGCAATTAATGGCGCAGGGATTATATAACCACAGCACAGTCCCACTCTCAAAGGAAGAAGAAGAATTACAAGAGCTTCAGGCTGCTAATTGATTCCCATTCACCCTTTACAAATTTGTTCAAATTATAATTGTTATTATTTTTAATTTCGTATAATCTTTGGTACTCTTATTTCAATCTGTCGATGAGCAGAAGAATTGGTGAAAAATCAACGAACAAAATTCTTAAAATCAAAGGAAAAAAGTTAATTGAAAAGCAAGCAAATAAATATTTCGTTCAGGTAGATTTTCATGAATCAATACATCTTCCAATTACTTAAATAATAATAATATAAATAAATTTCTGTGATATACTTAAGTTTATAAATTTAATAAAGATGCTGAAATGAAAATGAAATAAAATTAAACACATTACAAAATATTTGACCTGAATTGAGTATTTTATTTCAATTAGAATACCAAACTTTGCTTCTGTGACAACTTATCGGTCATATCAAAGAGATTTCCATTTACGATGAATAAAATTTCCTTAAAGAATTTCGTATGAAATGTTTTGAAACACCTTAAGTCGATATACTTGATATTTTCTAACAAATCAATTATCGACCAAAAGCAGTAAAATATACGAGCACAGTTATTACCTAGCTTTATTTACAACTCCTTAAAATGGTCAAGTTGCCACTGAAAAAATATTGACTAATTGAGTCAACAAAAAAAACTGATAATCGCTACTTTAAGTTGTTCTTCAACTTTCTCGCTTAAAAGATCGGAATAAATTCGCTGATTGAGGTAAACAAATAAAAATAAAAGGATTATGATCACGTTGAAAGCAGAGCAAACATCTAAATGTGAAGCATAAGAAAGATGATTTATTTCCGGTTTTAAATGTTACAAATTATTTATGTTCTTTTCTCTTTAAAGATTATTGCAAATTTGCATAGTATGTTGCCGTTTTATGCATTAGATAATTGCAGAAACTTTACTAAAATTCCTGTTGAAGAATTTGTGCATATAGATCATTGACAATCGCATTCCGAACTCAATTTTGCACAGTGATTGCTATTTTTTTTCGCTGCTTGTAAATACGTCTGCAAAAAAAAACTTGAGAGAATTTTTATTAAGAGAATTTGCATTTATGTGAGTTGAGTTCTTATTCTTCTCATTTTTTACTTTACCTCTTTCTTTTTCTCTCTCTCACTCTGTCTCTCTCGCATATATCATTTAATGTTCATTCAACTTGGGTGGTCCACGTACACGCTTTACTTTATTGTAAGAAGAAAAATGATAGTTAAGCTCAGAATGTTTCTCAAATGATGCAAATCTTTTGAGGTCGCTAAAATGTGTTCGCTTGAACATAATGAAATCATTACAAAAATCAGTGAACTTTTATTTTGTATTTTCTTTTATTTTAAAGAAGGCTAAATTGGCATTGGTAGAGTATAATAAAATTGTTTCACTGAATAAAAAAAAACAATACAATAATGATTCATCGAGTATTGGTGTATCATCAACAGTTTTTATGGTCGCTGTTTCAGACGAATTTTTTTAATTGATAATTGATTTTAGTAATTATTTACACAAAAAGTTAAGAAGTAGTTTTCTGTTACGGTACAAAGATTCCACATTCTTTGACCAACTGTTTTGATGAAATTTCAAGTTGCTCTTATGTTAGTAACTGGAAGAACAGCAAATGAAGAGAAAGATGTGGATATTCTTATTTAAATTCTTTATAATTTGAATATATCATTCAGTACAAGCAATGAAAAGGATTTTAAGATTAAGAAACATTCTCATTTGAAATTTAACTCGGAATATCCATGGGAATATTTGCACTATATTTAGATAATATTGCAGCTAATTAGACTTTAGTGTGGGCTTCAAAATTGAAAATTTAAAAATTAATTAGTGCTTCATTTATTTTATATGTAGTAATCAAGGAATATCAGTTTAACCATTATACCTCTTTATGATCTAAATTAAAGTGACTTAAATGATGGTATAAATTGTAGAGTTACCCTAGATAGTTAAGTTAAAACTTTGATAATGTTGCGCTGTTGTGCAGTCATCAAAATATGTTTAAATTGCTACAAATAAAGGAACATTTTAAATCATGATTAAAGTAGACAAAAGCATCCTTAAAACCAGTAAAGTTTTTACAAATTTATCCATCCATAGGGACTGAGAATAACCCTGATGAAATGCGATTGCTGTAAAGTAAACTTGAAGATTGATTCAATTATCTGCTCTACTATAAAATGTTATTACCTTTCAAATGCACGAAATATTCAATTTGAATTTATGTTCAATATGAACTTCATATTAATTGTGATTGCCAGTAGACATCTATGAACTTGCTGACCCATGCTAGGTTGCTTAAGTATCTAGTTTTAGGCATCGTAAAAAAATAATCTAACTAAACTATCTAGGATTTGAATAAGTGAATTGGAAAGCCGATCAAAAATAATTCTGGAGCATAAACTAGTAAATCATTTATTTATTAGCAGTTAAATTTGTCTGAAAGAATTTAAAATGTACATATAAGGTGTTTAACCATAATTGCTACAGTTTATTCACTTAAATGATTTAAAGAACTGAAATTAGAGCATTTACCCTAGATTTTTAAAGTTATTATTTATGTAACAAAAACACCCGGCAAGGACTCTTGAGAAAAATTCATGCATGATCACGTTTCTTAAAATTATTAACTTTTTTCCTTGCTGCTTTTTGGGAAAAGTTTTAAGTTTACGACACAAATGATGTAAATGAAGATTGCATAAGTAATGGAAAGGATTGTTCTAACTTTGGCTTGCCAATTTAGCTGATTTCATGAAGCAATCAACCATTCGATTCAACATTTTTCAAGCTTTAATCGGGGGTCGTTTAATTTTTTGCAAGTCGACTCGCTTGACTTTTTGCGATTTGACTCGACAGGTGTCTCAATTTATATGTTTTGCTTCACTCATCTTGTTTAATTTTTTAGCTCGGCTCTATGTTAACTCGTTCTTTGAAAATATTCGAACGAGTCAAGGTCCTGAATTAGAATTTTTAATTATAAAGTTATCTTGATTTTTAAATGATTGGGAATTGTTTATGAGACGTTCTTCTTCAATCTCTGTAATATAAGAAGCGTTGCAAATTTAAGGAGAGACCAAACTAATTATTAAAATGAAGGCAATCTTTAAGAAAACAATTTTTTACACATTTCCACAAGATGAACAAGAATAACGCAATGAAATTGATATTTTATTAATTTTATTGTAAAATTTCGATGATGATTCTTAACAGTCTTTTTGTTTTTTATTATAAATGAAGCGATATTGCACTTAATGTTAAATATTCTTAATATTGATCTTTACATGTTGTAGATAATTATTCATAATCGCACTGCACTGATAGTTTGTCTATTTATTTCCATGTGAATATTTAAACGCTGATTTACCATAAATATTCTAATATTGCGTGACTCTAAGATAAACGTTTATTCAATGAGATATTTGTCACTTATACTTTTAATGAGTAATTTATTGATCTTAAAACTAGATTTCCAATTCAAAATCAAATCTGTTGAAATGTTTGTATTCTAAATTACATTCTTTTAAAGAATCAACCCGTTATGTATATGAAACAAAATTTTCTATAAAGTTACAAATGTCACAAAGGTAAATTAGTGGCTTATTGTAATTTTCCATTCATGCGCAGCTCAAGTTCTTCTTCCTCCTTTGTTAGAGGAACCGTGCTGTGGTTGTATAATCCTTGTGCCATCAGTTGCAAAGCTAGAGAATTCTTTTGCCCAGATGTCTTTTTGATTTTCGCCCTTTTGTTCTGAAACCATATTTTGATTTGGGCTTCGTTAAGTCCTAGCTCAGCACTCAATTGTTGTCGCCTTTTTTCAGTCAAGTATCGATTTTCATTAAACTCTCGCTGTGGAAAGAAAATATGAACATTATAAAAGGCAAAACTATCGTTAAACACGAACGCACTTTAAGACGTGTAAGTTGTTCATTTGAAAAAGCAGTTCGGGGACGTTTTTCATCATCTCCTTTTTCCTTTTTCTCCTTTGGCCGCCGGTATCGAGGTCCTATCGAAAGAATGAAGAAACATATTTATGGTTTGATTTTTGTGATTGAAAAATGTCAACAAGAATCTCACAATCTGAGTGCTCATAAATAACACTTTCAATTATAGAGATTATCAAAATTAAAACACCAAAAAATTAATGCTTTTTGTCTGCTACTGAAAACACAAATTAATCATCTTAATCTTGATTTCATTTTCTGTCATCAGGGAAAAAATCTTTTACAAGGTTGTCCTTAAAACATTTACACGAAAATTGATGTCATGAAGTTTTTAGAGTAAATAGAAGAGAAAATAAAATGAAATGCCATAAATCAATCACCAAATACACTCAACGATATATTAACTCTTCGTAAGAATTTATGAGTGTGATTTGTTTCAGTCGTTTCAACATTATGATTCAATGCAAATCATAAACAATTTATGACTTAACTATTTATATTTATGTGCATATCTGAAGAAAGGTAGCAAGCTTCGTCATATCTAAATTTGTTTACCTAACTTAATCGAATTCTTTATTTCCAGCATAATTAAAAATGTTTCGCAACTTTAGATTCAATTAACAGCAAGCACTGAATAAATGAGTTTTTTCTTGCAATAAAGTCATTAGTTCTTCTTACGCTTCACTCTATCATTATCATTTAGAAATTGTTTTTCATTATTGTTTTTACTCACCAGAACTTGGTCGGTCGGAATATCGAGTACAGAAAATCTGTGAAGAAAGGAAGCAAAACGAACATAATAAGTCAATTTAAAGCATACGAAGAATGAATGCAACTTAAATATATGTGTATGACTTACCCATGCAGGCCACATCTTCTGACTTTCATCTTTACTTGTCCTAGCCTCTGATGTGCAATCATCTGAATCAACGCTATCAGTTGACGATTGTTGAATTTTAAATGAATCCGAAAAGTTACTTCTTGACACTGTGTTAGGTGATGTTGGGGATTGTGTCATGTTCTCTTGACCTATCTGCGAAATTGTTTTGCATAATCCGCCAAGTGGTGGTATTTTTGAAGGTGTAGAAAGTAGGTTGGAAGAATGCTGATAGTTTGTGTAATCCTTGTGGCTATTGAGAATCTCTTCTTGAATTTTTGGATATGATGCTAAACTGCTGTAAAGGCTGCTTCTTAAACTATTATCACTTTTTTTCTGAGGAGACGACACGTGTTTTGTACTATAATCGAATATGTCTGATAACTTGAAGTTGCTTAGAAATATTGAAGATGGATTTTGTACAAGCGACTTGACGAGTGTGTTGTTATTAGAATTTTTTGGATTATTATTGCAAATGAAATTTTTGATTTCAAAGGGCCGAAAAATCGATGATTCATTTTGATTTGGCTCAATTTTGACCGGTTTCGGACCAAACTTATCACTCAATATGTTTGATATTGAAAAGCTGAACTTTCCAATGCTCAAGCTTTCTGATTTGGCGTTAATTGTTTTTCTGTCGTAAGAGTCATCATTATCATCATCCACGTCGATATCTATCTCTTCATCTTCTGTTACTACCTCATGTTTCGATGGAATTTTCGAATCACCTAATTGAGTACATAAAATTTTGTAATAAAGAATTTTACCTTCATATTTAATTGATGACTTACACAGTGTAGCTGGTGACGATGTGTTGGAAGAATTATGTGAGAAATTATTCGGTGAATTTGGAAGCATGTCTTTTGAACTTTCAGATGCAGCTGATGGACTATAGCAAAAATATCTTGAACCATCCTCTAAAGCCATTTTGGGAATTTTCCAATTGTATCAACACTAATTCTATTTCGTCGCTTTTTGCATTGTACTCATAAACATGATACACATAGAAAAGCTTCTAATCAAAAATCCATTTGTCTTTTGTCTTACACACCCAAAATTTATTCTCTTCTCTTACTTTTTAATATGTTTTTTTTTGTGTGTTTCCTTTTGGATAGTTAATTATATTTTCTCGGTTCACTCAAAAGTAAATTTAGTTTTAATGGCGTATAATTATAATTAATTAATTATTGTCACTATAAGCAAGCGGAGTTGTTAATACTTATTATGTTATGAAAACAATTATTTCTTTTTTCAGTTTGCTTATTACGAACGAGTCGTTTTTTTTCTTGAATCTCTTTGTTTTCGCTTAACTATCACTTTGAATCATGAAAAACCTCTGATTTCTGTCGCTTTGCGATTAGTGATCACCTGACAGTTTGAAATGAATGAGAGCTCAAGAAATATTGAAAATTGACTGAAATAATGTAGTTGTTTTTGTTATTTTTAAACGAATATCTTAATAAAAGACCATAAGCCCGACAGCAAGATTTTCACATAGCCAGATTGCTTTGTACATAAGAAAATAAGTAAAAAGTCACTAAGTAGCAACCTACGCAATATGTTTTGAGGAATTTTTGGAAGCTCTCAACATTAATACACACACACTAAGAAACAAACATGGGATGTGGCATCAAACAAAGTGAAATAAACAGCGTAGAAGAAAGCAAATGCGGTTATTTAATCAGCTCAATTATGTACACAGCTTTATTAAAAAAAATTCTGGTTAAATTATACATAAAAAACTTCAATAAGTATTTTAACAAAATGAGATGTTATTTTTTTTTTAAATATTGCATTACTTTAGTTGTTGCCTCATGATTAGTATTTTGTATTGTATAAGATTCAACAACAAAATTATAATTGACGACAAGTATTAAGAGCTAAACAAATCTTGATGTTTCAATGACAGCATACCTTTTATGTTCAATATTATATCTTTAATACTTACTTATTCAACAAAAAAAAGAAGCAATTTAAAGCAGAGTGTTTACTTTTAAGTTTTAATTCAATTTAATTGGAGATAAATATTCATTAACCCCGGTCATTTAGTAGCTTCATACAGCAAATAGTTTTAGAATTTTTAAAAAAAGAATCGAGCAATACCTAATTCAATTATTTCTACTTATTTTTAATTTCAACATTCGTAGAGACTTTTTTTCTCTCATTCAAAATTAAAAATGGAAAATTGTATGTATCGACATCCGCAGTTTCTAGCCTATAACAAAAAGAAAAAAAAGTTATTAAAATATCATTAGGCATTGAAATATGTTGTTATAGGGCTACACCAAGCGTTTTTTTTTCGAAGAAACAATAAGAAAACTAGTTAACGACGGGAGAAGGAAAAAGATTTATTTCTTTAAAAATTTTCGACGATCATTCTTTTGTCTTTTCTTCTTTTTTTATATTTAAGATGGTATTGATAGAAAAACAAAATATTTCCAGTCATGCGATGTTCAAGTTTCGGGATATTTTCAACATATTTATAAGTATGTTCTAAATCGTTGTTCTCAAAAATTAAAGAATAAAACGAATGTGGCTGCAGGAGATGGTACTGATCAACTATCAACTTATGAGCATATAACAAAAGTTGAGACTTTAGAATATTCTTGACTTGAACAGTGCTGGGCAAAAACTGACAGCTTGTGTAAAATTCCATGACTGGCAGTTCTCATTTTTTATTCAGATTTTCATCTTGACAGACGAAACTAAGTTCCAGATTCAAACTTCTACTTCACGAAATTAATTAGAATACCCAACACTGGAATTAAGAACAAGAAGGTAAGACTAATTAACTACTTTTTAAACATTTAATATCTTTTTCGAAGTGCTTTTTTAATGATGATGGTCACTAGATAATCATAAAAAAAAAGAAATTTCAATTCAAACCCACAAGTGCTGTGTTTTCCAGTTGATTATCTACATATAAGTTAAGGCTTTAAATGCCTGAGAATCAGAATCATGATTAATTGAAAACGCCAGAATAAAATTTTAATATTTCCTCATATTATAAAATATCAAAGGGGAAATTTATGTAGATATCACGTGAAAGTTCTCAAGATACATCTTATTAAAAAAGCAATACAAAGGCTATGTCAAACAACTGTAATGAATACTTTAGTGATTTTATTTGAAATATTTAGGATAAAGTTGTCTATGCCTGAAATCCAATTCAGATTGTTTACATAGTCAATTTTCTTATTTATTTTTTAGTAAAAAGTAGTAAAAAACACTTCAGAGAAATAAATATTCAAATTATATAGGTATCTAAATGTTGAAGTAATTTATGTATATAGTAGACGAATATTTCACAGATTAATCATAAAACATTCCATTTGTTTATTATAAAAAGAGTTAAAAGCTAAAGTTTTTATATTAACTTCGTTTAAAAATCATCTCGTTTGTGGTTCTGGCAATACATAATCATCAAGTGATTATTAATATTATAAAAAAGAAATCGAACAAGGGTTAACAATGATCTAACTAAGATACTGAATGCTACATCTTAACGTCGTTTAACATATCCAGTTTTGATATGGTCAACTAAAATGGAGGAAAAAAGAAATGATTCTCATATCGTTTATCCAAATGACAAGGATCTAGCTGCCTAAACTGCTTTACTTCTTAAATGCATCATAAAATGAACAAATTTTCTCGATAATTTTCATTAACCAGAATTAATGTAGAACTTAATTCCAATCACTGATTATTAAGGAAAACAAAATGCATTAGACGTAATGTTATGACAGTTTGTGATTTCGGTTGGTTTCAAGTTGAATCTTAAATGATTTTAATGCTGATGAGAAAAAGAAGTATCTAATGGGTTATTATGGAACTCTTTTCTTCATCGTATCTAATGCAATAAAAGTTAAGACTTTTATTCGAAAAATAAAATAAAATTTAAAATAAAAAAAGATCTTTCTAACAAAAATTGTTTGCGTCTGATTGAAGAAACCGTGGAATCAAATTTTATTTCAATCGCCATTGCGTGATTGATCAATTAAAAAATTAACAGCAGGTAAGATTTCTCCGGCATCTGACTACTAATTACAAAGGCAACCCCCCTTGAGCAGTTTTTATTTTCTTTAGAAACGATGAACATTCTTTAACTTCAAAATAGCTCGTTTTAATGTGAACATCGATTATTGTGTACCTAAATATTCATTTAGAATATAATAGAGCTATGTAATCTAAATAATTGTGATTTGTAAATTGTAGATCGTTAACGTGATTTCTAATTCAAACTGTCAAAGTTTTTTTAAGCTTTTGATATCATATCCACAAATTTGGAGAACAATGATACAAAAAAATTGGTTGAATTAAGTAATCAAGTTTCACACAAAGCAATACATGATTTTTATTGTTGCTGTAGGAATTTAGGAATCAAACCAAACAATATTCTGGCATTTATGTGAGTTACCATAACAGAAAAGTAATTGAAACTTTAATTTTCTGATTTCTTTTCATAATTTGTACAATTTCCTTGAATTTTAATACTGATGTAATTACATAGTTGTTGCTTTTATACTATTTTATACTATTCGTAATTGAACAGCGGAGAGAAACATTTGTTCTTGTTACAAACAAATCATTTATATAAATGTTCGCACTTGTACTATCAATTATGAGATATAATTGAATAACGATACATCAGATAAGAATTTAATTATCATGTAAAATATTTCAAGTTTATCCATGAAGCTTATTTCACTTTAAACATGATAGAAAAAATTATTAATGTAAGTAATTTAAGTGATGAACACTTTTCCCGTCAAAAGCTTCTTTCTTTTTAAATTTTCATATGGAAAAACTGGAATTGCGAAATCGTCGAAGTGAATTTTCAGTTTAAACTGCTCTCATTCTAATTTTAAATATTTTGATTCTTTTATACTGTCCGTGAGAATTATTTTTATTTTAAATGTGTAGCAGACATGATGAGATCGAAGTTTAAACATGGTGCTTCGATGGAATATTTCGTTGTGAGAGTTACGCCCCTGTTATCTTCCAAAATTCTTTTTTGTTGAACATGGAATTTTTCTAATTCTCCTAATTCTTTTGATATGTGTTTTCGCTGTATTTTTCCTTCTTTTATTGGAAGAACGCAGCCACATTTCAAGAGTATAATATATACGAAAAATATATAAACACATTATCGTCGAATCTTTTATAGTTTTAACTTTAAAAAGTGATTATCCTCTCATGTTGTCGATTCCCGAAAAAGGAACATAAAATACAAAATGATAAAGTATTTTTCTACAGGTATATTTTAAAAAGAATTCGTTGCGCGGTGTTTTACAAAAAAAATAAACATACAATTTACGATAAACATTAACCGAAAAATAATAATAAAAAGGTAGGAAAAAGAAAATGAATTCAAAATTGTATATAAAAAATTAAACCTTATTTCTCTCTCTCCGCTTTCAACTCACCTTTTGCTCATTTATATAAAAATTCAACGTGTGTGGTCTGCTTATTGTTGAAGCTTTTGACTTTTAGTAACAATTTGAAGATGTAATGATACAACAAAAAACATCTATCAAAATTAAATAATATGATACAACAACACAACACGACATAGAATAACAACAGCAATAAAACTAGAACATCAAGAAAATAGAGAAACAGAATAGCTGATAATTTGTTTATGTATACCGTTTCATATAACAAAGTGGCCATTGTTAAGAGCTGTGCTTACCACAGATCGAGTTAATAGAAAAACATTCATATTATGAAACCGGAGAGAACGTAAACAAAAGCGATTGAAACATTTACGATCTATTCCCGCATCTTAATGATTCTAATTATAAGATGGTTCCTAAAGTGGAAATATTTTAATGGAATCATCTAAAACCCAAGCTAAGCCTCTAACGAACGAGAAATTTAAAATCATTATTTTATATTTTCATTTTCGAGATTTTTTTACGGGAAATGATGGCCTCAACATGGCTAACAAAATATTTTTTCAAAAGCAGTTTTAATTGCGGCAATAATGAAGAAAGAAGAGGAATCAGCTTAAGGTGATAGAAGATGAGAAAGAAAATGCATTTTGAAATGTGATCAATGTTTTGATTTCTCATTTCGGGTATGAATATCTACAAATTTGTTCCTAAAATGTGTTCTTTTATTCTTTCTATAAATCAACCATTTTCAAAATTCACCCTCGATGATAATAGAGAAAAAAGTATAACAAAAACCACATTGTAAACATACAAAGATGAGCGACAGATGTTGTTAAGTACTTGAAAACCCTCTGTCATTATCATTTCATGGAAACCAATATTTTCATGTTACATTGGCAACAAGGGGATGATAGACTGAATTATTCAATTTGTGCTTTCGATTATTACATCTATGTGCCATGTTTTTACGCAATGAACAAATTTATTGTTAATATCGTGGTCGTCTTCTGACAAAAAAAGTGTAAATTGAAAAAAGAGAGATTGGTTGATGGCAGTAAACAGACACAGAAAACAGCAACATCGTTTGCAGTGAATTATTGAATTTATGCGGTATTTTGCTTAATGTTGAATTGTGAATAATTCAACACGCTGAATAAGCATATCCAAAATATTAGCTAATATCTATCAAGATTTATTTAAATTTATAAATTATTTACTTAGATACTTTGTTAGGGGACGGAATTTCAGTCGCACCCACAATTTCATGTTACAGAAACATTATGTGCGTAAATGATAAGAATGTTTTTTTAATAAACAAATTTATATTAAATCTCCATAGTCAATTTCAGTCCCCACATTTTCTTTTCCTTTTAATCATTTACAAATCTCAATCAATTTCAACAAACATTAAGGAACTAAGTATATTTAAGTTTATCAAGTAATTAATATTCATTCGAACAGGAGAAGGGTAAGAGAGTGAATCTATTTTGATATTTCATCACAAAGTTAATCGCTGATTGTTTTCCTTACCATACCCTCAAAAGTAGGAAGATTTAAAATTTTATTCCTTTTAGTAACGAACAAAGTTAATGTTTTCATAGCAAAGATAAAATTGTTGATTTATAACTACACTGTTTTCAACTTCAACTAGTTGTATTTTTTAAAATTCGATAAACAAAGGTATGGAAACATTTTTCAAGTCAACTGTTACTAGAACATATCTAGAACCTAATTCTCTCTTTCCTTTCTGTTTACCTACCGAGGATCTTCATCAATAAGATTGTCAATGAGATAAAAAGCTCAATGTCTTGCCATTAGTATGAAGGGAAACAATACGATGCGGCAATATGACAATTATTTCTTAAGGTTCCTTTTTAAAATAAGTATTAGGTGCTATTTGAAAAGAAAAGTGGCACTACATGCCTCCTGTTGACTTTTTGAACAACGCCGATCTTTTGTTGTGACAATGTTTTGAAAATATTTGTTACAAAATAGGTTAACTTTTGCGCCCAACATGTTTTGACATAAGTTAACCGCATTGATAATAACCTTTGTTGCAAGAAACTATATTTCTTCTTGAATAGACCACACATTATGAGAGGATTGGCCGACTCGATTAAATAAATTTTGTTAAATGCCAAATTTCGATGGGTTATGACGGTGCGTCGATTATTATTGTACAATAAATAAATAAATTCACTTTATTCTTTGCATAAAATGATTCAAAATCACTTCTTTAATTTTTATCATGTTGAATTTGTTTAATACAAATGTCGCTTCATGTTATCATTATTAAACATGAAAAGGTTTCGTCGATGAGATTCTAGAATCCCAAAGCAAATGGGATTGAATGTTATCATTTTTATTAAGTGAAACTTATGTAAATAATTTGTAAATTTTTAAGTAGGATGTGGAATGAATGATACAAATCGCTTGAATGATTTTATAGAATTAAATGAAATAAATCTTAAAAATTATTATGTGAACGTACACATACATTTATCTTTTTTGTACATAGGCAATTAAAGTGAGAAGAAAAGGTTTGCTTACAAATGATCCTAAATATAAATTAAGACCAACTATTAAAGTGTTTTGAAGTCAAAATATTTTGACTTTCAAAGAATACAATAGTTTTCCTTTACAGGTAAAATCCTTCAGATCAATAAGCTTGATTTTCTCCGCTCGACGTTTCTATAACAAAGACTTGTTTTGAGTGAAAAAATGTAACTTCAAGACAACATGCTTTGAAATTGCTACACAGTTGACGAACAAATTTATTGTTAAGATGTCAAAGGATGCCGCAAAATTTTGTCGCAAAATCAAGGTGGGTGGCCATTAATAAATATCTAAATTTACGGTCGCCTCGATTGATCCTTGGGAAAGTTTTGTATTTGAAACATAATTTTTATTTTACTTGAGAAGATATATATATGAAAGCTATCTATAAGAAGAAAGATTTGATTTGTAAAGTGCACTAATATTTCTTTCTAAATATTGTATTAAATGAAAATAATGGAAGATACAATTCAATTGGTTTATATTATTTTATTTTAGCTTCTTATTTTTATGTCATTATTTCTTTCAAATCAGCATTGAAAATAAATTTTTTCCTGAAATTGAAAGAAATATTGATTTTTAGGATCAATTACTTTGATTCTTTTTAAATCAGAACAATTTAAAGAAAAACAATTACCGATTGTCCCCTGACCTAGGAAATTCTGATACAGGACTAGATACTTTTTAAAGGGGTTATTAATAAATGAACTTAATACTTTATCTGTATAATTTTCATGTAGTAATATGTAAAAGCATAAAAATACTAATTTTCAACATAAATTGCTAGCCTATACTGATTATGATTCATTTTTTCAAGCCAATAATCTTGTCATCCAATTTTTTCAATCAAAGATCACAAATTCATAAGAAAAATCATCCAAAATTTTAACTAAGTTAAAAACATGTTGTTATTAGAAATAAGATTAATAAATTATTAAATATTCGATTGTTTTCATTATTTCAAAAGCTCTCATGATAGTCAAGTCAATAATATTTATGTTCATTGAAAAGGATTCGCAACTTGACTCTCAAAAGCTTTTCTTAGTTACTTGACTTCGCCATGTGCTATACGGTTGCGTTCACTAACATTTCTTCAATTAATCTGAACAAATGTTCGAAAATTCGATGTTTTTCAAATAAACGGAAGCTATCGTAGTGTTTTCTCAAGTAAATATTTGGTAAAATGAAACTTTAATATTTTATCAACAGTAAATTACATCTCATGCTTATTACTGAGAATATTTTCATAAATATCTGATTTAATTTGCTCACAAAAATCTCAGTTATGATATCATTTTATTTCCGTAAAAATCTTATTCTCAATCGATGTTCATCAATAAATGTAACGATATTGACAAGCGGACATAATAAATCGAACTTCACTTTTATTTTGCAGCACTCAATGTTTTTAAAGTGTGTATGACCATAAAGTATAAAGTTGTGTTTGTGCGTTCCTTCAAAATTTGTATTTTAATGTTTTTTCGTTCCGCTAAGAAAATATGTATTTTGTAATATAAACATAACTAAGAATAACGAAGTGAATATATAATTTTAATAAGTTTTTAATAAATAATCAAGTTTACACAATGAAATTTCGATAAATGTCAAATTTACGAAAATAATTGAAAATTAAACATCGACCGGAACTTTTAAAGGAGAAAAAAAAGAAAATCAAAGCAAAAGTAATATTGTATAATCGTGATAAAAATTGATATTAACTATAAGTATTCTTTGAATGAAAGTCTACTTATCTCAACTTTCTTCATATTATTTTTGTTAATTCAGTGTTTCAATCAAAATAAACAACTGGTTGAAGTGTTAGTTTTTCAAAGTATCGTTTGTCCCCGCCATGTTTAATGTAATTTTTTTTTGTTACAAATGTGACGAAGGGAATCTCTTCTTCTGCATATGCTAAACTTTTTTCTAACAATTTTTATGAATCATTTTTATGATTCATGATAAAGGATAGTCATTTAGAATACATTAGCAGAAGGATGACATATAAATTATTGTTTGATGTCTTTCCCATATAGATTTTTACTAAATCAGGTGTTAAAATTTTATCCAATCAATAATTTTTCTCAGAAAATTGTCAAATGACTATTGAATATACGACACATACTTTCATCCAAAGATATTTTGAGGAAAAATTGATCCAATTATTAAAATTTTGTGACAAATTTTATTAAATTTGTGTTCAGGTTTTTCATTTATATTAAAATAATTGTTTATAGATATCGGAAATATAGCAGTGAAATAACAAAAAGAAAATGATTTACTCATACGAAAGAAAAATATGAAAGAAATCATGGAAGATGGTAGAATAAATGGAATAAAATTTCAAGCAACAACATTTTCATCAGTATTGGGACACGCACAGTATTAACAATTAACTTAAGAAATAATAAATCTGAAAAAAATGGATAAGAAAGATAAGAAAGCGATCGAAGATGCTTTAAAGAATTCATTTATGCCAGGAATGGCTGCCAATCCCTCTGCTTTCTTAGACGCAGCTTCATTATTAGGTAAATAAGTTAAATTGTTAAATATTTTGGATTTTCTTACCAATTTGTTATCATAGCTTATTGGGGAAACGGAACAACAAACCGTGACGCAACTTCAATGCCCTTTTTACCATTTTCCGGTGGATTTGGTATGCCACCAATGAATTCATCACCTTCATCAAGTTCTTACGACAAAACCTCATCTCAAATGCAGCAAGCCTCATCAAATTTAAATGCCAGTAAGTATTTTGTTTCATAATTATGCGTAAATTTTTATCTTTTGCTATCTTTCAATTTTAGATTGGTACGCAATGGCTCAAATGGCAGCTCAGGATTACTTTTCACGTTTGCAAATGTCTGGAATGGTTCATCCCGATATGGCAAATTTTCCATTAGGATCACTCAATGCATTGCATAATTCTCCATCATTACCTGGAAGTTCTTCTTCAGGAAATCGCCATAACTTAAAGAGAAAGGAAAATTCTGATGATATTGGGAAATCAACAAACTCAAAAGATGTAAATTGATTTAATGTTTGACGTTTTCTTGTATTAATCATATTTAATTATTTCAGAGCTCGAAGAATCGAAATAACAACAATCAAAGCTTATCGAACACTCACCAAAACACTTCAAATCTTCAAAAAGAGTTACTAGCAATGTCAGTAGCTGCAGCTGCATCGTTAAATTCAGTTAAAGACACTGATGGACAAATGTTGAAATCGTCAAGAAAGGGAAAGAATTCATCACGAAATAATCCTTATAGTCAAAGCCAATCACCAACACAATCATTCCAAAGTTCATCAAGATCAAGTGATTATCAAAGTTCTTCTAAAGATCTACAAAAAAATGCAGCAAATTACTCGAGTAGCTCATCATTGTTAGGCGTTCGACTTCCACCTGATACAGAAATTATTAAATACACATCAGGATCAAAAAAATCATGTAAGTATTCAAGAATCTTTTTTTTATTTAAACTTTCAAACATTTTATGTGCTTTAGTGTTCTTAGATCTGCAAAATTTTCTTTTAGCAAACTCTAATCAATCGCAGCTTGAAATGGATTATCAAATGTATCCAAAGAAGACAAAATTGGTAAGAAAAATGAAAGAAATTTGAATATTTTTAAACTTTTCATTCATTTCCTTAAGGATTGTTATGAAGAGAAATCAAAGAATGATCGTGTTGAAGTAATTAAACTTCCAGCAACAATTAGTGGATCAAATGGAAGTGTTAACGCTAAATCATTGTCATCTGAAAATAAAGATTGGAATTATGATGCTTCAAACTTAGTTTCTAAAAATTCTCATTCCTTCAATGATGCTGCCGATGCACCTTTAAATTTGTCACTGAAATCATCATCATCAAGTTCACCAAAACAATCATCAACAACAACCACAACAACATCTACTAATGACATGAATAATGACAATGTTTTAGATCTGATAATGAATAAGAATTCTGGAAAGTGCTCAGACACAAACGCATCAGTTAACAACTTAAGTAATTTACAAAGTTTAACAGCGGGGATTGGAATTTTAAGTGGAGATTCAAAAGGACAATTTAAAGAAGGGCGCCCAAGAAACTTGGGAAGAGGAGTTTCAAAGCCAAAGAAAAACACTGTAGCATCTTTGCTAGCTCAAAGCCGAGCTGTCGGTGTCAAACCACAACAATTATTAAATGCAAATTGTGATTTTGAAAAAATTCGCCAAGCATTGTTAGATTCCAATCACAATAATTCCGATGTCCAGTCAAATACTGACTCTGAAAGTTACAATGACACATCAGGTGTGTCTGAATCTGAAGGTGAGAATGATAATGCGAATGTGGAAGAGTTAAGGAAACCACTTGTTGATGGTTGGAAAAGAGAAACAATTATCAGAGGTCTAACAAAGTCAGGACATTTGAAAGGTGATGTTTATTATTATTCACCTTACAATCCAACTGTAAAGTTAAAAACAATGGCACAAGTGAAACAGGAAATCAGTAAAAATAAATCGCAATTGAAAGATGTTAATTTTAGTTTCACGGCAAGAAGAATTGTCGGAAGTTACTTACAAGCAGCACCAGCTCCATATGCGACTGACGGTGAATATGTAAGAATGACTGATTATGAAGTTGCACAACGATTAGAAGAAATTCGATTGTATACGAGACAATCAATGACACAGTTGAATGTTGAACAACGAATAGAAATTGCACGTCAACAACAACTTCTTCGAGATGCCAAGAAAAATATTAAAGATGAGACTATAAAGACTAAAGAAAAAGTAAAGCACAGCAAGGAAATTGAACGCTGTGAGAAATATGAACAACAAAGGAAAGAACGAGAACAGAAAACGTTGCAACATCAAGAAGCTCGTCGTAAGCGTGAAGAAGATGCAGCGAGACAAAAGATTGAAGATCAACGTAAGAAACAAGAAGAGAAAGAACGCCGTCGTCAACATTTAGCAATCATCAAGCAGCTTGAAATTCGAAGGAAATATGAAGAACGTGAGAAGAAACGACATCAAATGTTGTTGGAGAAATTGATAGCACGTGAGAAGAAATTGGCAGCTAAGAAATTTGATTCGAAAATCTTATTGGAACTTAGAAAGCCAAAAGAAGATTCTGAGATAAGAAATAAGATTGAAATACCATCAATACCTCGAATTGGTGGCATGCGATTAGCCGGTCAAGGATTTGCTGATCTTCTTATGAGTTTTGAATTTCTTCATAATTTCGGTGAAACTTTAGGATTTGGTGAGTTGAAATTTGATTTCTTTTCAGCATCATGAGATGATTTTTAATTTCTTTTTATCACAGATATGGAATCTTTACCAACTCTGCAATCGCTGCATAATGCTTTAAGTCATGAAAATGCTGTTGAAGCTGAAGATGAACTTTTATCTGTCATAACTCATCTTTTAGTGTGTGCCATTGAAGATCCAGGCATTCCTAATCCCAATCGGCATTTAACATTGTTGGGACAAACACTTAGACAAGCCGACATAACTCATCAAAATGTTTCAGAGATTTTAAGAATTTATCTTTACTCAGTGGCGACAGGTGAAGTTCGACAACAGACTGGAATAAATTTTGAGAGAGAAAGGTGTGGAAAGTTTGGTGATTTACATAATAACGACACAGATGAGAGACAAACAAACATTAACAACAGCAAGAATATGCAATTTTATGAAATTCTTCATGACAACGAACGTTACAAACTTTCAGAAAGTCTTAAAGATAAACCTTTTGTTGCTTTGAATTCGACAGTGAAAGCACAGATATTAGCAATGTTATGCAATGATTTGCTTCTTAATAAAGCTGTTTGTAAGCAGATTGAAAGTGGTTTAGAATCGCAAGCTGTTCTAAAGAAGGAAAGATTTCTCCTTGACAACAAAGTGCGTAAATATAAATCGCTAGTCGCGCGAAAGATTAAAATCGAACAGTATGAAAAGTCACAACAACTTTTGAAGAAAGAAATTGAGAACAATGAAGATGACAAGAATGGTTCATTGATTCAGGATGAAAATCAAATGGGAAAAGATGAGAAAGAAGTCGAAAATGTTACGGAAAAGAATGAAATTGATGAAAATTCTTTAAATACTCAAAATGATTTACAAACGAAATCTGAGAATCAAGTTGCTGATCGAAGTGAGATTGTTGTTGGTGGTGGGAGTGCGAATGGTGGAAAATTAGAAGAGAAACTTGACGATGATAACAGTGAAGATGAAAGTGAAATTGAAGAAGATGAAGATAAAGCAATGACATCGGATGAAGTTCAAAAGAAGCTTGAGAAAATCTTAGAACAATCATTTCATACAAAAAAACAACTACAAAAAGCTCTCAACTCGTTAAGAGCGAAACATTATGGACAAGACAGGTATTGGCGTCGTTATTGGTATCTGCCGAAATGCGGCGGCATTTATGTTGAAGGGTTGGAGTCAGCTCAAGGGGATTTGTATAAATATCAGGGAAGATTGGAAGAGATTTTGAATAAAGATGTGATGACAGCAAAAGATGTGACAGAAAATAATGAAACAACAGGAAATGATGAAGAAGAAGAAGTTATTAAAGAAGAAGAGGAAGAAGAAAAGCCTAAAATATTAAATTCCAATAACAATTCATCACAAAACGAAGAGAAAGTTCAGGAAAACGTTTTTAATACACCACAAAAGAGTCACAACTTAAACATGCAACATCATAATAAATCAAATCAAGAAGACGATGATGACTTTGATATCGAAAATTCCATTCCAACAGCAATTCTTGTTCAAAAAGGAAACAAATTAGATGACTCAAAGTTTGTTGAAATTAATCATGTCGTTCCATCGAATCCAAATCAATCATCGATTGATGATGAACAAAATATGATGAAAGAGAATTTAAATGAAACAAATATGAATTTAGAAGCGACATCGAAGAAGATTAAATATGAGTATGAAGAGAATGATGATGTGACGATGGAAGGTGATGAGAATGTTCATAACAACATTAAAGAAGAAAGTGAAGAAAGTGTCAACGAAGATAAAATCGAAAATCCTCAACTTTTGTCAAAATGGTTTTCATTGATTGAAAAGGAAGTTCCATTGGTAGCAACAGAATGTCCGCTTCTCTCCAACATGTTTATTATTTATCAGAATCAACAATGCAAAGATGAGCTCATTCTGCAAGGACATCAATGGGAGATTCAAAATAATTTACATTTCTACAATCCAAAAGCTGATGAGAAGCATGAAAGTTTCATCGATTTCAAGAACGAATCAATTTTGAGTACGTCAGGTTTGAATGAAAAAATGATGAATCAAATTATGGACAGTGAAAGGAATGGCGGAACTTTAGGAGACTTTAATGACATGATTAAGATCAAGAAAGAATCTAATATAGATATTTCTTCAACAAATATGAAGACAAATAATTTCTACAATCAAAGTCATTTGTTTTCATTGCCATCGATTCAAAACATGTCGATAAATAATTTGAGTGTGTTTGTGCAGTGTGAGAATTTAAATTCAACAAATATTACACCGGAAGAACAAGACGCTTTGGAAGATGTGAAGAAGAATGGCGTGCAGAAGTCACTTGAAGGATCTTTAGTGCCAAGAGAAACACGACATGGATGGTGGAAGATTTCTGAGATTGAAGACATGAATAGTGTCATTAAAAGTCTTCATCCGAAAGGTGTTCGTGAGAAGAATTTGAGACAAAACTTAATGTCGGCGTTGGGTGAAAGTATAGACTTGACAATTCCATGTCCAGTTTCAAATCCAAGAGCGCCACCGCCACCAAATGGTTACGTCGAGCCTGAAGCATTCAATGCATGGAATCCAAGAGTAGCTAAACGTGTCGAACAACAACTTCTCGATCAAGTTGAAGCATTAGAAGATAAAATAGCGAATGGATCAATGCAAGTTAAAGGATGGATCGTTCCACAACGTGACAATGATTCGGAGAGTGACGATGCACTTGAAAGTATTGATTTGAATCTTATTAAAGATCGCATAACAAATCTTGAAGCAGCTATTGAAAGACGATATTTGAAACCACCACTTGGAAACAAGTAAATGAATGAATAACGATTTATTTACTTATTTAATTACATTCTATTTAATTATTTAGCACTGGAGAAGCACAATTAATGAATGCAACTGTTCCAAGTGATCAAAATATTTCAAATACAAGCAATGGAAGTAACACAAGTTTGACTGATGTTGAAAGTGTTACAAAAGGTGAGAAAAAGATGAAAGCAAACAAATTTCTTTAATTATTTACATGAAATTTTTCATTAAGGTTTATCGTCATGGCGTGAAGCTGTTCAACGATCTGTTACTTCATCACAATTGTCAATGGCACTTTATACTCTCGAGCAGTGTGTTGCTTGGGATAAAAGTATAATGAAAGCTGTAAGTTTGAATGAAAATCATAGACGAGAATTTTCATTAATTAAATTTCTTTCAGAATTGTCAATTTTGTCAATCGGGAGAGTCCGAAGATAAACTATTGCTATGCGATGGTTGTGACAGAGGATATCACACATATTGTTTCAAGCCTAAAATGGATAAAATACCAGAAGGCGATTGGTAAGTTTTAAAAGAATTTAGAAATTAATTTTTTAATTAAACTTTTTTCTATTATCTCATTAAGGTTCTGCTACGAATGCTTGAATAAAGCAACAGGAGAAAGGAAATGCATAATTTGTGGTGGAAATCGCCCTCAACCAGTTGGAAAATTAATTCTTTGTGAATTATGTCCACGATCATATCATCAGGATTGTTACATACCACCAATGCTTAAAGTGCCAAGAGGAAAATGGTATTGCACTAATTGTGCAAGTAAAGCACCGCCTAAGAAGAAACCAGTTCGAAAGCCTAAAGAACTAAAGACTCATAACTCATCTCAATCGTTGGATTCATCACATGACGAAGTTATTCCGAATAGGTAACTTCTAAAAAAACAAAAATTCTGCTGTGAAATGATTCATTCATTCATTCCATTCATTCGTTCATTGTGTTTATTGTTTATATGTATAAATGTTTTACACAAACACACACACACACTCAAATATTTACTGTACAAAAATTCTTCATGCTTACTTACTGCTCTATTAGCCCGGAACCATCGTTGACATCAATTTCACTTGAAGACCATCAATCATCAATCTTAAATTCAACTCCAGTGATTGCAAATATAAGTGAACCACCATCGCCATCGTTCAATCTTCCTGCTCCTGTTGGAACAACTGACATCAATGAGTTAAGCAGCAATGACGAGAATAACATTGAAAAGAATGATCATTATTCAAAGGATCATAAAGAGAAAGATGAAATTAAAGAGAAATTGAAGGCTGAAAAGAAAGCCGCAAAGAAGCTGATGAAGGAACTCACGATATGCAAAATAATTTTAGAAGAGATGGAGGTAACATTTTATATGGAAATTATCTTTAATAATTATCTAATTTTATTTCCTTGTGTCGTCAGGTTCACGAAGACTCATGGCCATTCTTACTTCCAGTAAACACAAAACAGTTTCCAACTTACAAAAAGGTCATTAAAAACCCAATGGATTTGTCAACTATTAAGAAACGTTTACAGGATTCAATGTAAATCATGAAATTTTAATTTTTTTCTTTTTCCTAATTAAATTCTATTTTCAAACAGATATAAATCTAGAGACGACTTTGTCGCAGATGTTCGTCAAATTTTTGATAATTGCGAAGTATTTAATGAAGATGATTCCCCTGTTGGAAAAGCAGGACATGCTTGTAGACAGTATTTTGAATTAAGATGGGCTGAACTTACTGAGAAGCACTCATGATACTCAGTAAAAATATAAGTTTAAATGATATTTTGACTTAACGTAATATTAATAAACTAATAATTCAGTGAATGTTTAAAGATAATAAATTAATGTGTTTGTTAAATAGCTTGCTCTTAAATTTACAGTATTTGAAAATAAAATTTTCTCGCATTTATTTTGAATTTAAAATTTTCCCGCACTTTTTTTAAAATAAAAGCTTTCGAAAATAAGAAAAAAAGTATGACGAATGAAGTAGTGTGTGTAAATCACAATATTTTGTTTTGCTCACTCACACTATGAAAGTGTACTGTCAGATGTGTAGTAGACGTAGACCCCTCGGAAGTGAAAAAAAAGTCATAAGAAGAAAAGAAAATATTGAAATTATAGACCATCTCCATCTTATTAGTCATAAAATGAAGTGTTAAGTTTGTAAGGATTGTTTTCATTTCATGAGACTGTAGTTCCCAGATTTGAGTAAAATGGAGAAGCCTAAAATCGATAATTCTTCATCTGAATGCAGAAAATTAAATTTTGATGATGATGAAGTCAAAGGCTCGAACGACAACAAATCGCGGGCTACTAAGAAGTCTTCAGAAATAAATACAGGAGCTATTCAAAAAAAGAAACATCCACTCAAGATGATTAAGCCTTCCAACTCATTTAAACAATCGGATACAGGTAAGTGAAGGAAAACAAAAAAAGAAAGAAAAATTCTTCATTGAATGTTTTGCATTTGAATATCAATAGAAAGTCCTTCAAACATGATGAAAATGAGAAATTCCCAATTGGGAAAGTCTGCACCTTCATTGAACGCTAAAAGCTTAAAGGATACTTCAGAATGTCCAGTCATAATGCGACGAGTTCATCAAACATCACAAATTCGTAGCCCTGCAGTCAACCGCATAAGTTTTTCATCTTGTTTAAGTCCACGCTCTGAATCACCAATATCAAGATCACCACTTGATAGTCCTCGTATCAATTCACCAAGCGCAAATCACTTTCAATTCATGCCATTTAAAAGATTATCAGCTAATAAAGTTCACGATAACTGCCGTAGATGGTCGATTGTTTCTCTGCCATCAAGTTCGGGATATGCTAGCACTACAACACCTTGTAGCTCTAACATTTCTGTAAGTTATTAAATTCCTCAATGTAAAGCTTTTTAAATGTTAATCTGACACATTTCCATGTTCCATTTTCTAGTCACAATGCTCTAGTCAGGAGCGATTGCACCAGTTCCCTCATGCACCAACAAATGATGAGCTACGATTATTAAATAATCGTTTTTCGGGAAATGAAACAACAAACCGTACTCACCAAGTAGTTCAGAAGCAACAATCACATCCACTCTCACAGAACACAACGAATGTTTCGCCACTTACCATTCAACAACAACAACCAAACTTTAGAAAGAGTTTCACATCATCACATAATTCTTCTTTTCAAAAGATTTATCCTTCATCATCGACACCGCCGTTAAACTCAAGTGACACAAGTAATGAAGGAAGTTTACATGGTGAAAGACAACGTCCGATGGTGTTTCGTCCACGATCAAGAAGTCTCAGCTCACCAAGTCGCTCACCAATTGCAGATGGCAACAACTTATCAACAATGAATCATTTGTTCAAAGAACGATTTCCAAAAGCACAACTTCAAATGGATGAACGCTTAACAAACTTCATTAATGAATATAAAACTTCATCCACATGTTCTAATCGCAATCGAGATTCTCAGCCAATCGTACGATTTGTAACCAATCAAGTTGTTGAGATTGCACGAGATTGTCTTCATAAATCACATTCGAAGCAACTTCTAACCAGTCGATATTTTTGTGAAATGTCAGAAAACTTGCAACGTCTTCTTGTTGAGTCGAATGAAAAGTCACAATAAAAACAAAAAAAAATAGAAGCAGCTGAAGATCAAGCGAAAAGATGACAGCAATCGTCAAAGGTTTGTTTGAATCATCATTTATCACGCAATCTGTTAAAAATGCTTTCTGTTTGTTTCTTCATTTAGTGATAATTCTAATGATGATAGCAACAGCAAAACAAATGACAAAGAATGCGACACAACAATTATGTTTCATTACCAACATCCAACGACACTTCATGTTTAACATCAACACCAATTAAAGGATCACAATCTGGTACTGGAACTGGAACTTCTGGACCGAATGAGCATGATTATGAGATTCTAAAATTAATTTCAAATGGAGCTTATGGTTCTGTTTATCTCGTCAAACATAAAACATCACGACAACGTTTTGCATTGAAGAAAATTAACAAAAATAATTTAATGTTGAGAAATCAGGTTGAACAAGTGTTTGTCGAACGAGATATTCTATCATTTGCTGACAATCCATTTGTCGTGAGTATGTATGCAAGTTTTGAAACAAGAAAGCATTTATGTCTTGTCATGGAGTATGTGGAAGGTGGTAAGTGGATAATTAATTAAACAATTCCATTGTCAGTTGATGTTATTAATTAATTTATGTGTTAAGGTGATTGTGCTTCACTTTTGAAGAATACTGGTCCATTACCATCAGATATGGCGCGACTTTATTTCGCTGAAATGGTTTTGGCTGTTGAATATCTTCACAGGTTTGTGTTTTAATTAAACATTAAATTTTTTATCTCATTTTAATCTTTTTAATAGTTTTGGTATTGTTCATCGAGATCTTAAACCAGACAACATGTTAATAACAGCTTTGGGTCACATAAAATTAACTGATGTAAGTTTATTAATTATTATTTATAATGAATTAAATGAATTAATATTTAATTAGTTTGGGTTGTCAAAAATGGGACTTATGAGCTTAACTACACATCTTTATGAGGGATATGTTGATATCACCAACNACTTCAAATGGATGAACGCTTAACAAACTTCATTAATGAATATAAAACTTCATCCACATGTTCTAATCGCAATCGAGATTCTCAGCCAATCGTACGATTTGTAACCAATCAAGTTGTTGAGATTGCACGAGATTGTCTTCATAAATCACATTCGAAGCAACTTCTAACCAGTCGATATTTTTGTGAAATGTCAGAAAACTTGCAACGTCTTCTTGTTGAGACGAATGAAAAGTCACCGGAAGCCGCTGGTGAAATTGCAAGAATCATTAAAAAACTCATTCTCATCATATCTCGTCCCGCTCGACTTCTTGAATGTCTTGAATTCGATCCAGAAGAATTCTATAAACTTTTAGAAGCGGCTGAAGATCAAGCGAAAAGTCATATCGCTTCTGATTTACCCATTTACATCATCACAAAGCTTGGTCTGAACAGAGATCCACTCGCTGATTTACAGCAATCAAGCAGCAATGAAGAGGCAAACGAACGAAAATGTGATAAATCCCCAAATATTAGCAGCTTAGATGACAGCAATCGTCAAAGGTTTGTTTGAATCATCATTTATCATGCAATCTGTTAAAAATGTTTTCTGTTTGTTTCTTCATTTAGTGATAATTCTAATGATGATAGCAACAGCAAAACAAATGACAAAGAATGTGACATAACAATTGTTCCATTACCGACATCCAACGACACTTCATGTTTAACATCAACACCAATTAAAGGATCACAATCTGGCACTGGAAATGGAACTTCTGGACCGAATGAGCATAATTATGAGATTCAAAAATTAATTTCAAATGGAGCTAATGGTTCTGTTTATCTCGTCAAACATAAAACATCACGACAACGTTTTGCATTGAAGAAAATTAACAAAAATAATTTAATGTTGAGAAATCAGGTTGAACAAGTGTTTGTCGAACGAGATATTCTATCATCGAGATATTCGATGGCAATTGTGAATGTTTGAATGCAATTTTCAATCGAACTGGTTGCATGGCTGCATTTGATTCATTTGATCATTGAAAGATGATGAAAGATCAACAAAGAATTACAAAGAGAATGCATAAGATTTGTACAACAACATGGCAATGGTACGATATTTCCTCATCCAAATGGAATAGTTATTCGCCACAACATAACAAAATGATTAATGACGCTTATATGGCGGGTGAAAGTGAAATTCATCTTGTTCTAAGTCGTCATCGTTACATCATTAACTTTAAATGTATGTCACAAATAAATGAAGAAAGTTCTAATCATCGTCCAATCATCATGGCTTTGAGATCAATTGAGACGATGAATAATCCAACAATTGGAAGTGGAATTTTTGATGAAAAGGCGGAAGAAGAAGAAGGTTCGTTGGCTAATGAAGATGATAATGACAACAATCAATCAACATCAACAAGAGAAAATATTCAATAACCATCGACATCAACTGAACCACAACCACAACAAGTTGAAAGTGTTAATCTTATGGATGTTGATACGCCAGCTAAAACTTATGCGAAAGTTCTCGAAGAGATTGAATTGGAGCCGTTGAGTAATTTTTGTCCAGAGGAAATTGTCTCATCATGCGTTCAATTGATGGCACATCAACAGTTAGATCGTGATACATTACATGCAATAATGCGAGTTGTTGTTCGTCTTACAAAGAATTATTCACTTGCTGAAGTGTTTGCAAGATTCGGTGGAATTGACGTTCTACTTAACATGAAACAAAATTCTGGTTACATTGGATTTACAACACTTGCAACACTTCTGATTCGTCATGTGATTGAAGAACCAAAAACATTATCACTTTCAATCCAAAATGTTCTCGCAAATCGAACATTAACAACAATTCCGCCAGGTCATCGTGAACTTTTATTTCTTATTCGTCAATTAAATTCTGCGGTTTATCGTGATCCACAATTGTTTAAAGAAGCAGCTTTAAAGATTCTTCGTGTTGACTTTGATTCAATGAAACGTTCACAAATCACTGATGAGAAACGTTTCATTATGAAATCAATTCCATTATCAACAAATATTAAATACAACATGGAACATTCAACAGCAATGTCAGCTGTTTGTAAATTATTAAAAGCATTAATTGAACCTGATGATGTTGGAAATGGCGCTGGTGGAAATGCCGATACAAATTCATGTAACATGATGTGGATACAACCAGAAAAAACATCGACAAGAGATGGACCGAGAAAAGAGAAATTTACAGCAACAAATGAGCAGCCTCAACAACAATCAGCTGATGATTTGAAGGAAAAACAAAATGGCGGCAATAACAACAGCGACAAGCCACTTTTATCAAAATCAGCAATCTTGAAGATTCTGGCNAATCGCAATCGAGATTCTCAGCCAATCGTACGATTTGTAACCAATCAAGTTGTTGAGATTGCACGAGATTGTCTTCATAAATCACATTCGAAGCAACTTCTAACCAGTCGATATTTTTGTGAAATGTCAGAAAACTTGCAACGTCTTCTTGTTGAGACGAATGAAAAGTCACCGGAAGCCGCTGGTGAAATTGCAAGAATCATTAAAAAACTCATTCTCATCATATCTCGTCCCGCTCGACTTCTTGAATGTCTTGAATTCGATCCAGAAGAATTCTATAAACTTTTAGAAGCGGCTGAAGATCAAGCGAAAAGTCATATCGCTTCTGATTTACCCATTTACATCATCACAAAGCTTGGTCTGAACAGAGATCCACTCGCTGATTTACAGCAATCAAGCAGCAATGAAGAGGCAAACGAACGAAAATGTGATAAATCCCCAAATATTAGCAGCTTAGATGACAGCAATCGTCAAAGGTTTGTTTGAATCATCATTTATCATGCAATCTGTTAAAAATGTTTTCTGTTTGTTTCTTCATTTAGTGATAATTCTAATGATGATAGCAACAGCAAAACAAATGACAAAGAATGTGACACAACAATTGTTCCATTACCGACATCCAACGACACTTCATGTTTAACATCAACACCAATTAAAGGATCACAATCTGGTACTGGAACTGGAACTTCTGGACCGAATGAGCATGATTATGAGATTCTAAAATTAATTTCAAATGGAGCTTATGGTTCTGTTTATCTCGTCAAACATAAAACATCACGACAACGTTTTGCATTGAAGAAAATTAACAAAAATAATTTAATGTTGAGAAATCAGGTTGAACAAGTGTTTGTCGAACGAGATATTCTATCATTTGCTGACAATCCATTTGTCGTGAGTATGTATGCAAGTTTTGAAACAAGAAAGCATTTATGTCTTGTCATGGAGTATGTGGAAGGTGGTAAGTGGATAATTAATTAAACAATTCCATTGTCAGTTGATGTTATTAATTAATTTATGTGTTAAGGTGATTGTGCTTCACTTTTGAAGAATACTGGTCCATTACCATCAGATATGGCGCGACTTTATTTCGCTGAAATGGTTTTGGCTGTTGAATATCTTCACAGGTTTGTGTTTTAATTAAACATTAAATTTTTTATCTCATTTTAATCTTTTTAATAGTTTTGGTATTGTTCATCGAGATCTTAAACCAGACAACATGTTAATAACAGCTTTGGGTCACATAAAATTAACTGATGTAAGTTTATTAATTATTATTTATAATGAATTAAATGAATTAATATTTAATTAGTTTGGGTTGTCAAAAATGGGACTTATGAGCTTAACTACACATCTTTATGAGGGATATGTTGATATCACCAACGAATCACGTCAATTTTCTGATAAACAAATCTTTGGAACGCCTGAGTATATTGGTAAATTAATAATTTCTTTTATTCTTATCGATTTCAATTAATCAAATGAATTTTAATCTCTTAATTAAGCTCCTGAAGTGATATTAAGACAGGGATATGGAAAAACGATTGATTATTGGAGCATGGGAATTATTTTATATGAATTTCTTGTTGGCTGTGTACCATTCTTTGGAGACACTCCTGAAGGTAAGAAAACTTTCCCCTTAATTAACTAATTAATTATAACCTTAATCTCGATTACATTTAATCTGATCTAATCTTGATATTTTTTAATCCATCTTTATTAGAATTATTTTCACATGTTGTTAACGATGCAGTTATTGAATTTCCTTCGGAGGAAGATTGGCCATTAGAAGCTAATAGTAAAGATCTTATCACAGCTTTGTTACAACAAAATCCGCAAGATCGTTTAGGATCAGCAGGACCGCAAGAAGTTAAAGATCATCCATATTTAGCTGACTTAGATTGGAATAGTTTGTTGCGTTATAAGGTTTGTAAAAACTGTCGTTACTTTAATAATCTATTGTACATTATTTAATCTTCTTTAGGCTGAATTTATTCCAAGACTTGAAAATGAAGAAGACACAAGTTACTTTGATACTCGTGCTGATCGATATAATCATGAATTTGATGACACAGACACTGATGATTCGCCGGTTTTGGCTTCAAAGTAAGTTTCAATATTGTTAGTGATTCAATAAATGTTAAAATAAATATTTCTTGAATATAGCTTCGCATCATACTCACCACAATATCGAAAGCAATATCATAGTCGTCAGATTTATTATGGAAGTGATGACAGCACAAGCAGTTTGAATGAATCAGGCAAAATAACACCAGATTTCAGACATTTAAATGTAAGTCAATCATCCTAATGTTTCTAAATTGGCGTTAAATGAATAATCGTTTCATAATTCAACAGATTAATCCATCAAAGATTAAAATGCCTTCCACACCTGTTGATTCGCCATTTGATTTATCAAGTGACATAAATTCACCAGATCGTCAAGCTCCGCCATACTTTCTACGACATCAACAAATTAAGAATGTTTTATCGACAGCTGAAGTATTGGAACAACAAAATCAAAGACTTCAAAAGTCTTTCAAAATGCTTAACATTAGCACACCAGACTCATCACAAACAGATCACTCAAGTGCTGATGATGTATCACCGAAGATTCAGAGACGAAGGAAGAATCTTATTGCAGCAGCTGCTGAAGAGAATGCAACAAGAAAGAATCATAATCTGCCGAAATTGTCAATATCATTGGAACATGAAACGCCGTCACAATTACTTCCATCACCAACTATTCAAAACGCTGATCATAATTTGAAATTAACTTCTGATAACTTAAATAAACGCGTTCTTAAGTCAGCATCGGCGATTGATTTGAGTTTGAAGATTATGCCGAACTACACAACAGCAGATAAAGTTGTCCCATCAAATGTCCGTAAAGCTAAAGTTAAGTTGGAAAGCAATTTCGAAGACAATCGACCATTAAAGCAAATGGGAAGTGATTCGAATCTTGATCTTGATTCATCATTCAATAAATCATTTAACAGCAGTGGAGGTGGTAATGGAAGTAGCACAGCGAGTAGTCGTGAAGTTAGTCCATCTCGTGATGGTCCATTAATAAATAATCTTAAACCTCCGTAAGTCTTTTTACAATTTCCACTTTTGAATTTTAATTAAAAATGATTTTCTTTCAGAATTATTTTACGACGTGGTCCACGAGGCTTTGGATTTACTGTTCACACAATTCGAGTCTATTTTGGTGACACAGATTATTACACAATGCATCATACTGTTATGGCAATTGATGAAGGTTCACCAGGTACGATGAAAATTTAATTAATTTTGATAGAAATTTTATTTTATATTCTTTCTCATTAATGAAGCATATGAAGCTGGTTTACGACCAGGAGATTTGATCACACATATAAATGGTGAATCAGTGCAAGGACTTTATCATACACAAGTTCTTCAATTACTTCTCTCAAGTCAAGAGCATGTAACATTGAGAGCGACTCCATTAAAAAATACAAGCATTCAAGTTGGTGGACGTAAAAGGGAACCAGGCCAAAGTAAAATGGCAAAGAAAGTCAATTCACGTCCGAAAAAGCAGAAAAGTTCAAGTGATAAGAAGAGACGAGCGTCACTCTTCCGACGAATCAGCAGTAAAATTGCAAATGCCGAAATTCAACAGGTGAAGTTTCATGTTTTATTTCTTTATTTTATCTAATTTACGATATTAATTTACTCTGTAGATGGCTTCAAGCGGCGCTCTTTCGCCAATCGCTCCAAGTCGAAGTCTGCAATCATTCGTTCGTTCACAAGATACTCGACCAAATCCAAGATTGAGTTTATCACCATTAGATCCATTCTATCAACAAGTAAATCTTTCGACACAATCAGTTGGTGGAAATTCATCACAATCATCATCACCTTCATCATCTGTTCCCAATACGCCGACATCTAATTTGAACACAACAACTCCAATTTATCATCAAAGACCATCAAGTCTTCATGGTTTAAAACATAAACTTCATACAATTGGAACTGGGAAATCGCCGTCATCAAGTCGAAGGAAGTCAGTTTGTGTGATTCCACTTTCACCACTTGCTCGAACTCCATCGCCATCGCCTTGTGGGCCAAGTTCACCGACAAGGTAATTAAACTTTACCTTCTTTGTTGACACGATAAAGAAACGATGATTTTATTGTTTCATAGATCGCCAAGTCCATTGGCTTTTTGTCTTGGACATCATCCTGCTGGAGCTTCAAACTTAACACAAAGTTATACACCAAACCAATCGTCAGCTAACAAACCGCAGTCATCTCATAGGATTCAAAAAGCTCATAGCTTTAAAAGTTGTGAAAAAGACGAAAAATCCTCTGAGAAATAGTAAATGAAAAAAGAAAAAGTCGACTGTAAGCTTAAACGTTATAAATAACATTCTAATTCTAACTTAAAAACAAACTACCTAATTAATTAATTAAAAGAAAGCGTAAAAAGTTTTTATTGTTCGTGAAGAAAATAATGCTTCTGTTTAACTTTTTTTTGTGTCCTCCCGGAGATTATAATTAAGCCCTTAAGAAGAAAATAGTAATTTAACAAAAGCTTTCAAAGCTTCGTCCTTTCTAATTTGCAACTTTAAAAACATTTTAATTAAAAGTTAGCTGCAATATATACAAAAAGCGGTAACAAGTGAGGATATTATTTATACAATACATTGAAATTAAGATTCAGAGTTAATTGTGTTTTGATTGATATGTGAAAATGTGATTTGAAAACAAATAGAGATGAGAATGAATATAGATCGAATAAAATAAAAGTTCATTTTCCTAAATAATTTATAACAAATTTTTTAACGGTTTTATTTTCAAACATGTTTCCTTTAGCATTCAGATGTAGAGCGAGCGAGACGACATTCAATGCATTGAAATGGGCCGTTGACGTCTTGCAAAATTTCTTTTCTCGCTACAATGTCTTCTTGGTTGTGCATAAAAATCTTCAAAATCCAGTTTTTTATGAACAACTCTAATTCACTTTGTTTACGCACTACTACTATGAGATTTACACACTCCCCAACTAAAACTGCACCACCAGAAAGTTAGTTTCAGGTGGAGAGTGTTAAATCAGCTTCGGACAACTGATCAGCTTCGGACAAATTATTTGCAAGCGCTTTGTATGAAAACTGGTTTTCCAGTCCGCGGAAAAACGGCGCGCCGGGGATTTAAGGGGTAGATACTATAATATCACATATTTTTGCATCATTTACATGAATTCTTAATTTCATAGCAGATATCCACAAAAGTTCATTATTATTTAAGCCAGAAGCTGTTATTTTAATGAGATCTTTACGACTATTATGAAAAGAAAAACCAGGCAACAAGATAAGAGAGAAGAAGACGACCTAGTGAAGGTATTTAGATTGGAAAAAGAATTTTTTTAAAAAAGAAATCTTTAAACATAAGCGTCATTATATGTATTCAATCCGGAATATCAATTTTTTTTAGAAAAAAGTTTCTATTCTACGAATTGCTGACTTACAATCTATTCTCACCAATTCAACGTATTCAAAAAATGCAAGAAAAGACGAGTTACAAAAGCTTGTTTATTATCAATTGAAAACTGCCTCTGGTATTAAACGTGAGGAGATAAAAAAATCAATTGAAGCCTGTTATAATAAAATGTTGGTTAATATTTCTATTAAAGAGAGTAACTTAATAATTTTGAAATATTTTAGTAAATCTATTGCCCCATCAAGAGTGAAAACACCAGAAAACATGTATGCGCAACAATATAACAGCAATCCGCTTGCACATGGCATGGTTTCTCCGTTCAACAGTATTTCCACTGGATTTCCCATACAACCTGACGTCAAGCTCAAAAGGCTTGCATTCTACGATACGCTTGGTACACTTCTTCAGCCTTCAACACTTGTTCCAAGCAGTCAAGCACGACAACAAGAAGGAACTTATTACTTTCATCTCACACCTCAACAAGCAACTGATATTGCTATGAATCGTGATTTGAGAAATCAATCAAAACCAGAATATTTGATTCAAGTTCAATTGAGATTTTGTCTTCTTGAGACAACATGCGAACAGGAAGATTATTTTCCTCCAAATGTTCAGTTGAAAGTTAATGGAAAAATGTGTCAACTGCCGGTGAGTTAATGAAAGTAATTTATGAAAATTTTGTGATAAATTTTAATTGTTTAGAATCCTATTGCTACGAACAAACCTGGAGTTGAACCGAAGAGACCTCCAAGACCAGTAAACATCACTCCACATGTGAAAATATCACCAACTGTCGCAAACGTCATTCACGTTCAATGGCAAACTGAATTTAATCGTGGATTTGTCATTTCATGCTATCTTGTACGAAAGTTAACGTCTGATTGCTTATTGCAAAGAATGAAATCAAAAGGATCAAAACCAGCTGAATTTACTCGCGGTCTTATAAAAGAAAAATTAAATGAAGATGCTGATTCAGAGATTGCAACAACGATGCTTCGTGTGTCACTTATTTGTCCATTAGGAAAGATGAGAATGTCAACACCTTGTCGGTAAGAATGAAAGAATGAAGATTGAGATCACAAAGTTTAATTAAATTTCTTTTTCAGAGCTTCAACTTGCATGCATTTACAATGCTTTGACGCGAGTCTTTATCTGCAAATGAATGAAAGAAAACCGTAAGATGAAATTTAATCAAACAAATTCATTTGTAAAAATATTAATTTAATCATTTCAGAACTTGGAATTGTCCTGTTTGTGACAAAGCTGCATTTTATGAGAATTTAGTTATTGATGGATATTTTCAAGATGTTATTGCCTCTAAAAAGCTTGGATCAGATGACAATGAGATTCAATTACATCCTGATGGCTCGTGGTCAACTTTAGCTCAAAAACCTGATCTACTTAGTCTTGAAACACCGAAAAAGAATATTCAAACCGTTGAAGTTATTTCTGATGATTTGGGTGAGTTAAACTATACATTTTTAAATTGAAAAATTTTTAAATTTCATTTTTGTTATCTAGAAATGATAACTGAAGACTTTCCCAAATCGGCAATCAAAATGCATCTCACATCAGCACAACCAACATGCCCAGCGAAGCCTACAGCAGACACTGTTGATTTGACGCTGGATAGTGATGAAGACGATGAGTTGTCGAAGAAAAATTCGACATCCAAAGGCCAACAAATGAAAGCTAAAAGCAACGGTATGTAGATAAAAACTGCATCCGAAGACTGAGTTCAAAAAAGGCTTTTTTAACGCAAATCAGAAAAGAAAACTTATTTATATTTTATCCTTAAAACGTTTTCTTTTTTATAAAACAAAATCTAGACATTGTCCTATGTTAAGTTTAACGTTTAAACTCGCAATGTAAATATTTTAAATAATGTGCAGGACAACTGATAAGTTCACTCAAACTTCAGATTCGTTTACTATCTTGAAAGGTAGAAATGAAAGAAATGTCTTGAAAGTTGCGTTAATGAAAAGAAATTTATGTTGTGAATTACTCAATATCAGAATACAAATTTCTATATCTATAAAAGAAGTGAAAATTTTTCCATCTCGATTGTTCCATTTTCATAATTTTCTTTTAATTTCAGCAACTAAAATTCAACCTTCAATTTTAAAATTCTTAGTTAAAAAAACTGAAGCGAATTGAAATTATAAAATCTCTGATGAATTGTAGTATGAAGTGAGTGAAGAATCTGAAGATAATAGATATAAATTATACATTTTCAAATAATAAAATAAATGAAAAGAAAATTTAAGAGTTTTACTGAAATATAACAAATGACGGTTAAAATTGAAATAAATCTACAATTCAAACTGGAAGTAGAACAAAATATTGGAAGTAGAACTTAAATTTGAAGCTTTCTACCTACAAATATTTCCAGAACAAGCTTTATGTTGAAGATCTTTCTGTAAAGCTTTGATCAATGAATAGCAAAATGTGTGCAATAATTCTTTTCAGATCACTTTTTTAAAATTTTATCATATATATTTTATTCATTTACAATTAATTACATCTCGGTAAGTAGAAATAAGGGACTGTCCACAAATGACATCTGATGGTTTCTTACAGAAACTTATCTTCATCATCATTTCTTAGTTTTTTTCAATTTTTTTTTCACTTAAGGTACAAGAATTTAACAACATTGTTCCACAATTACGAAAATTCATTAAAATGGGCAAGTTTGATATTTAACTTTTTAATTTTTTCTTCTTTTTCTGTATATCAATGACATCCATATTTTTAAAAAAATAAATCCTTTTTCATTTACTTTTCAAGTTTCTCTGTGTTTTTTTTTCTTTTATGACTGTTTGAACATTGACGAATAAGGAAATGAAGAAAAGAACATTTTTATTCCTTCAATCATTTTTCTGCTGACAATAAAGCTCTTTTAAGCTTTTGAGTTCTTCGATTAATGCCTTATTTTGATTCTCTAATACAGCTACTCGATTTTCCAGGCACTTGATGTATTCTTTCTTTTTTCGACGACATTCTCTTGCAGCTTCACGATTCTTAAGTAACCTCATTTCTCTCTTTCGTGACTGATCCTCTGCTATCACATTACCGCCCACCAAATTAACTTAAGAATTAGTCACAATTGAATAATAAAATATTCACAAAAAAAAATAGAAATAAGAATTGAAGTTTTGCTTACCTGGGACGTAGGAGACCAAACCATCTTGACCGCTGTATTGAACAATTGTTCCACCGCTATGTAAAGTGCCCTGTTCACCGGGATTTCCACTTTGTGATAAAATTGTCCCCCCTTAAATTGAATAAACTTTATTAGCTTCCATCTCTCATTAAAATAAAAGAAGAAATTTACCAATTTCACCACCGCCTAAATCATTTAAAATTTTACGGTAAGAAGGACGTCTTGTTAATAAGTCCCTTCGCTTTTTAGGAGAATCATCGTCAGATAAATCGGAATCAGCATCACTATCTATCATATGTCCAATGTTTGGTTCTGGTTTTATCTGTAAAATGTAAACACAAGAAAAATTTTCTTTATTATGCAGTAGAAAAACTTAAATTCATCCCTCGGACATACCTGAATGGCTTGATGAGTTGTGTGAATTACCGAACTATTAATCGGTTGTTTACTATTAACTAATAAAACACTTTTGACTGGTTGTATATTTCCGGCAGCTGTTTGAATCACGGATTGTTGATTTGGCTGTATAACAGAGGACTGCGCGTGAATCTGTGGATACAAAAATGAAAAATAAAAAGTTGTTTTCAAAGAAATTCATCTGAATATTCGATAAAAAATATTTACTTGATGAGCGTTTGAATTTTGTGTTGATATCAATTGGACAATATTTGTTGTTGCTGATGCCGATGAAACACTTGTTCCTTGGTCAGATGATGAAGAGTTAAGCGGATCAACATTTGATCCATTCTCGATGCTATCCATTTTCGATAAGTTTTATTCCCTTATCTGGCTCGAATCCCTCCTTTCCACTTTATTATTTAAAATCAACTACTTCTGTAAGATGAAAAGAATTTTGATTATTAAGAAAAAACTTGACATTCAAATGATATTTTTGATAAGAATCCTTTTGATAAGTTTTAATATTGAAATTACTTCGACTAAAAACACAAACAAAAAACTGTATTCCTTATGTTCTTTATTCCAACAAAATTTATCTTTAGAAAGTCACGTCCAAGTGTAAAATATTTTGCAATTTCGTGGAATTAATGCATCTATGGATTGTATCGTTAATAATAAATAATAAAAAAAAAACTTTTTTTTGTACTCACTTACAAAAATTTCATTCGTCACTTTTTTTAAGGAATTACGTCATCATTATACTTTGAAGGCGTGGTTTAGAAATGACGTCTCAAAATAAAATCTTGTTTGGGAGCAACAGTGAGTACGTAGCAACTGTACAATTATTTCAATTGAAAATAATAAACTGATAAAAATAACAACTTGTTATCAACTAGAGCATAGAAATCGATTAAAAATTCTAATGCGTCATCAAGCACTAAAAAGTGACATCGTCTTTGAAGTAATTTTCAAAAACGTGTTGCATAATGGAGGAGAAACATTATTCAAATTTTAAAAAATCGGTTAAACTTTGTATAACAATTTACAATTGTTTGTGCAAATTCTCTTGATGCGAAAGAAATATTTGAGATTTTATCAAGCAGAAATGCTGATCTTTATGATGCCTTGTCGAGATTTTTATGATTTGTGAAAACATTGTAAGAAGATAACATTAAGATTATGACATCATTGTTAATATTTAGATAATGTCAAATAAATTTAGTAGATAAGAAAATCTGAAAAAGAAACTTTCATTATCCCTAAATAAAAAGCATTGTTAAATTAATTGCTTGAATCACTATATTTTTGATAATTTCACATTCATATTAGGTTACACTGCTTAAACATGATTTTTTTTCTTCTCTTCTTTAAAATTCATATCATTAGAATACAAAGATTGTGGAATAAAACTAAGCTTCTAAATTCTACTTCTCGGCTTTTAACCGTCTTAAATCTAAGCGATATCATACGTAAGAATTTGAACAGTTAAATGGAGAGAAATTTAATTTATTTTATATTTTACAACTTTTAGCTCATACTTTATTAGCAACATATGTTGCTTAACATCCCTTGCTTTGAATGATTAAAAATTTTAAACTGGAATTTAAAAATCTCAATTTTTCATTTTTTTTTTCTCTTCTTTCAATTATTTTAAATATTTGAATTGTGTTAGAAATGTTTCTTTTAATATTTAGATATATTTTTATGTACATTGTAAGCTTTTCTTTTTTTTTTGTTTTCTATGCTTTGATAAGAAAATTAAGTCTCTACAATTATGAATGAATCCTGAAATACATTGTAGATAACAATTTAAATTTTAAAAGCTTTTCATTCATTAGAAAACTTACATTCGAATCGGATCTTCATCGTGATGATTCTTTTAATTTCTTTTGTTTCGCAAACAACAATTTCTTGTCGATTACATTGATAGAAAGAGATACTTAAGAACAATATTCATTGCTTTGTCTAAATTGTCATCAACCAACATATAAATATTTAATGTTGTTAGCAATCACACACAGATCCGATCGTTGACTTACATTAAACGAAAAGGTAGACGCGACTCAACTTAAAAATCATATCAAATATTCTAATTCAAATGCACATTTAATTTGTAAGCATTAAAAAGAAGAAAAAATTGTGCAAACTGTTTGTAACAACGCATTCTTATGTACAAGCACTAAGTATTTATATTTATTTATATATTTATGTTGTTTTGTTTTAATTGTCAAGAAGAATGAGAGTTACTTAAAGTCTACTTTTATGATGTATAAGTCTTTCTGTTTTTAAATATTTAGACATATTTAGTTAAATAATAAAATAAACAGCAAAGAAGTTTAGTTAAGGAAATGAACCTGCAGATTATTTCTTCTTTCTCTCCTTTCATCGATTGATAAGTTGTTAAACATTCTTTCTAACTTTATTTCCTTTATGCTGCTACATCTTAAATTATTTGTTTGCTTGCTGATTCGTCGGGAATGGAATCACAGTTTGACTGGCTAAAACAGCGGCTGCCAAATGAAAGTTTTTAAGTTTCATTCAATCGTTTTAACATTAACTAAACTTACGGTTTACGTACGGAGCCGGATACATAGGTCCGGACATATAACCTATTCCGACATGAGTGTGATGATGTGTGTGGACGTGCCTGGATCAAAATGAATTAAATTAACTCACAAATCATTTAAAAAGCCATGAATTAATTTACCTTTGAGGTGGTGGACTTGTCGTCCGATTGAGGCCTCCATTACTACTTGAAAGTGGATCTTTGGGATCAGTTCGATCATTTTTATCCATCGATTTAGATGATGGCGGTTGTTGTGAAGGATTTAAAGAGCTTGGCGGTTGTGGTAAGTTTCCTTGTCCAAGACTGCTGTTGTTATTATTATTATTACTATTCATAATCGATGAATTTGATGATAATGAAGTACTCGTATTATTTGTAGCACTTGTCACACTTATACTTGATCCAGGAAGAGGTTGCGTTATATTAGGACTTGGTACACTTGTAACAGGTATCTTGGGATTACTTGTAGGACTTTTCATTTGACTGACTCGTTCACTCAATTCATGAATTTTATGAGAATTGTAATATTGAGTTGCATGTTGTTGGAGTAAGTCTAACGCTTTGGTGTTTGGATTACGTGAGAGATCTTCGGGTGAAGAGAATCGAGCCATTTGTAAATGGTAAGGTGAGTTGTAAGGAGGTGTTGGTACCAACATATTACGATACATTGGATGAGATGGATCGGGAAAGAAAGGATTCCCTCCAGGACCCATATATGGTAAATAATATTGGCTTGTTGGAGGTGGCGGTGGTCCTTGTGTCTCCATTGTTGGCTTTTGTCCTTCTTGCTTCACTTTCACTTCTTTCTCTTCTAATTTCACATCTTTTCCCGAATTTGATTTACCACCAGATGATGATGACATTGATGATTTCATTGATGATGACGATGATGATGATTTATATTGATGTTGTTGACTTGAAGATTGCGAACTGCTGCTATGTGATGATGCATTCGGTGACTGTGAAGTTCTTTCTTCTTTCGATGATAAATTTGTTGGCGCCACACCAACAGACGATCGTCTTTGATCTGGATATATGAAATATCTAAAGAAAATTTAAATTATTGAAATGTTTATAAGAGAAAATTTCAAATTTACTTTTGGATTTCTTCTTCTCGTGATAATGGTGGCAGTCCCATAGGATGTCGTTGATATAAGCTTGAATAAGGACTTAAATGTTGAGGTGATTGAGATAAACTTGACTGCATCGATTGCCCTGATTCACTTTTAATCATTTCTTTAGAATTTTCACTTTTAATAAGCTTCGACGAAGGTATTGGTGTCGTAATCTTTAATTAAATTAAATTTTTATAATCTTCTCTTCACTTTCCATCAACAAATTTCATTCTTACTTGTTTTAAAGTATCAGAACTTGACATGTCCTTTCCATGTTCTTCTTTGATATGAACTCCTTGAGTTTTACTGCCGTCATCTGATGATGATGTTGAAGGCAGCGGTCCAAAGCTGTTGTCAAGGCTGTATGGATAATTTGGCTGAATAAAACTAATAAAAAAGAAATATTTAATTAATTTTTCGTTTCTTAATAATCAAATTAATCTTACTTATACGGATAATGTTGATAATGTTGCATAATTTTTCCCACAGGATTGTTTGTGCTGAGAGAATTTGACGAGCTGCTTGCTGCTGTCGCTACATCATTTTGAAGCTTTGACGAAGGTTGAAGTTTATTCATAAGATCTAAAGGACTATGATCTTTTGACTTGTAATCAATGCCTCCAGATGATGCTTGTTGTTGAGCTTTTGTACTTTGATTATCGGGTGGTGGAAAGAATGATGACGGTTGATAGAATGACGGTCCATACAAGTTATTGTATCCACCTATCGATAATGGCGCACTTCCACCGCCAACACTCTCTTGTGACTTTTTATTATTTTCCATATTAATTTTAAGTTTATCTAATAAAAAAAAGCAAGAGTTAAATTAACATTCAAAACTTCAGGGTCCCGAACCGGTTCTATTTTTTAGTACTAGAACCGATTCAAATCCCTCCAATAATAACATCAAATTACCATTTAAATTGCTTTCAGCCGCTGTATTTGAATCATCTGATATATCACTATAAGCTGGACTTCTTACACCATCAGATTTATTAATTATACAAATATCGCTTTCATTGTCAGGGCCAGGAGATTTTCTTCCTTTCTTACTCTTTCCACTGTTACTGCTTGGAGCTTTATTAGAATTTTGCAATGAATAAAAGCTTGAACTTTGTGATTGTGCATCGCTCATCGAGTCATTTGAAATTTGTTCAATATCTGGTGCACTTGGAAATCTTAAAATGTTTGTTTTATCTATAAAAGAAATGAATGAATTAATAAACATAGAAAATGTACTTAAATATTAACTAATTTACTTTTATTTTGTGTATCTTGCTTAATTGGTGTTGATGAAGATGACACCGTCGTATTTGTTGCAACAGCTGGTTTTGGTATTGTGTCGTTGAACGTATTTGGCAACGACGATGATTCATTATGAACTGTTGATTGATTTGTGTCAATACAAGCCGACGACGGCCGATCAACATTCGACAATTCACCAGTTCCGCTCGCACTCATAGAATTCTCATTGATTTTCGTTTCATTTAGACTCGATGACTTTGAAGTTTCAAAGTTAATCTTTTGCGAGAAGTTTGTTTCATTGGGAGGCGGTGGCGATTGCGATCTTTGTGATGGTGAATCCGGTGCTGTTAATGACGAATCATCATCAGCATTTGATATCATTCCATGAGCGTGACTTTGATGATATTTCAATCCATTTGCATGCTTATATTTCTTGCTGCAGTCTTGTTCAGGACATTCCAAAAGCACTGGCGATATTGCGCATGGTGATGTCACATTTTTAGCTTTCTTTGCACATGATGGCAAACTACTAAGTGTTGTTGGAACGTTGTTGCTTGAATTATTCCCGCTTAAAGTATTTCCTTGAACATTTGTTCCATTGAACGACGATGGACTCTCATCCTTCGATTTTCGACGTTTCTCAGGTCGTGGCACTGAGAATGTTGTCGGAGATGTTGAAGGAGTGTTTGTTACCGTTTGTGAAGATATGTTTATGTTTGTCATTGATGAATTCCGCGAAGCTCTTCCTTTCGAGCCGCCATTTCTTAGTTTACTGTGCACCGAACTTCTTGTCTCTGTGAAATTTATCAAATCATTTGTTGACGTTGCGCTGTTTCGTCCTCTTTTACCACGTCCGCCTTTTTGTAATCTTGAATCTAATTCTTCTGTTGGTGAATCGCAAAATCTTGGCGGTGCCCAATCATGCTTTGTGCAATCAATTAAAGTTCCGACATAAGTTTTTCCACGCCATGTCACGTTAACTGCTAACACGCCTCCTTCTGTTTCATGCCACACAATTCCCTCTAATGTCACTGACGTTCCTGGCTCACAAGGACCCAAACAATCTGGCTCTGTGATTGTTCCTATCGATGTTCCAACACAAACATCCACCATACTTCCTTTCCCTGTTGTTCCCGTTCCTGTTGCTGGTGTTGATGTTGCTGTTGTCGTTCCTTCATTCTTCATTCGTTTCAATGGTGGCGAACTTGACATTTTACCATCATCGCTGTTTGTACTCGATGAGTACGACATTGAAGTTGAAGATGAATTCGATTGTGATGACTTTGATGAGTAATCAATTAACTTGTGTTGATCCTTATGCTTTAATCCACTTATTTGAGATAACATCTAAAAAAAATTCAAAAGTAAATAAGAAAAAATTAATTTTATTAACAAAAAAGTTGTTTTTACCTTGAGAGAGTCTTTTGGAGCTCCAGGAACATTTCCAACATTAACACCAGCTGGTGTTTGTTTATCCAGACTGGAAATTAATTAAACGTTAAGTAAATATTAATTTAGAGAGATTCGATGACTACCTTAAAGGAATTTGTCCAGGAGTTGTTGAGGCAATCCTTGGAGGTAAAGCTAAATCTCTGAATTTTGAACAATTTGGATTGTTGCATGATAAAGCGCCCATTTTATCAGAGCCACAGTTGCAACAATTATTCTCTGTTTGCATCATCGATCCACCATCGATTTTCTCTTTTCCCACGACTTTATCTTTGCCTTTGTCCTTTCTGTGACTATTACTTCCCCTTTTGTTGGCAGATAATGACGGAGATGCTAAAACTCCTGCTGGTGGATTTACTACTTTCTTAGATGCTAGTACAGGAATTGCTTCATCACTGTTGAGGTTTCCATTTTGTTCAGACTTCACAATTTCATGTTTTGAGTCAGAAGTCTTTGTGCCGGTTTTAGTCCGTTTAATTTTCATTTTTAGACCTTTGTCCAATGTGGCCTAAAAATTAAATGAAATGAAATTGAATATTTATTGAGAATGTTTAAGAAAGTTTCATTCATACCTGATGATCCACAGATAATTTTGAAGTTCCTTTATTTCCTGAATTTGTCGTTGAGGACATCGTTACTGTCTCGTTTTTACCTGTAATTAAACATAACATTAAAAAGCGTAAAGAAGTTTTACATTCCTCATAACTTACCTTTAATGTAATTTTTAGTCTTATGTTGTTTAGCGATATTAGATTCACAATGATCTGAGTTTTCCTCAGACGAAGTTTTATTATTTTCTGACGAAAAACTTTTCTCCGCAGTTATATTTGTTGGATTTTGTAATGGAATGACTAAAGATGTGTCAATGTTTGACGATGATGATTTTTCTATATCAGCATCCAAATCGATAATTAAATCTCCAATTCCTGCAACGAACATATTTAATAAGATTAATAAATTTATTGGAGATTAGAGCTTACCAATATCCCACTCGTTATCTTCGTATTCAAAATTTGACTCTTTCAAATCTGTATGATTTCCCTTTAAATTTGTTATTATGGCTTGATTACTACTTGAAATTGATTTATTATGTGCTTCTGAGACCACCTTTTGAGTAATCAACATTAAAAGAAAACAACATTTTTTTTTTGCTTTTTCAGGTAATTTTATAGCCAAATCTTACCTTTGAGTGGTGGCTATTCACTGCCTTTTGATTATTTAATGAATCCATGCAGAAAAAGATAAACCTGCAACAGACAGGTTCGATTCTGACAAACTGATTGAATCGTTGACAAATTCCAAAAGCTGATTCTCTGTTAGTCTTCCAGAAGCTGTGGCATATAAAGGCCACTTAAACGGCCCTTGGGCCCAAAATTTCATTTTAAATTATCTAAAATTAAAATTAATTGTTTTATGTCTCTTCACATCATTTTTTATCTCATTGTGATTAAATTATTATTCTTCATAATATTTACACAATTACTTAATATTATTACTTGAAAAAGAATGCAAGTTTTCAACTAACTTTATAATTATAATAACATTTCAAAAACATCAAATCTTCTCATAACTTTTTCTTGTTCTGATGTTTTTATAATCACAGATCGGCCATTTTAAATTGTATCGGCAGTAAACTTTTCATTTAGAGAATTTCTTCAAATTGCTATTAAACTTACATGAAAATGAAATAAGATAATGAGATTCATCCAGCAAGATATTGAAATGAAATGTGTTAAGATCACTCGTAGTTGAATGTTTAAAATTTAGTATAACTAAGATTGAGATTTTTTTTCAACACTATAGGATAACACTCATACAAACTCAAATTGGAATATTTTCAAGAATCAACTTTTATTCCAGTTATATCTGGTCAAATGTTTAATAATTTATTAAGAATGTCTGATATCAATGCTGAACTATTAATTTTAGTTCATTTTAGCCACTACACTAACGAATATCTCGAGTTTTTTGTAAAATAATTATTTTTGTTGTTGCCGTTTTTTTATTCACAGAAAGGTTAGTACTCAAATTATCCATGTAGAGGTCGCAATTGTGTTTTTTGAAAATTGTTTTATTTTGAACTTGGCTGTGCGATTAAAGTTATTATCCCGGACAAAACCTTGTCCGAGTTCAACAATGTTCAAATTGGCTTCTTATCGTGACTTTGAAATCGAAGCGCAATTTTTAAAATGATGCTTCGGATAATGAAAAATCTTGTTTTTCTGGTGTTTTCTTTTGAAAGAAAAAATGGATTATATTAAGAAACTTCATGACCTTTAGTTAAATATTTTCGATAAGAAGGCAGACTACTTCTGAAATCATCAAAAAAGCAGAAAGAATTTTCGTCTATCCCTACGTAGTATCTGTAGAGTTAATTATTTAAATATATATGAAAACCGCGTTGCTTGTTAAAACTTATATTAATCTCCTTCTTCTGGTCCATAAAATAAATATTCAAATCAGTAATTTTTTTTGAAATATATTTTATTACAAAGAAACATCAAACAGCTTAAGATTTTCCACCAAAAATATTGTAAATTGTATGATTATGTATATAATCGATTTACAAATAATGTTAACAATTTATGTCATTTGATTATATACATATTTATGAAGAATAAAACTGTATATATTTAATTGATATATCTCAGCCTCTTCAATGGACAGTTAAACTATCTCACTCCCTGTGTGTTGCGAATCTTCACTTTTGCTTTCAGAACGAGATGTTTCTGACAGATTTATCCTGAAGTTAATTGGGCCATTTTGCAAAGAGTTTTGAGTTTTGAGCTACTGACAAAATATATAAAAACAGACAGTTGTTATATATTTTTAAACAATCATGTGCTTTACCTTCTGTTTCGATTGTTTTCTTTTTTCTTCTTCTGTTATCATCATTTTTTGACTTTGAGTTACTCGCTTTTGGCTTTTTACCTTAAATAAGAAAATAATGTGAGTATAATACCTAAACAAATTATTCAAAACTGTATTGACTGATAAAGACAAAACAAAAACTGCTGTTTTGTTCGTGCTTAAAATTTAAAGTGTATAAAATTTTAAAAAATAACTTAAAAAGACGAAATTTTTACCAGTTTCTGCTCATCCTTCAATCTCTGTTCAGTTTTTTGGGAAGCTTTCAAAATTGACTCCTTGGCAGGTAAATCGAAATCAACTTTAGAAGACTTTAGTGATCCTGAGTAAAGTTGTTCAAATTTTGGTTCGAATTCTTTAAAAAACTTATGTGAAAGAACGTGATCTAATGACGGAGACGTTGACTTCAAAGAATCCTTAGCAATGATAAGTTCCAATAAAGCTTCTTTAAATTGAAAGAAAGATTATTTGTTAGTAATAAAATGTGACTTAAATTAAACTCACTTAAATTTGTTGGACAATCTGAAACTTCTCTGATGCATGGCTCTTGTAATGAATAAGTTGATTGCATCTCGAAAAGCACATGTCCAAATGTAAACACATCAATCATTTCCATAGAATTAACTCTACTGTGTTGGACGAAGAATGGTCTGTAGAATGACGAAACGCCAAGAATAAAATTTTCAATTGCACTCAGTTTCGCGGCACCATTTTCAATAAAAATATTAGCAGTCGTTAAATGTCCTAAAATGAAAAATAAATTTCTGATAATGTTAATTAGGTAAAGAAATATTGACTGACCATAAGGTAAGCCTTTTGAATGCAGGAATTTTAAAGCTTCTAATATTTGTCTACTATATAAAGATAGATCTTCAAGTGGTAAGGCAATTCTGCCTTTAGTGTTTCCATATTTCATCGAAAAAGCATTTAAGGGTTGCGATCCACACAACATATCTTTCAAGCTTCCTTCTTTATGGAATTTTCTTATTGTTAAACACCCGTTTTCATTTGAATTAATATATTCAATTGGAAATATAAAAGGATGCTTTATCTTTGATAGGCTTTTAAGAATTGTGTTAATTTCTTTATCGCTTAATTGTTTATCAGGACCAAACTCAGTCCAGCTTATAAGAAATTCTTGTTCCGAATTTTCCTTGTAGCTTGATGTACTAGGTTGCGATTCTAATTTCGCTTGTGCGATTTGTTTTTGACCACTTTGAACTTTCTGATTGACCTTAAAATAATGTTTTTTTGTTCTCCATCCTATTTGGCCCACGCTTTGTTTCAATATCCATGTGCCTAGAAAGAAATATATGTTTGTTAAGCAGAAATTAGATTAATGTATAAATAAATTGAAATATAATCTTACTTTCATTTTTTAGAAGTGAATTAATGTTTTGCTGAGCGATGTCTTAAATGAGATGAATAGTTATTAGAGTATAAATGAATAATTTATAATAATATTTACCATGAAATGGCACAGAACAAGAGTCTGGATCAATGAACTTTTTGGTTGGCAACGAAGAAGCTAAAACATACGAAACGTCAATTATAATTTTCCATCAAACAAAAATTCCTTGTACGAAAAAATGTTAATTTCATACCTAGGATGGTATTCATTGTAAAATTCCAAAAAAGTTGTCAGATCTTTATTACTTAATTCACAGTTTCGAATCTGCAAAGGAAAATTCATAAATATGCGGTTTTCATACTAATCTTAAAGCTGTAACAGAAGCTTTACGACATAAATAATTTAAAGCTTTTTTGCAAGCTTTACGTTGCAATGAAAAGTTTTGAACAATCGTTGTGATATTAAATACTATTCAATTGTCGAAACTTTAATGTCAGTATTAATAGAATTTGAACATTAATGAACGAAAGCTTGTAAGAATAATTTAATCAGTCCTTAAATGAGGCGACAGAATTCCAAATTATGCGAAAACAGAAATTTTTCTTCATTGTTTTTCCGCTTCTAAGAACTATACAGTTAAAAGATAAAACACTTATAGATTTTCAACAATTATGACGATAATTAATCATGACAAAAATTTTAACATCTTAATCTCTACTCTTACAACTTCAAAATGATTTTTTTTAATTCGCTTACTTTTTCACAGGATTTTCCGATTTGCACAAACTAATACTACCTACTTCACGACAACTTTGAATGTGTTTGTTGAAACATTAAACAAGAAAATTCGAATATCTCAATTATTTAAAGAACATTCAATAAAATTTTCTTTCTGAGAATTTATGGCACTTTCTCTTGAAAATCACAATGTGAAATAAATAATGTTTTAACCAAAGCAAATTTCTATTCATATAAAAGAAATACAAATATTAATAAACGATAAAGCTTATGAGTTTATTACGCAGATGAAAAATGGAATTCCTAAGAAACCATGTCTATGTCATTTATAACTTCTAAAATAATTATTTTTCACTCACATATACTTGAATAACTTTAAAAGCAATGCAATTTCTTAAGAAGTTTTTAGAAAATGAAAAGTTTTAATTAATAATTTTAGATTTTAAAATAAAAATTAAGAATGTGTGAGTGAAAAGATTTCATTTTCACAATTGTTCGCTTTTCTTTTGATTATGTTAAAGTGTAAAATATGCTGTTAGCTAGCTCCACATTCCGTGTATTTTCGCTTTCATAGCGTAGAGCTTCCGTAGCGAAAAGGATATCGCGTCTGCCTCCTAAGCAGAAGATTGCGGGTTCGAGTCCCGTCGGAAGTATTTATTACTTTTTTTCTTATTATTATTTTAGAAATTAATCTTAAATCTAATTATTTTTAAATAATTAAAGTTAATTATTCTGGATAGTAAAATATATCTACAAAATCTTATGACTCATTATCTTTTTAGATTTAGATAATTCAATCATTTCAGTTGATTGCAATAATAAAATCGCATAATTATTTTTTTAATAACAACATTGTAAATATTTATTTACTCCTAAGACGAAAGACCGTGAAAGAGAAATATGTGTTTTCTGAATTGATACATGTTAAATGAATGTTAAGCAGGGGCACGAAGCTTTTATACCAACATTGCTAAGACTTGGATCTAAACACTTAACACTTAAGAGTTGACTTTTGAGGTAGAAAGACGTGTCTGATCATAATAATTTATGGAATCGTGGCAAAGTTAGAATTATTTAATTAGTTATAATTTTTGCGTTTAAAGGTGAATTTACATTTGTGAAAAAGAACAATAAAACTCCTGTGTGCTATATAAAAGTTTAAATTAAATATTTGTTAACAAATGTTATTCTTGAAAAAAAGCCATGGGAACATAATCAAAAATATTGTAAAAAAATTATTTTACTTTTTACGCCTTTCCCTTAAATGTATTGGAAACCGGTTTCACTAATTTGAAGTTAAATGCGAATTATTGTACGGTAACAAGAAATTAATAAATACAACGTTGACCGAACTTGACATAAACAATTTAACGAGTGAAAATTTCTATAAATATTTAAGCATGTGTCACTGAAAGTTTCCAATCGTTAATGTTAAGTGAAAATATATACCAACATACATTACATTCGCCTCACTATTCTTACAAGTTCTTACTATGAACTACCAAATATATAAATTATTCAATCAAAACATGTCTTACAGTGTTGAGCATATTCAAGCCGCTTTAAACCTTGGCACTATAAATACTGTTATTGTTTGTAAATGAAACGAATCATTTTCTACATCACGAACAATAAGATAACTTTTATGACATAAAAACAGAAATTCCTCGTTAATTACTAAAATATAAATGATTCATACTAAGAATCAGTTTTATTTTTTATTAAAAAGGAAGTATTTAAACTTGTATTTCTCGTATTGAAGAAGTCTTGTTAGGAAAGCCGTTGAATTTGTCATAGATTCAACATCGATAAGTAGCACGATTTGATCTCTCGTTACAAGGTGACAATTAAAAGAGCATGACTTTTCTAATAACATGAACCGAAATTGTCTTTCACGCTTAATATAAAAAAATATGTAAATCAATATTAATATGGATAATAATGCCTACTTAAGAAGGCTTGAATAACAATGATGAATCATCGTTCAATTTTAATTACTTATTGAATTCCAATAGATCTGACATATCATGCTGTTCCTAAGACTTGCTTCGTGCTTAGCATTCTTCATTAGTTTGAGACTAATAAATTGCCTACCAAATGGTGCGCCCATTTCAACATGTTCTACCTTGCAACCTGTGCACAGCAATATTCCACCAGAAGCTTCACAGTCATTATTCCGAATTGAACCACAAGCAAAAATAGTGGGCCAAGGACAAATTTTAAGGATTGAAATTCCAAGTTCTATTCCACAACTCTCATTCAAAGGTTTTATAATACACGCAAGAACACCAAATGGTCGTGTTGTGGGAAGATTTGCATCATCAGCTGATGGTCTTGTAAAGCTTATTGATTGTAGTGGAGTACAAAACACAGCAACACATGCGAATACTTCACCCAAGGTTGATTTTGGTCTGGATTGGCAAGCACCATCAGATTATCTTGGCGACATCATTTTCAAGTATGAAAAGATTAACTTCATAAATATCGGTCAAAAAAATCTCACAACATTTATATTAGTTCCACAGTTGCTCAAGATTATGACAAATTTTGGGTTGGAGAGACTTCGGAAATTGTTAAAATTGTTGAACGGGATCAAGTCATTCCCAGCGGAATTTCCACAACACGTCGTCCAATAGAAGTGACGACACCGAATTTCGTTCGTTCAACGTCAGGTTTGAAAAACAATGATGACTTCATTTATGATGGATGCGGTGACACTAAAACATGCTTTGGAAGCCCAGACAATTGTGTAGCAACGAAATCATGTCAAACTTTCAGTGCGGTTATTGTTAAAGGTGATATTGAGAGAATTTTTCTTCATGTTATGTTTCACTTACCAGAAAAATTCAAGGTGACCGTTACATCATTGAAATGCGATCAACTAAATCGGCTGCTTATGTCGCACTTGGGTTATCAGATGATGAAAAAATGGGAAAAGATTCTGTGGTTGAGTGTGTAAATGAGTCAGGTTCAGTTAAAGCGTACACATCTTGGACAATTGTGTCGAATGGAAAGTTCGATGCACCAAGAACAGGCATTGTAATAATTTAACAAAGAAAAATTTAAAGAAGAAACTAATTTCAATATTTAATCATTCTTTTTTCTGTCAGCCACAAAACTCAATTCGTCTAATTGAAGGCCGTTTAGAAAATGGTATGATTTACTGCCAAGTGGAACGACAACCAGTGACTATAATTAATGGAATCAAATTTGATTTGACGAAACAAAACTATTTCCTACTTTTGGCAAGTGGGTCGGGAATACGACCAGCAAGTGTTGACTATCATGACATTGTACGTTTGTCATCGCGAGAAGCTTTAAAACTGTCGGAAGTTACAAATGTTGAGGGAAGGTCGACACTTCTCTTAAGATTACACGGCGCTTTTATGATAACAGCATGGATTGGCACAGCTTCAATCGGAATATTACTTGCAAGATATTTCAAACAGACGTGGGTGGGCAGCAGTTTATGTGGAAAAGATATTTGGTTTGCTGTAAGTTGTCAACCAAAAAAATTAAATCAAATTACAAAAATGAATGAAAATTCTTTTCACAGTGGCATCGAATTTGTATGATTCTTACATGGGCATTAACATTAGCGGCATTTGTAATTATTTTCGTAGAAATTAAAGGATGGTCATCGGTAAGATTACAAATCATTTAATGAAGAAATTAACTTTTAAAGTTTACATTTCAATTGTTAGGTTGACAATCCACATGCAATTTTGGGAACGATAACGACAGTTATTTGTTTCTTTCAACCTATTGGAGCTTTCTTCAGGTAAATGGAATAAATGAAGACATTTAATAGAACATAGTTAAGTTATTAACATTAATTTCTCTTTTTATTACATATTAGACCACACCCTGGCAGTAAAAAGCGACCATTATTTAACTGGACACATTGGCTTGGTGGTAACTTAGCACATATTCTTGCAATTGTTACCATTTTCTTTGCTGTCAAACTTGGAAAAGCAGAACTTCCCGAATGGATGGATTTCATTCTCGTTGCTTATGTTGTTTTCCACGTGATTGTTCACTTCATCTATTCAGTGAGTTAAATGAAAAAAATTAATTAATGCACATTTCGTAATGTACAAAGTCAAAAAGTATAAAAAAATGTTGTGACTTAGAGAAACCGCACTCGTGATTAACCATTTATTCTGATTAGATATTTTTATGGATTCAGATATCAGGTTGCGTGAGTGAAGGCAAGGGCACAAGGGTTACGTCGTTCCCAATGACTGACATTTCTCAATCAAGGAGTCAAATGATTGCTAGCGCGAAGCAAGACGCAGTTGTAAGATGATCAATTAAACAAACAGCCTTGACCAGTCAAATTTAATTGTTCTCTTTCTTCTCTTTTTAAGTTCTCCCGCTTCAGAAGGTTCCTTTTAGGAATTTACATTTTCATCATCATACTTTTTGTTGTGGCCTTAATAATAATCGCGGTCTTCGCTCCAATTGAAGAAACATACAAATCGATAAAAGGTTCTTAACTTCTCCGTCCATCATCTATACTCTGCCATGTTAAAGTGTTACGTTAAATATTTATGTAAAACGAAGTGAAATATAATACAAAGAATGATTTACAATAGAAACAATAGGTCACATGAAGCATAAGTTAAAGATATACAATCTATGCATATAATATGTTGTTATAATGCAGTTTTCGAATTTTATGTTGTAATTAATAAATGAATCTGATTCTCAGAAGGAAAAAAATCGTTTTATGTTGTTTTACTCTTAACCAATGGAATCATTTATGAATGAAAAGTGTTTGTTTTCAATGCGCAAACGCATTTTTATTCTGGAAAGAATAATAATTTTCCACGGAACAGAATTTTCTAACTTTTAATATCAATCGACTTTAATACTCGTCAAATATTAGAAAAAATAAGTTTTGCAGTGATATTCAGTTAAAATTTAATATAAATGTATGAAGAAATTAATCAAGCAAAGGATATAATGTCAAGAATTGTGAAGAAGACAAGAAAGGGAGCTGAATATTACGAAAACTATAAATAAATGAAACGAATTTGTCATATCAATCGATATAAAAATCTCAAATATATTTATATCTACATATATCATTTAAAACCTTAATTTAACATAAGCAATAAGAGAACGTGACGTGTAATTAAGAAAAAAGAAAAGTTACTTAAAGTTCATGTGAAATTTTTTTACTTTAAATTCCAAAAATTTTAATTTTCTTTTATTTGAGAACGATAAGAATTCAACAAAAAATATGAAAATGCGAATAGCTATTTTAATTTTCCTTACATATTTTATTGGAAATATTTTATGTGTCGAATTAGATTCGATCAAAGATGAAGCGGTGTTTCAAGGTGAAAAGAATTTTATAATAAAAGCAAAACGAATATTTTCTAATCCATTTGTTAAATCGTTAAAGGAAAGTGCAGTTCAAATCTTTGCACGCAATTGTGTTATGAGGTGAAAAAATCTTTTAGTCACTTATGTCAATGTACTGTAATGACTTTCCAATTGCAGTTACACGATGGAATGTTTGAATGCGATTGTACTCAAGGATACGAGCTTAATCTAGATGGATACAGTTGCAAACAGAAAAACATATCATACAATTTATCATACAATGAAAGTAAATTTAATGACGACTTCAGCTCATCAGACGTATTTTACCAAAAAGGTGTCTCATTCAGCGCTAAATTAGGAGAAGCTGAAGACATCACATCAGAATCTGGAAATGAAAAAGAATCTTTCAAAGATTATGACAATCAAAAGTAATTTTTTCATTATCAATTGGGATGTGTTAGGATTTTCACTTACTTTCTCATTCAATTATTCGTTTAAGCTATAAAAATTCTGGGATTAACGATATTCAAGATGCTATCAATGTATTCAACATTGAAGGGTCTTTCAATAATAAATCAAACGATGAACATTTGTATCCTAAACTGCCAGACGTAACAGTAAACATACCAAGATTTTATCAATCTTCATGGCTTGCGTTCCGACCGTTGAAAGGTACATAATTAATTTGATTCCATTATTTTCTCGTTACGAACCGAACAAGCAATTAAATGTATTTATTATGCAAACAGGCGCAAATTTAGTAACCGAAATAAACATTGAATTTCGGCCTGAAATGTCAAACGGCATACTACTTATAAGTGGAGAAAAGGAGGATTTGAATGGCGATTTCATGGTTCTCACTTTGAGCAATGGCTTTATTGAGTTTTTGTTCGATTGTGGTTCAGGAAGGTCATCAATAATCAGATCATCAGAGAAAGTGATGTTGCATCAATGGAACACGTTAATCATTTATAGATATCGATGGGATGCTTGGCTGGAATTGAATGAGAAAAGACGAATCAGAGGACGATCTGTAGGAATATTTTCAAGAATAACTTTTCGTAAGAAATTCAATTTTTCACTGATAAGAAAATTTAATTAATTCATTATTCTACAGGATCTTTAGTCTTTCTCGGTGGCAAAGGAAACTTCACAACTGAAGCACTTTTGAAGAAGAAAATTCACTCAACAAAAGGTTTCAGTGGTTGCATCAGAAAATTCATTATCAATGGACATCAATATGAACTTTCAACAACATCAAGCAGTGATGTAATAGCATCATCAAATTTGAGTAAATATTTATTGATAATCAATCGATATTTATGACATTCATGAATGTTTACGTTTATTACAGATGAGTGCACTATCGATCAATGTAGTTTCATAAAATGCCTTCACGGTGGAAAATGTCAAAGTAATTCAGCATCATGTCTTTGTCCTCTTGGGTTTGGTGGAGAATTCTGTGAGAAGAAGCTTGATTTAAAGGTAAGCCATAGAAATCAATATGAGATTCACTTTTGTTCACCTTCGTTTGATTTCAAATAGTACCCAATGTTCAATGGAACGTCAAATCTAAGATATGCTTCGCTAGGTGATTCCGCTATTATATGGTTGGAAGTCAAGGTTATTATGATAAGATTAAAGACCGAGATTACCCATTTAATGATTCTTATGGTTATGTTTAGGTTGTGCTTAAGCCTCATATTGAAGACGGCCTAATTTTATTCAGTGGAAAAAGTGATTTCGGAGATTTTATCGCATTATACTTAAACTTTGGTAAGTTCATGTTTGGTTTACATTTTATCATATCAAGTTAACGTTTCAATTCATTTAAAAGGATTTGTTGAGTTTATGTACGACTTGGGAAGTGGTTTAACATCAGTAAAGTGAGAAACTTTATTTCTAGCTTTAAAGCACATTTTGAGAAAATGAATTAAAATATTTTTGCAGAAGTAAATTTCCTATAACGATAAACGAATGGCATACGATAAAAATATCAAGAACAGCACGCTTAGCTGTCATGAAAGTTGATACCCAACCAGAAGTTATGACAATTTCACCAAATGGATTTTGGCATCTCTCACTTGCTACGAGTATCTTTTTAGGTATTTATTATGAATTTATAACAATTGTGAACATTAAATTGATAGAATAATTTTAGGAGGAATATCAAAGCCTAATTTATTACCAACAAATTTGAGAGATAAAGGATCTTTCGTTGGATGCATTAAAGAAGTAAAATATGAAAATATTTCCATGTCTCAATGATAAAAATATATTTTCCTTTATTTAGTTTGAATTGAATGATCGAAAAATTGGATTAATAGAAGATGCCCTTGGAGGGTACAACGTCGGAAGTTGTCCGTTTAATGATCTTTCAGTTATCAACAGGCCTCAGTCAATAAATGTTAATCAAACCAATTTATCAGATCAAATTAAAAAGCAAAATGATTTTGAAGGGACAAACAGTCACATTAAACAAGAGAAGAAAAAATATTCGTTCGATGTCATTGAAGATATGAGTGTCAACACCAATTTAAATGTAAAGAGTTTTGATTCGAATAATTCATTAGAAATGGATGAAAATGATAACGAAATTAAGGATGACGCAATACATAACAGAATTGTTCGAGTATCACTCCAAAAACCATCTGCAAATGACAATGAATTATGCTTCAAAGGAAACGCCAGTATCGTTTTTTATGATATTCATAAACTATTAAAATCACCGGAAAAACATGAAACTAGAATAAATATTCGATTTAAAACATTTTCTGCTAATGGATTGCTGTTGCTTGTATATCAAAAACAATCAATTAAGTTTCGATCATTTCTATCTTTGAGCATTGAGAACGGGTGAGTAGAAAAATAATTGAAATTAAATTGTTTAATTAACGTTAATTTCATCCAAAGTTATATGCATTTACGATTTGGCCATACGACAACAAGCGTTGTTATTAAATCAGATGAGACTAAAGTTGATGATGGACTTTGGCATCGAGTTCGAGCGTCAAGGCAAATATTTATAATTTCTATAATTAAGTAAATATTAAATTACTTTTAAAATTTAGAAAAAATCTCAAGGGAACTTTAAGAATTGATGGTGGACGTTCGTTCACAAGTAGGAAAAGGGACAAAAATAAGTTTGCATCTTTAACTCCAGGGCTATATTTAGGTAATGATTTTCCTTTTTTTGAATGAATATTTCCCATTCTTAATTTCATATGTTTCATTAAGGTGGTACATCGGCCTTTTCATCTTCTCTGCCAGCCTTCAAAGGATGTATATCGGATGTTATTTTAAAAACAGATAACCATGAGCATCACTTAGATTTGAAACAAATGCAAAATGTCAATTCAGATGAAAAATTATGAAAATTATATGATTTCTAATAAGATCAAAAAACTTAAAATAAAAGCTAGAGTAATAGTTTAAGGAACACAATTAGAGATTTATGAAATAGGTATACTTTCTATCAATGAATGAGCGCTATTAGACTGTAATATTAGAGCACAGAATTTTTCAGAGTAACTTATATGAAATGATCGAAAATAAATGTAAAACTTTATAACTTTAGTGGAAATTTCTATTTAGAGTATAATAAAACAAATTTAGACACAACACAAACAGCCAAAAGCTTTTTTCATTCTTTTACGACACTTTTGGTTACTCTAAGTAACGATAAAATTTACCTAGGTAACATTAAATTTATGTTGAAACGTTATAAACATATATTTTAATGTTCAAGATATTTCAAACAATCTTTCCAATGTTTATTATGAACGAAAATCGAAATTTGAACTTTCGTCGGAATCACCATGAAAATGAAACAAATGAAAAATGAAACAAAATTTTCGAGAAGTCAAAGAACAAGTGTAAAGATATTTATAAATTTTAACATTAAAATAAATAGTTCCACAGTTATTTTAAGCTATTATAAGGTCATTTCTTATTTGTTATATTTGTTAACATCAATATAAAAGTGGTCGACATTAGAATAATCGTAATTTACAATCTCTGTCGAGTTCATAAATCAAAAAAAACTTTCATCTTAAAAAAAAATGATTAAATATTTGGCCTATTTTGGGACGATGCTGTTATGAGAAATTTTTCGTATCAAAAAATTAATTCAATCCTATGATTAGAAGTTTCAAAAAAGTGCATTAAAAAAAATCAGAACAAACGACAAGGTAGGAGGAAAACAAAAATTTATTTCTTTTCTCATTTCGAAGGTCATAAAAATTTAGGAAATTTATTAAATCATTTTTCATCTTTTAAATTAAATATTTATTAAAAACTTGTTGTTAGAAAAGCTTCTTCTTTTAATGCTTTTGTTCTTTTGATTTGAAAGCACATAGATAATGATACCTGTTTTATATTTTCAGATGTTACTTTTACTGTAATTCAATATTCAAATACCGTAAGCTTGAACCTACGGGAATCTCATAATATGAAACTCTAAAACTTAAGAAAGAAAATTGAAGCTCTCTCTGTGGACATGGGTGCTACAATGGGCAAAAACTCCACACTCTTAGATTCGCTGCCATCTGGACAAGTAAAAATTTTCTTTTTAACTTTTCAAAGGATTTTTATTCCAATATTTTTTTTTATTTTCATTTTCCTTTTAGCCACTTCATATATGCTTATTAGGTTTAGATAGCGCGGGAAAAACTACAGCATTATATCGAATGAAGTTCGATCAATATTTAAACACCGTTCCTACGATAGGATTTAATTGTGAGAAAATTCGAGGCACTGTTGGTCGTGCCAAAGGAGTCTCGTTTCTAGTTTGGGGTAAAATTATTTATTCACTTTATTGTTTTAATTAATCTTATATAACATATGAATGTTTGAATGCAGATGTTGGAGGTCAGGAGAAACTTAGACCACTATGGCGAAGTTACACAAGATGTACAGACGGAATCATTTTTGTTATCGACTCAGTTGATATTGAACGAATGGAGGAAGCGAAAATGGAACTAATGAGAACTGCAAAATGTCCCGACAATCAGGTAAAATAAACAATGTCTTATATTTTATTTCAAATAATTCTTAATTTATTGTTTTAGGGAACCCCGCTTTTAATATTAGCTAACAAGCAAGATTTACCAATGGCAAAAGAACCAAAAGAATTAGAAAAATTATTGGGACTCAACGAATTACTTTCTCCCATTGGTGTCTCAGTATCATCGGGAACACTCTCAAGTATCGATGGTGGCAGTTTACCGGATAAAACAATTGCTTCATCGTCATCTTCATCAATTGTTTCATCAAAAAATTCAGACCAAAACCCATTAAAGTCTTGGCATATTCAACCGACATGTGCTATAACAGGCGAAGGTTTGTACACATCTAATACTTCTTTTCTAATTATAAGATACAATAACTCTTTTCTGTTTTGTTTTATTCAGGTCTGCATGAGGGATTAGATCACCTCTACGATATGATATTACGAAAAAGAAAAATGCAAAAACAAAAGAAGAAAAGATAAGTAATGTTTTATGAATTAAGTTCGAACGGAATCTCGTTTCATATCGTTGATTCCAAGTCAAATTATTTTTTAATGAATTTGTTTTCTCGCTTTATACTCAGCATTTACTGTAAAATAGTTTCCTAGCACGTTTTGCAAAAACAAAAAGAATGAAAATGATTTTCAAGTTGTTAAACATATTTTTGTTTATGTTTTTGTTATTGATGATTTGATCAAAGATTTGATAACTTTTGTTTTAAAGTTTTTAGATCGCAAAGTAAGTTTAGAATCACACAGAAGAATAAAAAAGAAATAAATATCTATGTAAACTGATTTAAACATGTTTTTAGCATTCTGCCAATTTTAGCATTAATGTTTTCTTTCAGATCACGGAGTTCTTTGCAACTCATATGGCTTTTGTAGCCAAATATATCCGGAGTTTTCTGTTATCGAGCAAAAAGCATTGTAATATTTTCCAGATGACCTGAAATGAGAGAGAAAAAAACTTTCTAAAACTAAATCTTTTATAGAGAATTGTGAAAATAATTTTTCATTTGTTTTATCGTGATTGTCAATCAGGAATCGTGACTGAAAGTTATAACAATATTACCAAGCTTTTGAATTACCGAATGTGATAGAAATTTGTTGTAAATTTTTTCTGAAAACATTCGTGAGCATTTATTTCTTACCTACAATGCAGATATGTTGGGCAACGACATCGAAATATCTTCCTGAACTCTTCCTTACATATCTCATTGTAACCACAAGTTCGTTCTGCTTGATATCCTTTCACGCTGCTATCAACTAATGCATTTGTAGATTTTCCAATCGTTATGATGAACAAGAAAAGAGCGAAAAAAATCTAATTGAAGAATTTTAGCAAATTAAAATTATTTACAAAACATTTAATTGCAACAAAACTTGCCTTGTACATGTTTTAATTGTTCTTCTCTCGAAATATCTTTTGCAGAATAAACAATTGCGACTGAACGATGAAATTCTTCAACTTATTTCTATTAAATATTCATTGGAAAATTCCTTCCAAGATTTTCCAATGAAAAATTCTGCTTCCTTATTTGTACATAAAACTCTCAGATTTTGATTTAAAAGAAAAACATTTTCTTTTATTAATTTTCTGTTTTCCAAAAAAAAATTCACAGAAATTTTCCTTCGTTTACATCGTTAAAAAAAGAAGAAAAAAAAGTTGACATTCACAATTTAAAAAAAGAAATTTTCACGAGAAATAAAATTCACACTTAGTTGACTTGTTCGATTTTAGGTTGAGAAGTTTGTTCTTCTGTTTTGCTTTGAGATGCTTCCTTTTGAGGTCCAACTGGAACGACTGGAACTGATCTCATATCTTGGCTTGATGCTTGAGTAGCTGGATTAGTAGCTGTTATTGTTAAAATTCCATCACTTGATAATGTTGATGAAACATTTTCTTGCTTGTAGTTTGGAGGAATTATATATTTTCTCACGAAATGTCTAAGTAAAAATAATGCGATGATTAAGCTTTTCTTCTAGAATATTTTTTTGAGAAAATTATGTACCTTGAAATCAATCCATGTTCGTCTTTCTTTTCCTCGTGTTTGCCTTCAATGATAATGAACTTATCATTGGTTTTAACGCTGATTTCATCAGGAGTGAACTGCTGAACATCGAGAACGACTGTGAATTTATCTTTCTCTACATTGACGGTCGATCCTGAATCTTGTCGGCTGATGTCATAAGGGCGATAATATGGTGAACGAACAGGGCTAACGTGAGTGTTTGCCAAGGAGCTCAACAGATCATTGCGTCTGAGTGCGGTTCCAAAATGTTGATCGATTAAACGAGATGTTCTTGGTCTTCTGAATGATGAATCGAAATCAAGATCGTAGTCATCCCACCTTTATAAATTATTAATTAATGATTCCATAATTTCAAATAACTTTTAAAACTTCAATACCAATCTCTGAATCTCAAAGGAACGTTCGACATTATTCTTTAAAAATTTTATTTCACTAGTTGAAAGAATGTAAGAAAAAATTTCACAAAGTTTTCACAATTTTTTTTTTAAAACTTGTTGTTTGTACGATGGTTCACATAGAACTCACGAGATTTTCTCAATTTTTATTGAATTCATAGTCACTCCTACAGCGCAAAAATTTGGCAAAGTTTCAAATGATTTAATTTGGGTAAAAATGTGTCTGTTTACCTGAAAGCATTTACAATATTTTCACACTGACTCCGACCGCACTGAACATATCAAGAAGATATTTTGAATATGATGATTAATAGAATTTGATTCAAATGGCTAAAAATAGCTCTTAAGTGTATACATCAAACAATCATGCATTTCTGTAATGTTTTTAAGAAATGTAAGGGATTTCACTTCTTGATAAATATTTCTTGTGAAACTTTCTATTTCTAAGATGATGTGTATGGCTATAATTTATAATTTATGTTGCCTAGGTCATTGATCATTTATGCTTTTGATAAATGATATGACAACACTAAACTCTGTTAACGAATCTCAAATTTAAGTTATTAATCGTTTGATCAATATTTTATGTTAATAATTTTAAATAATTTAATATAAATTTCCCTAATTCATAACGATCATTCTCCACGTTTCCATTTTCTATAGCAACATTTGATTATTCATTGAAAAAGTTGACATAAAATTGAGATATTTAATTTAATAATTATGTACATAATAATTAATGTTTTGTTTCACACAATTTTTATAATTTATTATTAAAATATTCATATAAAATAAATTTCAAATTATGAAACATAAAATCATTAAACAAAGCATAAATGAAACATATTGCCGATCTTTCGTATAGAAGAAAATCTTCTTAACTTGCTATAATCTTAAGTTAGCGAGGTCTGAGTGAGAGCAGAATTTCACATAATTCTCTTTCATCTCATTCAGTTTCTTTTCAACTCTTCAGCTGATCGGACGTGTTTTCTTTGATAAAAATGTTGTGATTTTTGAAGAAATTACATATGATGGTGTTTGTGTAGTGTTGAAAATAATCAAAATTTTTGATAATAATTTTGATCCCAAAACATTAACAAAAGCAACATGGACTTGCATAAAAAAGTAACTGCAATACTTATACTTTGCTTCATTTCGCTATCACTGAACAATGTGAAAGAAGTTTCTTCTGATAACACATATGCTACTACCCAAATTTCGTCGTCAGAATGTTACGATAACTACGGACAGCCAAGAGTGAGTGTATTTAAATCTTTAGATTATAATTTCGTAACACAAGCGATGTTTTTTGTTTCTATTTCTTGGGATGCACTTTTTTTCACAACTGTGGTTGTGAGAGTTTACTTTTACTTTACATGATCTTTTTTTTCGTTTCTTAGAGATTCTAATTTCAAACATGCACCTACACAACTTTAAATGTTCGACAACATAATGATGATCGAAATATAAATGTTCATATGCTTCTTTTTTTTGAGTTCTTGTTGAGGCCAAATCATGTAATGAAGCTGAGACTTTCAATTCTTATCTTCAGATTTCAATTTGTTCCGTCGAAAACAAAAAAAAAAGCTTTTTGATTTTTTAATTCTCATCTCTTATCATTTCATAATGAAGCTCGCAGTAATAATTTCCGGTCAAATGTAAAGTTTGACACGTTTCTAATTACTTTTCTATTTCCCTAAGAGCTTTAACATAAATGATAACATTGAATTGATTTCAGAGATGCATCCCGGGATTTGAAAACGCTGCATTTAACTTGCCAATTGAAGCGACAAACACATGTGGTCAAGATGAAGACACAGATTTCTGCGTGCAAACGGGATTTTCAAACAGAAAGAGTTGTGATGTTTGCCGGTAAGGAAATGTTAATTAAAGATGCATAAATCAATGCTTCATTAAACATATTTATAGTGAGGGAGATCACACATCAGATCGCTTATCGGATTTACACGATCCGAAAAGTCCAACTTGGTGGCAATCAGAAACAATTTACGAAGGAATTCAATATCCAACTGCCGTAAATCTTACATTAAATTTAGGTAAACTTTATCAACTTTCCTTCTTAATTATTTAACTAATTTTATGTCTTCTTAAATACAGGAAAATCATTTGACATCACATACATTCGAATTGTATTTTATTCGCCTAGACCAGAATCTTTCGCAATTTATAAAAGAGTCACTCAAGATGGACCTTGGAGTCCTTATCAATTTTATAGTGCAACATGTAGAAGCACTTATGGACTGCCGGATTCACTTTCATTACAAAAAGGAGAAAATGAATCGAGAGCATTGTGCACCAGCGAATACAGTGACATTTCACCATTGCAGTTCGGTAACATTGCTTTCTCATCATTGGAGGGACGTCCGAGTGCTTACAATTTCGAGCATAGCATTGAACTTCAACAATGGGTAACAGCGACTGACATAAGAATCTCCTTGAATCGACTTAACACTTTCGGTGACGAATTGTTTGGTGATAAACAAGTTTTGAAATCATATTTCTATGCGATTGCTGATATTGCTGTTGGTGCAAGATGTAAATGTAATGGACATGCTAATAAATGTGTTGACAGCACAGGTTTAAATGGTGAAAGAATGAAAGTTTGTGAGTGCAAACATTTCACTGATGGACCTGATTGCGAGAAATGTTTGCCTTTCTACAACGATGCGCCATGGGGACGTGCAACATCAAAGAACGCACATGAATGTAAACCATGTAATTGCAATGGATATTCAAATAAATGTTACTTCGATCGTAATCTCTACAATTTAACTGCACATGGCGGACATTGCATTGATTGCGCTGCAAATCGCGACGGTCCAAATTGTGAACGTTGCAAGGAAAACTTTTACATGCGTGAAGACGGATATTGTACTCATTGTGATTGCAATCCAATTGGATCACGATCATTGCAATGTAATTCTGAAGGAAAGTGTCAATGTAAGAAAGGCGTTGCTGGTGAGAAATGCGATCGTTGTGAAGCAAATCATTACAAATTTGCAACTTCTGGATGTCCATCATGTGATTGTAACATTAATGGATCTTGGGACAACATGCCGTCATGTGATCCAGAAACAGGATTTTGTGCTTGCAAAGAGAATGTCGAGGGACGTCATTGTCGGGAATGTAAGCCAGGCTTCTTCAATCTTGATTTTGACAATAAATTTGGTTGCACGCCTTGCTTCTGTTATGGGCACACATCAGAATGTCAAAGTGCTTCTGGTTATTCCATTGTTTCAACGACATCAAGCTTTAATAAGAATAAGGAGAAGTGGACGTCAGTCGATACAAGAAATAAATACGCAGAGCCGAAATACAACACGCCTCGTCAAAGTGTTGGAATCTTCAGCACAGGGAATGAAAACATTTACTTCAATGCACCTGATCGTTTCTTAGGAGATCAAAGAGCTTCATACAATCGATTACTTAAATTCAAGTTGCAATTGGTTAATCAACGTGGTCCAAATCCATCACCAAGTGACATAATTCTTGAAGGTGCTGGCAGTAAAATTTCTTTGCCAATCTTCGCTCAAGGACAAGGAATGCCTGATGAAACTATGAAGGAATATGTTTTCCGATTACATGAACACCCTGATTATTCATGGCAACCCAGTCAATCTTCACGACAATTCATGTCAGTTCTCAGCAATCTTACAGCCATCAAAATCAGAGCAACTTTCTCAGATGAAGGTGAAGCATATTTGGACGACTTTGAATTACAAACAGCACATCGTGGTGCAGCTGGAAATCCAGCTAGATGGATTGAACAATGTCAATGTCCAGAAGGTTACGTTGGTCAATTCTGTGAATCATGTGCACCAGGTTACAGACATAGCCCAGCTAATGGTGGTCCCTTCATGCCATGCATTCCGTGTGATTGTAATAAGCACGCTGAAATTTGTGACTCTGAAACTGGAAGATGCATTTGTCAACATAATACCGCTGGTGATAATTGCGATCAATGTGCACGAGGATTCTATGGCAATGCTTTGAGTGGAACTCCATACGATTGTAAGAGATGTCCATGTCCTGATAATGGTGCTTGTATGTCATTAGCTGATGACTCAATCATGTGTTTGGAATGTCCAGTTGGATACTTTGGTAAAAATTGCTTCATATTTTAAATTATTTTTAATTACATTAACTTCCTTTAAAGGCGCTCGATGTGAGATTTGTTCTGATGGTTATTATGGCGATCCAACTGGTGTGACGACAGGAAAAGTTCAACTTTGTCAGATGTGCGACTGTAATGGAAATACTGATCCAAATGCGGTTGGTAATTGTAATCGAACAACTGGAGAATGTATGAAATGTATTCATAATACTGCGGGACCTCATTGCGATGAATGTCTTCCTGGACATTTCGGTGATCCTTATGCTTTACCTCATGGATCGTGTGAAACGTGTTCGTGTTATCGTCGTGGAACAATTGAGAATTCCGATGGAATTTCTGTTTGTGATCAAGTTTCTGGTGATTGTGCATGTAAGCAAAATGTCATCGGAAAGAATTGTAATGAATGTCAGAAAGGATTTTGGAATATTGCCAGTGGAACGGGATGTGAAAGCTGTCAATGTGATCCAGTAGGATCTTACAACAGTTCATGTAACACCTACAGTGGTCAATGTTTCTGCAAACCTGGAATCACGGGATTGCATTGCGACAAATGTGAAGCCTATCAATATGGATTTTCAACGGAAGGTTGCAAGCAATGTGACTGCGATAGTAGCGGTTCGAAAAGCTCTCAATGCGATGAAGATGGTCAATGTCCATGTAATGATAACGTTGAAGGAAGAACATGTAACAGATGCAAGGAAAACAAACATGATCGACATCAGGGATGTTTGGATTGTCCACATTGCTATAATCTCGTTCAAGATGCTGTCAATGCGCATCGTAGGAAAATTTCTTCATTCGATAAAATGTTGTTGGAGATTTCAGAGAACCCAACAGTTATTGAAGATTCTGAATTTGAAGCAAAGTTGAGAGCTTTGAATGAGAAGGTGAACATTGTTTTGGAAGATGCGAAATCAGGTGCAGGTGGAGGTTCTGGTAAATCATTGACACAGAAAATGGATGACTTAAGAGATCAACTGTTTGAAATTGATGGAAGTTTAAAAGATGTTGTAGTGACACATGACGATTCAAAAATGAATTTTGATCAAGCTAATGAGAACTTGAATATTGCACAACAAAGCATTCAACAAGCAACTGATGAACTTAATGTGAGTTGTTTTATTTGTTTTTCTCATTTCGCTAGTTAATTAATGTTTTCAATTTACAGTCTGCTATGGAAATGATTCAAATTGAAGGGGTAATGGAACTTTCAAAAGCAAAGAACAAATCTAATCAATTCGATCAGCAATCTGAACAAATGAGTGACATTTCGAGAAGTTCACGAAAGGTTGCTGAAGATTTAGAAAAAGCAGCAGGTTATAACAGAGATCAAGCTAAGGAAGCTAAGCAACGTGCAATTAATGCTTCTGATGTTGCAAAGAATACAATTGATTTACAGAGATCAATAACTGATCAACTTAAAACGAAAATAGCGCCAGATTTTCCTAAAGAAAAGAAAAAGTTGGAATCGCTTAAAAAACTTACGACAGAATCTCTTGAAAAAGCAAACAGCGTTTATGATGATTCATTAACATTATTCGCAAATATAAACGCTTTAGCTATTCCTGAAGTGGATCTTCAACCAATCAAAGAAGATGCGAACAGTTTGTCGAAAGCTTCTGATGAAATCTCAGCGGAACTTGAAGGAGTTTTGCATACTAATAACGAGATGTTAAGTAACTTGGAAGATAATTTAAGACTTTCTGAGGTTCTTATATTGAGGTCAGTTGAAAAATTAACAAAAGAATAGTTTTATGTTTAATAAAAGAGAATTTTTAATTGTAGAGCTGATGGTCAGAAAGAAGAAGCTTTAGAAATGCTCAACCACATCACAGATGCAAAACGATTAGCAGAAACTGCAGTCAACGATGGTGATGACACTTTAAAGAAAGCTAATAACACTTACCATTTATTGCAAAGCTTTCAAAGTGAAGTACAAAAATCATCAGAAAATGCCAAAATTGCCCTTCAAGATGTTCCTGATATAATGCAACAATTAAGAGACACAGAAGATATCATTAAGAAAGCGGAAGAGGTTTGCACAATAAAAAATTATTTTATTTGAATCCCTATGAAAATTTAAAATCATTTCAGGCATTAGAAGAATCGTATAGTAATGCTGATAAAGCAAAAATGAATGCACAAGAGGCACAAGAACGTTACGCTGATCAAGCTTCAAAAGTAAAGCATTTCATTGGGTTTTATGTTGCTTTTTGAACTCATATTTTTTCTTTCCTAATTTAGGATGCCGAAACTATTCGCAAAAATGCAAACGATGCCAAAAATGAAGCTCAAAAGTTACACTATGAAGCTACTAATTTAAGATCACGAATTTCTAGTACTGAATCAAGATTTGGAAATCTTGAAGGGTTGGCAGATGAAGATGATGAATTGACCGAAACAGCAAAAGCAAAAGTTGGTCAGGCAAAGACTGATTCGGAAGAAGTTCAACAACAAATGCAAAAAGCTCTTGACAGTATCAAGTCTATAATAAGTGAACTCGAAAACATGAAAGAGATAAGCATAAAAGATTTGGATTTGCTGGGTAAGTGATGTGAATGTCTTACAAGTTTTTTTATCACTTATTAAATATTTTTTTGTTTATTTATATAGATCATAAATTAAATACAACAGAAGCAGAGCTTGAAAGAGCGAAATTGAATGAGCGAATCGAATCCCTTCGTGGCTTGAGAAACCATCAAAACTCAGATATGAAAGGATATAAATCAGAAATTTCTCTTTTAGAAAAAGAAGTTGCAAACATAAAGCAAATATCCAGTGCATTACCAAACGGTTGCTTTAAAAGAACGCGCCTTGAACCTTAATTTTAGATTCTAAATTTTATACTTAATGTTTTATTAAAATCTATTTTCATAGTTTGAACTCTCGAACAAACTGTAACTGCCATAAAATTTATAGATTTCTTTTGTAATAATAAAAGTTTGAATGGAAGTTGTAATAAATCTTTAATTATTAACACACACGGTTCGAAAGGTTATTAAGAATAGATATGATAAACTTTGAAACAATTAAAAAAATCTAGAATGTTTATGTAGAACTATAAAAATTAACTGTGAAAATTAATTTGAAATTTAGTGGGTATGCAGGTTTGAAATTATTAAAGCTACAATGAAAAACAAATCATTTAACTCTTCAGCACAACTCATTTGTTTCATGAAATTAATAATAATTTTGAAATAATTTATGCACATCTAATTGATCAATCAAAATATAAAGTTTTCATTAAAGATTATTTTGCTTGTAATAGGAAATATCAAACTTATCTTGAAAAATACTGTGCATAAGAAACTCTTGCTAACGTATTGTGGTGCTGAAGTATAAAATTAGGTGAAATCGTTTTTTCCGACAAATTCCAAAGCGTCTTTTTCTGATCATAAAATATTGAAGTTAGTTCGCGTTATTAAGTCTCAAATATAAAGTTAAAAATTTTTAAGTCATTAGTACAATTGATTTTAATTGAAGTGAAGTGAAGAAATTAGAAAGCATGACCAGTAGAAGTGCAAGAAAAGGAACACCAGTATCTTCTGGTTCAAATGTTCGTCCTTCCAGTCCACTATCGCCAACCCGCCATTCGCGACTCGTGGAAAAAAATGAACTACAGAACTTGAATGATCGATTGGCAGCATATATCGATCGTGTGCGTCATTTGGAAAACGAAAATGCCAGATTAACTACAGAAATAACATGTTATCGAGATACAACAACACGGGAGGTAACAAACATCAAAGGCATGTATGAACATGAGCTCTCCGATGCCAGAAAGTTATTAGATGAGACCTCCAAGGAAAAGGCAAAACTTGAAATTGATATCAAGAGGTTTTATGAAGAAAACGAGGATTTAAAAAAACGGTGAGTTCTAATTTTTTTGGTTAAGATGGAGTTTTAATTAAAGAAATATGATGTCATCTATTTATTACCACCAAAAAATCCAAGGCACACACATTTATTTTCTTTTCGGTTGGGGAAGCTATATATACATTATATGTATAGATGTAGCTATATTTAACTAATTTACATCTTACGCACACCACGAAAGATGCGTTGGAGAAGGTCTTTAAATGTTTAGATATCGTCTAACACATTTAATATTTACCCTTCGTGAAGCATAATAAATGTTTTCCTATGTAGCAACTCCGCCATATGCTTTCAAAAAAAGATTTTTTTAGGGAAAAAATGTCGGCATTTTATGAATGAATCGTTCGTAGATTATATTTTTTTTTACTTAGTGATGATGATTCTTCCTCTTCGTTTTACTATCAGTATAATTACGACAATCGGAATAAAAAGAAAATATGTCAATGCCATCTTCATCGGTAATGACCTTAAGCATTTTTGATGATGATGTCATTCTTGTTCCGTGATTTATGTTCACCTCATTCCATGATTATTATTGTCACGCGTACACTAACACATGAGAATGAGTTTCGTGAAAGGTTCGATGACATCATAGCTCGGCACTCCTTTTGTATAACATAATACAAGTCATAATGTATATTTGTGAGTCGTGAAGAACATGTGCGATAGTCATCGTCTTCACTTCTGAAATATTTTTTAAAAAGAAAACTCTCAAAGTTATGATCTCATGAGTGTCGTCACTGTATGTGTGTTAAGTTTTAATTTTTATTTGTCAAACTCTCTTTTAACTGTGTTGTTTACTTTTCATCTTCTTCTTTTTCAGTTTGGACAAGAAGACGAAAGAATGCGTCAGTGCTGAGAACAGTGCTCGTTTATACGAACAAAAATTCCACGATTTGAGTGCAAAATATAATGCTGCTGCTTCAGAACGTAAGAAGCTCCAAGATGAACTCAAAGATTTGGAGAAAGAAAATGATAAACTCAAAAAGATGCTCGAAGCATTACGTAAAAGTTTGGAAGAAGAAACTTTGGCGAGAGTTGACTTAGAAAATAACATTCAGAGTCTCAAGGAGGAATTGACCTTCAAGGATCAAGTTTTCCAACAAGAACTTTCCGAGTCTCGATCACGTCGTCAAGTCGAGATCAGTGAAATTGATGGCCGCTTAACTGAACAATATGAAGCGAAACTTCAGCAATCTCTGCAAGAATTGCGCGATCAATACGAAGCACAGATGCGTGGCAATCGTGAAGAAATCGAAGGATTATACGAGAATAAGATCAAAGGCTTACAAGCCCAAATCAATCGAAGCAATAGCGCTTCTTCTGCCATTCACGAAGAATTGCGTATTGCTCGTTCACGTGCCGATGGCTTGAACGGTAAAATTTCTGATTTGGAAGGCACAAATGCTGCTTTATCTGCTCGAATTCGAGAAATGGAAGTCATTTTGGAAGCTGAACGTGCGCGTTTCCATCGCGAATTGCAATCGACAGAAGCTGAGTTAACTCGTCTTCGTGAAGAAATGACGCAGCAATTGATGGAATATCAAGATTTGATGGACATTAAAGTGTCGCTTGACTTGGAAATTGCAGCATATCGCAAGTTACTCGAAGGTGAAGAAACTCGTCTTAACATCACTCCAACACAATCCCAAACCGCTTCGTTCTCTCAATCTTTGCGTTCTGGTCGAGGAACACCGGTTCAGTTTCGGACCCCCTCAAGAGCTGGGAAACGCAAACGTACGGTCCTCGAAGACGAAGAGCAATCGAACTATAGTGTGAGTTCATCAGCAAAAGGAGAAATTGAAATTGTCGAAGTTGACACCGAAGGAAAATTTGTAAAGATTTTAAATCGTGGAAATAAAGAAGCACAAATTGGAGGGTGGCAATTGCTTCGACGTTCTGGCGATAATGAAACTCAATTCAAATTTCACCGTACTGTTAAAGTCGATGCTGGGCAAACAGTCACAATCTGGTCTATGGACAGTGGAGCAACTCACGAACCACCGACAAATATTGTCATGAAGGGACAACGCTTCTTTGTTGGTGATAATATGACGACGCATTTATTGAACCCAGATGGCGAAGTATGATTGATTATGATGATTAAAGCATTAAAATTTAATTTTTTGTTTTTATTTGTTTTATAGGAAGTTGCATTGCACGAACGTAAACTCGTACAGAGATCATTCCATCGTGAATTTGGTTATCGTGGAATTGAGGATTTCCATCATCAGCAGGTAAAATAATCAAATAATCATAATTAAGACAAGAATTTCTAATTTTATTCTTGTTATCAGGGAGATCCACAATCTGGTGAAGAGAAATGTCGCATAATGTAATCAACTTCCATCACTGCCCACTAAAATTTCAATCGAATGGTTAATTAAGAACAAACCAACAAAGTAAGAAAAGATATTGCCTTTTAAATATTTGAAGCAAATTAAAAATGTTTAAGATTATCTTAGATTTATGAGGAAAATATTCCATAAAGTGTTGTCTATGGGAAATATCTTCTTTTTATCATCACTTTTTCCCCCTAATTAATTTAGTTTACCATCAGAGACAGTTTCTGAATGTCAATGCTAAAATTAGTTTTTTTTTCTCTTATACTTTCAAAATGAGCACAAAGTTATATATAAAGAAATTAAAGTCTTCGCAGATAAAATTTATTTCGTATAATAATAACGAAAGCCTCGAGATTACTAATCAGAAACATTTAATAAATATTATTATGAGACAGTCAGTATCGACTTAAATATCTATCTTAATGAAAAAGGAAGAGAAAAGTTACGATATAGAATATTGTTTTATAATAATTAAAGTAAAAAGGTTGAGGAATCTTATCAAAATATAAAGAATTGAAATGCAAACACATTGAAGATATCCTTAAAGCTTAAAGTTTTTTTTTCTCAATGGGAATAAGGAAATAATTTAATTATATGATTTTGTACTTTCTTTCTTTTAAAAAAGTTCTTCGATATTTGCACTGACAGAACTTGAAAACCTAATTCTTAAATTCATTAACTCTTTTCTTTTTCTTATCATAAAATACATTTTTTAATTATATTTTTTGCTAACATTAGAAGTGTAGATAAATCAAAAAAGAAGAAAATAAAAACTTGTGTTCATGAAAAAGAAATTAATAAAAATATTGTTTCATGTTTCATGTCAATAAAATGTCTATCGATTCATTTTTTGTTAGAGTTTTAGTTACGGTGAAAAAGTTGATTCGCTTTAACTTGTGTTTATTTCCTGTTTATTTTATTGATTAAATGGAAATAGAAGCACTGAAGGTTTTGGTAGGAATTTTCATAGTTAAATATGTTTCCTTCGAAACATAAAGGTAAGAAAATGATGAAGCAGAAAATATATTTCCGAGAGAATATTAAAATGTTTAATATAAATCTGACAATTTCAGATGTGAGTTGCTTTTAAAGCTTTCCAACATTAAGACATTACTTACAATCAATCTGATTTTTTTAAATGTATTTGATCACTTATGTCAACATTAAATCTTTTTCTTCATTTATTCACTCAATTTTAATCGCGCTTTATTAAAAGCAACAAATATGAGAATTGAAATATTTTTAAGTTTATAGATTGTTGTCAATAATTTTGGATTTGCTCTGCTGTCTTCAACAAATTCAACAGAAGATAAAGACGATGCTAGCAAATGTGAAAAGTTAACTGTTCCGTATGCGAAGATTTTATTAATTTTGAGGGATTTTTACAGAATTTAAGAAAATTAATTTTACAGTTTATGCAAGGGTGTAGAATATAACATGACGATTTTTCCTAATCTGTTAAATCACACAAATCAGGTGATTGGTAATTAAATATTTAACTTTATTTTTATATGTTCTGAATTTTTAGGGTGAAGCTGCACTTGAAGTTGAGCAATTCTTTCCTTTAATCAAAGTAGGCTGCTCCGGGGACTTAAAACTTTTTCTTTGCTTATTATACGCACCAGTTTGTACAATTTTGGAGTATCCTATTCCTCCCTGCGGCTCTCTGTGTGAGAGTGCAAAAAAATGTGAAAACGTCATGAAAAGATTTGGTTTCATGTGGCCTAAAAGCCTCGAATGCTCAAAGTTCCCTCAAAAAAATGAAACTTTATGTTTAGGGTCAAATGTTTCTGTCAATTTATAACTATTTTTCAGAATAAAATGAAGATGTTTGCAAACAAAATATTTATGAACGACAATTAATTAATATTGACATCATCGGAATGTCAAAAAGGTTATCAAGATAACGGCAATTTCAAATAAATCAAAAGTTCTAGTACCTCAATCTAGATTAAGCTTTTCTCATGCAGGGTTCTTGAAATTTTTCTGAACCCTGCAACACGAACTTTTAAGTACGAAAAAGAAATCATTAGCATTCATATAAAAATTTGACACATTTATGTTTTCATTTCTTATATTCATTCTTAATTATCCGCGTTTAGTTTTGAACATTTCAAAGTCAACTATATCATCAATTCAAACGATTTAAACATAAAATATCACTGTTATTGATGTGTTTGATTTATAAAAATCGTGTAGAGCAATTCAGCTAAAGCTCTCGCTTTATAGAACGCAAATATGACAAGAATCAAAATATTTTTTAGTTTAATTTTCTTATTCATTATTACTAAGATAAGTTTAGTTTGTTCACAACCATCTTCAGTGCTCATATCGACTCAACAGCAATCTAAAGAAAGATATAGTCAGGAAATAATTGAAAATCATAACAAATGTGAACCCATAACAATTCCGTAAGTGCAGTAAAGTTATTTTTTATAGATCCAGTAATTAAAGAAAAAACATATTCCTTGACAGATTGTGCCTAAGCATTCAATACAACAAGACGATTTTTCCAAATCTCTTAGGCCATACAAGACAGGTAATTTTAATTTAACAATTTTTATTAATTTATTTAACACTAATTGACAAAAAAAATATATTAAAATTTTTAGGATGAAGCTGCACTTGAAGTTCATCAATTTATTCCTCTCATCAAAATAGAATGCTCTCCAGACCTCAAACTTTTTCTCTGCTCATTATATGCGCCACTTTGTACAATTTTGGAGTATCCAATCCCTCCATGTCGTTCTTTATGCGAAAGTGCTCGAAATTGTGAAAAAATCATGAAAACTTTTGATTTCATGTGGCCTGAAAGCCTCGAATGTTCAAAGTTCCCTGAAGATGCCACAGAAAAGCTTTGCATATCGAACAACGCGTCGTCAAGAAATGATCAGAATTCTTTCACAGCCCCGTTTTCTGTTCTACATAAGCAAGATAGAAAAAATAATCAACAAGAAGTGTATAAAAGCAATGCAACCGGTTATTCGCATCGTTCAGTTGGCTTTGTATGTCCCGTACAATTGAAAGCTCCTCCCGTAATGGGATATGAATTAAATGTAGCTGGAAAAGTTGTAAAAGATTGTGGCGCACCATGCAATTCTTTATTCTTCGATGAAAACGAAAGGACGACTCTCCGTTATTGGATCAGTTCATGGGCCGCTTTGTGCGTTGCCAGCTGTCTCTTCACGGTATTTCCATCACAAAACATTCTCACATTCCTTTAATTATATTTTTTTTATTCATAGATTTTAACATTTATCATCGACTCATCAAGATTCAGATATCCAGAACGGCCGATTGTCTTCTTAGCAATTTGTTACTTGATCGTTGGCATGGCATATGTGAGTGGATTAGGTGCTGGCGATACAGTTGCTTGTCGTGAACCTTTTCAGCCAAATACACGACTTGGAAGATTACAAATGATATCGACAATCACACAAGTAAATTTTCAAGTTAATTGAAAAATTTGAAGAATTTTCATGAGATGAAATTTTTTTTTCAAGGGTCATCGTCAATCAACATCATGCACAGTTCTTTTCATGATGCTTTATTTCTGCTCCATGGCTGCTTTTGCTTGGTGGACATGTTTAGCTTTGGCTTGGCTTCTCGCGTCAGGCTTCAAATGGGGACATGAAGCAATTGAAGCGGTAATTAATAAATTTTTCCATTCATTTATACATACTTCGAATTAAAATATTTAATTGATATTTACAGCGTTCACATCTGTTTCATTTGATTGCTTGGGCCATTCCCGCTATTCAAACAATCTCAGTATTGGCATTGGGAAAAGTTGAAGGCGATGTTCTCAGTGGAGTTTGTTTTGTTGGTCAACTTGATCGTCACTCGCTTGCAGTGTTTTTGATTATTCCTCTGTGTATTTATCTCTCGCTTGGTACGCTTTTCCTTTTCGCTGGATTTGTGTCGCTCTTTCGTATCAGAACAGTGATGAAGAATGATGGAACAAAGACGGATAAATTGGAGAGACTCATGATGAGAATTGGATTTTTCAGCACGCTTTTCATTTTACCGTCGTTTGTGTACTTGGGATGTTTATTCTATGAGTATAAAAACTTCGATAAATGGATGATTCAAGTAAGCATAAAATAGAATAAAAAATTTTCTAACAATCAATTAAACTTTCTTGCTTTCAGTTTAATCGAAGCATGTGCAAAAAGTTCTCAATTCCATGTCCGCCACCATTGAGCATAACTGAAGATGAGAAACCAATTTTCATCAAATTTATGTTGAAATATGTTTGCTCAATGCTTGTTGGCATCACTTCATCAGTGTGGTTATGCTCGGGAAAAACTGTTGCAAGCTGGAAACTTTTCATCGAGCGGATGAAAGGCAGCGACACACGCGAACGAAATTATGTTTAATAAGGAAAGCTTTTAGGCAGAAATTCACAGCTTTTGATATCCTCAAAAATATCTTTAAAGTGAAGATGTAAATTTTTGTATCTTCCAAAATATTTTAAATGTGTGAATGACAATTGAATGAGAAAAAGAAATTAAGCAGCGCTTCATTAAAAATTTAGTTGTTGCTAAAGTTAACGAATGAAGTTGTGACAAATATTTAAATGCTCGCAAATTCATTCATCAATTAATGCTGAACAAAAGTGTCATGTGTAAGTCTGATTAATAAGTCCAAAATTATACAACAACAGTAATTTCCTACTTTTAAAGCTTTTTTACAATTTTAAATAACATTTTTTATAAGAAGTATAAAAAAACTACAAGAAATGAAAAGAATTAATAACTTGATTATATAATTTGATGCTTTAATCAATAAAACAAAATAAAAAAAATAACAAAAATGATTTTCATTTCATTTTCATCCTTTATTTAATATTTTCAACACACATTTAATCTAATTATTTATTTATGAAATTAAAAAGTGAAAACATCGATCGCTTTGGTAATTAAAATTTGCTTAATTTAAAAAAATCATTTCAATCTTTGGTTTAGTTTTGAATCAATTTGAATCCTACATTGGATGCTAATTTATGACCACATTTATGTTATTCCTTTGGATATTTTAGAAACATTAATAAGTTTGCTGATTATCTACAATTACGAGTGATGTTCAGCGATTAAAATTGCCAGAATTTCTTTCATCTAAACATATTTTTGTAACACAAAAGAGAGATGTCGAATGCTTTTCTCTAAATTAAACTTTAACTGTCGTACATTGACTTGTGATGCTCAAAATTACAATTAAACACCCACGTAGTTATTTAAAATCCACCAACAAGATTTTCCAGAATCTCTTCTGTACTTTTTCGATCTTCTTTGAACACTTTCATTGTTTCCACTGGAATTGTCCATTCCAGAAATTCTTCAATGTTAAGTTTCAATCGTTCAGCTTCAGAAAAGTTTTCATCTTTATGGAACTTTCTTCCAGCACATTTCAGTGAATCGATGAGAATATTGTCAATTAGACGCTTCTCAAAGCCAAGTTCTTTCAACTTTGACTCACTGGAAATCTTTTTTAAGAGTATTGTGACCATTAAACGCATTTTCTCGATTGACATTGGTGGATCAACGTGATGATTTTTAATCTAAATGAATTAAAGTCATTCAATCACTTACATAACAAATTAACAAATATTTACATAATCATTCATGATTCGATCCTTTGACATGTCAAGATTCGCTGTGCATCCGTGTGCGTGCTGTTGAAGTTCTTGTTTCGTCTTGAAAAATTCCTTACAAGCTTCACACATGTATGGCTTATCCTGTTCAAAAGAAAATTAAAAATTTAACGTAAAGAAAAACTTTTTCCGCAATTAAAATCTTCAAACCTTGCCATGAATGCTCAACATGTGCTTTTTTAAATGTGGAAGTTGTGAAAATGCGACATCAGCTACAGCACATTCCTTCATTGGGCATTTAAATCTAAAGATAATTTATTTATTAATTATTAATAAAATTATTTCAATTATCACAACTTACGGCTTCTCTCCTGAAATGTCATAAGAAATTTTCCAATAAAAATTATGAAAATTAATTAAATTTAAATTCCTTAAATTATGTTTCAGACATACCTGTGTGCTTTCTGAAATTAAATATTCATTTTCTTATTAACATCTTGTCATGTTTCAATTAATTTATCTCACCTTATATGAAGTTTCAAGACTGATGAATGTGCGAAAGCTTGAAGACAAACTGAATGGGAAATATTAATCAATTATTACCATGGGTTAATTTATGTGAAAGAGAAACTTACTTTGACATCGATATGGACGCTCACCGCTTAATATTTAATGAGATTTTAATTGATTATAAAATTTTAATGAGAAAAAGTTCTTATTACCTGTGAATCCGCTGATGAACAATTAACTGAGATCTTTGTGAAAACAATGCACCGCAACTCAAGCATCCCTAAATTGATTTAATTTTAATTACAAATATCCAATTAATTAACGACGTTAAAGAATCTCACATGAGTTTTTATAGATTGGTGGGTTCGCATATGTTGTGGCAAGTGACCTTTGAACATTTTGTTGCAAATATGGCAATGAAAAGCTTTTATGTTTTCGTGATAGCATGAAATATGTTTCTTTAAAGCATCTCGTCGATAAAATGCTTTCGAACAAATATGGCACACAAAATCTCGTTCTTCCAAATGACTCTGTTTAAAAAGAAATTAATTATAGTTTATGGCATTATTATCATCATCAAATCACCTTAAGATGAATTTTCAAATTAGCCAAACATGAAAATTTCGATCCACAAAAGTCGCATTTGTATTTCTTGATTCCAGTATGAGTGACCTTTTTGTATGAAATAAATTGAGTTTGATTAAAAGTCATGAATATATTTAAACGATAACAAATTATTCACCATGTGTTGTGATAATTGACCGCCACGGGCAAAGTTCTTCTCGCAAACATGACACTTATATGGTTTCTCCCCACTTTACAATGAATTTATCAGAATTTAAATTTAATTGAATTTATTTTATTACCTGTGCACTCGCAAATGCAATCGTAAACGCTCCTTCACTGGAAATTGTTTTCCGCATAACTTTTATAATAGAAAATTAATTATTTTCATATTTGTCACGATTATTTATGATTTGACAACTTACATCACAATTGAATGTCACGTCAGTTCCATGCTGTGAAGCTCTGTTGATGTTTAGTTTCAAAATGTTAACAATTATAAAGTAGAATAAATTGAAAACTTCTTCACCTGTGATTCTTAAGGCATCCTGCTTGACGGAACCTCTTGTTACATCCTTTCTCAGGGCATTCATATGGACGCTGAATATTTAAAAAATTAAACATAAATTATGACATTTGAGCGGTGATTTTACTAAAATCGTGATTAAAAAGATTTTGTTTATGTTTCTCCGTGATATTTAAACTTCTTTTCAACTACTTTATGATTTATTTATAGATTAAGCAGATTAAATAGAACAGACTAGGTAGAGAATAAATAAATATTTCATTGTAAAATTCAAGGTGTTTAAAATCCACACCCGGTTCAAGCTTATTTTTAATTTGAAATTACCTCGTCGCTGTGTATTCTTAAATGTTTTCTTAGATCGTTCAGACCTGAAAAATTTATCATTTTCTTTTGTTATCATTGAATTCAAATGACTAATGTTATCACGATTATTACCTTTAAACACCTTGCGACATATTGCGCATTCGTGAATTTTCTTTGGTTTTGTGTTTCTGCCTGTTTCAGCTTTCTCAATCCGATCTTTATTAGGTTTCTTGTCTGTTGATGATTTAGGTTTTTCGATTTTTCTGATAGCATTTTTAGGTATTGACGGTTGTTCTGAAATTAATTTTTTATCTTCAACTTTTTTCGTTTGTTGACTAGATTTGGCTCGTCTTGTAGAATAGTTTGTTCGAATAGGCATTATTTCCACTGCTCTACTTCGTCTCTTAGAAGCCATTATTTTGATTTATATTTTGTTTAGATTTTACACTAAGTGAATTTGCTTTTCTTTCTTTTCCAATATTCTACATGTTACCCTTATCACCAGGTTTAAGCGTTTAACACCATTTCAGAACATTTATCTGAGGTCATTATTAAAGAGTCATGAAGACACATTCAACTACACCAGAATTTCACTTTCGTGAAGAAATATTTCAAGTTTTTGTTATCTCTTTATTTTATCTGTAATTAAATATTTGTTTTACCTTCACCAGAAAAAGAAGTAAAGTTTATATTTTAAGCATTAATTCAAAGGAACTATTAACACTCCCCTTTCTCATCATCTACTCAAATCTTTCTATATTGTGAAAAAATATTCTACTATTAAATTGAAATTTAAATAAGGAAAAGAAAAGGAAGATTGTTATCTGGGTTATTTAATAAGTTTAAAAAGAATACTTCTTGTTAGCATAAATAAAAGACCATAATTTTGTCCAATGATACTCACAGTTTCCTAAATTTTCATGAGAATTTTCAATCTGGTTCGGAAAATCACAAAATTTTCATTTTTTCTACTTTATTTCATTCTTACTTTTTCAACTATCTGCGAGACTCAATAAAAAGAAAATTAAACAAATTTTTAGAAACAATTAAAGCTCACTTTTTATAATGCACAAGCTGTATTCAATAAATATATAGATAAATAGTTTTGTGCATGAAAATTGATTCCGACTGTGGGTATGAAGCAAAGCTATTAAGGGGTACGAGTCTTTCATTTAAAACGAAAGCTTCGCGGCTCCGTAAAAAAGTAAATAATTGGAACAATTTTCGATTTTTAAATTCTAATAAGAATATAGCTATGGCACCGGTGTTATTAAAAGGATGGAAATACGCTGCCTTTATTGGGTCAATCGTAGGTTTTATTGGTCTTGCAATCTATCCAATAATCATTGAACCAATGAGAAATCCTCAAAAGTATAAAGAAATTCAAAAAAGGAATCGACAGGTAAATCAAGAACTTTTAAAACTTATATACTGCATAACGACATCACGAAAATAACTTTTGATCAGATGCTAATTCAATATATGCTTTATGTTATGGCTTTCATAGGGAATTAATCAGGAAGAAGTTCAGCCGGGGAACATGAGAGTATGGAGTGATCCATTTAAACCACTGAAAGGAAAAGAGTAGTAAAAATACTTCGACTGTTGTATATGTTGTAAACAAATAGCAATTTAATAAACTTTTTTCTTCTTAGAAACGTAAGATAAAATATAAAACATGTTGATGTCTTTATTATGATTAATGATTTTCTTTAACATGGTTTAAACTATTAAAAAATTAATCAAGTGGATTTAAATGTTGTAAATTTCATATTTGTAGATTTAAATAGTCATCGTCTTCTGCTAACAAGTGTTGAGTCTTCATGTCTTTCTCATTTCCACCTCGAATCGTTGTGATAATCCTAAAAATTGTTGAAAATAAAAGAAAAAAATGATTTTCCATTTCTCACATGAATTTCTTTGCGAGCACGTAAAATTCATAGCAAGACTTCAAGCTTTAATAACAGATCTTTAAAAGAAAATTATTGGACACCAGAACCTTTTGTCGTTGCATTATTATTTCTTTATTTATGCAAGTTATTTGTGTTTATTATTTTAATGCTTATAAGAGAATTTATTTTTAATTTGCGTTTTTTCTTTTGAAACCTTCTTTCCAAAAAAACTAAAGATAGAAAATCATAAATACATAATTATATAAACTAAAAGTTAGTAATATTTACATGCCATTAAGTATTAATTGAAGGTCTTATGAAACTGAAAATAAAATAAAAAGTTTAAATAATTTCCAATGAAATGAGGTAACTTTCACCATCATGATAAACTTAAGAAAGGAATCCATAATGCAGATCTCCCATTTCCAATATTAAAAAATGATTTTCTTACCTTGACACTATGGAACTATTAGATAAATTGAAATTTGGTCGTGGAATATCGTCAATACCTCGATGTATCGATATATCATCAAGATTATTATTCATACATTGAGCATAAACCATGAAATCTTCCGTCATTAAAGATGCTTTAGTTGGTTTACGGTAAAGTTTTAATAAAAGTGATGCACAAACAACGGTAACTGAACTTAAGCACATAGCAGCTGCTGCCATCCACGGCTACTCATTGGATATTTAATTATCTTTTAAAATAATCAAATGAAAAAAAATTCACTTACTTCAAGCATGATACCAAATGGACTTAGAACACCTGCAGCAATGGGAATCCCCAGAATGTTATACATACTTGCGAAAAGAAAATTTAATCGAATTCTTTTCACAGTTTTTCTTGAAAGATCTAAACATGCGACTACATCCAATAAATCATTTCTCATAAGTACAACATCGGCTGCTTCAGCTGTTTTAAAATAAGAATTAAGAACGTGAAGAAAGTTTCACATCATCAAATATTTACCAGCAACGTCTGTTCCTTTTCCAATAGCAATACCAACGTCAGCTTGTGCCAGAGCGGGACTATCATTGACACCATCACCAACCATTGCAACACGATCGCCAGATTCTTGAAGTCTTTGAATTTTTGCGACTTTGTGAGAAGGAAGCACTTCAGCGTAAACTGTTCTGATTCCAACTTGTTGCGCAATGCTACTTGCTGTGTTTTTATTATCGCCCGTTAACAAGATAACGTTAATGTTCATTTTCTTGAGCGTGTAAATCGCTAACATTGCTTCTGACTTCAGCATATCTGCTGCCGATATCATGCACATCAAAGTGTTATTTAATGCACAAAGTATCGCCGTGTTTCCACACGACTCTTCCGTTATCAGCATTTGATTTACTTCTGCTGGTATTATAATCCCATTTCTGTGCATCCATTCACGATTTCCAATTAAAACAATTAATTCATTCTGAAAAGATAAGATTAGATAATGAGATGAATATAATTGATGGAAAAATAAACCTTACAAAGCTTGAAAACTTCTCCGAATTATTATCTTCGACAATTGAGTCGTTAAGTTCATTTGTGTCAGGAATTAACTCTTCAAATATCACATTGTCAAGTGTTCTCAACACTTTATCCTTTCTTGAGATGTTACTTTTGTAAGAGTTTTCAAAGTTTATGTATTTCTCAGATCTTGAAGCAGCTGTGACAGCTCGTTCAATATTTGACACTGTGCATCTAATGCCACATCCAGGAACAGAAATAAAATTTGAACATTTTCCCAAAGAGTTGGTCTGAAGAAATTCGTTAACATATTTAACAACAGCCGTCGCAATTGGATGTTCCGAATTATTCTCAGCAGTTCCAATGCATGTTAAAACTCTCGCAAGTGAACAAATTTTTGGCTTAACAAACATCGTACATTTTGATACCATCGGCATTCCATAAGTAATTGTTCCAGTTTTATCAAAGACAACTGTCTTTACTTTATGTGCGTTTTCCAATGGTGCAGCACCTTTAATTAAAATTCCATTTAAAGCTCCAATTCCTGATGAAACCATAACTGCCGTCGGTGTTGCAAGTCCTGGTGTTGCAAATTAAAAAAATAATTATTGAATCTTAAAGAAAACTTTTAATAATCTTACCTAAAGCACAAGGACATGCAATTGCAAGAACACTTATTGCACATTTGAATGAGTAAGTCATAATAATTTCAATATCAGAGAATCCTTGTCGTGATGATGTTGAGATTGGCAGCCAGTCAATGTTTATATAACCGATAATGATCCATCCAATTAATGTTATTGTTGACACGATGATTACAAATGGAACAAAAAAACCAGCAATTTTATCTGCTAATTGTTGAATTGGAGCTTTTGACGTTTGTGCTTCTTCAACTAATCGAACAATTTGTGCTAATGTTGTGTTTTCACCAGTGTGCGTTGCTTCCATTAATAACAAACCGTTTTGATTTAAAGAACCGCCAATGACAACTGAACCTTCACGTTTCACAACAGGAAATGATTCTCCTGTAATTAAACTTTCATCACACGATGACGATCCGAGAATAACTTTTCCATCGACGGGTATTTTTGTACCGGGCACAACTTTCAAAATGTCACCACGTTGAATTAAGTCAACTGGAATTGGCTTCTCGCTTAACACTTCATTGTTCTTTCCAATCGAAACAATCAAAGCATCTGTCGGCTTAAGTGACAATAATTTTGACAATGCTTCCGACGTTTTTCCCCTTGCAATGTTTTCCAACCAACGACCAAGAGAAACGAAAATAAAAAGCATCGCTGGTGTATCAAAGAATGTTAGTGGTGAAGTTTTATGAGATTGAAGCATGGCAATTGATAAGACAATGACAGAATATAAATAACTGATTGTTGTTGCCATACTAATAAGCACATCCATGTTGCTACTTCCATGCTTTAACGCTCGATAAGCTTGAATATAAAAATGATATCCGCCGATGAATTGAACTGGCGTTGACAAAACAAACATTACAAGATTCTCAAGTGAAAGGCCCGGAAGCAAGCAACACATATTTTCATGTCCTTCTATTTCCATCATTATCATGAAATATGTCATTGCAATCATGCAGGGACCACCGAAAGCGAGTGAAAACAAAAAAGTATTCCGCCATTTAGCAATTTCTCGTTTATTTTCAAGATAACCGTAAGACATTTTATCTCGCTTGCTTAGCACTGTTGCTTCGAATCCTAAGTCAGATATGAGTTCAGAGATTTCTCTTGGTCCCGTCTCTTCACTGTTGTATTCAAATTTTCCCCTTTGGGTTGTCAATGCGACTGACGCTTTCGTCACACCTTTGATCTTCAAAACTGATTGTTCAATTTTATTTACACATGATGCACATGTCATTCCTCGAATTTCTATTTCAACACTGTTAAGACCTGCATCGGGTTCGTAAATAACTTCGGTAGGAAAGCCAAGGCTTGTTAAGGATGCTGCAATGTCTTCAGCTTTTACTAACTTCTCGTCATATTTAATTTCAGCTTTTGCACCTAAAAGTGATATCAAAACAGAATCAACTCCAACAATTTTCCGACAGTGTTTCTCTATCGCTGACACACAACTCGCACATGTCATTCCTTGAACTTGAAAATATCCTTTCTTAATATTATTGATGCTACTTGTTGCATTGTCTGCTTCAGTTTTTGAGTTTGTTTCTTTAATTTCGTCATCCTTTATTGGATTTAAACTTGCTTTGAATCCGAGATTTGCGATTGCGGCAACAAGTTCATTGGCTGATATCACATTTTTATCAATCGTTGCATTGGCCAATTTATCTTCTAATTCAACTTTAATTTTTACAACGCCAGACAAAATTGAAATTTTTGATTCGATATTATTCACACATTTCTTGCATCGCATCCCATTGATGTAAACTGTTAAACTAATTTCACTGTTATTACTGTTTTCGCTTGTGTATGAATTAAATCCGAGATTAACAATTGATTGTGAAATATCCGCTGGATTTGTAAGTGTTGGATCGTATTCGACATTTGCTAACTTTTCATCGAGAATCACTTTAATTGTCACTACTCCGAGCTTGCTTTTCAAATTCTCTTCAATTTTACGTACACATGATTGACATTTCATACCCTGTATGAAAATTTGAGTAACACAATGTTGATCGCGTACGTGTACATCCAGTAAACTTTCATGTTCTTCATAATCATCCATATTGTCTCTAAATAAGGAAATAGATTATTAAAAAATATTCTTTTTAAGGTGTGAGAAAGTAAAGAAACAAGAACGATAATAAAAATTCACAATTATTTCACTCAGGTATCAACTAAAGTTAAAATACATAAACGAGATACTTTTTTATTATTTCGTCGTAGATAATTTTTAATGTTTACACGACGAGAAGTCTTTTCCTGATAACAAAGTTATTAACATGCGGTATAGTGGCAATGTTATCTCATGTTGAGCCAATAATTGATAAGGTCTTTCATAGATAATTCTTATCATGTTGCACTTTCTTGATTTCTCTTAACGACTCGACTTATCGTCGATATCTCAAATTATCACTTCTCACAAGAACTACCGTGCAATTAATTCAGAAATCAATTAAAATTATGTGACGTATGTGAATAAAGCAACAAAGAGAAAGCCAGATTTGGAAAACAACACGTACCGCAGCAAAAATTCTTTTTCTTCTCGTGTTGAGCTCATTTCTTATTTCCAAATACACGTTTTAACTCTTTTTAAAGCAAATCAAGACTAAAGTACTTTAATGTTTGATCTAATTTTTTAACTGTATGTCAGTTTCGATTCAGACTTTGTGATAGATAAGATAAGGAATCGTGTTTTCATATTCTGATTGAAGTTGTGTTCACAAGTAATATTTTTGTGTAAGAGAAAAAAATCGTGAAAACTAACAAATCAAACTAAAAAACTTGGAGAAATATTGACTGAAATCAAAGTTGATACAGTTGAAATGTTACAACAAAAGAAATGAAACCAATGTAAAAGGAATGAGATGAAGAAAGAAATCCAAAGAAGAGAGAATTTAATAAAAAAGTATTGTTGTTATTGACTCACTTTTTCTCCTGGATTTTATTCAATGGACTTCTATCTAAAAAAATGAAATAAACATTTGTCACATATACCATCAAGTCTACATGCTTCACTTTATAATATACTTGAATCCATGATGAAGTTTTATCCGTTTTACATAATCTTAAAGAAAATTCTAAACAGCTGCGATGAAAAACCGAAAAAATCTTATTGTACAAAAATTTTGAGAGAGCTCAAAAACAAACTAATAGGGTGGGTGACGCTGTTTCAGTTCTTTACCGAGTACTAAAGGAATTTTTACCCAACTCGATGATGGCTCTGATTTTAATAAGAGAATAAGCTTGTTAACTGTAGCATTTTCATAAGATTATGCTGCTTTAAAACAACAATCAAGTTAAATAATTGCATAATTATGATTTTGGTGAAATCATTCATGAATTTTAGTTTTTGCAACTTTCTGGAATTTATTATTCATTTCATTAAAGACTTGTCATTTTCTATCTATTAAATCTTTAATATCTTTCTAGATTACTAAACTAAATTAGGTAGGTAATTTGCAATAAGTTTTATAAGCTTTGACTCTGTTCCCGTTATTTAATCTTTTACATAGAAACCGTTAGTTTAGTGAAATTACATAAGTACCGTTACTTTTGGTGAGTTAGAGCTCCGCAAACAAAAGTCCTTATTCACTTTGCTACGGTTGAGGTAACAAGTAATGCAATCAAGTCTTCCAAAACCCAATTTGGAATTTCAATATTTTAAGTTATATCCTTAGATTTAATGTTAAATTTTAAAATGAGTGTAAGAGATACGGACATGAAATTGCTTATAAAGCTTGTGATGAAATTTGAGCTCGACAAAGAGTACGATGAATTGAATAAGGAAATCCAGGTAAAACTCTGTTCGTCCTCTGTGTCAAATGAAGGATAAGTTGTTTATTAATTAAACAACTTTAATCAATAGTTCACGATTTTATGCTGGTGAAGTTTTGAGTAACAAAAAAAATCATTGAAATCTTCTATGAAAGTTTAACGGATTTTTTAAAGGGGTATGAAATTTAAAATTTTTTTGTTGAGTGTCATAACTGTTATACAGGCTAGAGCTCTACTTTTTTAGTGCCGAAGTTTCAAGAGCGAGCTCCAAGAACGAGCAACACAAAATTTGTTTTTTCCTTGCTCTTTATTCGTGTGTAGAACATTTAATATTATTAAGTAATATTCGGTACAGTACGTGCATGCAAATATTATAATAAAAGTGTCTCATTGAAAGTGAAATAGTTCTTGGAGTAGAATTTAAGAGTGTGAAATTTTAATCGATAATCTGAATCTGTGAAAAAAGGATATTTTTATTGTTGTTGTATTAAATACATCATAGACATTTGGCGAAGCACCCAATCTTAGTATTTGAAGAAAAGTATCAAAAAAGTTCTTTTATGTGGTCGAACGCTTATTTTTTACCTCCTCAAGGAATGTATTTCCCGGTAAGTTTTCCTATTTTTACTGCCCTTCCCACGCAGGGATGTGAATCCATTTGTAGATTAAAATGCATATTTTCTCTTCTCTCATATTCCGTAAACTGTATCCTCCCGTTTTTTTTTCTTTCTTTTCATTTTAAACAACAACACAATGAATTGTTTGGATGATTTTTTTTCTCTTCAAGACGCGTAGATTTTTCATATTTCTTCTTCTATAAATAAGTTTTATGATGATGATTGCATATGGAAAAAATCATGTTTTTTTTTCTCTCTTTCTTGTTGTTAAAAAATTAAACAAGCAGATGTTTCCCATTTCTTCTGATGGATCACACTATTTTTTCGTGTTGCGAATTTTGGGGTCTCACGAATTCTTCAATGCTTCCTTCAATGTATGAGATTTTCTGCCTTTTACAATTCTTTTACGTATTAATACTTCCGGCGCAAAGCAATTTATGTGTCTGTTTCAATTGTGAATACCGAACGCAAATTCAATGAAAGGTTTAAATACATACATTCTCTCCTATTGCTCGAAAATGTGATCATCGGAGTTAAGTTTAAGTATTCAGTTGTTATGCTGATGTAAAATTCAAAAGATTTTTGGGACGCAATTTATTTACATCATTATTGCGCAAAAGAAGACATGAAATATAAATTTATGAAATGGTCAACGGTTGGGTAATCATCTTCGATGATAGCCTTTGCTGCTTCGACCTTTCGCTATCAGCTTGAATATGATTAACACAACCTAAAGTTTCGTATTGTGTCTATTTCGTTTTGTAAGTCTTCTTTATTTATTTATTTATTGAAAGATTGATAGACAAGATATTCAGCTTGTACGACCATCACCGAGGTCTGATGTGAATTTTAAATTTATTGTTAATTCCTCATTCATTGTCTCTCTCTTGATTTAAAACCTTTTCTTCTTCTTTTTTCGTCTACTCCTAAGCAAAGATTTGGTCGAATCATGCGTTTTTTTAAATTTATTCTTAATTGATTCGATCAACGAAGAGGTCATATCAATTTAACTTCATTAAATGAATCTCGTTGCATGTTTCAAACTTCATCATTGTGGTAAAAATAATCAATTTCTTAGAAACTTTTTTCAAGTACTCCGAATTATTTTGTTGTGTTCAAGGAATGTCTCATTTTTTGCTGTAATAAAAGTGCATTTATAAATTGAATCGAGGAAGAAAGAATGAAAAAGAAAACATCGCATTTGTGAGAGAAGGTGGAACATAGCCAAAAAAATATTACACTTACTATTAAATATTAGCTAGGAACGAAACATGATGTCAAACTTTGAATATGAAACTATCGTGTGACTTGAAGTATTTGCAAATTGACTTATTAGCTATTATCGCTATAAATAAAATATTTTGATCATTAAAATGTTCATCAATCTCAAAGATTTGATCCGCCAACGTTGGTAAATCTTTTTTCATCATAAGCATACTTGAAACTCGTATGTCACGATCCGATATACATTTTTGTATAAATTCAAATATGTTTCTTTACCGGAAGCTATGTTGCCAGTTTTTCTATCGTTTGTTTTGCAACTAATTTGCATCAATCGATTCTCTATGTAGTCACTTGGAGAACTAAAGACTTGTTTAGCTTCTTACCACGCTATAACTTATTCAATATCCCCTAAAAATATTCAGTGACATTAATATGGATGGAATAAGCATATATAAAAATATAAATAAAAATATTTCATAATCACTACAGCAACTAGTGCAAGCGGGAATGGGTACACACTTTCCTTCAAGTGGATTTACAGCTTCAAATCAAACGGTTGGACCTGAAAGCCTTTCTGTTGCGGTTGCTGTCAAGAATGCTATAAACGATCCCCTCTTATCCCTTAAATCCGAAGCAAATACTCAACAAGTACAACCAAGTATCAGCTCCACTCATGTAAGTTATAAAAATCTTTTACTTTATTTTCTACCATTCACTAAATCTTTCTTTAAACAGGCCACATCGACTGAATTCAGCTCAATAGTTTCTCAACCAGTCACAACAATTAGTACATCATTACCTCTTTCAGTATCCCCGACAGCCAACAGCAATGATCAACTCAAAGTAATAAATTAAAATATTTAACGGCCTCGTGACATTAGAAAGCAAATGTTTCTGTTTTATTTCTGCAGGAATTTTCTCTTAATTCAGAGGCTGATAATACTAGTGCCAATGCAGAAGCCAAATCATTGTCAACGACTTCAACGTCTGGAGTACAAACCAGTGTGTCAGAAACATCAGCAGTCACGTCAATATCACCTCCAAATGTAATTCCAACAGGAACCACGACCACTTCCACCACAGCTGATTCCAAATCTCAACCAAAGCGTCTTCATGTCTCAAACATACCTTTTAGATTTAGAGATCCCGATTTGAGGGCAATGTTTGGAGTAATGATTAAAAATATTTTTAATTAATTGTCATAACATGATTTTAACTATTTAATTTTAGCAATTTGGACCGATTCTTGATGTTGAAATTATCTTCAATGAACGGGGAAGTAAGGTGAGTTAAATGTTTCAATCATTTCATTTCATAAGTCAATCAACAAATCTTTTTTCATTAATTACGAGATCAATATGAACAACAAACAAAATAAATAATCAATCAATAATCGTATGTGCCAAAACAAGAGCAATTCAACTTAAATAATATTTATACCAATTTCAGATGTTGAAAAATCGTTTCAAGTTATCTTAAACATAAGAAACAATCAAACAAACAAATCTTTTCGTATGATCAAATGTGTTCAAGTTAAAGATTTTCTTCCAAAAAAATCATTCATCAGATAAAAGGTACAGAAAAGAACTTACAGTCATCGCAATTATTTATACTAAATGAATAAATCGAGAACGTTAATGCATCTCTAAAAAAATTATTTTTCTGTAAAATTAATCGCTAAATAATACATAACAGTCTTCCACCATTGACATTCCTTAATTATTTATATATGAGCTGAAGCTAGACTGAGCTGTATAGTTTTTTACTTTATTGTTACATATCTTAAATATTTCGCAAGAAGCAGATAAAAGGATTATGATTTGAATGTTGTAAATCTGTTTAGAGCAGTTGAACGCAAGGCTCGAAGATTTTTTTTTCTTTTGAAGTTTTTGTTTTCATATTTTTTTTTTGTTTATTTTTGGGTAGACAATGTTAAATGAGAATCTAAAATTAGAATGAAAAGCTACACAAAGGCTTAACTATGTCATCAAATGTAACAACATTACTTATGTTTTTTTTACATAAGGTCACGGACATTTCAATTGACATGATGATGGATGAGAGGAAATGATGAAGCGATAAGTTGCAGGTTTCTTTACTTGCCGACTTCATCGTATCTTGACATCTATCCTAATAACATGACTTAGACACACATTTTGCATGATAATCCAATGTACATTCGTGAGTAATGTTGTAAATTTAAAAGAAATTTGACATAGTTGTTTCCTTCTTCTTCTCTTTTGTTCTTTTTGAGTTGTGTCGTATAATTAAATGCAATGATACAAGGACTTGTGTTTGAATTGATAACTGAATCTATTTAACTGAGATTCAAGACTTTCTCATTTTATAATTATTTATGTATTTAGGCGAATTTAGCTAATCATTTCCGACTTTAGCCTTTGCATTACGTTTCTGTTTTCTTCTAGATTTAAATAATTTTCCATCCTGCTTGGATTTCATTATGTTCAATTGAACGATTTTCATGTAATTGAACGAGAACAAAGACAAAGATAATCTTCTGTAATTAAATTGTGAAGTAGCATGGTAAATTTAAAACTTTTTCATTCACTTTCTCTATCAAACTTCTCTTTTCCAAAAAATGAAATAAAATAAAATTAGAGAAGGAAAATAACATAAAACAAATGTTTCAATGCAACCATTGTTAACATACTCCCACACTTCCATGATTTATTTTTCTGCATGTCGAAAATATTTGAGCGTCAAATGTAAATTTAGGAAAGTTTAAAGAAAATATTTAAACATTTTCCCACAGCTCTGTTACCAGCTTCTCCAACAATAAGTAAATAAAGAGTGCGAAGTTTCTTTCTATTTAAAAATGTTATTGTGACTCAAACAATGCGCATGATGATAACTTTTCAATGTAAGTGTAATGAGCTAAATACTTAATTGATCTTTAAAGCATGATGATGATTTCATGTTGGCATCAATGCACAAACATTAAAACTACATGAATGACTTACATTTGTACTTCTTGATATCAATTTTTCGAAAGCGTATTTATATTAATTATTGATTATAGAATTGTTTCCAAAATAAATAATCAAAAAAGAAAAATATACAAAAAAGCAAGAATATCTTAACGTTGTGATATTAAACTTGAGAATGTTGATGATGATAATGAAAGCTTTGGGAGTTTTTTTTCGTGGCACGTATTGTTTGTAATGTTTACAACCGAGGAAAAGTAATTTACATCCACCTCATGTTAGTAGTCGAAGCTAGTAGTGCTAACATGTTGTTTTATTTTCCTTGTGGCTGTAAAACTGATCTGATAAATTAAGAAAAAGAAAACATTTTTTTTCTTATTTGACTCGATTGCTGCAATAACTTGACGATCTATATTTGCATGTTCCATTCTAGGGTTTCGGTTTTGTGACAATGCATAACAGTGCAGATGCAGAACGAGCACGAGAACGTCTTCACGGCACCGTGGTTGAGGGACGCAAAATTGAGGTGTGCATGATGTTTTAGCCTTTTTTTCTCCTTTTTTCCTTTTTGATAGTTTTAAACTTTGATTTTGAACCGCAAATTTATTTATTAAAGTTGACTACGTAGTGTCTACCTTTGATTTAATGTTGAGTGATGCTGGCTTTGATTTTTATTCTTCTTTCTCTTCTTTTTACTTTCATCTGTTTCTGTTCAAATGAAGCCAGCTTAAGAAATTCTAAAACATCTTTCCACTAACTGCATGTTTATTAAAATTTACACTTGTACTCATTAATATAAATTTCTTAATTCACCATTAGAAATTCCATTAAACTTTGACACTTTCACTCTTAATTTGAATTTAGGTAAACAATGCTACAGCTAGAGTTCAGAGTAAAAAGATTGCAGCAGTGCCAAACGGTACGTTTCATAAATTATTTCATTAAATTTACAACATTCATTTGTTTACTCTTTCCAATGTTTAGTTTGTGTGCAATGGCCAGATGGTAAGATAAAAACTTTTCAAATGTTAAAATCATTTTATCATATAACTTTAAAATCAATAGCGGCTGCTGCTTTAAGAGGTGTTGCCTTACAAACAACACGAGCACGTACTGCTTTTCCCACCCGAACATTCGCAAGATTACCAACGCCATTAAGTAATGCAACTGCTTCCAATCCTTTACATGGATATGCACCGTAAGTGAACATTTTTTACATCATTGCATCCATAAAAGAAAGTTCGAAATTTCATTTTTCTATCTTTCAGATTATATTTCGATCCATATTTTGCTGTTGCGAATGCGGCAGCAACATCTGATCAGAATTTGCGCCTGCAGGTTTGTTAAAAATTATTAAAACTTTTATTTAAGTTATTAATAATTTATGTTGAATTTTTCAGCAAGCAGCTGCAGCCACACCAGCTCTCTTAAAAACTCCTTTGGCACAATCTCAACAAGCATACTCACAAGCATTTACAACTCGAGCAATAAACGCAGCAAGTTTAGCTCAAGTTCAGGCTCAAGTGCAAGCACAAGCTCAACCCGTTACTGCTGCCACTTATGCCGCAGCAATGAGCGGGTATGTGTCATGATTTACGTTGTTTTATATTGCATTTTTATAATTTTTATGTTTGTCATCTTTTGTAGATACGGAAGAGATTACACAGATCCATACCTTGGTCACGGCATTGGGCCAGTTCCGGGATATGGAGTAAGAATGAAATGTTTTATTAACTCATTTAATGATACTTATAATTGTTCCTTTCTTTCAAGGCCATGTTTCGAGGAGCATACTCCCGATATCAGCCATACTAGAATTCTCGATGTTTGCGTTTATTGAACGTAAATCAAAGTTCAAAGTCTTAGCAAGTAGGAAATTACATTATTAATAATGAGAAAGAGAATTATTCGTAACTTTCTCTTATTTTCTATCATTACAAATATTTTTTTTCAAAATTCCAATCATGACAAAAACAAAGAAGAAATCAAACTCTTACTATGCAAATAGCAATCTCAAAGGGAAAAAAGCAGGAAAATTAAAATTTATCCTGAATTAAGAAATTAAAGATTAAAAACGAATTAAAATCTTTTGATTCATGAGATTTTACATCTTTTCTTGATCAAAGTAATCAAATTTAGCAAGCAAATATCTCGATTAAGTTTAATCCAAATACACCTTTTGATACTCTCAAATTCAATTTATGTTTATTTTTTCAAATTAAAAATTTAATTGAGTACAAGCATAAAAATGTTTATGCATATTTACATCACATGAACAAGCTGTTTTTAAATTGTAAATCGAAAAAGGAAATTAAAAAAAATGAAACGATTTCGCATAAATTAGGATGTATCAGATAAAGCCAAAAAAAATCTCTTAGCTAAAACTATGCTCGATGCTTAGTTTCTAGTCATAAATAACTCTCACGACATTTCTTTACTTTGCTCAGTAAATATTAACGTATATGCGACTAGAAGCACCGAGCATTTCGGAGATCATTAAAATCGGCAATCGGTATACGATTGCATGTTTAATTATTAAGTTAACAAAGCCTATCCAAGATCAAGAACAGAAAAAATAGTCATCGACTGTAATCGATTTTTTGATATTATTTAGCAATGTTTAATAACAGCCTCGGGATTTATCTCATCAAACCATCTTCCTACATTAATTCGGCCAGAATAATTGCAAATAATTTAAAACGATCAATTGAAGTCAACAATTTCATCTAAAACAGTCTTCTGAAACCCTTCAACATAAGAATAAAAAAGCTTCGAAAGAGTTTCATACTCAACATACATCACATTGAATAATAATAAACGGATTGAATTACATATTAATTTCAAAACTGATATTATAAATATAATGGTCTTCTAGAAAACTTGTGATGTTATAAGTGTATAGATAGATTCTTTCCTGATGACATTTGAACAAACAAAACAAAAAAAAGAACAAAAAAAAGTAAAACGAAAAATTGAAAAGTCAATTTGTAATCGTTACGCGTAAAAAAAGGTAAAGAAGTAAGAATACCAAATAGGATGGAACTAAATATTATTATTATTTTCAAATTTCCATAATATTAAGATGTAAGAGTAAAATTCGTAAAGAAAGAAAAATTAATTGTAAGCACAAAAAAAATTCTGTATCTTTAAAAAATACCAATGTTGTATGAAGCTCAATGATACGAAGAGCTCATATCATTCTCGTCATGAAATGAGTTCGTGTTTGTGGCAAATTAGCCCTTTTAACCAAACGTAAATTTCGAAATTAAAAAAAAATTGAAGAAAATATCAGCCAAAGTTTGAAAGTAAGCTTTAGATTAGTAAGCCATTTTTTACCCTTGATTTTTAAGATTTTAAGAATCTTTCACGCTCTCTTTTTCCCTCTTGTCGTTCCACTTTGAAATTTCAAAAAGGGCCAATGAAGATTTTTACAATTGTAAAACCTTTCGAGTAGTAAAGGCAATAGCCTTATTCAGTGATAAAGGTAAGAAGTTAAAATGTTTTCGCTGAAATCTCAAAAGCAGTTGTAGATGTTAAGAAAAGAAATTATTTCTAAGAACAGTCACATTTTTTTCAAATAAATATAAAAAAACTTATATACCTATTGTGCAACAAAGAAAATGAAGAACAAACATCTAAGAAATTATTTAACTCAACTATTTTCTATTCACGACCTTTCTCGCTGTGTATTGGATGAACATTAGAAGACTTTTTCACAAACGACAACCAACATTGTGCTTATGAAAGCGCAAAATATTTTAATAACTTTTATCTCATTGAATTGTGCACAAATTTCTTAGAATTTATCAGAACCAAATCATACCTACATACATTATATTTCTTCCCATTGCATACACATATTGAAATTTATTTTTCCACCGTTGTTCATGGTGCGATGTTCGAATTATGTTCTTTCCGATAGAACGAAAAAAAATTAAATACTCGATATTAAGATAAATTTTCTTCATAAATAATGTACATATTATGATGCAAACACAAGAGGAGTAAAATAAAAGCACAAAGTTACATTTTCATTTGAATTATGCTGTTTGAATCTTTTTTTTTTAGGTTTTCAGGCAACAGATCAACTGGCAGCATATACAAGAAATTTTTACAAATTAATACGAGAAAAAACAATCTAATAATACTTATTATTTGCTACATATCTGCTTGTTATATTGTATCTAGGTTAATTTAAACGAGTTGAATAAATCCAACTGTTATCTATCTATACCTACTTACGTGTAGATATTAATGGTAGGTAAGTTTATGTTTCATATTAAAAAATTCATTGCTAAAGATCATTTAATAATAATGAGATCATTAAACCTTCAATCATTATGAAACATTTTTTCATTCTACATTAGAATTATTAGGTATTTTGATTTTTTAAATAAGAAAATTTAAAAGATTTCTTTTAATTCGAATTGTACTAAAATTTGAATTTCCCGCATAGAGTTTGTTTAGAAAACTTCAGCACTAAAAAAGTTGAAATCATTTTTAATCTCTTTAATCTTTAAGCTATGATTAGCAATATCAGTCAAACAAGTCTTTCTTGATTTACCAGATATAGTTAAAAGTAATTGTTAATTCTTCATTTAAACAATACAAAAGGTCATCATATTTTCGAAATAAAGAAAATAATTTGTTAGAAGAAAAAATTAGTAGTGCTGAAGAACAACGAAAACTCCTAAACGTTCATTTTTCTTTCCACATTCTTGTCGAACCATATTAACAAAAAAGTGAGTTAATTGAAATTTAAAACCATTTTAAGCATCGTAGAGAGCTGAAACATTTTAAGGAGCATCTACTTAACTTCATAAATTAATCAGAAACATACAAAACAGGAGTTTTTCTAAGATTTTCTTTTCCATTGTGAGCAAATAACTTTTTTTTTGTTTATTTGTGTTGGTGCGTGTTTAAACTAAGTTGAACTTGCATTAAATTTGAAATATTTCTTCTCTTAATTCATTATTCATGAACTGCATGCAGTTTTAAGTTAGAAATACTTCTCAAATGTGTACAAATTAGAATATTTACTTAATCTTCATTCTACTTTTATTATTTTCTTAGAAATTTGTAAAATGGAGTTGCGAGTTGGAAATCGGTATCGATTGGGAAGAAAAATAGGATCTGGTTCATTTGGCGACATATATTTGGGAACAAATATTTCCACAGGAGAGGAAGTGGCAATAAAGTTGGAATGTATCAAAACCAAACATCCTCAGCTGCATATCGAGAGCAAATTCTACAAAATGACTCAGGGTGGAATAGGAATTCCAACAATAAAATGGTGTGGCTCTGAAGGTAAGATTGGAACCATCCTAAACATTAACTCTTCATTTTCCTTCCAATAAGCTTATTCTTTATCAGTGAATTTTGAAATGAATTTATTTAATAATTATTTTGTAATTTATATTCAGGTGATTATAATGTCATGGTGATGGAGTTGCTCGGACCATCGCTTGAGGATCTGTTTAACTTTTGCTCCCGCCGATTTTCTCTGAAAACCGTTCTACTATTAGCTGATCAAATGATATCACGCATCGATTATATTCATTCACGCAACTTCATTCATCGTGATATCAAGCCCGACAATTTCCTCATGGGCTTGGGAAAGAAAGGAAACTTGGTTTACATCATTGATTTTGGACTTGCGAAGAAATATAAAGATGCAAAATCGTGTATGCACATACCCTACAGAGAAAACAAAAATTTGACAGGAACAGCTCGTTACGCTTCAATCAATACGCATTTGGGAATAGAACAATCAAGACGCGATGATTTAGAATCATTAGGCTATGTGTTAATGTACTTCAATTTGGGAACATTACCGTGGCAAGGCTTAAAAGCTGCAAACAAGCGCCAAAAATATGAAAGAATTTCCGAAAAAAAGCTTTCAACCCCAATTGAAGTTCTATGCAAGGACTTTCCTGCCGAGTTTCCTACCTACCTGTCATACTGCCGCAGACTTGACTTTATTCAACGCCCTGATTACTCATATTTGCGAAAACTTTTTCGTACACTGTTTCATAGTCAAGGTTTTACATACGACTATGTATTCGACTGGAATATGCTGAAATTTGGTGGTCCACGTAGCAGCAACAATCAACAGGAGCAGCAAGATACAACAGCTGAAGGCTCAAATAGACGAAACATCCAAATGGTTCAACACAATACAAATGACGAACCAATGGCATCAAACTCACGTAACCAATACGACAACAATGAGCGAAGATCATCAGTTAGGATTCGCGGCCAAAACTTAGAAACACGAAACATGAGTAAATAATGATGATTGAACTTTGAAAAAATAAGAATAGAATCAACGGATGATTTAAGGATATGAAAAAAAAAACATTTAAAAACACTTTACACATAAGGTAACGATACATACTTAAGTTAATAACATAAATGTTAGGTAAATGATTTTAATATTAATAATAATAATTAAAAAAAATAATAATAAAAGCCTATTATTATTATTATCAACTGATGCGTCAAGAAAGAACTCAATGTAATTAAACAAAAAAAAAGATTAAGTGAAATAGGGAATGAGGATTTTGAAATATTCTGTGTAAGAAGATAAAATTAAGTTAGACTAAAGTTGTCACAGCATGAACTAATCTCTTTGTTAAGAATCGAAAGCTTTATAAAAGATACTTAGATTGATGAATTTTATGAAGTGATCTTTGAAACAAAGAAAGACATTCGAAGAAGAAGCAGAAAAAGTTTAAGGAATGTGATTCAAAAGTCTTATAAAAACAAATCATGAAAGAAAAATGTAAATGAAATTGAGATTGGCTCATAATGTGACAACTAAAATCTGATGAAAAACATTAAAACATGACTAAATGTAGACAACTTTTCTGTGAATTGAAAGATTTATTGTAATCTTTGAACATCAAATATTTGGATGAAATGTTCAAAAGTTCGAACATTTTCCTACTTCCTTCTAAAAGTTTACAACAGAAGAAATTTTATAAGTTTTACATGTTAAATAATCGTAAAATTCGCGTCATCATTTCACAACATGTTATCTAGGTAATTATTTTTCTTTAACTTTCTTTTCTTTTAAAGTAATGGGTCGGTAGATATTGGACTTACTTTTAAGAAACTTACCTTAATTCTTTTTTCTGCATCGATCCACGGTTTTCATAATTATAGCATTGTCTTAGCAAGAAACAAGAATCATAATTATCGCTTTGAAAATTCACCAAACTATATCAAGCTACAAATGGTTCTCAATATTTTTTTGTCCCTTTTCATTTTAAGGCCAACATGTGTTGTGTAAAAATTATTATGCAAAATTAAATCAATGCTTTATTTTAATGGCATTAAAGATATTTGAAGTATGTAAAAATAAATGTATTGAATAATTTTTTTTAAAAAAATCCTTCAACTGACTTACATAAACAACGTTCATTTGTTCGTTTATAAGGAATTTCCAGCATTTTTTCTTTCCTAAAATGAAACTGTGGAAAATTTTGTATTTACATACATTTTGTGACTGCTGTAATAAAACCAGTTTTTCATCCGAAATTATGTTTTGTCAACATTTTTCTAAGAGTTTATATTTATATTTATCAAAAGACCTTTGAGAATTAATTTTCGTGGTTTTTCGAATGAAAATATTTTATTCAACATCACGTCATTTCAATGAGAAGGAAATTGTTGTAATCATTTTTCCATAGAATTCCTTGAATGTCTTCTTAGAATTTAAAGCTCTTTTGTATAATTCATGTCAGTTTAATCCTCTTTTGATGTCGCAAGCTATTTTTTTGACAACTTGTAGGTGGGTGTATAAAGATCCAGATCGGAAATTCCAAGGGAAAACAACGAGAAAAATTACCGAATTTTCTCTTTTTCAGATTCAAATTTAAAAGAATAATTCATATGAGTCTTGGATGAGTCATTTTAGAACACATTTTTAAAGAAAATCTTCTTAAAGATTGTTTCAAATGTCCGACTTGAATTGTATTCGAGGTATATCAGTTGTGAATTATAATCTCATTATAATTTTATGTGTAATGATTACTTAAGCTTCTAGTCCATGAAACATTTGAAATAATGCTGTGCATTAAGTTTTTGTCATTTTTGATGATAATTTTATGTTCATTTCTATAATTTTGTACTAAAGCGTTCTGTTGCGAGTTGTAATTCTTTTCAACTTGCATTTTCAGGTTTTGGAAAAATATAAAGGAAATCAGAATTATTTAAAATAATAAAAAGCTATTTAATACAAGCATGGATGATCCAGAAATTGAAGCCATCAGAAATGCTCGTATGAAGCAAATGCAACAACAATATGTAAGATTTATAAAACATTTTGAAATCAATAAAATTTTATTCATTTGTTTGCCGAAATTAGGATCCAAAATCTCAAGAAAAAATTCAACAACAACGTGAACAACAGAATGAAATGAAGAATTCTATGCTTTCGCAATTATTGGATCAAAACGCAAGGGCTCGGCTCAATACATTGAAAATTTCTAAACCAGAAAAAGCGGAAATGGTTTGTTTAAAAGCAGAAATTCCCCAGAAAATGTTAATTTTAAAACATTCTTCGTTTTTTTAAGGTGGAACAGATGATTATTCAAATGGCTCAATCTGGAAGAATTGGATCAAAATTAGATGACCCTCAACTTGTTCAGATTTTAGAATCCTTAAATCAACAAATGCCACGATCAACAAGTAAAGTTAACTTTGATCGACGTCGTGCGAATCTTGATAGTGAATCAGACGAAGATTATGGCATCTAGTCGAGTATGACAGCATTCTAAGGAATTGCTGAGAATTCTAAACTTTCTTACTCAAAAGAATATATCATCAACTCAAAATTTATTTCTTATTTTATTTCACTACATTTTTAATTCTTTTTTTTTTAATAAAATGAGCTAAAGTCTAATTTAAAAAAAGAAAGAAATATAATCAAAAGATTGAAATTCTTATACTATTCCTTCTTTTCATGAACGTCTTCTTCTTCGTCAGCATCCATTATATCGGCACAAAATATTGAATAGCAAATCAATGACAAAAATCCCAATGGAAGTCCAAATATGACACAAGTCAAAACCTAATTAAATATCGGGAATTTACTATTGTTTGAAATTATGTACATAATTTAGAGTTTTTTTCGACATACCGGGTTGCCTCTCCACATATCCCACAAAAGGCGCTTCAATTCGAACCATGCTCGATACATTCGAATGGTGAAGAAATCTCCACCATAAACTCGTGCTGATTGATTTAAAACGCTTTCAAGGAATATTTCAACAGCTTCTGGCGTCATTTCAAGTGGATCATCTTCTGGTAAATGATGTTCGTTTGTCGTTGAATTCAATATAAGCAAGTGTGGAGTGCTAAGAGTATCCATTGCGATGGAATGTGACAATTCGGGATTCGTCCAACCGAATTGAAAGAATTCGTGATATTTCGATCTTTTTGTTCTGATGATGCGTTCAATCATATCACGAAATTCAAGTTCATGTGTCATAAGCTCATTAAGTTTATTTTCCTCAACAACAACAAGAGCCAAGAACTTTTTCGTTTGTCTTAATAAATAAATATTTTCACGAGTTATTTTAGGAAATGTTGGAAATCTCTCGCACGTAATCCAATTGTGAAGAGTTCCATTTAAATGAGACAATTCGAAAGATTCGAAACTATCTGATAAAGGAAATGTGTAGTGACTGTTTTCTTTGTAGACTAGGATAACAGGAGAAGAGTCTATGAAAAAATGTTTACCAGCGACTTCTTCTGTTGTCGCATAGAAATAGCCATGAGCTTGATGGGCTTCAGCATTGATATAAAAACTATCCCAAAGTGAACCTGACTGTTTTCCAACATACACAAAGAAAATTGGATTATTCGCTTTGAGGATTTCAAAGCTTTCGACTCGTGTTACTTGTTGAATGGGAGGCCCTGACATACGCATAGCAAAATGAACCTAAATTTTATTTATAAAATTAATTCAATATCCATTCTAATCAAGATAATTCTTTACCAGTTCATCTTTTGTTCTCTCTCCATTAAAAACATATTCATTATTTCCTCGAATGCTTTTAAAGTTGGAAAGGAATTTATGGAAATATATATAAACAGAGCTAAAGAGAATCTACTTACAATATGATTGTTGGATATCCCTGCACTTTAAACGAGTGACAAACTGATTTGAATCGTGTACAATCAATCTTTCCAACTCGAATACTTTAAAAAAATGATTTCATTGGTAAATTCAATTATAATGCAATTAATATTTCTATTGATTACTTAGTGTTGTGTAACGATTGTCCAACATGATTCCAAATCGGTTCAAGCTTTTTGCAATATCCGCAATAAGGAGCGTAGAATTCAATATACCACATACCTTAAAGCAATATGAAAAAATATCGATTAAGTCGGATGTAAATATTGTTAATTTTGATTGTAATTAAGCTTCACCTTCTGATCTGACATCGAGGAAACGATCGCTAAGCTCTAAAACTCGAGAGCCCCATGTTTTTGAGGAGAAAAGTACGACTGAAACATCATTTAATTATAAATGAATAAATATTTAAACACAATAATTGAATTTCCTCTCACCAAGGGTTGAGATCAACAATTTTTCAAAATTCATATTTTCCTATAATTTTCTTACACAAAGCTGTATAAATTTAACTATTTATAAGTTTATCTTATAATTTATCTTAATTATACCATTATTTATAACATACTTTAAGAATTTTATCAAATTTGAAATTTTTTGCTTATTATTTTTGATACACTGTTAAAAATATTTGCACGCTCCTCCTATTTAGGGGAAGGAAGTTCAGTAAAAAAAATGTCTGAGAGGGTTGCGTTCTGGAAGTGATGACCGGAAAATATCTCGATAAGCTATAGATTGAGAAACGGTAATATTGTTGTGATGATATTTACTTTCTGATTTAATGCAATTAAAATATAAATAAATTTGTTTAATTAATCTCAAATTGAATAATTTTATCACCAACTTAATTATAGCATAAAGTAGATTCTCAAGTTTTATTAACATTACTAATAAATCGAAACATAAAATCATAGTTAAATTACCTATTTGATTTCTTAATAAGCTGCCGTTTCTACCTTTCCATTACCTTCGTCACCGCTACAATGAAAGAAAGCAAGCACTGTTGCGTTCTGACCGTTTAAAATAAGAGGAAACAAAATATTAACCCAATTAAAGTAATTTAAATTTGCAAACGGCGATCATATGGATTTGTGACTTTTTCATTTTGTTAAACAGTTTCCATTTGAAAGTGCAAGATATCACACAATATTCTAATTTCAATACAAAATAATTGAATAACGATGGGACTTTTCAAACTTTTTATATTATTACAATCAGCACATCTTTTGATCTCAATACCATACCAACGTTTTACTAAAATCGAATGTCAGTCATCTCAAATATCAGTCAGTAAATTCCGCTGCTTTTTAAAAAGCTATAAAAGGAACAATCCTTTGTTGAATGTTGAATACACATTAACAAGAAAAGTAGACAAGTCAAAGGTTCTTTAATGTCATATATAATGATATAATTTAAAGTAATTTAATTTTTAAATTCGTTCGATAATTAGGTTGATCTAAGAGTGCAACGGTATTCTTCTTCTGAGGATAATTACAACAAAATAATGGGCTTTGAAAATGTTGAACTCTGCAAGTTACTGAAAGGATCAACCAATATATCGTTTTTAAAAGAATATATTGAAAATTTAAAAAGATTCAATGGCAATGTTGTCAGCAGTTGTGATAGAATTGGGGATTTCCACATATCAAATGTGTCTTATTCAGGAATGAACTATTTAAGGCTTTTTCCTGCAGGAAAATATAAAAACAATTTACATTTTCATGACTCGGATGATAGCAACATATTTAATTTAACATATGTCAGCATCATTTTTCATAAGTAATGAAGTGATTTTTGTTGATAAATTGTGATATGTTTAAATCTTAAATACCTAGTTCAGTAATACATTTAAAAACACCTGAAATTTTTATGCATCAATGTTATTGTTAAAGAAACGGTAAATATATAATGAATAAAGAGTAAAAGTTGGTAATTCCGGCTGGTTTTAATACCGTTTTTTCAGTATCTTAAAACCGTCTTGGGATTTTTCATGTGAAAATAAGAAAATGTTTTCAACTTTTAACTAAATAGGTATCAAGATTTCAATTAAATTTAAAGCCTAGATATTAAGCTAAAAGTTTTTCATATTTTCTCATTTGATTTAAGAAAAATCAATGATGATCAATCAAGTAGATACATTGTAAATATTGGCTATCAGTACTTTGAAATGTTGATTTGATTTAATTGCTTAAAATTAAATAGAAGCAGTGGTAAAAATAAGTTTTTTGTTTCGAAAATGTTTATTCGTAGTTTGGTTTTAAAGCTTAAGTCAAAAATATACATTTTTTATCTCAAAAATCTATTTCAAATATAATTCATTTTATGTACGGTAATTAATTAATAATATTAATAATTTTTCTAGGATTTATTCATAAATGATTTCAATAAAACAAAAAGAGGAAGAAAATTACTAAATAATTCAAACGAATGTGATGAAAAAAGGTAAAAGAAAAAAAAACACATATTGGTGCCTGATCATTGCTTGCAACTGATCGATAATAATTAAACAAATATTTAATGTTTATTACATTTATCATAAATGGGACATTCAACACTTGTTTGAAAGTAAGATGAGAAAAACTGAGATGTTACAACACGATTCTAGATCACGCTTTTAGCTTTAAATCTACCACAAATGTTAAAAGTCCTTCATAATCCAAACAATATTTATTATTATAATAATAATGAAGATTAAATAACAGTGATAAGCGAGAAGATTTTATACTTTGTCCGTTTTATATTGCGTGATAACTACAGTCAAATCACAATTAATTTTTGTGCGACGGTGGAACAAGATGATCGGGCAGGATGTTTGGTAGTTCATTACCATCAATCTTAACATTAATCAAATGCATTGCAAGTGCAAACTCTTCCATGTCTAAGAAACCGTCACAATCAACATCGGAAAGTTTCCAAATTTTTGATAGCACCGAATTTGGAAGCTTCGATTTGATGAGTTCTGATTTTGCGGCTGAGAAAATAAAATTTACGAAAACTTGTTAGAAAAAAATAAATTTTAGTTAAATTCCTTGTAGCTTTACCTGCACCACTAATTTTCCCATCGATAGGATTCAATGATTCAAATAGTGGATCAGTTCTCGCACGATCACGTCCACAAATCCACTCAACTTCACCTGAACCTGCATCAATACCTTCGCCTCGTTTATAGCCAAATGGCGAGATATGATCTTCAATTCCCTCAAAGGCGCCACCTTAAAAAAATTAATGAATCATCTTTATTAGCAAAATCATCGTCTAGATAAGCTAATAAGCTATGTCAACCGTTTCTAGAAGGAAACTACAAATAATGCACATAAAAAATTCATCAATCTTAATTACAGTATTAAGTGTGTCATACAAGTTTTCCATTTTTAATAGAAAAAAAGAAAACACGCGAGTCAAATCGACCGCAAGTATCTAAGTAGATATCAGATAACCGAGAAAAAATAAAAAAAAATTCTACTTCAGGCCTTGAAACCGATTTTCAAACGTTAATGAACTAAAATTTTCATTAATGTCATGATGTCATAACTCAAGAGCAAACGCAGTGATAATTTTTTTTTCTTTTTGCTTTTTTTATGTTTATTCAATGATAAAAAGCTTTGCCAGTTTTCGAAGCATAAGTTTTAAGTTGATATTATTATTTGAATGGAAATGTTTCCTCTATCTAATCATTTTTATTTTATTTCAATTTAAACTTTATAAACTGTTCAATTATTTTTAATACACTCCTTGACCTTATTATTCAATCGAGCTTGGATAAACATTCAACGCTTATCAATTGATGAACTGGAAAATTCTTCAATCAAGTTTATTGTGCGATTATTTGTCGTTTGAAATGAAGCTCAAACATAATTCCTGTTTTTCTTTATTAATAGCATCAAGCAGATACGAAAATGTAGAAACAAAAGCATGAGAAAATTTTAGGAACGCAAAGTACTGAACGCTTAAGACCAATAAAAAAAAATTGTTGATTTATTATAACGCCCCCTCATTTAACCAAATATTTTCTTGATGATAAGATAAAGGTTGTGATTGAACGAAAAATTATGTAATCGAAGTTACTATGAAGGTTTCTAAGTAAAATAATGAACGAAAACTCACCTTTAATCATAGGCTCCGAGACCATTTCACTTTCTTCTTGAGGAATCATACTCATTAATCGAGCGATGTCAGTTGCAAGCATGCGATCAACTGTCTCAATCAAATGAGGCTTGAGTGAGTGGAACTTTGAAAAATCATGATTTTGAAGAACTTCTTGCATTTTTTTAATGTCGGGAAAATCCCCCGGCGATATTTGATGTTCTCTTTGAAGACGATCATAAATTGTTCCGATATTCTTTATCAAATCTTTCTTCTTACTATCTTTGCCAAATACACTTGGCATATCTTTTCTCAATTCCGAAATGATGTAAGCGTGAACTTTTGCTAGTCGAGCACGTTTAATTAAATCGTTAAGTTTTCTTAATGCTGCATTGCGAGGCAAAGATTGAAGATCTCTGAACAAATCTTGTTCTTCATCTTCAAATAATCTACGATTAACATCGTAACTGTGGAAGAAGAAGAGACATTTGTTAAATAAAATTAAGCATGATATGTTTTTCGCATAAATACCGTAAAGGCTGATCCCAAAATGACCCAATATAAACTCGAGCCACTTCGGGGGTTTGCAGAACTTTCCCTAAGCTCCACATTAAAGCACCATAAACTCTCATTAACTGCTGATGGTCAACCATATCAGCTTTATTCAGTACAATTCTGATTTTGTCGTCGTGACCTCGAAGAGCTTCGATGGAACGACGAAATTCATCAGAAATATCGAGTTTGTGTGCATCAAAAAGAAGAATTATTCTATCAACACGTTCAGCAAACCATTCTAAAACGCCTGTAAAATCATAGCCTCGATCAACTCTCTGCTTTTCTCCCGACAATATTCCTGGTGTGTCAACAATTGAAATTGCTGATAGAACAGGCGAAGCAACAGTTGAGCATTGGAAACGATTCAAAAACTGTTGGTTTCACATTATTTATTTTAATGTTATACAGAATCAAGGTGAAAAACAAAATCTTGTGACTCACCGCATTGCCATATTTACTAAGCGGTCGAAATTGTTTATTGGGATCAACCACAAGTGCATTTCCTGGTACTACTCCTTCTTTGTCATCATACATAACAGCAATGAATCGATCGGTTGTAGGCTCCGGTCCAATACGGATGCCAGGAAAATCTCTGTGAAGTTAAAATACATTAGACCGATGTATGAGGTGAGTAATTAACACTTCTTGTGCTATATCTAAGCAGTGAATCATCGTACCTTTCAAGTAAGTATCGAATGAAGGTTGTTTTTCCTGTTGAATATTGCCCCACAAGAAGAATCATTGGTTTTGCATCAAAGTCTGGGTCTTCAAGTTTGGGACTTGTAAATAATGAAAAAAATATTAATAAATTACCGGTAAAAGCCATGTGTTCATAGTTATGTAAGGAATATTAGGTGATTTTAAGTTCTATGTCATAGTGAGTAATTCTTTCTCACCTATGGAATTCGTGGAAACAATAGTACTCTTCTAAAGGCAAAAGCTTAGTTTTATAAATCTTTTTCATCTCATTCAAAGCCGTTTCCACGACTTCGGCAGATTCTTTTTCTTTCTTAAGCCACGAAAACATTTTTAAGAATTAAAATTACACTGAGGAGTAAAAATTTTATCACTCGAGCTCACTAAATAGCAATGTTCGAAAAGATTCGAAAACTGCACAGTAGTAGTAGTGTAAATTCAATTTTCGAATAATTTAATGGTTAGGTCTACTTGGTATTTTGTTTACGTTTCAATTTATCAATTTTGTCTACTCAGGCATTTGTTTACATAAATTTTTAATCACAGAAGCCTTATCTGAATCATCTCAAATTTAACTTAAGGTTCGTGTATGCATGTAAATGTGAAAAAATATCAAACATGGATAGTCAAACAGTTGATAAATTAGCCACTGGATTGTTAAACGAGTTTATAAGTTTAAACAAATTAGAAGTAAAACTTTCAAAGTTATTAGATAAACAAAATGATATGTTAAATCATAAGTTGGATGACTTAAAAAGCATTTATATTCAACATTCAGATGAAGAAATTGCAGAAGTTAGTTTTATGGTAAGATACGTCTGCGTAGAACATTATTTGATGGCATGCATCAACAATTATTTATTTATAAATTGTGTAAAAATTTTAAACATTCCCTATACGATTTCAGATGAAAAAAATAGCTATTTATCGTACGAAAGTAAAAAATCTAAGAAGTGACATGCTTTACATTTGTCAACGAGTAGCCGAGCTTAAGAAGAAATCTATAGAAATCCAAACATTGAAAGTTGAACAAAAAGCTGAAAGAGTGAAGCGTTGTGACTATGAAGTTGGACTCATTCCAAAGAAGAAACCTGAAAATGTGAATAAATAACAGTGGAGTTTTTTATGTGAGAATCTTTTTATAAGCTTGATGAAATGATAAATAATAACAAATATATATGTATTTACAATTTACTATTTGGTTTACAAATAAATTATACATTGATTTGATTAAAGATGATTTCTTTTTTTACTTTTTCCATTACTGATTATGATGATCTTTTTCCAAAAGTATTAGGTTCAATCTTGTGTCCATCGAAGTGCGGTATTTCCTGTTTGTCCAGCCTCATTCTCCATTCGTTCTCTTTCTAAAGCTTTTTGTTGATTTCTTCGTACACTTTCAGGATTTTTTATTCCACGATTTTCTTGTTCCTGTAATCTTCTTTGGGCTGCTTCAGCCATTTGTTGGCGTTTAGTTTGCTTTAAATAGATATATTAAACTCATTTTAATTATACTATGTTAGGACGTAAAACTTGGTTTATTTCAATGTAAACATTACATAAATTTACCAAATCTGGTGTTATTAATTCTGCCTCCCCACTACCCTTAAAGCATGGACCACAAAGGTTTCCCATTTCCTTCTTTAAGTTGTTCAATCTTTAAAAACTTCTTTGAGGCTGATCACAAGATTTATTGTTAACGTCGTTTAAATAAAGTTTTGATAAATTTAGTTCAAGAAGGGTAGAATGAAGTTTTGTTTTATATCAAGTATGAAAATGAGTCATCTTGGAAAAAAATTCAAATAAATTTTTACCGTTAAATTTTCTGTACATAATCGTTTGATAAGAAATACCTATATCTGGAATGAAAAGCTCATGAAATATCTAACATACATACATAATCCTAAAGTGCGATTTTATGAAACTTTTTCTTCTTGAAACAATAGTTATAACATATTTAGAATTAAATTTTTATTTAGCATCTGTCGCGCTTTTAAGGTTGATCAAGTTTGCAATCAATTAAAGCTTGACTTTTCAATCGCTCAAAGATGTAATTATTTCTTCGCTTTAATTTTTTGTCATTTGTTTCATTGTCTCTTAAAAGCAAATCTAAAAGATAACGATCATGGAGCTGCCACTTTTTAGTTTCTTCGATGAAACATTGTATGCTCGACTCTTCTTCGACGATAGGATGCTGAAATTTGTAATGGTATTGCCAAAGGTTGTAGAAATTTTCTTTAAGGCTCTCAATATACGTTTCACATTTTTGAGTGATCAAATCTTCATCTCCATTCTCGTCAAGAAGTTGAACCTTCTGCAAATATTGTTTAACGCACCTTTTATCGATGTTCTCTAAACCGTGCGACAGAGAAAATAACACAAGGAAAAATATTCTAAAGGAAAAATTATTATTTAAATATTCAAAAAATTATGTAAGAAAAAGAAAACGTCTTACAATAGCCTCATCTCGTCAAATGCATGTATTGTACTATTGAATATTTATCTGCAACTGTCAGAGAATTTATTCACTTTCGCTCAATTGTTGACATTCATAATCAATTTGCAAGTCAATTTGATAATTTAAAAATAAATTTCAATGTGAGAGCATCTTCAACCTGAGTACTTTAAAAAGCTCTAAAGAAAATAAAATCTCGCGAACAAGAGGAAATTATTTATTTTAATTAAAAGAAATTAAAACTGAAATAGAAGTTGGATTTTATAATTACATATTTGAATTGTTCTCATCTTCTCTGACGAAAAAATATTTTTTATGTAGGTAGTTTCGTAACGCTGAAAATGACGTTTTTATTTGAAGGCAGATTTTAAACACATTGTTATTCTTTAGTCAGAATTGTCGGAAAGAGTTTTATTTTACTTTGACGAGGTTTATATAGATTAGTTCAAGGTTGAACTAAAGTCGTGAGATGCAATTCTCTTATCTCTCTTCTTATTACATTACAACAGGTAGATGTCTGGAAACTTACAAAAAGAGTGCACAATTTTCAAACTTTTCTATAATTCACTAATGGATGTCTCTAAACTATTCAAATCGATTGTTTTCTGATATACTTTTTATTGATCGTACTTAAATATAAAATTTAATAAACGAAACTACTTCGAGCAAAACCGAATCATCTACTGCATCAAATAAAAAAATGGAGACTGAATTATTGCAACGAAATTGTTTATTCGGTTAAATTTTGATCTGTTTTTTATTTCTAATTTAATTAATTATGTAGATATTTTATGTTTAAATTTAAACCTTAAAATATATTTTTGAACTATTATACTAACAACATATACATACAATCTTCTTCTTTTTTTTAATAATTAACTGAACTTCATTAAGGAATGTCAATCAATTTTCTCAATTACATTTCGTTATATGTTTTTTATAAAATTTTATGAAACCAAACAAGAAATGACAAAAACTCATTTAATTAAATATTAAACCAGATGATATTCATTTGTATGTAAACACAATAATTCCACAAAACATATATTTATGCATTAAGATAGGATTTTCCGATTCTTTGGTAATTTTTTCAATTTATTAATAACATTCCCCCTCCTTCCTAATTATATGCATGTCCATATAATCTTCTTAATCGTTAGCCATCAATTAGTAAGAAAGAACAATTAACGTATTCAAGCAAATTAAACATGAAAATGAATTTTGTGTGATTTAGAGTTGTCAATGATTTGAACATTTTTTAATTCAATGTTCATAAATTGAATGATGTTGGCCAATCTCAATTAAAAATCACACAAAATTCATGACCACATCTCTCAGCAAAAGGAATTTAATGTCAGATTTTTGCAAAAATTATATTTTCTTTGAGAAAAAAAATGTCCTAACAGAGTAGAATATCAATGAGATATTCTGCTTTAAATATTCTAGAAATAGGTTTTTAATTTAAAAGTAAAAAAAGAGAGAAGTAAATTTTCATTTAAACTAATACATCAACCTTTGCACTTGAGCCCTTTACCATTATGCCATAAGTGGTCTAAGAATACCATAAATTATTTAGAATTAATATTATTACATTCAATGATTAAAATAGTTCTACATATGATGAGGCCAGTGAGGTGGTTGATTATGCATTCCAAGCGAATGATATCCAGCTTGGTAGGTTTGATTCAACATCATTCGATATTGTTGTTGAAGTGCAGCCGGATCATTCATTAAAGAGTTCATAAATGGATAAGAGCTTCGTGATGGATGATGTGGTGGAAGTAAATGATGATAAGGAGAAGATGCTGCTTGAGGATGCGCTGGCGGTGGATTCGCTGACACTTTGTCAATGGAAGGATCTGGTGTCGATCTATGACTAAGTGTCGGCGGGTAATATGGATTAGACGTTCTTTGAAATTCATCTAAATACGCAGGATTTTCACCATACAGTCCCGGGATCGGTGTCGGACCATAATTAAAAGCACTTCCAGGTACAACTGATTTTAAAGCAATTGCTGAAGGATCTTGAGCACCTGCGCTTGCAGAAGGTATCTTAAGTCCTGGATAAGATTGAAAACTTTGCTGATGAGCTTGTTGCTGTTGTTGTGGATGTTGATGAGTTTGACTATGTTGAAGTTGTTGATTTTGAACGTGAATGTTATTCGGCGCTACATCAGGACTTGCATTCTTCTTTTTTCGTTGTTTCTTTACTTTCAATTCTGTTATCGTTGCATTCAAGGCTGGACTTGGAGTAGGTACTGGAGCTTGTGGAGTATTCAATCGATTATGATAGTTTGCTAAGTTCATATTTTGTGATTCTCTATTATAAGCCATTGTTGTCATTGAATTATTGAACATTTGTTGTAATGCAGCTGATGAATTTGCTTGTTGTAAATTTTTTCCAAACATATGAGCCGGCGCAATATTCTTGTCATAAAAGCTTGTTGAAGCTCCTGACAAACTTGAGAATCTTTCTTCGGCTTGTCGAAAATCTCTCATAAATGCTGTCAAATCCATCATAGACGACGCAGCTGGATTGTTGAAAATTGGTTGCTTATAATTGATATCCATTGTCGGTGGTGGTTGACTGTTCCTCGTTGCTTGTTGATGTGGAACTGAATTATTAAAGAAACTATTTCCCGGTGCTGCATTCAACAACGCATTCACAATCGGCTTACCCGACAAATCATTTTTACTCACTTCACTTTGACTATCATACGACGGAGCTTCCATAGGCTTTGTTGGATTAGAATTATTCCAAAAATTCGGTGCACCTACAGCACATGCACTTGCTGAGATCGGAAGATTACTTTTCTGTAGTGATCGATTGAAAATATCAGCCGATGATTTACTTTTCTGAATATCAAAATCTATTTGTGGTTTAGAATAATTAGTGAGATCAAACATCTGCTGATATTGATTCTGTGCTTGTTGCTGTTGTTGTTGTTGACTTAACTGACTTGATGAAGTTTGTTTTGACAAATCTAAATATTTTGAACTTTCTACTTGTGCTTTATTATTGTTGTTGTTGCTACTTTCTGCAGCGTGTTCCTTCGATGATGGAAGCTTTGTCACCATATCAACAACACCACCACTGCTACCACCATAACCACCTTCTAAATCCGGAAGCTTACTTGTCGTACCATAAAGAGGCGTCGTTGCAGGTGTACCTGAAGTTTGAACTTCAGACGGCGATCTTTTATTAAAAGCTCCATGACTAAGCGGAAAGGCGTTGTTATTTGATGAATTCAACATATGCTGATGATTTAATTGTTGCTGTGCTTGCTGGTGAAGAACTTGAGATGGATTAAAATTACTTCCATGTTGTGTCGCACTCAATCCATAACTACTTGCATTATTTGTTTTTTTGTTCCATTCAGATAACTTTGCACATTCTTGACTTTGTGTTGAAGTCGTAAATTGATGTTGTTGCTGTTGTTGTTGATTGAATGCATTTGGAAAAGCTAAATTTTGATTGTTAATTGGAGAATTTTGTGAATTGTGAGAAGAAGATGATGATGAAGATGAAGAAGAAGGATTTTGTGTTTGTTGAGATGAAGTGCTTGTTTGTGGTTGTTGCTGCTGCTGTTGAGATTGTTGGAATGTTGAATTAGGTGAATATGGAGACGAAGGTGATTGCGATATGTTTGTTGTTGCATTATTTCCACTATTTGAAGTACCACCGGGTTGTTGCGCTTGAAATGGTGAATTTGGCTGTTGTTGATAAGGTGAAGATTGTTGACTATGATAAGGAGAATTTGGATTTGTACTTGGACTCATGGAATTATTAAATTCTGATTCTTGACTCATTGGCTGCTTATATTGATCATAATAAGATGCTGGAGATTTCGTTGGTTTAGAATATGAAGCTTGTTGAAGTTGTTTGTTTGATCCCAAATTTTCTGGATTGTAAAAGTTTCCGTACATTGAAGATCCACCTGAATTTCCACCACTTGGATATTGGTGCTGTGAATATTGGCTGTACGGAGAAGGCATTTCTCTTGGACTGCAACTTTTCTCAGGACTCGATTTCGTTGATGTCATATCCTGATAAAAGCCAACACGTATTGATCCATTCATTGGATAATTTGAAGATGATGATTTGATATTGTCATCAGTTTTTGGTGATGCCATGATTGGAGATGATCCAATTGGCGATGGATAAGGTGCCGGCGCTCCTAATCTCTCTTCAAGTCCCACTTGCGGACTATCTTCAACAGACGATCTTTCCGACATTGAACTTCCCGTGCTTAACCGTCGATGGCCTTGAATGAAATTTCCATCTTTTCGCATCAAATCGTTGCTGCTACTTTCAGATGTTGTTCGTGGAATTGTCAACTCATCTTGCGATTCTGACTTTTTAGGTTTCTTTGGCACACCAAAAGCTTTAAACCAAGCATTGATATTTGGCTTTGTCGCATCAGAATTGTTACCTTTCGAAGCTTCATTGTTATCCACTGAACTTTCTGTTGTTTCATTTTTTATGGCATTTACTGGCGCATCATCATTAACTTCCTCACTTTTCTTCATTTCTGTTACACATTCCGTTTGAACATCATCAACATCTTGCTCGATCTTATAATCACTATCAGATTTCTTACAATCGTTATCGCTAAAATTAAATGCCTGAGTATCTAAGACAGTTCCAAGACTAAGCTTTGGACTACTCTCGTCTGTTTGAACAATTAAAGAATTCTTAATTTCTTTGACTTTCTCTCTGTTCCCTAAAGGAAACAATTCTTCCGGTTTATTAACATTTTGTATGTTGTGCAATAAATTTCCTTTTGTCTTACCCGGTTGCAACCGATCGATAGTCCTTTGAAGTTCTTTCTTCCTTGGAAGTTGTTGAAGCTTTTCTCTTAGACTTTTACGTTTTGGATCTTTTGTTATCACTTTCTTCGTTGACGTACTTGGTGGTACTTGTGGATGTTGTGATGTTGTTGGCTGCTTATTGTTATTTGATTCTTTTAAAAGATTAAATTCTTTCGGTGTGTTTTGTAATGATGGTTTTTGTGAGGCAGATGGTGATGAAGGCATCAATGGTATTGGCTTTCTAAAGTCATTATCATCCATTTTCGAAGGCATTTCAATTTCGTCAATGATGTATCGTGATGGAGAGTTGCTCGCTGAACTGTATTCAAATCTCGGTGTATGTTCAAGCCATTTATTGATATCCTTTAAGGTTTGCTCCGTTTCCATGTCGAGAACATCAAGACAAGCTTTGTTCTGTTGCTTTTTATTTTTCTTACTCTGATTGACATTCGACGTAATATTTAAAGCTGTTGTCTTGTCATTAACTTTAACTTTATCTAAAACTGCAGAATCGTTGGATGTTTTCAATTTTTTACTTTTATTATCCAATGAAGCTTCTTTACTCGCTTTCTCAGCTTTCTTCTTATTTGATGCTCCGCCTTTACTCGCCTTCGATTCATTTATTGTCGCTTTACCTTCGTTCTTCAACTCATCAAACAATGTATTTGCATCTTTCTTCACCACTTTACCACCAAGCACTTCATCAATCAACTCAATTTGACTTTTACTTTTGTCGTTTTTTATCTTCAACTTCTCAATTGTTTCTTTTAATTTATGATTTTTCTCTTTTGCATGAGGGGTCGAATGTTGTTCGTTATTTTTTTGATTCTTCTCCATTTTCTCTTGACTGATTTTGTTTCTTCGCTCCTTGATAAGATCAAACTTGTCTTTGATTTCAGGTGTATCAGATCTAAAAGACGAATTCTTTAAATCTGTCAAATCGTCAGTTATTGCTGAAGAATGCAACGAATTCAGAGGACTAGGCGATCTTGAACAACTCGCCCTATTTATAAAACTCGAAGACTCTTTAACGTGACTTTTCTTACTCTTCTTTTTCTTAACTTCACTTTTCGCTTTATCAGATTTTTTATCATTCGACTTCTTAGAAGAAGAATTCGTCGTGCTTTCAACGAGCTTTTCCTTCTTTGAAGAATTTTTCTTCGTTGATAAAATACTTTTCTTGTCTTCAATAAGATCGTGCACACTGTTGTCGGAATCACTATCAGAATTTTTACGCATTTTTCGTTTTTTATTAGCTTTTTCATTTGTTTTCGAGAACTTTTCTTTCTTTTGTCCATCGTAATAATCTTTCTTGTTTTTCTTATTATTAACATCGGAAGCAACTGTCGTACTTTCTTTTAACGTTTTCACTGACTTTTGTTGCTTCTTATTACCGCTTAACTTTATATTTTCATCCTTTTTATTCTTTTTATTGACTTTACTTTTGTCTTTACACTGTTCTGTTACATTTTCCACTTTATTTGTTATTTTCTTCGCTTTACTTCGAGATAATTCTTCATCATTATTAACAATGTTTCCACCCTCACTGTCATGATCAGAATCAAACTCAAAGAAATGTTTTTCACTGCTTGAATGATCTCTTTTCATCTTTTTAGCTTTCATTTCGGCACTTTTTTCTTTTTCTCTATGTTTTCTCTTTACACCTTTTGTACTTTTTTCTTTCTTTTTGTCATTTTCATTTAAACGTGAAGTTTTCTTTTCCACTAGATTATTATTTGAATGGTCCACAACTATTTTATGTTTATTAGAATCTTTAACTTTCTTATAACTTCCAACATCACTAGATTTTTTATCATCTTCATCTATCGAACTATTGTTAGATGAAAGCTTTGAATGTTTCTTATTTTTTGTCTTTGATTTTTCTTTCTTCACTGCTATCTCTTTACTTGTATTTGGTTTACTTGTTGTTGTATCAATCGGTGGATATTCCAACAATACTGGATCTTCATCAGAAGATGTTTGATCGAAATATTTCTTAGTCGCTCTATCAAAAGCTTGCTGAAGATTATTAACCATTTCAGTATATTCTAAAATTAGAAGAAACAACAAAAAATTAATAAATTAACAGTTAATAGTTAATAATTCATTGCTACCATTATTTTGTCCGTTGTACAAACGACAATTATTCACGATAAGCTTAAAGTCGGTACGAAACTCTGTAAATGTGCGATATTCTCCATTGTCAAGCTTTTCTTCCATTTTAAGAAGATCCATTGGCCTAATAAACATAATTATTTATTTTATATTTAAAACCTTTCTGAATTCATCTAAAACAAACCTTTTAATGATTGAATAATAACGTGGTGCGATATCCTCTTCAACAGGATCCATAAAAGGCCAAGCATCATCATGATTCTTAACATGTTGTAAAACTTTGTGCATTCCTATTTGTAGTACTTCGTCTGTATCCATAAAGCTGGGGGACATCAAGTGTGCAGTTGTTAGAATTCTAATTTCATCAGAATTTATGTTGTGTGAAAGAGAACCAAAAGATTACCGTGAAAGAAATGTTAGAGAATGTTAATTAAAGTGCAGTGAAAGCAGGGATGTCAACCGGTTCGAAAAATTTATCGTCACCGGTTTCAATCTCTGATTGAAAGTTTTTACAAAAAAACTTAATTTTATGTGATAGAAATAATTATTAGAAGATTAGTGTTTAAGTGCAAAAATAAAATTCTACTCACACTTCTGCCTTTGTTTTCTTTTTTCTTGAAGTTGATGGTCCAGAAGTTGTTACAGCCGCGGTTGTTTCGATAACAATTTGACCAGTAATTGATGAAAGAGAGTTGTTCGTTTGTCTTCCTGGAAGTTTTGTAGCGATCGGAGGCATTTTTGAAGAAATATTTGTTTTAGTGTCAAAAAGATTCGAATGTAAAATATTTTCCTTATTTGACAGACAATTATTACTATTAGTCTGTTGATTCACTGAGTAGAAATATTCTTTGGCGATGCTTTTAAATTTTTCGTCATAGCATGGCATATGATTGCATGATTCGATGCTGCTACTGCTTGAGGATGATCTGAAATGAAGATGAAAGTTTAAGTTAATACAAAATCTGATCCGATAAGGCATGCATGTGCTTGCCAACTAATAAAACAAAATAAAAACAGACACAACTTCAACAAAAAAAGATATAATCACATTTAATAAGTTTTGGCGCTAAAGAATTATGGTTTAGCTTCTAACCGTCGTTGAGCTCTGACCGCACGTTCGTTCTGTATTTTCTCACGAATCTTTGACTTCTCTAAGAACTTTTTTTTCTTTTCCTCGAGATATTTCTCAGTGTAACTTAATTTGCTGTCGGAATCTTCTTCTGATATAATTGGTGAGCTTTCCTTTGCCGACTCTTTTTCTTTGCGTTTTTCAATTATCCCTTTCACTCTTAATGAGGAACGACGTTGAAAAAGGCTGAAATTAGATAAGTTGGAACAAAAAACAGTGAACGAAAAAACTATTGATAAGATATCAAAAAAACTAAAATGAAAATTAATAAACTTACCGTCTTCTACGCTCTGCTTCTTTTGCTTTAAATAAAACAGGAATGTTTGGCAAAAAGTCTTCCGTTAGAATTTTGTGAAGAGAAATTTCTTTTTTAGATTTTGAATCCTTGAATCGATTTGCTAGATTTTGCCAATCTTGTTCTGTAAAGCAAATGACTTGCCATATACGAACATTTCTTCCTCGCTTATTGCTGTTATTTTTCTGAAAATCTTCTCTATAAAGCCGTGTTCCAAAGAAGTACCAGTAAGCTGAACCATTCGAATCATAGCCAAGAGGCTCAATACGTAAACTATCCGAATCGAAGTTGCTTGTGATGCACTCGACGTCAGAAGAATCAAGACGAAAATCGCACAAATAATTCAATATAACAACTTTTGTTCTCAAAGAGAGACTATGAAAATCAGTATCTGTGTTGAAAGGATTCTCGATTCCGTATTTCTAATGGAAATATTTGATTATTAATTTATTCTTTTTATAGAAAGCAAAACTCTTCACAATTGATATTTACCTCACATTTGTTTCTAAACAACCGACGAAGAAACATTTGATAATTGCTTGTCGTAATATTTTCCCATGATTTTACTGAATCACACCCACGCAACAAAGTAACTATAAGCTCAGGAATCAAACGTGGTGTAAGTTCTGTTGATGTTGAATCATCAATGGAATTACTTTCTGAACTGTCTAACAAAAGCGCCTCTTCTAAATCCTATATTGAAGGGAGGAAACAACTTTTGTCTTTAAATTTTTTTTTGTTGACACGCAACTTTACCTCAATATCGAAATCTGGTAAATTGAACGATGAACTAAAAAGAGAAACGAAGAATCCAATGCTTGGAATTTCTGGCCATGATTGAATTTCTATAAAATTCATGAATTTCTAGCCTAGAAAAGTGTTAGTTTTGTGTAGAAAATGAGCATTAGAAATGATATTGGTCATCCGAACAGGTTTTTAAACTCACTTTTAAACCACAATATAAGCTCCAAAATTTCTTTCACTTTGTCTTTAATTGCACAAATTTTCCTCCAGTTTTCACTATAAATAAACAAAAAAAAAATATGAAAGATATGTATAGAGGAAAAATACTGTTAGTTGAGGGTTCTATGGATATTTTTCTTCGCTTTAACTGTTTCTTTGGAAGTATAGTGAAAAAAATCAATGGCTTTGGTTTAGGAAAAAAGTTATTTTTGTTCTCATATGCACTTATTTCAATAAACTATTATCACCTTACGAGAGTTTGGTAACATACAAACAGTGTGAAAATACAATTTTTATGTTTAATTCACGTTTTACGATCTTTTTTCGATTTTCAATTTAAGTTAGTAAAATTTACGTCTTTAAGCTTCTCCGTTCACAAAAAACCCTGCTACGATCTGCTAAAATGCTTCCCTTCCTAACTTATTCAAGAAAATTAAATTTCTAAATGAATACAAAATAATTTATGCGGTCTTGATTTTATAAATTAAATTTGAAATATTAAAGAAAATTACTGAATTAAACATTTCATAACAAGATCCTTGCTTGTTTACAAGTGATAAAAGATAAATTTTAATTGTTTTAGACTATTTTAAATAGCTTTCAAATCAACGGTTTATTTGAATTGTAGGGAATGTTAGACCTGGGTAAAATTAAAGTTTGCCTAAAAATACTGTATTCGCAAAGTGAAAAATTATTTTAATTCCAAATGCGTGTGCATAAAACTATAAGAGTTTTTTGAAGCATTGAGAGTAAGTTTAAGATGTATTGAATAGGTGATATGCATAGTTTTCTGCTTAAATCACGGCCCTTGTAAGATTTTTCAAAACAAAATTTTGATTTTTTATATTTTTTGGTCATTTGCGAAAAAAAAAGGAAATAAAAATCGAGCAAGTTTGTCATAAAAGAAAAATAAGGATAACACTGATTTGTTTATCATTATAACTTAAGTTTAATGAAATATTGTATTATTTTTATAGTCTTAATATGTAAGCATTATTCTGAGAGTTTATGAAATGTTTAGAGAAATATAAATACGCGAAATAATAATAATAATAGCTAAAAGAATTCAATTCTGTGTGTGCTAATAAAAATATGCGAAAAGAAATGTATTTTATTTAAGGAAACACGATACTCATATGTAATGATGTAATGTAATATTGGCGCATTATTTAATTAAGAATTAAACTCCGAAAAGTGCGTTCTAATAAAGCCATTCCAAGCAAAGAAATATTTAATTGTGTGCAACTTAGTTATAAAACGTAAATGTTGACTAATTGTGATCTTGATTCAGTTCATCGATAAAAGAAAGGTGAGTGCTTATTTCTTTCTTTATTTTAATATTATTAAGAAGAATGATTCGTTGGTGACTCTTTGAGTTTGAATTCTTTTATTAAGTTGTCATTAATTGAAGGCAATAACTTATTTTGAATGAGTTTACACGCAGAAAGTTATCAGGACAGTTCAAAAAATCTATATTCCTTCGAGCGCTTGAAGCATATTAACAATATTATAATTTATATAATCGTTATATAAATATATGTACTTAAAGCCAATTTTCAACGGTAATTAATTTCTCTCATTCTGATGTGAATATTGACGCCGAACCAACCTTTCTTTAATATTGCTATTAATGATGATGACGATGATGGCAATAAATACAATAAAATGCATATTATTTTTAATCACATCGTCGTTGCAAGTAATGAAAATCATTACAAATCAATTTATTATAAATATTACCAAATACATGATGATCTGTCTAAGTCAATTAAATATTATTCCGATACAGTTGTAAATGTTTCAATTCAATTACTCAATTTCGATTTAATTTTTGTATGCAAATTATTCATTGATATAGTTTATCAAACGATTTAGAAAAATTTGCCTACTATTTGTAAGGTTTCGCTTTTAAATTTTAATGAAAATAGTGATATGTGTTTCAGTCTTAGCCTGAGATTTAATCAAAGATTTTTTTGTTACTTCAATCTGGTGTTTAAGATAAAAATAATCTCATATCAAAACAAAGAAAAATCTTCTTGATGCCTATTAATTTTCATTGTTGATGCCGTAGGTTTTATTTTTAATACATCTTGGTAACAAAAGTTAGAGCTTAGACTGAAAAGAAAATTCAATACAGATAGACGGAAGAGCATGCAAAAAGGTAATGAATCAGCGAAAAATGAAAGAAGTTTCCGCTCTTATTTTGTCATCTCACATAGGTAACTACTGACCTTTAACTGAAAGCTTTTAAACATGAAAATCATGTTTTTAAAATATAAGCATAAATAGATATTTTTAAGTAGGTAACGTCACGAAACCTTTAATCAGCCAAATTTGTTCGCTAAAATTCATTGTAGATAACTAAAAAAAATTTGCAAATCTATGTCTAACTTGTAAGTTATGACTATAAATGCGTGCTTCAAATTACTGATAGAATGAAAAAGGAAGAAATTCGATTTATTTGTTTACTTAGACAACTTCTTATTTGAAATTATAAAATTATCACTCTGAATAGATATTTTATCAATTGTGATTGTAAAACATCACAGATAAACAACATTGCTTTTAGCTTGAATAAATTGCGATAAAGTGTTTTTAGTGTTTTCTTAAGAACAAGTTGATAAGCCAGTTTGCGAGTTTACTTACCGATACAAATTCATCCATTTGAATTTAGTGATAAATGTTCCTTCGAAAAGACTTAAATACCCAATTATATCTAAACAATAAACAGTTAAGAATGCAAACAAATTAATTCAGAAAACTTCTTAAACAATCGTGTCGTAATTTCCAAAACTTTCAAGTAAAGATTTCTTCTAGGACGTTTTAATGTATTCGTTTCTTGGCTTGTTTGAAAAATAAAAAAACTTAAGACACAAAAGCATTTTCATCCTATACATGAACCAAATATTTTCTCTGAACGATGAAAATAAGAGCTTTTATTTTTCATTGACGATGTAAAGCGGAAATCTAAACAGTTTTAAGAGTTAATTTTTATTTTGACCTTCATTTGCTCCTTGTTCAACCGGAAAACCAGCATATTAGAGATCCGCGACTACGATAGCGTGACCCAAATTTTACTACTTCCGTTTTCTCTACTTTCATTTACCACTATGGTTGAGTTTTGATAGATTTTATTGTTCTATGTTTGCTACATTTAACTTGCCTAATATCTTTGAAATCGTGAGATATTTTTAATCCAATGGAGAATAGAACGATGTTTATAAACAAAATGATAATTTTCGGAAACAAAATATTGATGAAAACTTTAATCCCCTGTTGCTGTCTGCCTTAAAGCTTTCAAATGAGAAGACTCGGAAAGACGAAAGAGAATCTCTGCTTTTACGATTTGTTATAAAATAAAAATACAGAAAGGAGCCTCGAGCGATGCAAAAACAAATTTCTTTCTCAACTTTATAACAGACTCACACGAATACAATTGTAGCCATTTATATTATCGTCGAGTATTCTTCTTGTTAAACGAAGTTTATACGAAGCTTCCCCTGAAAAGACGAGCCTGAGCTTTCACTATAAACATTCCTTTTTCATTGGAAAATTTTCTCCACTTTCATTCAACTCCTTTTGCAACGGAGCATCGTGTTTTGCGTTCATCATACGAACGTTCATCGACGACTTGTAGCGCATAATAAATTGCCGGAATTTCTATGTATTGCTTTCAACACATTCAGCTTTATACCAATTTGCCTCGTTTGTACGTGTGGAAAAATATTTCCACCATTGACAGAAAAAGAGTGGTTGAAGCAAAACGTGAATTACAAAGAGTCGAGCGTTCAAATTAATATTAAAAAATTCATGCTTTTGCAAAATACTTTGAAATTTTTAAATTAATCTTAAAAGAGTTGATTTAGAAAAGTTTTCACAACAGATTAGCTTCAATAAAATACACAAAAATTGTAAATTGAAAAGTGAAAAAGTTCAAAAGAGAAATATTAGAAAAAAATTCTGAATTTTAGAAGAAAAAATCAATTTTCTTGTTTAAGAAAACGGGAAAGATCCCTTTAGAGCATATTGTGCGAGAATGGTTAACCTTCCATGTTTTATAACAATTGAAAAACAACGAGAGAAAACCAGAGCTTTCAGGAAGATTCATAATTGCAAGTGATTGTGAAGTGAATTTGAAGAGTTCAAGCAGAGTATTGTTGTTGGCTATCAGAATATAAACGTTTATATATTTCGTCAAAGTGATTCTAGATATTTATGCTCGCAAAGCGCTTTTTGTGAGCAACTAAATATAAAAAAGTGTTCAGCAAATTCTATGGATACTTATTGAACTTTTTTAATCAGATAATCACAGAGCCATTGATTTATTAAGGACGCGTTCAGAAGTGGCTCTCAAAAAGGGATACAAGTCAGAGTAAAAGCTATAAAGTTGAAATTTACTCCCTAAGTGAAAGCCTAATCTTCTCCGCATCATCTTCATCTTCTTTTACTGTTCTTATAAAAGAGATAAACGTAATTGGTCGGAAAAAAATTTGTGGTGTTGATAAATCCTCTCTGTTTGCATCTCGGTGAAAAATAAGAGAAAAAGACCTGCTATAACTTTAAGTTACGTCAAAAGAAAACTTCTCAGCCTAAGTTCGTGAACGTATAAAAAGTAAGGTTCTTCTCAATATTCTTCTTGTTACGTTTAAAGATAAATTAACCTAATAACAAGAATCCCTGATGGTGTTTCTTTTGTGTTGTTAGATGGAATGAGCGAATAACTTGTCACATACAATGAAAAATGATTTTGGGGAGAAAGGTTGAACAAGGTTTTAAAAGTTTGGGTAAATGGCAATATTTTTTCGACAAATTCAAACATTCTTGAAGCGAAATTGTTTAAATGATTGTTGCCATTAGAATGTTAAAGTAATTATCAACCCTTTTGTCGTCGACTTCCTTTAACATTAATGATGGTTTGGCAATGGTGTAACGATATCTTTTCTGAAAATATAAATATTAGCATCTTGTTACATCACCAATATCAATAGTGAGAACATAAATTTATGCATCCCAAGGGATTTTATTTGAATCACTTATCTATTCCAAATTGTCGTGTGAAAAATTTCCTTTTCAAAGTCATGAGGAATAATTCTGTTTAAATATTCCGAAAGCCTTTAACTTATATTTTATTTCAAATAGATCTTTCAATACACACAATGTGTGGGTGTTACACAAAAGACAACCAAAATATTGTTTATGAAAAAGTTCAACAATTCATGACATCATACCATTTTTCATTGTATTTCATAATGCTCGGTCTAATCGAGCGGAATCGTAAAATAATATAATAACATTTTTCATTCCAACCAAAATATCTGTATTGAAACATTTCTTGATAGTTTCTGCATACTTTTAAATTTCTTTGTACAATAAACATTGAATTTGGAAACATTTGGTCTATTTGAACTTTGTTTTAGAAGAAAAAAAAGTTCCCATCCAAATAACAATAGAAGTACCCATTTAAATTGTTTATAACTGTTTCATTGTGTTGGAAAGAGTGACCACCAAATATTCCACGAAAGCCAGACAAGTTATTCCTTACTTGGAACTAAAAAAACACTCACACAATGCCAGTAAACATTAACGATTGAGAATACTTTGATGATAAATTTTCAAAAGGAAGTTTATATAAAAAATTTGTTTACCTTTTATGTTTCTCACAAAAGAAGAAGAGATCGATGATTGAAATTTGAAATTTCACACTTGAAACATCGATGATGAAAAATTCAACTTTTATTAGCCATCAATGAAAATCTTATCTGCTACAAAAAATCTATTTTTTTATTCAAATAAAGAAAGATAATTATTTTATAATATAAACACAAGTAGCGTGTATCAATATGTAAAGTTTTTCATTATTTTTTATTACCAACAATTTCAAGTTGAAACTTCATAAGTATGAAGAAAAAAAAGCTGAGTCAAACGTAGATAACACTTTCCTGTTGAGCAATTTAAGTTTTACATATCACATTAAAAAATTGTTGTATAGTACGAATCAGCTATTTATTTCGTTACGAAGCGTTTAAAAAAGAACTGATCCATAATTCGTATTTTTTCTCTCTCTCTTCGCAAAGCTGCTTATTTGTATTGAAAGTAAACGTTATAATTTAATGGTAAATACCATAACTCACATTTCTCATAAAGATCTCAAACATATCTAAGAAAAATTCGCAGTACATATTTTGTGCATTAATGTGACGTCGTTGTTGATATTTTGGCTTTTTTCCACAAAGCGACTAGGTTTATGGAACCTTAAAGAATTTTTTACGGTTGTTTATAAAATTTTTAGTGTTTATCAAAAAAAAAATATATCATGGCATCTGTTTTCGAATCTGATCTCTCATCACGAATTGCTGGTTTTGCCTTCAATTAGTTAGGCATTATTATTGGGTTTCAACTCATTCCAAAGAAATTCTCACAAGCTATTTACTTACCTACAATTTTTTATTGAACATTTGCTATTGATCAAGCAGGTTTAACTCAAATTTTCTTTTTCTCTCTCTTTCTCTTGTTCTCTTTTGTTTTTACAGCTAAAATGGGTTGCTTTGGAAGTAAAGATAAATTATCTAAAGAGGATATGGATTTCCTCAAAGATCACACGAGATACGATGAAACAACAATCAAAGAATGGTACAAAGGTTTCAAGGTAAGGATTTAATATCTCATGAAATTCTCGTTTGTATCTCGTATTTAAATGAGAAATGTCAAATAGAATGAAATTTTAAGGATATGACAGCAGAAAATAAGTGCTTGTGACACGAAATATTTACGTAAGAAAAATTAATTCGTTTAAGTCTTCACCGTGCTTAAAGGCAATTAAAACTTTACACATTTGGTGCGTAGTATCTTTCATATATCTACTCAACTTTAATACGATGAATATTGTGGGGATTTAATATTAATATAGAAGCAAAACGAGTTAAAGTTACTTCATTTCCACTAATACATTCGTTTTTTTTTACTTTACAATTAGAGTGATTGCCCGAATGGTCGCTTGACACCTGCAAAGTTTGTAGATATGTACAAGATGTTTTTCCCATCTGGAAATGCTGAAGAATTTTGTGATCACGTCTTCAGAACATTTGATATGGATAAAAACGGATATATTGATTTTAAGGTGAGTTAAATAAACATTTTTAATAACATTTCTGAGACACCTGAACGTGATCGAAAGAAAGAAAAACAACATGACTTGATTTCGACACGAGATATTCATAATTTTTATTTGCTTATGAACCTTTTTAACTTGAATCAAGCATTTTTCATCATCACAAGAAAGGTCTTATTAACTTAATCGCATTAATTATATCAATTATGTTCAAGAAATAAATACAGAATATAAGAGAGGGAAAATTGAATATGAATTAAGTACAGTAAATTATTTCGTATTGAATCATTCTTTTTAGATTCAATTCAGGGTTGTAATTCCATATTATTTGCATTCTATGATGAAAAAAACGTCTACAAGGCTACAAAATAAAAAATACACAGAATTAAAGTCAAGTAGACGCAAGTCCTAATTGAAATTACAAAAGCGTGATGATTTTTTTCATCAAATTTATTTAAAGTGCCTGTTTAATAAAACACCCCCGCCGCTTATGTACTTTGAAGAAATTGCCTAAATTGCTTCTGGTAATGTTTCCATGCTAATGTCTTTACAATTTTCACTATGAAGAACATGAATCAAAGAATGATTGTTGATGGAGTATTACCTAACGATACGACCTAGTATTCAAACGTTTAAGGTCACGCAAAAGAAAAAGAAAATAAGTAATTTAATTATTTATTCCATTCATAGTCAAGTAATGTTATTAATAATCATTTTTCATACAACTTAAACTTATTAAAAACGTACAAAGAAAAGAGAATTTTCTCCTTTGATGATAACGAAATAGAAAATTTGCTATTCGCGCTTCCATTTCCAAATTTCTATCTCAGTTAAATTCCATCATTCCATTATTTATTGAACATTTCTTCTAAATAAGCTAATCAAAACATTTCATTATTTTCTCGTCAACGAATCTACCTGCTGTCACACGAAATGTTTTCAACAAATATGCCAAAAAAAATCCTTAGGCACTTATGAATGATTTAAATATGCCATATAAAGCGTTATGTATACATGCTCATTGAAAATCATGCGCCTTGCTATGTCTCAAAGCTCAAAAACATTTTTCAAGAAAATCAGAATTCGATGCGTACAATTTCTTTTTATTTCATCTTTTGACTCGACATTATTATTTCTTTTCATACGTCACGCTTTATAAACGTTTGCGAGAAAGGAAAACGAAGAACCCGAAACGTTAAACTTTCAATCAATAATTTTCCTTGGAATTTATATTTCTTTTACGAATTTTGTCAAAGTTAGATACTCTCGATGGTGATTCAAAACTGCAGTCAATGATTCTTTTCAATTTATTGAAATGTTTTCGTGATTCGACTGGGAATGTTTTTCTTATTTACATCAGAAACGTCTATTAAATTTGGAATATACAATTCAAGTCACAACCTTCCTTAAGGTGCTCATGTACATCAAATGGTCTGCTGGGTGAAATTGGAGTTTGCAATTTCTTACATAAATATTCTGAAAATGTTTCAAAGTTTCAAAGAAAATTCTTAAAACTTTCTCATAATATGTAAAATTTTATAAACTTACTCGTAATTGATGGCAATTATTATGAAGTATTTTGAATACTTTTTCACTTATTTTCTCGCATCTGTTAAGTTTTAAAGTTTTTAATCGTGGCAAACTCAGCGTTATTATGTCAACACATTTATCATCAATAAACTTTCCTTCACTAAAATCAAGAACTTCTAATGAAGGACAATTGTTGACAAATGCTTTAACTCCTTCCAGAGTAAACTGAAACATTAAAAGATTAAATGTTTATGTTCATAATAAAATTAACATTGCCTCTCACATTGCATCGAGCAAAATGTGCTTCCTTTAGTTCAAGCAGGGAAAGCGCATCGATCATTGTATAGTCAGTAAGCTTGTATAAGCCATTACATTTCAATATTTGAAGACCTTTTAAGTTTCTTATCGAGTGATGGCGCCTTGCATATTCTGACGACACTCCCGTGAATCCAAAGTCTGTAAGCTATAAATTAATAATAATAAATTAAGCATTTTTAAATCTTCATTAAAATGACATACTTTACAACAACTGTCAACGTTTAATAACCTTAAAAGTTGCATATGCCTTAGAATCATCTGAAGTGAGTTATCAGTCACACCCACTGATACCCCACCGAGATCAAGATGACTTAAACTTTCCAAGACGTAAGACAATCTTCTAACAACGACTTCAGTTAAATTTTGAAGCAATCCAAGGTTAAGATTTCTTAGATGCGGGTTTTTATTTTCCATGAGTACTCCATCCATGATTCCAGTGTCTGTTACGTGATCGCAATCAGAAATTTCAAGAGACTAAATTTGAACGTGATTGTATGTTCTTTTACAAATTTAAGTCATAAATAAAGACTCACCTTCAAGTGAACAAGTTTAGATATTTCTCTCACTCCATGATCTGTCAAATTGTGACATTTTTTCAACAGCAGAATCTTAATGTTAGTCATATAAATAGAAATCAATCTGACGACAATGTCGTTTACACTTGGGGATGCTGTTAAATCGAAATTTTCTAAGGTAGGTTGATTCTTGATCAACACTGGAAGACCATAATTTGAGTTCTTTGTTGATCCCATGAAAGTTAAATGAAGTTCCTTGAGTTTAATATCCTTTATTTGTCCCAACTTGTCAAGAAATAAATCATCAGTTACTGTGTTGGATAAATCTAAACATGTAATATTTTTTCCGCTTGATTTCAAGAATTCGAGAAGGGAATCCAAAAAGCTATTTCGTTCCTGTGGGCTCATAAGTTGTAAACAGTTTGATAAATCAACGGCTTTGATGTTGGGGCTTGTTTTCATCATATATTCGAAAATATCTTTAGATATAATATTATTTCTAGCGAGACTTATATGTGAACATTTTGGAAAAGTTACTTTCCTTTCATAAGAAAATTTGTTGATAACCCAATTCTTGAACATGTTATTAGCTTCAATTTTTAATGTCTCCAAATTCTTCGCATATTTAACCACATTTACGAACTCTTCTTTCGTCAGGAGACCACTCAAGAAATGAAGCTCTCTTAAATTCTCTCCATTTTCTATCCAAAAATCTTCCCAAACGATGTCGTCAACTTGAGGTGTTTGAAGCATTATAGCAGGAAATTGTCGTTCACATTGCATGAGAAGTTGAATTGGAATAGCAAATTGTGTTGAGTATGGCTCACTAAAATTAAGTATCCAATTATTTGAAAACTTTTTATGCTGCAACGCTTCTGCAAATCTTTTGAAACTTAAACCAGCACACTAAAATTAAAATATTGTAGCTTGTTACATGTTTGCTTCAATAAACTCTTAAAATATTAACCATTAAATCTGATGGGTTCAGGAAGGAAAGTATTTGAACAAGCAGCTATGAAATAAAAAAAAGAAAATCAATAACTCATATTATCACGTCTACTAAGCAACATTTCAAGTACTTCCATAGGTAAAAATTCCAACATGGCTTTACATTCCACATATTCAAAAGTTTCTTCATATTCCATGTGCCACAATATTTTCATTATAAAATATATGAATTAAATTTAATTAATTTCCACTGTTAGCTTTCAATCTGTGTCGCGGAACTTACTAAAATTAAATGATAGACTTGATCGAGGTAATTATTTAACGACATTGAATGATGATGAGAAGAAGACGAAGAAAAAGTTTTTTTTTCTTTTAAGTTTATTTTGAATACCAAGACATGAAGTAATTAACAAAGATAATCTGAGATAATCTATTTACAAGCTGCATCCTAAACAAATTAAGTATATTTAGATTACGTTAAAGGGAGTTGAGTACATAAAGGATGAGAGATTTAACATTTCTTTAGAAAGCAATCATGAGGGAATTTGTAGGAATTTATGTCCTTTTAAATTAATTTTCGACTATCAAATAAAATGACTAAATCATCAAATATCTTTTATCGAAATAGCTGATTTATTTAATATAATGTGGGACATTATTTATAGACCAGAAGAACAGAAGCTTCCAAGGAGTGTCTGATTGTTATTAAATTAGGCCGAATCGTATCAAAATATTATGAGCGTCTTTTTAAGAGTTTTATTGTATGACTGCAATCGCTTATACCATTCTCACGAAAGGAATTTGTTTATTGTGTGTCAAATTGAATTTCACGCAATATGGGAAAATGCGAAAGGTTTGAGATATAAATGGCTCGGCCTGTCAAGCTCACCCTACAAACTTTTATCTATTTTGATCAAAATAAATAACTTTCTTGAGTTTCAAGCCTTATATGAATGACGTCATTTTGCATTGCGCATATATCTAGTATACTGGTTGGAAAGCAATACACTTAAAGGTCCGTTAGAAACCTCGATAATGCTTTTTTTCTTTTATTTTTTGACGCTAGTGCATCGATCTATTTCATGACATTCAGCAATTTATAAGAAATGATTGTGAGAAGCGAGAAAAAAAGACAAAAGAAATTTTCACAAAGCTCGCGTTCGTGGGCGTTTTATTCACTTGCGATATCGATAACCTTTAAATGTTTAGAGCTTTTTTTTTATCACTCGTTATACATCTTAATACTTACCTTACCTCATCGTAAAATTAATTTTGTTTGTACAGTGATGAATGTAATTTTCGTAAATAAGAAAGAAGATTTAATTTATTCATGATTTTTTTTTCTGCTCGAAAAGAGAAAGAAAATAACTCGAAGCTAATTCTTTTTATCATCTTTCTTCCCGTTTTATAGGAATTTTTACTAGCAATAGATGTTACATCAAGTGGAACGCCGGAAGAGAAGCTTAAATGGGCTTTCCGAATGTATGATGTAGATGGCAATGGTGTCATAGATATCCAAGAAATGACAAAAATAGTTCAGGTGAGATTTAGAAATCATTCGTAATTAAACTTTGATACTTCGTAGTACGTACCAAAATATCATAAATTTTATAGAGGTAAAAACATTAAATCCATTTTTTGTATCCTTTTCATCATTGAAATGATATCAAATTAAATCTCTAATGGGAAACTTTGATTTATAGTTCTAAACTTGACTTTTCTACTTAAAGCTTATCAATCATCTCTTAATTAATTAATGATTAATGGTGACATGTGGGTATCAAGGTTGTGACTATTTATTTTAAATTATTCTTACTCCTTCTAAATAAATTGAAAAAATATTTTATTCATCAGTTTTTCTTTCTTGAGTCCTAAATAAATCTACTTGAACTTTGCTGATCAAACCTACATGTTCAGCACTAAAGGAAAGGACATAGAAGTTATCATTATTCATCATGAGTGACAGACATCTCATTAGGTTTTAACCTAGTTTTAACAAGACTTCCAATGACTGTCACTTTCTTCTACTTATATAGTTTATGGTTGAGAGAATTTCCTTTTTATATGCTTGGTTTTGTTATGTATTCAATTCGATTTATTCTTTACCAAGCCTTTGTGGATTTCTTATCTACTTTATAAATGTGAATTTTATTCTCTCATTTTGTTTTACACCCACGTTGGTCCATATTTCACTTAGACAAAAATATCTTTAAGATGATGATAGCAACAACTTCAGAATATATTTTATTCACTGTCTTTTCTTTACTTTTCAATTTTCTTCCTTTTCCTTTAGGCCATTTACGACATGCTAGGTGCATGCTCTTCTAATAAACCAGCAGACTCAGCTGAAGATAGAGCAAAGAATATTTTTGCAAAAATGGATGAAAACAACGATGGACAATTAACGCAAGATGAATTCCTAAAGGGATGTTTACAAGATGAAGAGCTTTCAAAAATGCTCGCGCCATAAATCTTGACATTTGTCTTTGCATAAATGTGTCGAAGTTGCACACACACACAAATGAAAAAAAAATTATTCAAATGAAGTGAAAAGTGAAGAAAAAAAAAAGAATGCACAAAATAAAATATAATGGAGCCATCATTACTTTTATAATTTAAAAAAGAAAATTACTGTAAAAGGAAGCTTATCTCCTTTCATCATCAGTTAATTTAGCATGCATGTAATGCATCGTACATTGTGTATGTCGTGTCAAATACAGAAAAATAATTATAAAGCCATGTGGAACATGTTGACTAAGTTTTAAGCATTCATTCCACTGCGCCTCATACATATTTTCATGTTCAAATGATGCTTATGAGAAAACCACACATTGTTTTAAAAGAAATAAGAAAATGGCATAGGCTTTGCTTATGGCATATGTACTAAAGATAACTTTCCATAACTCATCCTGTAAAAGCTTGAAAAATTTATTTTCATTTTGGTAAGAAGATGTCTTCGTTAGGAAAGCAGAAAAAGCACAAAAAATGCTCTTAATTAATTATATAAAAATTGAAATCGAACTTATCAAAGTTTTTAAAACGAACCTTCGAAATATTTATTATCAAATGAGTAAATCCTTATTTTTCCTAAGGATATTTAATATTTTTTGGGATAGGAGTAAAATATTGCAACATTTCCTCCTGCATTTATTTGAGGCTTCTGCCAACATTTCTAATGTGACTTAAAGACTAAGGCCTAATCACAACCTCTCGACAATCTTTTCTAAACACTTTATACTGTTGTAGCACTTTTAATGCAAAACTTTACCGCTTCAACATCCAACATTCCTTTAATTTCCTTGAAACTTTGATATCTCCGGGGAATTATTTAATTTCATTTCACTTTTCAAAATTGCTATATCTGCTTACCTCTGAGTCAAAGTAATTTCATGATAATGTTGCAATATTATAAGAGAATTTCACCAGAAAGGAAGAAAAGAAAAATAAACTTAAAATTTATCTCCTTTTTTTCTGGCCATCATCATTCGTGAGCATCCTTCTGTGATTATAATTTTTAATTTTTCGTTTTAAGTTTGACATTTGCAACATTTCCGCTTGATAAGAGAATATAAAAAGGATATGAAATTTACTGTGACGTAAGAAAGAATTTAGAATTTTCATCATGTTTCAAATTTTTGATAAAGAAAAATTTTATCTAAATGTTTTCATGATACAAATAAAGAATAAAAAAAGGGAGACAGAATAATTAAACTGTGTGAACCAATTAAAAATATTGTTTAGATAATCTCTCCTCTAACAAAATAAATAAATTTTCTTTTTAATTCGTAATTTTCATCAGCGAGGTAAAAGAAGTAAAAAGAGCTAAAAATAAGTATCGATTTTTGCAGTACGTACGTAATTTTCAAGTTTGTATTAGATAGGGTTAATAGGAGAATGATGTCTCTTTTTCCCTCCGATAACATTGAGAAATGATGGTTGAATTTCATTGATTCTAAGTGGATTTTTAATGGGCTTGAAGCATGAATCACTCTTTAGATATATTCATACACATATAAAAAAGAATCCCGCGGTCAAACCATAAGTGAAATATCTTGCATGGTATCCAGAATAAAGTATCGTTGTGTCTGCAATTGTAAGATTATTAAGCCTTCAGAAGTATTTTATAAAGATTCCTTTTATTTTCTCCGTCATTAAACATAAATACCAAAAACATTCAACAGATCACATAGATGAAAGAAATCGCGCTCTAATTAACTCCTTAGAAAAAAAATTTGGAATGACTTAAAATTATTCATGATTCAGAGAAAGTTCATTGAAGGACATAAAGACGAAAAAGTTTGTATCTTTAGTATGTTTTTGAATTTTTATGAATTTAGTGACAGATCTTGTCAAGGAAAATAAATCTACTTAGTAAATTAATCAAGGATCAAATTTCGCCTAAAATCAAATTTTTAAGAAAAATTCTAGAAGTAACCTACAAGAATACTGCAATTAAATTCTTTCACATCTCTTTTGAATTGCGATAATCATAACATACATAAAAAGTAACGTTTGATCGGCATTAAATAAGGATAATTAAATATGATTGGGCACAAATTCGCTTACGAGTAAAATGAAGAAAAATAAAAAAAGATTTTTTTGATGTTCAAAGATCTTCTAACTTTTTTATCATTCGCGCACCTTCTTACGACATTAAAATAGTTCATAATATGACTAATAAATGTTTAAATAGTTACATGAATGTAAGAGTATATATAAATATATAAATATCGAACCCGTCTAGTAAAAAATCTTATTTCGAAATTCGAGCATCACGAAGTTAATGAATTAATAATAAATTATATAAGCTTTTTACACCTTTATAGATGAAATAAATCCAAACTCTTCCTTTTTTGCACTCTGAAGTGCGAATGATTTCTCTCTCTAAAGTTTCGGGACTCTATTTTTGAAATTACATTCATACATTTTACCAAAAACACGCACTAAAACCAAAAAATTAAGGCCAGCAAAGAACTTTACGGTACAATCTTTGCTTGTTAACAGCCTTGCTACAAGATATACACAAGCCTTTAATGAAAAGTAAACTATTATATCCCCACATATCCAAACAATATAAAATGAGTTCGTACATCTATAACGTCACAAAATTCACCAAATTCTGCTGTTGCTCTACATTTCCTATTAAAAGTGAAAACGCTTTCTTGTGATTTAGTCTATTTGAACAAAACCATCGACTCTTTTTATGCAAACAACCAAAAACAAGTTCCAGGTAACATTTATTATCTATGTCAATTAAAGGACAAACGAAAATGCTATAAAACACTGCACAATTAATTTTCTCTTTTATGTACATCTTTCATATTTATAATAAATGTGTCCATTTCCTTAAAAGTGAGGCTCTAAAATTTTAATGAACAAAAAACGGTATACAAATTTCTTCTTCATTTATTTTAGAAGTGCTAAGAGTCTGTCAAAAACAGATTCTGTATACTCAAATAGATTACGAACAAATTGTGCCCTAAAATCCTTCATAATAGAACATTCCTTTTTTGTTTTTTTTTTTTTTTAAATTAACTAACTAACCATATGAAGAGAGATGTAGCAAGCAAATTTGAACGTTTCCCTCATGAAGTCGGTAAAATTTATATCTTTAAAGTTCACATTGAATACTAACTTATAAAAGTTCTTTTTCACCCTCATGAAGGCAAATCATACACCAAAAATTGAATGATAGTTTTTTTTTGGAAGATTGATATTTAGAACTGGAACTCCGCTACGTGTTTATATTTAGATAATTAAAGTTTAAAATTATTAAAATTAGTGTTTTGACCATTTAAGATGTATGTCTTAAAAACCAATCATAATCTTATTCCACAAATTTTGAATAAAATAGAAATTGATTATTTATTCTTGTTTTTCATTTACGTTATTTATAGGTTTATAAGTATTGTTATTTAATTAAATTTTGTTTAATTAAAAATTATAAAATTATTAGATTTTTTTTCCTCATAACACTGGCGAAACTAGTTATTCAATTTAATAAATTCTGGTGTAATTGAAGGAAGTTTCGTGAATCGGAATAGAAAGTTTCATAATTACTAGCAAACTTATATTGTGATAAATTTTACAGTTGTTATGAAAAATTCTCTTCTGAGGCATGAAAATTCACTTTGAATGGCAAAATTTATTGCTGATAATTATTTACGTCAGTCCAGTGCAATAAATGAAATTTAAAAGCTTTTCCTTTCCCATAAAATAAATTTCAAATCATTACAAAATTTATCTATCTAATTGATGTTAAAACAAATATTTGAACAGGAAGAAAAATGAAACATTAAACAAATTAAAAATTCATCATTAAGATGAGGAAATGAAAATTTAAAGAAAAATTGTATGCACATCCTTCAAAATTAAAATAATAAGTTTAGAAATCATAAAAAAATTATTAAAAAAAAGAAAATTACATAATGAATGTGAAAAATGATAAAAAAAGCAGAATGAAATTCAAAATCAAATAAACAGAAAAAATAAATTTATTTATCCTTTTAAACAAACATTACGTGAGTTTTCTATGACGTACACATAGAACATTGTTTACAATAATTATATTTATGTATACTTACTTTAAACCGCGTTTTAAGCAGAAATGTGATATCTACCAATACTCTAGAGATACTCCTCTTAAGTGTCATAAGATAGAAGAAATATGTTAAAAATTTTCTTTCTTTTCGCAGGAAAATCACTGCCCAGCAACTCAAAATCTTCACAGCAGAGTTGCAGCTTTTAAAATGTCGCTAGAGTGAAGGAAGAAAGATTTTGATCTGGAGATACAAACTCAATTGAAAAATAAGAATAAAAGTTTTTGTTTTGATTATTATCAACGAATTAAATAGAAAAAATAAGAAAAGACACTGAATAGTGAAGCCATTTTAGACTCGTCCAAAATATAGTTAAATTGAAAAAGGTGATACATTTAAATATTTCAATAAATTATTCAGCAGTCTTATTGGTTTCATTGGAATAAAAACAAGCAGCAAAAAAATGGGAAAGCAGAACAGCAAATTAAAACCAGAAGTTTTGGAAGACCTCAAACAAAATACTGAATTTTCTGGTAAGTGTTTCTAAACAAAAATATCCAATTAAAAGTTTTAATGGTGAAAATAGTTGAGTGTTTCTTATACTGTGTACATTTAAAATTTAATAAAAGAACTTCAAAACCCAATTTAAATCATTTAAAACACCACAATAAGGTTTTAATGAAGAAAGAAAGAAATTGGCTTTAGAATTGTGAACATAAATATATAAATTTTGATATGTTGTACGAATCATAACATCGTTCTTATTCATATTCCATGATTTTGCTTTTTTCAAAAGTATGAGAAAAATTATTTTTATTTCAAGTTATTCTCCTAACATGCTTCACAGTTATAGATACTAAAACTTCTTTTCTTCCTTAAACAGATGCTGAAATTCAAGAATGGTACAAAGGATTTCTGAAAGATTGCCCAAGTGGCCACCTTTCAGTTGAAGAGTTCAAGAAAATTTATGGTAATTTCTTTCCTTATGGAGATGCTAGCAAGGTAATCTGGCGTGTTATTTTCCTCTTTTATTCGAAAAATTTATATCACAGTGAAAATGTGATCACTCGAATGAATCGTTAAAGAAAAAGCAAACATAAAATTTTTTGCTTTCAATAAATTTAGTGCGAATGAAGATCTGATGAATTCAAGTTTTTCAATCATGCGCATAAATAATTTGTGAAGTTCTCAATCTTCTCAATAATTACAAAAATAAACATTCACATTTATTTTGTTACAATGTAATAAATTATTATTTTGCATATCTAATAATGTTTCAAATATAAACATTATTAACTTAATTAATTTCAGAGTCTGAAATTTTGTCGAGTGCTAAATTGAATCTTTATATACAATTATGCTTTTACATAAATAAATATTTGAATTGCAAAAAGTGAACCTTCTCTATTCATTCTGAGCGTCATAAAAATGAAATATTTATTCAAATGTATCAGAATTGTTTTTCTTGTATTACTCTTTTTATAGTTTGCCGAGCATGTTTTTCGTACCTTCGATGCTAATGGTGACGGAACAATTGATTTTCGAGAATTCTTATGTGCACTGAGTGTCACATCGAGGGGGAAATTGGAACAGAAGTTGAAATGGGCCTTTTCGATGTATGATTTAGATGGAAACGGGTATATTTCACGTCAAGAAATGTTGGAAATTGTCACGGTAGGATTTTATTGCACAATACGTTTTATTTATTTTTTTCTTTGACAAAACAGTAAACATGACATGAGATTTTCCACTTCTTCTCATTTTAAGGCCATTTATAAAATGGTTGGATCTGTCATGAAGATGCCAGAAGACGAGAGCACACCGGAAAAGCGCACTGATAAAATCTTCCGACAAATGGATAAAAACAAAGATGGAAAGCTAAGTTTGGAAGAGTTTATCGAAGGCGCAAAAAGCGATCCTTCTATCGTTAGACTTCTGCAATGTGATCCGCAGTCGCAGTGAATAAATTTACCCAAACAAAAATCTCTCCAAACCCTCCTCGGTATACAGTGCTTTTAGAAAACATGAAAACATCTGTTTTTCTTCTTTTTTTTATGTAAAGTTTTAATATATTCGGAAATATTTGTTATTTCTTTTTTTCCTCTTTCTTTTTAGACAACATTAAGCATTCAGAATATTAGTAGATCCAAATATTCAAAAAGAAACGAGAATCTGATGCAACTTTTTTTCTCGTGTAGTTTTTTTTTTTAAATCAACAAAAGGTGTGGCTTTCTCCTTTTATGTACGGTTAACTACACGAATTTATGAATTAATCAGTTCATTTATGGTGTATGTTTTATCTTGTTTTACATATTTTTAATTTCACTTCGAAAAATAACAACTTAGGTAATTCTTTTTTTCTCTGACAACTTTTGTTGATTGCAGGGGCGTTGAAAAATAAGTTGCAAAGATTTTCAGTCTTTTGTGTAAAAAGTTTTTGGTGTTGAAATTTATGCACTGCACCCGCGTATCATCAGTTGTCATTCGAATATAACGAAATTATGTAACAAAAAAAAGAAAAATTTCAAGTAAGGTTCTAGATAGCAAATTTAAGAATTTTCCTCACTCGCAATTTTCTTATTTCTAGATTGTAGGATTAATGAAACTAAATATTGATTAAATAAGAGATGAAGTTAGAAAGGAATATTGAAAATTATTTAAATAACTTAAGATAAGTGAATCTCTTTAAAAATATGAATTGATTGTATCTGCTTATCTATAGGTTCAGTTTTAAGAAACAAAAAAACAAAAAAATCCCGCAAAACCGTTTAAAATGAATTAAAAAATTCAAGTCTTATAATCCCAAAATTAACAAAAATATTAAAAATTCATCATTCGCTTTTGTGATTCTATAAAAAAAAACATGGGCACAGAAATTTCTGAAATTTTCACTGGAATTTGAATGTTTGTGACGTACATATGTAATAAGTACTTACTGTTTAATATCGCAACCGATTTCTTGAATTGTCGAAAAAGAAATTCTAAGAAAGTTTAAGCTCTACCACATAAATAAAGTGAGATATATTACAAAATAAAATGAAATCGATTAATATGTACTCTTCCAGTATACTTTGAATTGCTTCACGTCATATAATAAATGTTGTCGCAATATCAAATCAAACTAACCGTTTTTATCATCAACCAGGTGTTTGAGGCCTATAAACATATAAATATGAATATATACACACATAATTGCATACATAGAGTTTTAATTTTGTTATTTCTCCTTTTTCAGTTCGCACAAACATAAAAAATAATTGCAGGAAATGTTTATGATTATCTGAATCACAAATAATTGCTTAATTTAGACCTTTCATGAGGAACTTCAAACCAACAACAATAATTCTAATCTATTCTAATCTATTGTGAAAAATATTGCACTATAGTCAACAACTAACCAAGGTTTATTTAATTCTGATTCTTTCAATTCTTTCTTAAAGTTTTATTTGAATAAGGAAATCGATTTCGATATCATTGAAAATCACTTATCAAAAGTTTTTCAAAGGCAAATACGACTGTCAAGTGACAATGTGAAGACTTTCAATTCGATCCATTGAATTTTTTTGATGAAATTTTTACTAAAAAATATCTAAATAACAATTTAAGATAATTAACATAAATTGAACTAAAAACGCTTTGAATGAAAACCAAAAATATCTTATAATTATTCATGAAAAAAAATAAGTTGGTGGGCAATGATAAGAACCACTAAAATGTTTTGAATTGAAGAAAAATTTATTAAATTAAGCGACGAGAAGAGAAACGAAAAACTTTTAAATTTTATTTCATCTTCAATTCCTAGAGATCAGGTAGAATTAAATAAACCAAATGTAATCTGTTTTTACTTTTTGTCGTGTATCTCTCTTTATAAGGAAAATATTGAAATGATAAAATAAAAATCCCTGTTATAACAAGCAATACGAAAAATCAAATATATAAATGAGAAAGATAAGAGAACATAATTATTTGAAGCATCCTTGAAACTGCATTTAAATATTTGAAAGGAACATTTTAAAAAGACGCATTTAGAATTCCTTTCAGGAATAGAAAGGAAAAATAAATAAATCGTTATAAGCAATTGCCTTGTACTAGCTTACCAAATATATAATTCAAAATATGTGGTTGCTTTACATAATTACAATTTTGATTTGAGTAGAAAACTTACTTCATGAATATTTAACGTTTGATTTCATATTTTATTTGTAAAGAGATTTACACCTTCAAATATTTGAAAATGAAACTTTTTAATCTTTCTGTCTAAATTTTACACCCATCTTCATCAATCTTTTAAAAGATGTCAATTAATTAAAAAGAGATTATCTATCTACCTTTCTATTATTCTAATAAATTGTAGCAAAACTTACCAAAAAAATACTTCTCTTGTATTCTTCTAATCAAAATCTTTCTTCAAGAACATATAGTAAAGAACATTTGAACTCTTAGATATCTGATTATTATGAAAAAAATATAATATTATTCCTTTTGAAAAAGAAAATCAAAAGCTGAATATCATTATTCTATTAAGCTGACCGCACCGATAAGAAAATATTAATCAATAGAAGATAAAAAGAAATTGGAATTGAAGAAACGCTTTCGCCTTCCTGTGGTGATGAATACTAAGAAGCGTATGAATGTAATCAATCAATGATTTGTGCTATTCCAAGTGTGTTAAGTTCCCAAAAGAAATTAAAATATCAAAAGAAACCAAAATTTGCATCTAATTTGCAATGGTAAATATCTATGAAACGTTTAAAGACATTTTCGAGGTTTAAATTGCGTCAATTTCATGATGTCACATCATGAGATAAGCTTTGATAATCTTGAAACGAAACAATGAAAGAAAATTGATCATAGTGAGTGAAAATTCAATTTTCCGTTCTAAAAAGAAATTTAAATTTCCCTTATAAATGACAAATGAAATGACATTGAAAGGCATTTGAGAAATTTTATATTGTGTATTTTTTATTTCATTAAGTGTTGAATAAAAATTTTCTGATTAAGCAAAATTTGAGTTTTTAAAAGTGCAAATTTTTAATATTTCAACATACATAAATGAAACTCAAACTTTCTACGAAAAACATTAAAAAGTAAAGAAAAAAACAGACAATTTTCTACCTGTAAATAAACTTTTCAACAAAAGTCGTATTTCTTTTAAACATCAATCTACGTCAATAAGAAAAGTGTTAAAAATATCATCAGGATGATTTAAAAAGAATATTCAACACAACTATAATGACTTCTTCTTTTTATACTTGAATGATACTTTTACATCTCACATCATTACTTTGATCATTGTCATCAAGAACTTTTGATTGTCAATCATGAAGACATTGCGAGTAAATTGGCAGTATAAGTGACATGGTTTAGCAATACCCAAACATTCAAAACACTTACTCGCATAACATTTCTTCTTCTATTAAGTTGTATCATCGCCAAGTATTTTGAACTAATCGCTCATTAAGTGAAAAAAAATCCCTTGAAAATATTTTCTCATTGTTTCAACTCATGTACTTGTGTTTGTATTATTTTTCTTAATTTTCCTATTTGTCTCGATAGCTGAAAGTAAAAATTAGTCTTATTGTACAGTTGACAGAATTAACAAGTCGTTTTCTAAAAGGTAGTTGGAAATTCTTTCATATTTATTTTCTGTTCTGCAAGAGAAACTTCTTTATCTTCTTGCTATTGAGTCTTGAGTTGCTGAAATAATAAAGAACCTTGAAGTGAAGTTATTCATGAAGAAAACTCTTGAATATTTATGTGAACAGCGTCAACAGATCTTTCGAGAGAAATTCACTTGGAACTCTCTATGGAATAAATTTATTCATTATAACCATTAAAGTGATTTGTCATTCGATACACTTTGCGCGGGAAGAGCTGAAAAAATTATAATTGCAACTTGAACTGAGAGGATAAATTAAAATTAAAAGCTTCATCTAATAAACTCGACGAATTTAAACGCTTTAAAAGTGTTTTATCGTCACATTTATCGTTTTTCATTGTAATTAAATGAATGCAAAAAGACACAATAATTAACTTTACTACTCAGTGCTCTTTCATTTTTAAATGAATAAGTTGAAGTAGCAGTTATAAAATTAGATTTATGTATCGACAGAAAGTACCGAGTTCTCGAAATTATTTTTTCACTTAGAAACTTACGTAAGGAGTTTTTGTCTTTTTCTTTCTATAGACGTGATGAGAAATTCAATCGACCGGTGAACAGTGCATTTTAGATCAATTTTAATCGTGAAAAGTATGTCAGTTTTAAAATAAAACACTTTGATGCTATAAAATTAGAAATTGCCTTCGGATAGTTGAAAGTTAGATATCATCTATTTGTTGTCAAACATGCATGAACTCTCGAGATTCAGTGGAAAAAGGGAGATCTGAAAATCGTATGATTAAAATTATTTTAATTTTCAGCAAACAAATACCATAAATGGATGATCATAAAGTTTCTAGAGACAACAAAGTCTCAAGAGATGCCGCCAAGAAAACCCAATTATACAAACATTGGGTGAGGTAAGATCTAGTTGAGTCATTCATTCTCGATTAATTCTTAAGATTCTGCGAATAATTTCAGACCACGTTTCCTACAATACAATTACATGTACGACTATAGACTCAACTACTATGATGACGTTATCGATTATTTGAATAAGAAAGATCGTGGAGTTAAAATTGAACCACCAAAGCCCCAAACATGGGCTGAAAGAGTTTTAAGAACAGTTAAAGAGTAAGTTTGTACACATTAAACTTCCTTAACTAACGAAGTTTCTCATTCACAGCAAACCACATTCATCCTGTTATGAGGCATATGAGGCAGAACACTGTTCCAAGCGTAGTAATAAATTGAAAATTACAATAACTAATCAAATCAACTCCTACAACTATCACAGCAAAGGATATACAAATAGAAAGTATGCAAGCATCTTGTAATTTGAAAATTTTTCGTTTTTAGATTTCTTTTTTTTTTTAAATCAACTTTAAATAAATGAGACTTGGTTGGTTTTTTTCTTTTGCTTTTGGTTTTTTTACGCAACAAATTATCGTTTATTATTTTCATATCTAAAACATAAACATAACAAAACATTGAAAATATTTATTATTGCTGTTATTGTTTGTCAACATGAATTTTTAATAATTTGAATTTAATTTTGCGCCTCTTCCATTGAAGTTGCTTTATTAATTTATTGGTCCAATTTTCTATTTTGATCATGAAAATGGCTTTAGAATAGCACAAAGCAAAATGCTTATTTAATATTCTGCTTCGTTTTTATTTTGTTTTCGTTTTTTTTTTTCATTTGAAACAAAAATATTTAAATATTGATTATTTATTTAAGGTAATAAAGTTTGCAAAAACTATACGCTCAAAACATCAAGCAAAAAATATAAAATGACTTGTTATACGTCCTAAACGAATCTTTCTATCAATAAAGGAAATGTGTGTTGTAATTTTATGTAAAACACGAACACTTGTAACGATTTAAAATGGTGACACCAAACATATTTTTGTCTATTTTCTTAAAATCAAACATTTGTAAGTATCGAAGCTGTAAACGATTTTTGGCAAGACCTTGATGAGTTGTCAAATAAACTTTTGAATAAAGGATGAAGAACAAAAAAATTGAAAAGATTAAATAAAGTGCTTTGTATTACATTCATTGTAACCACAGCAGATACTTCGTTGCTATGTTTTGATTTTCGTTGTAAAAATAAATTTAAAGCAATGAAAATCATAAATGTCGTAATTTATAATTCAAGTTTATTCAAATTTATTTTGATTTCTCCAGTTTTATGATATTCTTCGAGCTTATCTTTAACTAATGTCTCCATGTCAATTTTATCAGTAAAATCTTGAATTTTCCTCATTATGGGCTTTTCTAAAGCGTCCATAATTTGATAGCGAAGTAAATTAGGAATAATGTTGATAAAGAATTCGACAAGATAATCAGCAGTTCCCAGCCCATCACTTCTCACTTGAATATTTCCAATGTCTAGCTGTAAATCGTTGATTTTAAGTCTCTTGCTGAGATTCAATGGTTGCGACACTACAAAAAGTACTTTGATGTGTTGAACAGTGAAGCGAAGATTTCCAGCTCTTGTTATCATTCCTTTAGCAATTGAAACTTCCCACTTGGCTGATCCAGATATTTCTTGTGTTCCTATCGCCACCGCTGAAAAAATATTTTAAATCTCAAATGAAACTATTTTATTCAAAGTGTTTCTTTACTTATTGTTGCATTGTTGTTTCTCATTTTAAGTGACATTTCGCCGAGTCTATAAAAAGATGATATTCCATACACCCAGGTGTTGAAGATTTTCATTCCAATCACTCCAGGATAAACATAATCTTCCATTTTAAACGGATCAAAACTGAATTAGAAACAAAGTAAATTGCATCGACATTTGATATCATTCTCGTAATGAAATTTACCCTTTCGCTCTGACTTGTCTTCGAGCTTCAGCAATTGCATTATCTATTGGACTTATTGAGTTTGGTATTTGATTATCTCCAATAAAATTCAAAAGTTGATCATCAATGTTTTGTTTTATTTTATCGTAAGCATCTCTCAGTATTGTTGGTTTAATACTATCGAAAATCTTTTGAAAGTTTACTAATTTGTTAACTTAAATGATAAAAAAAGAAATGAAAACTTACAACGTTCGACGCCGAATTTGCAAGACTTTGAAAAACAGCTGCAAGAAATCCCAAATTCTTGAAATCCATTGCCATGTCTGCAAATTTTATATCCATCAATATTTCTTGTGTTCTCAATTTGCCATCACGTTCCACTCCAATTGCAGCATTTCCTTCAACAACAACATTTTTTAATAAAATTGTAAACGGACCTGAAATAGATATTTTCGTTCCCACGTCACTTGTTCATAAGTTTAATTAACTAATCAAACCTTTTGATCTTGACATGAAGCTACTCAAAACATAATCTCCTTTCAAAGTCAATTGCTCGAATAAAATTCCACATTTTGCTTTCAGATCTTTCACTTGAGTTTCAATGTACGTGATGCGAAACTTTGTTATACCTGATAACTTGGTCTTAGTCATTCTCAGCTTCGTCATCGAAATGCTTTGTTCAATATCATCAACATTCTAAAAGAGAAAAGATAATCAATTGTGGATAATTAGCGTGAAATTCTTATTAATTACCATTGGATCTTTCAGTGGAATTAAAGGCAACCCAACAGGATCTTCTTGCTTATAGAACTCAATTATCTGATAAATTTGATCCACAAAGTGATCTTCCACATCAGATGAAGTATTTGATGAAACATTTTGTTGTGTCTGCTGCTCGGGAATTTCTGAAATTTTAATTACTTTATCTCCCGTCTTGTCTCTGAATTTTAAGTTTAAAATAATTTAAAATTGTACCTGCACTCAAATATTCGACATTATCGAATAAAACTATCAAAATTATACTTAAATACTTTAAGTTATTCATATTATTTAACTATAAGTTTCTTTTCGAACGTCTCAAATGAGAATGAGCAAGCAGTGAAGTTCAAAGGTTCATGATACTATGATAAGGGCCACTTTGCATCGTCTCAATTTGAGCATTTAATGAAGTGAGAGAGTTTCTCAAGATTTCTGTAAGGTTTTGAAGTAAAATTAACAGACAATTGATTGGTTCATGCTTTTCGTACCTAATCAAATAAAATAACGAAAATTGTATTTCTAGAAATTTTATTGTTCAACAAGTTATAGTCTTCAGTAAAACAAATAGAGGCTAAATATAACGTCCGCCTTGAGACATGAAAGGTAAGAAAGAAATAAAACCAAGAACTTCATGGATAAATATTTAAAATAATAATTAAAATAAGAACGAAAATCCTCACAATCCAAAAACTTCCAAGAAAATTAAATTGAAATTATAAAAATAATAAACAGAAACTTAAAGCTTAAAAGAAAACTTGGCATAATAAAAAAATGTTCTCGTTAAAGTTCTGGGGAAAACTCGAGTGATTTAAAATGATGTAACTCGGTTTTGTGTTGATTTTGTTATCTTAAGGGATGACATTCCATTCATAATTGCATCGTCAGTGTCAAAGTCACTTGTAGCATCAGCTAACAGTTTCTTGACATTTGCAGCTCTTTGTTCACGTTTAAATTGTCTTTCCGAACGTTCAAGCATGTCTTGTTCAATATCTTGCAAGCGAGCAGCTGACTGACGTGCTCTTGCAGCAGCAAACGATTCAGAGTCATTATAATCTGTTGATTTTGACCATTTCGTCAAATCATTGGATGTTTTTTGTGCAGCAGATGAACTTGAAATGTCACTCACAACCTATGATGGTTCAATTATTAAGAAATTTAATTGTAAATTATTTAAAATTTTTCTTACCTTTACTGAACGCTTTTTAATAATCTTTGAAGATGATGCAGATTCGTTGTTATCGTAACCATTTTCAAGATCGATGCTATTTAACAATTTCTTTGATGCTTGAATACGATCCAACGTTTTTTGAACCTAGCAGTAAAAATAGAAGAACAAAGTGTAAATAGATTTATCATTTAGACGAAGCCAAGTGGGAAGATTTCTATGATATTCGGATGTAGTGACGCAAATTCATTGCCAAGAATGATCCAAATATTTATCATGAATTTCCTAACATTCAGACTTTTTCTTTTTCATTTTTTTCTTTTTCACTCTATTTACTGATATTTCGATTATTTTAAGCACAGTTTTTGTTTTTGGAAATTTTCAAGATCAAATTTGAAACATATACAAAACGAGATTTCTTACCTGATTATCAAAGTTCCCTTCAAGTGCGAGAGCCTTACGACCAGAGTGGTGATCCAAAACAGTTTCATGTCGAATAACGTCTGAAGCGCGGTCTCTTGCGATTTCCAAATCTTCGTCTAAGTCTGCAGCGAAATTGATACGAGGACGTGTTGGGGATACCGCTGGTGGTTCTGAATGTCGCACCAGAAATGACGATGGTCGTGAATATTTGGCATCTAAGCTATCTAGTGCTGATTTGTAATAATTTTCACCAATACTATAATTTGAATCGTAAATTCGTGATCTTCTTGGGCGTCTGCTGCTCATTATGTTAAATTGATTTTACTTGTCCTGAAATATGAGTGAAATTTTCAAGACAATATAAAATCTGTTAAACTTTAAATGAGGCGTTGAATTTCAAACTCAGGTTGTGACCATCAAAACGTGAAGAACAATAAATCTTTTCTCAAAATCTGCCATAGGCCATAAGTCTAAAAATAAAAGCCTCAGCATTGAAATTCTACATTCACAAAAAAAAATGAATCGTAAAGGTTTAGAGAGCATACGCTTCAAGGCAGAAGAAGAATTAATTAATAAATAGAGTCATTTAAAATGTAATGACAAATGGAATTCGGTTTAGTATAAACTGAACTAATTATTAAAGGTAGAATGCAACAGTTGGCAAGTCAAAGAGGAAAAAATATGCCAAAGTAAAATAAAAAATATTTTAATGAATTTTTCTTGCATTTTTCTTAAGTGCCAAAAATTCTTTTTTCGTTGTAGAAATTCAATACGTAAAATGTTAATCCTATTAGTGGTGTTGACTGAGTCATCCTTTATTTTGAGGACATTACTAATGTTGTTAAAAATAAAATATGATCCGAAAGTTTTCTCTTTTATTTATTTATTTTTCTTTTTATCTGATGATCAGATTCTGATGTCACATGAATTTTTGTATTCACGTGAAACTCAAAACAAGACAAATTTTCTATCAATTTAAATCAGAGAAGAAAGTTTTGATTAGCATATCCAATAAGTTGAACTTCTATCTTCAGCATCCTTCAAAGTGAGGAATTTTGTGTGAAGCACAAGAGAGAATTATTTTTAGATTTTATTCTCAACCATTAATGGCGATTTTCATATTACGCAACGAAATTTCCATTCACAATAATCGCTAAATATTTTCGATCACAAAATCAGTTGCACATTAAATATTTTCTTTCGTTTAATGGAAGTAATTTCTTACAGTGAACAATAAGGGCTTGCAATATTTTCTTTAGGATTTTTTAGCACACTAACTAGTCACGGATGTTTCAAAAATACGACTAAAACTGATTCAATGAATTTTACTTAAGTTTTCATTTCGTTTCTTTCCGTATGCGTTGCGACTTTATGTATTAAGATTTTATTAATAGAAAAGTCTATGCCCAGACATGCAAACTGAAAAGTTTTCGTTGGAACGGACATCGGTTTGCTAGTTTTTCTTTTCCGAAATTCCGAACTGAGGTACGAAGATGTGTGTTGATGAAGCTTCGTGTAATTTTCTGACTTTTTAATCTTCTTCTTCATAATCATGTCCATTGAACGGTTTTCACACCTTTTTAAATGTTGTTACGGCTTGTTATCACATAATGAAAATAATTTAGATATTCAAAAAAAGGAATTAAATTTATGGAAAATTGGCAACAACGTATGTCAATTCACGCATCTGCTTTAAATAGATCGTCATATAGAACATGAACCTTAACAAGAATTCAAAAAGTTCAAATGTAGAAATTTTCCAATGAGTGATCATTACTGTTCATTTCCTTCCCTTCTTTCATACATCGTCCAGCATATATGGTGCTTTATTGGATGTATGTATAAGTGTTATGAAAACAATTAATTAAATCAGATGATGAACTCTTGCACATCAGCAAGCAGATACATGAAAAATGTTTTTGTTTAAGTTTTGTATTCCGAATTATTATTAAAAAATAAAATTTACTTGAAATTTATGCAATAATTTTTCACACACATCCAAGTGAAAATCCTTCAAGTGTAACATTCTTTTTTTGTAATTTATGCATATGCCACTAACACTTCAATGATTATTACCCTACGATAATGATTCACCTGTCCATGGTATAATTTCACTTTTAAGCGCCAGTATACGTTCAGCACTCTAACGATTAAAGTCATTATTAAAAAAATATATAATTATGAGAATGTGTCGAATATTCAATCAAAGATGTTTCTTAGGATTATTTAATTTCGTGTTTATGGTAAAAAAAATTCTTAAATGTTTTAAAGTAGCACGTAAAGAGTTTGTTTCTTGTATTTTAGCTTTGTGGCATTATGGTGTTATTAACTGGATTTTACTTATTTACTGACAACAAGAGAATTCTACTATCGTCACTTCTAATTATTTCATCGAACGACGAGAATCCTTTGAGAGATCTTAAGCATCCTTTGTTCATCTACATCGCATTTATCTTGACCATTTTTGGAATGATTATTGTTTCAACATCATTTTTAGGATATTGGACATCCATGATAAATAATTATTGTCTTCTTTCGATTTACTTCATTTTGATATTAGCTTTATTAATATTAAAGTTCAGTGTATGTGTTGTGATAACGATATGGCCACAATGCTTAGGTTTGAAGTTGAACACAACGGAAATGGTAAAACTTTTACAGAAAACATATGGAGTTCCCGGTTACGAGCAGGTTACTGTATCATGGGATTATGCACAAACAAATTTTGACTGTTGTGGAGTTAATGACAGTTTGAATTACGATTTTTCCTTATGGCGACTTCAAAAATTTGGGAAAAAGGAATTGACAGTTCCAATGACTTGCTGCAAATTAATAAATAAATTCGAAAAACTTTCCTATCTTGATCCAATGCCAATAAATCAAACATCATGTCAATCATTAGAACCGCAAGAGTTTACTAAAACTCGTCATCTCAAGGTAATCAATTAAATTGTGATGTTATTAGTAATTCTTTAATTGTCATTTTTGTAGGGATGTTTGGATGAAATTGAATATTGGTACCGTGAACATTACATAATTCTTCTTTTTGCTGGGCTTATTCTTGCCCTTGTAGAATTTTTCGTTCTTTTATTTGTCGTATTAACATGCACACAGATGAAGCAAAAACAAATAACCAAACACATTTCTCCTATTAATCAATTTAATGATGAACATTTAAGTACCAGATCAGATTCATTTTTAAGAAACCCTGTGAGTGAAAATATTTATCACGCTGATCTCATATCACCATCTCCCGAAGTGCGTGAAGTTTTCGTTCAGCCATCAGATTTTCATCGGTCACGAATTGATAATAACGATCGATATGCAAGAAATAATTATAGATTGTCTACTAGTTCATATTTGATTTAATTTAATGAATTTGTATTTATAAATATTAAAGATTAAAAATAAATAAGATAAATAAAGGTATTAAGTAATATTTCAGCGTGCATGTTCTCATTTATTTTAAATTGTTGAAAAGATTAACGATTTCATTTATATGACGACTTTAGTCAAGACTCATGACATTATCCGAGACGCAGAACATTGCTTCAATGTTTTCTAGGACACTTGAACCTCTGTAGAATGACAATTGTGAAAGAAAAACACCAAAACACTTTTTTAATAGTTGTGTTATCACACATACGGGACTGTGCAGTAAAGTAATAATTTTACAGTTTTTAATTACGAGTTCATCTTTCATAAGTTAATATGGCCCTTTCGAAGGTAATTCAATGTCCTTTAATCGTTGATTTTCGGTGAACAGTAGTCAATAAAAAACCACAATGTTTAAATTTCCTTCTACTTTTAGAATTTCTGAATTGTTTTTAAAAAACTTAATTTTTCCATCAAATTTCAATTGTCATTCTTTAAACTTCAATTTCATGATAAACATCGAATATCATTACTTCTTTTTTGTAAGGATGTAGTACTTTTCATTGGATTAACATAATTTTTTATTCATAACAAAATTTTCTCCCCGAAATTCCAAAGTCCATCCGCTTGCTCAAGTATTTTGAACTCTCAAGTTGAATGTGTTAGTTATCGTTTTGTTTTCTTTTATTAAAATTTCTTAAGATAAGTGGATTCTTTCGCCCAGGATATCGCGCGTTTTCGGTATCATCAAGATTATGTCAAGAAAGCCGTGAGCCTTGGTTTGGCTTATCTGATGAACAGGTAAAAAAAACATAAAAACTTAATCTTTGGCCATGAATAGTTTTGTTTTTTCAACCATCGTAGCGTGAAATGCAATCAGTTGCGAGAAAATTCGCAAGGGAGGAAATTGCACCAGTAGCTGCAAAGCATGGTAAAAATATGAGAATTTAGTTAGTTGAATGACAAAATGTTCAAATGAAAATATTTTGCTAGATAAAACCGGAGAATATCCATGGGATTTAGTCAAGAAAGCGTGGGAATTGGGATTAATTAATAATCATATACCAGCTGATGTTGGTGGCATGGATATGTCCGTCTTAACAAGTTGCATAATAGCAGAAGAAATGGCGTGGGGGTGTACTGGCATCCAGACAGCGCTTGAAGCTACAGGTACTTAAACATAATTTTCTTACATTTAATTATGTTTTTAACTTTTTTCTTTCTTTTTTAGGACTTGGTCAAACACCTGTCATTATTAGTGGAAACGCAGAACAGAAGAAGAAATATTTAGGACGACTCTTGGAAGAACCTCTCGTTGCAGGTAAATTAAATTCATTAAGTAATTGTAAAAAGCTTTTGAACATAATTTTTATTTAAGCTTATTGCGTAACTGAACCACAGGCTGGGTCTGATGTAAATGGCGTCAAAACTCGAGCAGTCAAAAAAGGAGACGAATACATTTTGAATGGACAAAAAATGTGGATCACTAATGGTGGTGTTGCAAACTGGTACTTTGTTCTTGCAAGAACATCCGAAGATCCAAAAGCTCCAGCATCAAAGGTGATTTTGAAATTTATATTAAAAGATTACATGATTAATTTGTAATTTTAGGCGTTTACTGGTTTCATTGTTGAAAAAGATTGGCCTGGTGTAACACCCGGAAGAAAGGAACAGAACATGGGACAGAGAGCAAGTGACACAAGAGGAATTACATTTGAGGATGTGAGAATTCCAAAAGAAAATGTGCTTGTTGCTGAAGGCCAAGGTTTTAAAATTGCTATGGGAACATTTGACAAGACACGTCCACCTGTTGCAGCGGGAGCAACAGGATTAGCACAAAGATGCTTAGACGAAGCTCTCAAGTATTCACTTGAAAGGAAGACTTTTGGTGTTCCAATTGCATACCATCAAGCCATCCAATTCATGCTTGCAGATATGGCTATAGGAGTTGAAACTGCACGTTTAAGTTATTGGCGCTCCGCTTGGGAAGTAGATCAAGGTCGTCGTAATTCTTACGAAGCTTCCATAAGCAAATGTTATGCTTCCGATATTGCAAATAAAATTGCTTCTGATGCAGTTCAAATTTTCGGTGGCAATGGATTCAATTCCGAATATCCAGTAGAAAAGCTTATGAGAGATGCGAAAATTTATCAAATTTATGAAGGAACCAGTCAAATTCAACGCCTCATCATCTCAAGAAATATGTTTGAAAGAGCTAAGGAAATGAATTAAATAATTATTTTGAAATTCTTAAATTCTTGGTTGAGGGCTTGAGTAAAATTAATTAAAGAAAAAGAAGCGAAATGTACCTATAAAAGAAAAGTTGAATAAATCTTTTTTAATGATCTTTTAAACTAATTTCTTATGAAGTTTTTCTTATAAGAAGACCCGGATCTTTGAAGGAAAACAATAATTATTAAAATAAATAATTATTTAAAAGGGTGTCTGGGTGATGTCAATGATTTAAACGCTTTTTCTCATCTTACAATTAAATGAAAACAATCAGAAGTTTTCTCATTTTTCAACGGACTCCGACCGTCATACTACAAACACACTAACTGATTAACCTAATAAGAAAACAGTCAGAAAAAAATGTAGAGAGAAAAAGCTTTGAGCTTCGCTGACGTCACATGAAATGAGTTAGATCAGGTAAATTATTGGCGTATGAACATTTATAGGAAATGGAAATGCTACTGGAATATGAGTTCTTATCCCAGCCCCTTAATTTTCCGAATGATTCCAAAACTTTGACCTATTTTTCTCATATTCCCAGTTTTTGTTTCACTTACTCGTTTACATCGTTTCACAATCGCTATCCTTGTCTATCCAATGGTGAAGCGCCTTGAGATCTGCTTTTTTACACCAATAAAGGCCCCGAGAATTATTTCGCGTAATATTCTTATGGGTGTGTGCATCTCTTACGTGAGTGTTTGTACTTTTTGAATCAATTTCAATGTCATTCCATATTTTTAATAGGTCTGAATAAGTCTTGTTTTCGTTCTGATTCCCAAAATTTTAAATCTCCTTAAATTAAGAAGAATTTATTGTTTCATAATGTGCAAAACCTTCTCTGATTGAACAGTGTTATCAACTAAAACCTAATACTTTTGGTGACATCCGGAAATACGCGGATATTCTTGTTGGGAAGAAGAAAAAAAATTACTTAAGTGCGCGATAAAATTTCTCGATTTGCCTCCATGAAAATATCTAAAAACATAAATTTCAACTAAATCATGATATTGATTTACTAAATTAAACGACGATAGCTTTGACAAAGTATTTTAGAGGTTAATTAGATGAAGTGAAGTAACAACTTCTTTGCAGTAAAATGTGTTATCGCTGACAAATTGATTGATAATTCTACTATGTGTGTGATCTAAAAACCTATTTAATGAGCAGAGAAAAAATTATAAGAATATTCAATTCCAATTCTAATTAAAACAGAGAAGACTTTTCTCAAAAAATTCGTCACAAACAAGTAAAATCGATGAGAGCAAGTCTATCAAAAAATAGATATAAAGAACTTTTCATACAGTTGGATAGTTAGAGTTGGATATTATTTTCTTATAAGACCGCGAACTTGGCGCTAAATATTGTGAGTGTGTGTGTTGTTGAAGCATTTGTGCACGAAACCAAAGAAAACAAAAGTTATATCTACCTTCTTCTAGTAAGAAAAAAAATCAACTTGCCATAGAGGAGAAGAATAAACAAGGGAAGAAAAACTATATTTATTACTCATTAATAATATTTCTCGTTACCTACACACACGCATTCATGCCATTTTGTCGCGCAATATTACGTTATTAGTTCTAGCTGCTTTTTATATTTTATAATTTTTTGTGAGTGTATAAGATCGCAAATATACGCGAGTCTCGCGATATACGAATTTTTTTGTGTGTTCTCACGCTGAAAGAAAATATTAATAAAAAAAATACATTTGACTAGAGGAAGAAAAATAAATCGCATTTGGTTGAACATTTTTCTTGTTGGTTGAATATAAAATAGATCATCAAAGAAAAAATAAAAATGCATGAAGAAGTCGTAACAACAACTTCTACGATATCAAAATTTAGTAACAACACAGTTGTCAACTCAACCACCGCACTACACCAAAGTAACGAAGATGGCACTAGTACTATAACAGTTTCAATTATTCATCCTAATCAGCAAAATGCTGAAATCGGTGATTTTATAGCAGCATCAGAATTACAAAATAATCCTTGTTCAACAATAATAAACCAAATAGTTCCAACAAATTCCAAAATTATAATCAGCACTAACGAATTAGAAACACTCAAAGATGATATTTCGTCAGTCATAATAAATGGCACGATATCGAATTCAAATGATCCAAATGTGCTCATATTACCCACTACTGAAACATGTGATAGTGATAAAAATCCGCTAGGTCTCAGCCATTTGGAATCATCACAAGTTGATCAAGTACAGATGGATTTGCAGGAAATTAATTCACCAAATGAAGAGACGTCGTCTAGGGAAGAAGGTAAGATAACATTTTAATTTTCTTTTATGAAAAGTCAAGAACTTGGAAAATTAATTTCTAATAGTTCAAATAGAAATTGAAAACTTTCATTCTATGTTAGTTGATTTCGCAAAATCCGTTAATATTTCTGCTGTTGCTGTTGCTGTTCAACAAGAAGTTTAAGAAGAAGATAATAGTGAGGAGTGAACAAATGAAAACGAAAGGGAAGACATAATAATAAATTCGTTGAAAGCGCAGCCATCGTGCCAACAACAACAAAGCATATTTCATGCTTATTTTTATATAAATATATTCATATAAATATAGCAAAAAAGTCCTGTTATACTCTTGGATATTCATGAATTTCGGGAGAGGTATCAGCCAAAAATATAAAGAAGAATATGAATAAGAAGAAAGATTGAATTGGATTTCTTTCAAATCAACATTTTTATGGCTTTTTTTCCTTCTTTATTCGTTGATCCTTTTCATGTGTGGGATAATTTTTTAAGAATGTTGTTTATGAATTATAATTAACAGTTTCCTTAGCTTATTTTTTTGTTGCGCTTAATTTAAATGACTCGTCAAATTCCTGATTTTACGTAACGATGCGTGTCCAATTAAAAATCTAAAATAACTTTTGCATACATAAACTTTGAATCGACAAAGGAACCCTTTTGAATGTTCTTAAGTTGACATTACTTTTTAAGCTTTAAAATGGTTGCAAAGGCAAAAATAATAATAAAAGAAAGATTTCCCACAAAGTACTCGTAAATTAAACAATCTTTGTAATGCATAAAGGTATGAAAAAGTTCGATTTCTCTTTTTATGTCCCTTATGGTTGCAAACGAAAGCTGTTACTCAATCCAAAACAAGAATTACCTTCGATGTTCATTTCCTCGCTGTAGACCGTCTCTGAAGATATAAAAATCACGACGCTTGCACACATGCATTAACTTTGAGAAAGATTCAGAAGATAACCAACAATTCTGTTGAAAAATGAAATGAAAAGGGCAAAAATTTTACGTAACATCGACAGAGAAAACTGAATGTTGTTTCATAAGTTATTTGTTTCCTTTTTTCCATTCTCAAAAAAGAATCGTGTAGAAAGCAACAAATTTAGCGAATACTTATAGCTCAAATTGATTGTTGGTGTAGTTGAAATACTTCCATTACAGATTGAGCTGAAAAGAAAACATTTTGATTTGCAATTCTATGTATAAATTGAATTAAGAATTGGGTCAGTAGAAAGGGTTGGTTGCATTTTCTCTTTATCACCATAGCGATGACCTAAATTATTTCCTATTTTTAGGACATGAAAATTGTTGCATATTTTATATAAAAAATGAATCTGAAAATGTCATTATTTAAATGAATTTCATTTCAACAATGAATGAAATCGAAAAAATATTTTTTAAATCTTTTCATTTATTTTTCGGTTAGTTAGGATTAAAAGTTTAAGTTTTGAGATTATCGAATGTTATAATAGATGGAGACAAATGATAAGTTAGTCTCTGATTTCAAAGGAAAATCCATAAACAGCATTAGAGAAAAAAATCTCGTTGACATTGACATACAAAGCATGACCATGGCAGACTTATTTAGGCGCAACGCTAAACAACTAAATACGCTTCGTGCCTACAGCTTTTTTTCTCTAGCATTGCTGTTGCCATTTTGAAATGCCGGCTTAAACTGCAAACAATTATATTGAGATTTTGAAGAAGATAAACTGGAAGGAGAAAGGGGCCTTTACAACCACAAAGCTACTCTACGGTTATTTGTTAAATAATATGGAGCTTTCGTTTTCGAAGACTTAAAAACTAGATGATTTGACTTTGCTAACCTACTGACAATGGCCTCAATTCAGTAATAGATTTTTTTCCTCTCAATTCTACACACTAAAGGAAGTTTACGCAACTATTTTTCTTTAAAAGTATGGAAAATTTATGAAGATGTAAAGCAAAGGTCAAATATTTAAGTTACTATTTAGTGATAATCTTAGAGAATGTGCATTTACTGCAAGATTTCATTTAGATATTTGTTGTTTACTTAATCTTTCTGCTGGAGTTGGAAAAGATTGTGAAAGCTTAGCAACGAAAAAGGAATTGAGAACATCACTTGCTCCCTCGAGCTCGAGTAAGCAAGAGAAAAAAATTTCTAAGTATGTTAGTGGGCCAAGGACATTTTCGTTAGCGTTTCAAACGTTTTCATTCGAGCTTTTGTTCTCATGAATTATAAATACTTTGATAAATACCAAAGACAACGCATCAATTTCTTTTCTGCTGGAACAATTAAAAATAGTTTCAGAATAATTTCAAACGAGCAATTGCAGCGAATGGAAAATTTAATGTTTTGAATTTCTTTTCCAAAATATTTTTATAAACTTGAATTTTTTTGCTAACGTCTACATCAACAAAGAAAAAGTTAAAAGACAACATTAAATCGCAGAAATGGCACAATCAATAAATTGCTGACATGAAAAGTAAAATTTCCTATTTGTGACTGCAATTTTTTTTAGCACGTGCATTGAGAGCCGTGAAAGTTGGTAACTTAATGTTTCAACATAAAAAGCAGGAATAATTTCTTTTGTTATAAAAAAAAGACAAACAAAAATTGGAGGTTTCAGGTAAAACAAAATGTTTGTCAGAAATGTGTCGAAACAATATTTACTTAGTAATTCCTTTAATTTCCCTAAGCACAAATTAACAAAGTCAAACTTCTAAGAAAAACTAATAAAATTTAGAGCAAATAAATGTGTAAACAAATTTGTTTTCTAAGTTTATGATCTGAAGATTTTAGAAGAGTGAATTTCTTATTTTGCTCATTTATGACTTGTTTGCTTTTTGCATTTCACTACCTAAACTCGAAACAATCATTTCCATATTTGGCCGATGTTTTGTCTTAATTATAAATTTCTACTCTAATCATTGAAGTTAGTTTCATTAAAAAAAACTTCAAGAGAGTTGAAAATTTAACACAAACATTAAATTTCATCTGGCCATGGAGCCATTAACAAGGAGCAAAAACTTTAAGTTATTCATTATTAAAAATGTTTGATCTAAACGTGTTGATGAAAATTTAAACGATTTTTTAAGTGGCAAAAAAAACCAAAAACAAAATATTTCCTTGACACAGTTACATTCAAAATTCACGCAGTATTGCGCAACATCACCTGTATGTATACCTACAGAGAATCGCAATGAACACAGACTAAAATTCAACTTGAATTTTCTAAAACAATTAAATTGATAAATTAAGCTTAAATAACACAAAGCGCATTATTAAAATATTTTGTAGTAATCGAAATGAAAATGAGAGTGGTCATGGCTAATGGCTGTAAAACTACTTCATCGAATACTTTCCGTCTTGCAATCTGCATTGATATTCTCAAAACTTTCTTTTTTTTCATGAACATTGGTCTGAAGTTATGCTTTGAGGCTCTGTCTGGCTTTTTTTTTTCCTTCCTTTGATTCATTTACAAGATATAAACTGGCGAAATTTATTAATTTTTTATTTGTACTGGTTTTGTGCAGGGAAGACCATTCATATCATGTAATAATTTTTATATAAATGTTGTGCAATAGCACAACAGAATCTGAAGTTTAGCAGCGCGTGTAAACCTTAAAATAATGAATTTTCAAAGTCAGGGTACATCTTATTACTTCGCTATAGACTCACAGCAACTACAAAAACGAAGAAAAAAAAGCTTTTCTATCGTCAGCACAGATTTGATGTTGTGTGCGACCCACTTTTTGTAATAGCTGTAAATGCCTAGTGAACTTGGCCGAAATAGATGAAAATGTTTTTTTTTTCTCGAGTTGCGCAATTGCAAAGCTAGACGTGAGAGAAAGAGTGAGAGTGAAACACAACATCATGATCATAAATATTTTGATTAACATTTGCGTTAATGTTGCATGAGAACAACTTGTTATTATTAATGAATTAAATATTAATAATAAATTGTGTCGCCCTATTGTCCTAAATTTGGAATGTTTACTGTTTCTATTTGGGTTAAGAGTCCTTCTTTTATTACTACCAAGCTAACGATTAGTTTTTTTCGTTTTTGATGTTTTTTTGAAGAAAAAGCAACTAACCTAATGCTTTTGCAAACCATACAATTTGAATATTGGATCAAGGTAAAGAAACCATTAAAAACCTTGTCTTTTTTAAAACATCAAAACAACAAAGCGGTGTGTTTGTTGATGCTTACTTTTCAAAACCAAAATTGGTTAGTTATTTTTTGTTTACTCAAAATTTTGATGATTTGGATATAAAGTTCTTTATGCGTTGCGAAAAGATGACATTGCTTTATAGCTGATCGGAATTCATTAGTGCACCCACGATAAATTTATTGCAGCTTCGTATATTTTCAAGAGCAAAGCTAAATCGGCTTTACAAATAGAATCACACATTTGCAAAAATAAAACAAGATAGCATTGACCTGAAAGTGAGTGCACTTGAGCTAATTCTTTGTTTGTTTTCATTTTTCGCTGATTGAAAATATAATTAAAACTATTCGATAATTCATTTGCACGTACTATTTATAAGTATTATGATATAATGCGACTTATTTTTATATATAATTGAATGCTTATATAGAAAAAAATTTCGAATTCAAACCTTCTTTGAATCCTTTTGTAACGCTGCAATAAAAAAATAAAACGATACCGTTGGATGTTTGCCCAAATAAAATTTAATGGTTTTAAGAACTAAAATTTCCTAAGTTGTCAGAAAAAGTATGAACTAGAAAACATTTCAACAAAAAATAGATATAGGAATCTTTTTTTGGGAAAGTGAAGATAAGTTCCAAGTAGATGAAAGAAAGTTAAATTTTTTGTTGCAAGACATTCTGAAAAGTTGAAATTTATTTTGTGCACTCATGTTTTGAATGATTAACAAAATAGATTTCAATTATTGTTAAAACTATAAAATTTTATTTATTGCAGCTAGTTAAGATGTTTTCAATATGTTCACAACTGACTTTGAAGTTATGAACATCCTTTTATGATAGGAGTAATAAAACAAGTTTAGGGTACAATTTTTTAGGGTTCAAGCTTGTAAAAATTGTTGGAAAATAAATACTTATGATCTTTGAAAATATTTGAATCGCTTTAAAAGTAGCAGAAAATACCTGATGTCATAAATGTTCCTCTAAGTTATTGTGCCTATTTCAATTTTTTTTAAAAAAATTATTAGCATAAATACATTTAACATGTACAAGTCATCCATACAGTAATACATATCTATACACTCATATCAGTTCTCCGGTACAACCTACATACATTGCATGTTCGCTGTTGTTCATACTCAATGCCAGTCGATCCGCGTAGACTTTTTTTTTCGAAGCAAGCACAATGAAGAAAGAAATGGAAGAAAAATGATGATAATGTAAACAAGAAGAAGAAACGTTACACAGACTCTAGTTACTTTCGTTTATTAAAAAGTTAACATTACATAACAGAAGTAAAGAGAAATAATGCTTTAACATATTTTCCCTTTTGTTTATCGTAAAAATATCGCGATGGATAGCGTATGAACAGCATTGAATCAGAAACAAAAGGCGACCAAATATTAAACGTGGTTTGTGGAATACAAAAAGTGAAACTTTTTCGTCAACTTGAATGTTATTTAATTTAGTTAATTTGCTTTTGTTCGATGACGTATTTGTCTGTGCAAAGTTATCGACCGAAACGTTGAAGACTTTAAACTTTTTTAATGCAGAGTCTACGTATGAGTTCACATCTGCACTTTAGTAATAATGGATTTTTATTGTGATTTGACTGCGAAGCTTATATTTTCTTTTTTCTCTTAACCATGCTAAAAAGGAGGCATAAAAAATGGAATTTATCTTTACAATTGTATCTGACGGTGCAGTGACTTTGTTACTACATATAAGTAAATACAATTTTTTTAATAAACTCCACGAAATCGTTGCATATCAAATTATGAGATAAGAAATTAAAAATTACGTTTACACGGTGACGAGCCTTAATATTTCTTGTTAGACAATGTCTTTCTATAATAGATTTTAACTTAATAGAATTAATAGTTAAAGACAGATAAATAACAATATATAATTTTGAGAAAAGTAGGTTACTGGGACGGTTTGCTAAGCGGCCACAGCAAGTACTCCTCACATTTCTCATATTTTCTTTAGTTTTTTTTTTGTGAAACATTGTGTAATGATACGAGCGGTTTTTTTTTCAATTCTCACTATCGTGGATGCTTTTTTTCTTTACTTTGATAATGTCATACCATCATGAATTACGAATATATAAAAATAATACTTTGTCATTTTTTTGTTCGTACTTTGATGAGTCTTGTGCAAATAGTGTAAACTTGGTTAATAGACAAATCTGTATGAGTGCGAGGAATAAATGAAAAGCGAGAGAGAGAGAAAGAGAAGGTTTCGCATCTAGAGATCGTGCTTTTCGGTGGATAATGAAGCAACTTGTCGACTTTCAATTTCATTTCTTATTTAAATTTATGATTACATTGTCTTTCATCTTTTTATCTGTCATTCTAGACCCCAAATTGATGTCAAAAATAAATGTGAATAAGACTTGTTAGCGCAGTCATTTTGAACTGCACTAATAATTTGTTAATTGAGTCTTCATAGCAGACGAACACATGGTTTCGCTGTTCATCGCCTTCATTTGCTCTTCCCAACACAATCATATTTACATTCCTCTCTCGTTTTTTCGCGCGTTTGCTCTGCTCGCAGGCGAATATTACTGATTTTTTTTCTTCTGCGGCATGGCAAATGTATACATCGCGTATAGGCCTCTTGAAAGAAAAAAAAATAAATAAAATAAAAATACACGAAAGTAGGTCGCCGCCACACTTTCACTTATTTTACAAACACACCAACAGTATGATCGCAAACACCATACCCAAAAATAATCTCTTGCACAAGTCAAACTCTTTAAGTCGAAATATTTTAACCGAATACGAGTCATGTAGATTCAAAAAAAAGGCATTAATTTCTATTTTGTAATTGTGTTTTCGAATTTTGCTGTGCTGCTCGTTTCATGTATTTCGTTAAGTTTTAATTTTCGCTTTCAAGTTTTATATTTTTTATTTTTTCTTCATTTTCACACAACTATATGTTGTCGGTTTTATTGACTCGAAATGTAAATGCCATTTTTTCCGTCTTTAACTTAAACGAAATTGAAAGTGATGACTCGTTTGAAACTTTATTGGGAAACGTCTAGGAGTTTCCCGATTATGAAGAGAGGCATTCTGTTGTGTTCCCATATGTTTTTCACATGACTAGTTCCCATTTTTGAATGTGGGAATGTAGGGAAGTTTCTTATTCCGCTTATGTAAAACGCAAAGGAGAATCCATAACGACACAAATACATTATCAATAAGAAAGGATAAATTCATGTTGGATATGAAATTATATGTTCTCTCTTTTTATGCTCTTCCTTTTTCTTGAGAAGAAGCTTTTCAGAAAAGCTCTTGTTCCTGCCTCAATACGGATAGTTTTTCCCATGTTGCGATTGAAAAATTTAACGCGGTGTATTCATATTTCTTTTCTTTACGAAATTCAGCATATTTTATAACATGTTTCACTCTCTCGTGCATTTTCGTTTTTTGTTTTTTTTGGCATCGAACAACAGAAAAATAAAACACACAGAACCTTTGTATTGAAGCATAGAGAAAAAGGAGAAGCAAATATAGGTTAGTAATGATTTTTTCAGTAAGCCATTCAATTTCTCAGCTTGTGTTTCTCTCACCCTTCTCAAAAACTCTCCTGAGAGTGTCTTACACGAGTGTATATATGATTTTTATTTTACTACACCCGATTACAGAAAAATAAGTTTTAAAGTTAAATAGTTTTCTTCATTCTCTCTCAGCTTTATTATTTTCCATTATTATTCATTTTTTGTTGTTGCTGCTGGTTGTTATTTTCATTTCGGGGTACAGACATAAAATTGTGTGTATATTGTACACGAGTGAATTGGATTTTTTTTTTCGAAAAAATATTTTTCGAGTTTTCATTCAGTTTTCAAATTTTGTCAGTGAATGCCGCATTTCATTCGGTCTCGCGTAAAATTTTCAGTTTTTATTATTTCGCATGTAACTGAGCTATCAGACGGTTAAAGCGGCTACAACAAAATAAAAAAAAATATTTAAAGCATCGAAATAAAGCTTTCGTTCGGGAAAATAAATAAATTCTTTTTGAATTCTAGAATCACATTGAATATAAAGGAGAAAAATTGTGCTGGAAAAATGCGAAATAAATGAGGAATAGAAATAAAGAAATATCTGTGCCGGATTATATAAGAAATAGAAACGATAATGAAAAGTGAATTCTAAAATTTAATTAATGAGTTAAAGGAAAACAGAATCGAAAAAGGAAATTTATTGTGAATTATTTGAAACAAAAGTTTCGAGGGATGAAATCTTGAAATCTTGCACAAATGAATTGAAATTACAAAAGTAAATACAAAAGTCTTTTATTTGTGCGTGAAATGTGATGAAACTTAAAAAGAAAACAACTGCTAGTTTACAAATGTTGAGTAACTACAATCGTTCTCGTATCTAGTTGTGAAATAATTATTCAAGTTCTATGTATACACTATATACTGAAAAAAATGTTTTTTACTGGAAGAAAAAGAAGAAAATCTTATTCACAACAAATTATTAAAATCAAAACAGGATTTTGAAAGTGTTTAGTTGTGGTTGTTAAAAAGGAGTAAACAAATAATTTATTATCCTTTATATTTAGACAAAAAAAAAGAACAAACATAATTGGGACAAGAAAGAATGTTGTTGGATTATTTACTAATAAAGTAAAGTGAATCAAGGATAATAAGAAAAATCGATAATTCACCTGATGTGATTCAGATTTATTAGTTAAAGCATAAAACTGCAAAAGAGTTCTATAATCTATTAAATCTTTTAACTACTAAACGGCAGCTTAAAGTGTGTACATAGATCTGCTGTTGTGTTGTATTTAAAAAAAAAGAATTATTGAATATTACAAGAAATTTAAAAGAATTTAACAAACTATCTTTATCCGTCCTTTCATTGAGTTTTTTCCAATAATTGTCATCATCAAATATAAATTGAGAGACTATTAAATCATATTTATCAATCGTGTGAAACAAGAAATGTTATTAGACATGGAGCAACATTCGGCAGCGTTATTGTCGTTAAGTATTTCACCTTTTGCTCTATTAAATGAAGCTACTGGTCATGGTAGTCAAACATCGATTGGACACTTAAATAATAATAATAATAGTAATAATAATAACTCGTCGAATAACAATAATAGTACCGCGAACAACAACAATGGTTCAAGCTTGCAAGTGCCTCCGCAATATTCTTACAATCCAAGCGGTGCCACCAATTTAGCACAACATTTAGCAAACAACAATAATAATACGTCAACGATTAATAATAATACCAACAATAATAACAACACTTCGGCTTCCTTGCCGCCTTCTTCTCAAACTTCTTCAACAAATTCAAATCAACAGCATCAGCACCAACAGCATAACTCTGGAAATCAACAGCAATCGTCGAACAATTATTATATGTACAATTTTGACTCCCAATATATGTTTTCAACAGGTTATCATGCTGATAATACCTCAAGCAATCAACAAAATTATATCTCCCTTCTTCCCACGGTTGGTAATGGGATTGCATCTTGTGATCAAACTGATCTGCGTGATTTGATTGAAGAGATGTGTCCAGTATGTGGGGATAAGGTGTCTGGATATCATTACGGTTTGCTTACTTGCGAATCATGCAAAGGATTTTTCAAGCGTACTGTACAAAACAAGAAGGTATATACGTGTGTCGCTGAGAGAAGCTGTCATATTGACAAGACTCAACGAAAACGTTGTCCATATTGCCGTTTCCAAAAATGCCTGGAAGTAGGAATGAAACTAGAGGGTGAGTTTTCATTTATACTGTTTATTTTCCTTAATCTCAAACTTGTTTTTCATTCAAATCACGTGACATAAATTTTTTTTCTTGAGCAAGTGCATATAGAAAAAGAAATAATCTTAATATGAACAACATTTTGTAGTTCAGAGACACACCGATGCATACTTATGAAAATGTGTGTAAATTTTATATTTTTCTGAACTATTCAAATATCTAGTCGAGTAATTTGTTTCGCAAATGCAAAGTTAAAAATATCTTTAGTTGCATGAGTTATAAGTTATAAGTTGACCTTAGCATAGTTTAAGTAAGGAAAAATCCTAGAATGATTTTCCTATAATTCTTTGAGATGGTACGAGTAATTAACGTTTATTAGGATGCATTAAGAACCATTCGAAATGAAAGTTAAAGAATTTTTCTCCTTCCATTCTTTTTGAGTTTCTCTTTTCATTCTTCTGTTCCTTTTTTTTTTTGTTTATTGACCCACTTACTTTAATATTGTTCTGTTTCGTTAATTTTATGTCTTACTTTTACCAAGACTTTTCGTGGTTTCCTTTAAAATTCAATATTACCAACGTAAAAGTCATTCATGTTGTGATGAAATCTTCAAGCTTGTTTCATGTCGAATCTAAGAATTTATCTGAAGCTTTGCAAGTAGTTATTAAAAGTTTATTTTAGATAGTCTTTATTAATTTTAAAACTTTGTTTAATGGAATGTAAAATATTAAAATTTGATTTGATTTAATTAAATAGACGAAAGCAATTATGATAAAAAAATTGAGGTCTATCCAAGTAAGGGCATTAATGATATTCAATAAATAATTGTTCTGATTATCGATTAAGTTCGCTTATTTTTACCGCCCGAATTTTTATACTCTTGAGTTGAATCTACATGAGCGGTATTTTGTAACAATAATTTAGTATTGAGACACTAAAAGCCAAGTTAAACCATAAAGAAAAAGAAAAAGAAAAAATGTTGCAACAGCTAAAGCTACAAAGAAGGAAAACGGCCACGGAGTGTATATTTATCTCACTTCTTCCTTCCGTTGAGTTCCAAGAGCGATGGTTATACGTATAGTTGTCTCATTTGATTGACCTACTTTACAAGCATTATTTTCATTTTTCATTTCATCGTGACTGTACGTGCTGGGTCTAGATGTAGATGTATGAAGAAATATTATATCACACTTAAGCTTTGCTGTAAACTTTTTACAAGATATTCATCATGCATCATAGAGTTCTTCATTCAGGATGATTGATAAGACGTAACTAACAATAATCATTAAAAGTTCTATGCTTTTGTTGCATGTTTCGACTTTATATTCATTCCAAAATTTAACAAGCTCTCAAGCCAATTCAAAGTACATTAATGAAGCAGAATCCAATGGAGATGACACATTACACAAGTGGAAAGATATTACAACATACAATTTTTTTTTATTTTTTGGCAACTCGCAAACAATGAATAAAAAAAAAAGCTCACACTCCGATTAAAATGAAAATAATTTATGCGCATAAATTTAGGATGATATAGCAACAATGACATTTTACCATTGTTCCAAAATGGATAAAGATTAACGAACGCATTTTATTTTTCTCTTTCAATTCTGCGAATTGCGATTTTAAACTACGATGGTTGTCGCTTCGGTCCCATATTTTGTCCTCAAAAATAAATCCATTTAGAAACTTGAATAGTGCATAAATTCATTTATGTGTAAATAAACCTTAACAAGTATTACGATTTACACTGAGAGCAGAGAGCACACATGAACAAAAGTAATTAATTTCATTTAAAATTTAAACGAGTAAAAAATCTGTTGACCTAGTTTTCAGTTTCATTTCGCATTCTCGTTTAACCTCATATGATATTTTTTCTTCTATTTTGTGGAACTGATTTAAGAACGTTGTCGTAAATCCTTATGAAGTTTCTTTTCCCCAAAAGTTGTTGATGAACTTTTCGAGAAAAAGAAATAAATAAATAAACTCAATTCATTGAAAGGTTTCAATCATGATAGAAAAAGCGAGACACGTTCGAAACTTTTGGGTGTCGCAAAATCTTTCTTGTTCGTTTTCTACTCTGGTGTATATTTCCAACCGAAAAAAAAGCTTTGTGCTTCGTCGTTTTTATGGCCTACGTATTATGTTTTTGTGTCAAGGATCTTTTTTTCAAGTAATTTTCATTAATTAATGATGATTGTGTTTGTGAGACATCGTGGCATATTTTTTTTATAAACTTTACGCCGATTTTCATTTTCATTAATGCTGCGATTAATTCTATGTTGTTGCGTTTTTTTTTGTCTTCTCAAATCAATTTTTCATTTTCATTACGTATAAAATGTTTGTAAATTGACGAAAATGAAAAAAAAAAGCTTTTAATATTCTCAATGTCTCTTTTTTCATTCGAATAAACGAGATTCGCCCAAAGCAAGCGTGACTCTCCATAGTGTGAGTGTTTGTAGCAAGTTTCACTTTTCATCTAATGCGCAACTCGTTTTCGTGATCATGATCTTTCTTAACAATATCTATTAACAAGTCTTGGTTGTGTCCGATGGTACATTGATCATAAATGAAAAATGTAGACACGTAATGTCATTCGATGATTTCTAAAAACGATTTTGACACTTGTATTAATATTAATTTACAAATTAATCCATATAAGGTTCACCACAAAAGATGTTTTATGCACAAAATCTACGTTAACATGTAAAAGTAAAAGCACTTTCAATTTCATTGAAGAGATCTTTACGGTATTGCATAATGTAAAGCTTTGCAGACAAGTCAGAAACTATTTCATTGTCATAGAAACTAGTTAAGCAAGTAATCTTACACTAATATCAATGAAAGACGAAGAAAAGACGAAAGAAGGAGAAAGAAGAAATGAGAAAGAATTCAAAAGCGAAACGCTGTAAATAAATGTTTACTCTTGAATTTTTATATGTTTTACTTTTTTTCAAATTTCAAGCTTTTACATGTGTTGAACGAAAGTCATGTAGCATAACTATTTTATAATATTATTGTAATTGTAAAAGAGTTGTGAAATAATAGTGAAGTTATATTTTTTTTCTTTTAGACCCTGACCTCCATCAACTTTTTTTTCCTACATGTTTTGCAAATGTTGTAAAGAAAGCAATAATTGCGAAGAGTTGTTGTCAATTTTCATTGAAAACTTAACATTGAGCTTTTAATGCATTTTCAATCTTTTCTTCATTTTATTGGATTTGAAGATGTTTTCAAAGTTAACAGAAAAAAATTGTTCACGATTTAATTGATTATTGTTTTATTTTCAATGTTTTTATTTAAATTCTATCATTAAAAATAATCTTGCTGCTTAGAGAAACAAAATCTAGTTAAAATGTCCCTAATTTCGTTAAAATATTTTAACATAAAGTTACGATTGTCAAGAACAGAAGAGAAAACAGTTGCAAAATTCATCAACATATGACGAAAGTGAAAACTTGTTCCATGATCTTTTTTTTCGATTGGACCTCGAAGCTACTTTCGTTTTCACTTTAATGCCTTTTCGGGTCTTAGTTCTTTCAAATAACGAACCTTTTGGTTCCAAGAAGTCGCAAAAAACATTGAAGATATTAAAAAATTCATTTGAGTTTCTTTTTTTTGTAGATATTTTGAAATCGTAGCCAAAATATTGGTTGCCAAACATGCTTTTAAAATCGGAGCTTCATTAGACTAAAAGTTTTTGAGTAGCATCCAAATGTTCGTTTCAACTAATGTTGTTGATGTTTTTCTTAAAAATCCATTCGAAGAAAAAGAATTGAATTTGCTGAAAGAAAAAAAATTATGTCACATTTATAACATTAATTAATTAATTTATTTATTTACTGACATGAATATTTTAATCAATTCCGTTAGCTGTAAGAGCAGATAGAATGCGTGGTGGAAGAAACAAATTTGGACCAATGTACAAACGTGATAGAGCTCGAAAACTTCAGATTTTACGACAACGACAACTCGCTTTGCAAGCTATACGTGGATCAATAGGAGGTGGAAGTTCCAGTTCAGGAACGGCAGCTGAAGGTGCTCAATCGCAACTGTCACCAACAGGATACCCACCATACACCAGCATGCACATTAAACAGGAAATTCAAATACCACAGGTAAGTATCATGGCGAGAAAAAGGATGATGAAATTTCATTAATCGTCGTTGAAGGTTTCATCACTTACGTCTTCACCTGACTCTTCACCAAGTCCCCTACTAGGACAAATTAATACAAATCACAATCAAACACCGAATGTGACAGTACCTGGAAACAATGGAGCAACGTATTCTTCCACAACAACCAACAACACTAATATTCAAAACACAATAACTGATTCAAAGTTATGGATCGCTAATTCAACAACTGCATCACCACATTCACTTAGTCCGAAAACATTTAGCTTTGACAGTGGAGCTAACCCGTCAAGTACTGCCGATGGTGGCAATAATGCTTCAGAAACTTTAAGGTTTGTAGTTGATAATGTTCTATAATACTTGACATAATTTTTCTAATCACTCAACAGAGTCTCCCCAATGATTCGCGAATTCGTTCAAACTGTTGACGATCGTGAGTGGCAATCATCGTTGTTTTCACTACTGCAAAGTCAAACGTACAATCAATGTGAAGTTGATCTTTTCGAATTAATGTGCAAAGTATTGGATCAGAATTTGTTTTCACAAGTGGATTGGGCTAGAAACACAATATTCTTTAAGGACTTGAAGGTAAGAAGAGTTTTTGAAATTGCTTCATAAAGCTTCGAAAGTATTCGAAACTATAAAATCAAAAATCACACTTGTTCGTTAATTGCTCGTATTCAGTGTTAAATTGCTTAAAAGCTTGACATATTCCACATGTTGCATCACTCTCATTGAGTAAAATGATTGAATTCATTAAAATACAGCTCAAATCTGACCTATCCCAAAGCATTTCCATAGTGACTCATTCAGACAAAACAACATCAAACGCACACTAATAAAAGGAAAAATATTCCAACAAGCTCGTGGAACACAAACACACAACCCAAAAAATATAAAAAAAACGTCATTTCATTTTCGTTTGAAGAGATACGAAACAAATGATTGACCTACTTGTCAAGTTGAGCTGAACTGAGTGAATTAAAAACATCAGTAGAAGGCGATTTATTAAAGAAAAACCTTTGAATTGCTGATACTTGTAAGATTGTTGTTATTCCCTGATCAAAGAAACTAAATCTAATACATTTTATTATAATAATAAACTTTTTACGCTTAAAGAAATCAATTAAAGAAACAAAAAATATTTTCAAACTTGAAATCCGTAAAAAAACATTTCGCAATGTTTGATGCTTGTGGTGGAAATGAACTAAAATGAATGCAGTGAATAAAGTAGCCATCTGCATTTACTTTCATTTGCTTAACGTAAAAGGATAAACTTTATTCTGAAAATCGATATGCAGCCGCATGTATTAATGTCGAGTATGATATTTTGTCGAAATATATTCGTTCTCATTCTCTTGCGAAATGTACAAAGAGAAAAAAAAAGAAAACTCAATGGTGGGAAAATCTGTGCCAAGGTCAGTTGCGCTTCCGAACTGGTATGAGTGGAAATTCTATCGAGTTTTCTTCACCATAGGTGCTTAGTTAGTTGAGAATAATATAAACTTTTATTGATTTATATAGAAATGAGAAATTATGCAAGATAAGAAGGAAAATCTCGTTTAAATTTTTTAAATTGAATAAAGTTCTTAACCTTAATTGGTTTTTATTAGAATTTTAGTGAAATTAACGAAACTTTTTTAAACATTTTTGTATGATGAACGCTCGTGTGTTCTTTATTTTGGAAGAAAAACATTTTTTCCTTACTGACATGGTTTATATTTTCTCTCATAATCCATCTATGCAAACAAGTAAAAACAAAATCAACGAGCAATTCACATTCTTTCCGTCTGTCGATATGGCGGATGATCTGACCTGAGAACCCAATTCTGATGAAAAACATCAAAAAATATTTGGAATATTAAAATGTTTGTGGAAGGACTTTACCGATTTCCACCACGACATGACAAAAACAAACTTTTTCGATCCATTTATTCATGGTTTATTGAATATTTATCAGATACGATATGGCATTTTAAATTTTCCTTTTCACTCGTTCGATATCATGAATGATCAATATTTTAATGTCTTTATAAATTCACATCGAGATGATTTTCAAACTCAGTTAGAATGAAAGAATTTTGGTCGAACTGTCGAGTTAAATTTCATAGAATTCTCGATTCATCCTTTCATTTTCCAAAAAAAGAAAGAACGTTCTCAGTGTTATACCAAAATAAAATCACTTTTCTTAATTTTTCACCAGTGCTTTCTTTTTTTAAATGTCTATTTTTATAAAGAATTTAAGTGCATTCATCGTTGAGAAAAGAAGATTGAAAGTAATTTTGTAATAAAAGTAAGAAAATAAAAAAGAAAACTTTTGAACTCTTTCATGTTACTCCACTTCAATCTTTAACTTTAATTCAATCTATGCGTTTTTTGATATTTCCTAATGAAGCGTGTAACATTTCATCTGTTTCTTAGGTTGATGATCAAATGAAACTTTTACAAAATTCATGGTCAGATATGCTCGTGCTGGATCACATTCATCAACGTTTACATAATCAACTGCCCGATGAAACAACGTTGCACAATGGTCAAAAGTTTGATTTGTTGGGCTTAGGATTGCTAGGCGTACCCTCGTTAGCTGAACATTTTAATGAGTTGCAGAATAAGCTCCAAGAGCTGAAATTCGATGTTGGCGATTACATTTGTATGAAATTTTTATTATTACTTAATCCAGGTAATAAAAACGTCAGTGAAGGTGGGATATTATTTTTTATCTAAACTTAAACCTTTCAAACATTATTTCTAATTCTTAAAATTTCTTTCTTACATATTTAATTCTTTTAAACATAAAAATGATTGTTTTCGATAGAAGTGAGGGGCATTACCAACCGAAAAACGGTTATCGAAGGCTATGAAAATGTTCAAGCAGCATTATTGGATTATACATTGACTTGCTATCCTTCTGTTACGGTACGATAAAGTTATTCAATATTTAACACATTAATTTATTTATGTCTTTATTGCTTCTTTCTTATGTCACAATAGGATAAGTTCAGCAAGCTTCTCAGTATTATTCCTGAAATCCACGCAATTGCTGTACGTGGTGAAGAGCATCTTTACATGAAACATTGTGCTGGAAGTGCACCATCGCAGACGTTACTTATGGAAATGCTTCATGCAAAAAGAAAATAATAATTTAATTACAATAGTTCACAAAAAAAAGAATGAAAGAAAGAATCACAGACACACACATAGACACATCCAAAAACAAATAATGGTTTCGACAGCTCCGATAGAGAAAAAGCAGAATAGCAATTTAAAAAATTATTAACCACTCTTAAAAGTTTTTGGAATTGGATGTTGATATTTTAAGCACAGGTAGATTATCCTTCTCCTGAACAACATGAAAACTTGTATCGATATTTTCTTCTTTTTTAGGTTGGCTTATCATTGTCAATGTTGTCAACAAAAAAAAATTAAATGCTGATGTTCATCAATAGATCAAAAAAAGAAAAGAAAAAAAATGAAAATTCGAGACATATTAGAGAATAATCAGAACCGTTCTATTTACACGAAACCTAAATATTAATATAGTGACTACCACCATAAGTTAATTTTAATTCAAAGAGTTTAAAAAAGTTGTTTTCAAAATACCTTCGAAATATTAAGAGAATGTGAATGATAACACGAGATACGACGGTAAATGAACGAAAAAGAGTCTTTCCCTCCGAAGGAGCATTCAGAAACCATTTACATAAGATCTCTTATCACTCTAATTGAACTTTTTTTGTATTGATAGGAAGCGAAAGTTAAAAAAAAACTCACTCAAAACAAGGATTACACATTTGTTACCATTTTTTTAAATTCAAACCAGATAATTTAAGAGACATGACGAAAACATTCAACTTTCTTAAGATAATCAATTGACTCGTTAATTTTCATGACTCCATTGAATATTTTTTTTTTAAATTTCAATAAATGAAATTGAATTTCCGGTTTTATAATCATTAAGATTTTAAGTAAAAAAACACCCACACTTGGATTTTAAAAGATCAATGGAAGTCTAAATATGATTCTACGTTAAAATCTCAGTTTTTATTTCTTTAAAATAAACCAAAATAATCTGATTTTAAACATACATGAACAAAAGTAAATTTTCCACAGTGCAATAATGAACAATTTTCCTTCTCCAATTTGTTTTTAAATTCATTTTCCAATATAACAAAACAAAAGTTAAATAATGTTACCGAATATGTCTCTTAGACTTGAAGTTGATATCTATGAATATTGTTTAATATTTGAACCGGTTTTCCGCAGACATTTTAATTGTTATTTAGAGTTACATATATTCATTCGTTCAGAGTGTTGACAGAATCATACGAAAGAAAGAAACATCTTTGTCCAAAGTAAGTTCCGTGAATCGTTTTTTATTTTCAAAGTTTATATTGATTGCACCTGTTACATAAATAAATTCACTTACTTTATAGTTTCCTCTACGATGTTCTCTACAGTTTCATTTCGCCTTATAAAATATGAAAAGATATTTACCAATCGAAAGAAGCGGAATGTTATAAAACGTGTGATAAAGAAAAAAAAGTTTAATATGGTAGTTAATTCTATCAAAATGTCATATGATGGCAAATGGAAAGGCATTTTAATTAATTTGTTCTTTGTTAAATTGTGAAAAAACGATTTGAAAGGATGGAAACAAAGTTTTTTATTTTTCATTAAACAATCTTTCAAAAACTGGACTTGAAGTAGGTACATTGAATAATATCAGAAGAGAAATTATTGAAAAATGTGTAGCTTAGTTTGGTTTTGGGATTCGAAAGGGCATAAATTTTATCAAAACATAAAAAAAGTTCAAAACATTTAATGTTTGAAAATATGTTATTAGTTTTTTTTTTGCGAAAATCGCATATGAAAAATGTATTTGAAACGAAAAGCTGTGACAAAAACATAACTTGTATAAATGAAGAAATAGAAAAAAGAAAACGTTATTTTATTTCTTTTATCCTTTATCTCTTGGAGAAAATCTTCAAGCAGAAATGTATAAAGAAAATCACTAAAGTTTAAATTTGTTGTGCAAGATTAAATGCAATCTCTGCAAAGCTCAAAATCATCTTAAATAATTCAAAACATAAAAACAAAAATATTATACAGAAATGCTTCTAAGAAACGTTAGTGAAACATCACAAAACAGAATCACATCAAAATGAATGTTAATTATTAAGAAAGAATTATGCATAAATACGAGTAAATCTTAATTGAAAACTTTAGTTTTATAAAAACACTCTTCTATTTTCTTTTACAAATGTGTTCAATAACAAATTAAAACAAAATAGCGTATGCATGTTGTATTGCTGGACAAATGTAATGTGGTTATGCCTAGGTTTGATTTTAAAGGCTAAGATATCAAAATATTTTGTCTTGAATTCCTTTGAATTATCATCATGTCATATTTAGATCACCAAACCGTCCCCTATGCTTGCAAAAGAAAAAAAAGTTAAATTTTGCCTTAAAATATATTTTGAACTCTCATGCTTAATTTGTTTGCATGATGAAGTTACATTCCACTTTTGATTCAAATTCAAAAAGATCAAATCTAAATATCTAATACTGTTTCTACTCTTACACTTTTGTCTCTTGAATTTGTTAAGTTTCTTTTATTTTTTGTAAATATCTAAATAGCTCTTCATGATTTCTAGTAACTAGATGTGTATAAAATACGTAAGCTAAAAGAAGAAAGAAACAAATTGTCAACCATTCATGATTGACTTATTATTTGAATTATCTATGACGATAAATATTTTTGGAATGAAAAAGATTTCGTTTGTACCACGTTTAGAATTTCGGAAAATGGCGATGAAAAGTTAATCATTAATTTGTTCTTTTTGGTGGTGGTTAAATATTTGGTTAAAATTTAAAACAAAAAATATCCCATTAAAGAAATTTCTTACAGAAAAAAAAGTTATTTATTTATTTGACTCTTACCACGACACAAACTTTGAGTTGAAATTTAGGTGCTAACACTCTCAATTAAATTGAAAGTTTGAAAAGAAAATTTTACGAAAATAAATTGATATCTACATACATATATGGTTTAGTGAAAAGAAGGAAAAAAAAGAAACAAAACATCCTGAAGGTACCAACCAATTGTTTTCAATAATAATAGATTTAGGCGATAGAGAAATAAAAAAAGGATATAATGGATTTTTCATAGAACTTATGATTTTAGTTGATATGTTGTAAAATTTTTAAGATGTTTAATTTTATTCATTAATAAAACTTTAAAATTGCATAATATTTTTAGTTTTTTTTTTGTTCATTTATTCTCATAGTTTGAAAGAAAAAAAAACTGGAAAGTACAAAATACCGCAGATGCAGAAAAGAAATATTTTAGGTTGCGTAATATTAATCTAAAAGGTTAGATTACTAATTACGTTTTAAAAAGTTAAAGTAATGGGGTTTCCTTTCGAGCGATTACACATGTGATGTTAAATATATTCACTTAAATATTATCTTAAGTATTCACAAAATAAACAATTTAATTAATTCACAAACTTTTTCTGTTGTCACATTTCCAAACCTTACACAAAAGCTTTAATAATTAATATACCAATTCAAGTACGCTTCGTTCTGCAGAACTTAGAGAATCACATTAAATATACAAGATTTAAACAGAGATATTTCTTCACACGACGAATAGTGTTCATCCATATTTTTGTAATTATTACTCACTTATAAAAAATTTAAAAAAAAGAAAATTAAAAGAAACCTTAAGGAGTTTGAACTTTTTAAGGCCGTCAGTTTTCATACAGAGCAAGAATATTTTCAAAAGGTTTCTCACAAACAGTCAATGTTGAAATTCCTTCTGTGTTGAGAAGCATATAATACATTTTGCATAACAAATGCTACAACATCATGTTGCTCCTAATAAATAATATAAAAAATTATATGTTTTAGTAACACTCGAAGTATAAGAATACATTATGAATAATTTTAATTTAATGGATAAATGTGGATAAAAATTATGGAAAAAGAAAGAATATATAAGCAAAGTTTAGATATGAAGTTGAAAACTTCATTCAATGAAGTGATGAAGTGACATTGGAATATTTGTGTAAAATCAATTATATTTGAAATAAAATATATATTTTCGGAAAAAAAATGTAAATGATAAAACTCTTCTTTTTAACTATTTCATATCAGTTTTTAAATATGCTTTCCAAAGTCTCTTCCAGCTGAAAATCTCTTCGACAGTAGAACGAAATGATATCAGTCAGAACCGTACAAATGTTTCAAATATTTTCATCAACTCTCAAAAATTGTTATCGAATTCTCTCAATTCCAGTAATGCTGGTTTTTCTTATACTTTCTTATAGTTTAAACTAAAAAGTTAATTTAAAATAATTTCTTTGTCACGGTATTTTTAGTAATGTTAATAATCAAATATTTACTGTTCAATTTATTGCCAACATTTCCTTTCAAATTTATTTAAATTTAAAACTCTTGATTTCTGCTCAACTTTCCAAGCAGCTTACATTTGATGTGAGCTTGTGAGTGAATATTCTAAGTAGAATGAGTTTAGTTTCTCACAAGATCTTTAACTATTAACACGTGTTTTTATTTTTCTCTTCATCGAGTAAAGCAAATACATTAGTGATTGATACTCATTGATTAACATCTGTCTAGAGCCGCTCTCTTGACACTGACAAATTAAGCTTTTAATCGTCTCTCTTTAACAAGTTACTGATAAGGTAAGTTACAATGCATAAAATGATATCTTCAATTTTAAAATTTATGCTTTCTGAGTTTGTGTGTGTGGTGTTTTGATAAGAAGCATATAGTTGAGTTCTTTACTTATCATTGACAGCTTTCATCACATTCGATTCTTATTTGAAGCTTTTACTTGAGATTCACAATCAGATTATAAATTTATTCTTCGACCTTCTGTTGCAAAAATATTCAGTCATCTAAAGAACGCTGACGTGTTTTATTTTATCTTAATTTGGAGTGAAGCAAAACCGGAAATTGATTTGGTTCTTTTTTTATCGTTTGCAGTTTATATACATTTTTTACACATACGCAGGAGATGAACAATCATTTGCATTATTGCCAGTTAAAATCTAGAATTATTCTATAGTTAAACAAAATCAAAAGAAAAGGACAAGATGTTGGTATTGGCTGCATTAATTTTTATATTTGGTTTAGTCTTATACTATCACATTAAAATGCCATATAAATTTCCTCCAGGTGAGTTTGAAGTTTGAAGGAATTAATTGTTGAAAATCTTATTTTATAAACACTTTAAGGTCCATCATTTAATATTCCAATTATCGGACATTCTCATCTTGTGAGAAAGCTTTCCAAAAAGTACGGTGGACAACATAAAGCATTCGAGAGTCTCTTAGAAAAGTACGGTGGTCCAATTTTGGGTTTAAAGTTAGGCAGAGAATTGGTGATTGTTGCCTTTACTTATGACATTGTCAAAGAGATTCACACAAGAGAAGAGTTTGATGGTCGACCCGATAATTTCTTTCTTAGACTTCGAACAATGGGAACAAGGTGAAGATCGTGATAATTTTTTTTATATAATTATTATAAATATAATTTAATGAATTCAAGACTGGGCATCACATGCACTGATGGAAAATTATGGAACGAGCAAAGAAGCTTCGTGGTAAGACAATTAAGAAATGTTGGCTATGGAAAGTCTAAGATGGAAGATCAAATTCAAAGTGAATTGAAAGAACTCACTCAACTTATTGAAGATTTCGATGGCAAACCTGTTTGGCCGATGAAAGAACTGCTTCCGCCAAGTGTAATTAACATTTTATGGGTCTTCACAACTGGGAAGAGAATTCATCGTAATGATGAAAGACTTTTAAATTTCCTAAATTTACTTCAAAAGAGATCTAAGGCATTTGACATGTCTGGCGGTATTTTAACTTCAATGCCTTACTTGAGATTCTTTGCACCTGAAAAAACTGGCTACAATTTAATTAAAGGTTTGAATGCAGAATTTTACAAATTTTTCATGGAAATCATCGAAGAACATCTTGCAACTTATAGTGAAGAAAAGTCGAATGACGATTTAATTTACGCTTACATCAAAGAGATGAAAGTTCAAAAAGAAAATCCCGACACATCTTTTACACTTCTTCAGTTAGTGATGATAATTCTTGACATTTTCATTGCTGGTTCACAAACCACCAGCACAACAATAGATTTGGCATTGATGGTGACTTTAATGCGACCAGATCTACATGAAAAGTGCGTTAAAGAAATCAACGAAGTTTTGGGAAGGAATGAAACGCCGAGTTATGCTTTACGATCCCAAATGCCGTTTATTGAAGCAATGATACTTGAGGTTCAAAGATTCTTTCATGTCACTCCTTTAACAGGTAAAATTTGAATAGACTGAAAAGAATGAAATTTATTGTTTGAGTTGTTCGTTGTCACTTTTTGCAGGACCTCGTCGTGTTTTAAAAACTTGTGAACTTGGTGGATACAGAATTCCTAAGGATTCAACTGTCCTGATAAGTTTAAGATCTGTTCATATGGATCCAGAATTTTGGAAAGATCCAGAAGTGTTCCGACCTGAGAGATTTCTTGATCAAAACATGATAGTTAAGAATTTAGACAGATTAATTCCTTTCGGAGCTGGAAGACGAAAGTGTCTCGGTGATCAACTTGCAAAAGCATGCATCTTCACATTTTATGTCGGAATTCTACAGAAATTCAATTTAAAATCTGTAGAAAATGAATTTCCTTCATTAGATTTACTACCGGGAATAATTCTCAGTCCTAAGCCTTATAAAGTGATTTTTGAAAAGAAATTTTAAGGAAGTGAATTTAAACTTCCTTGCAAAGGCAATTTATGTTAAATTAGTTTCTTTGATTCAAATTTTCCCTCTTAATTATGCAGGTATTCGCTTCATTATTTCAATTATCTTATAAGTTTAAAGATGAAATTTATTTTATAATCTTTACAAAATAGATCAACATAATCTCCAATTTATGAAAATGAAGTTTTATTCAAATGTTTAACATCAAATTAACACATTTCACATTGTTCTATACCGTTCAATTTAATTAGAGTATGAAATTACGATTACGATGACTTTGATTCTAAAAAAATAACAAATAATAAAGTTAATTTAATTAAATTTATTCAATTAAATAAACAACAGCCACTTCAGCAGCTGATAAAAAAAATTAATGCAACATCAAATAAGTTTAAATTAATAAAACAAAACTTTAATAATGAACGTAAGTTTGTTAGGTACTTCGTGATTCCTTACACCATTTACCACATAAAGTATTAAGTTTGTGATTAATCATCATGAAAAACAATCCTGTTGAGTTTCTAAAAATTAAATGTTGAATTTAATTCTGTCCGAAAACTGTCTGAAGTTAAATAGGCCAAGGAATATTAGAAAAGTCAACTGGAACAATTTCAGCTTTAACGTGTTCTAATAACAGCATTAAAAAACAAAACTTTACCTGGACCACCAAGACCGGCATCAGCTTCTAAGAGACTCATAATAACAGCCATTGCTGCTTCATCGTTTCCATCAGCGGTTGTTGGTTGTTCACTCGACTCACTTGACCCAGCTTAATTATATAAAGAAAAGTTAGTAAATCAAATTTTCGAGTTTTTAAACTTACCATTTTCTAAGCTGACAACAGAACTACTTCGAGCATGATTGTATGTTGTGAAATTTGCATATGTGTCATTCAATTTATGCTTTGAATCGTTTGCTGAGTGGCCACCAACTGAACTTTGATCGATATCGAAGGAAGAATGCAATTGATTTTCAGTGACCATTGATGCACTTTGTACTAGTGTTGGATCGGGATCAGGTGATGAACCTTTTAAATATTTATTATTTGATAAAACTTCTCTTCACTTAAATAAATTTATGTTTCACCTGATGACGCATCTCCGATTCGTCTTTGATAATCCATAACCTGTTCTGCAATTTGACGTCCAATTTTACTCGCTTCAATGTGAGTGTTTATCATTCTTTGCATTTCTCTTCCATTTGCTAAAGGAAAATTTACAGAAAAGATAAATGAAATTACAAAGAAATAAATTTCGACATTTCTTTTAAAAAGTTTGTTCATATCTATCATGTTTGTCTGATAATTAAATTACATTGATTGAAGAAATCGTAGTTATTCTCATTTGATTCATTTCCACGACATTGATCAAAGTTCCTTAATTCGGATAGAATGACATTATTTTTAGCTATCATAAATTCAACATCTTTTGTCCATGGATTCTTAAAAGCTTTCCATTCACTTTGCACATTCAGGAATCCATTATGTTTCGTTCTTAATCCATAGACTGGCGTTGTGACTTTTTCAGTTGATTGTAGTGCGACTTTATGTGAATCAGCGAGTGCCGCAATGTCTTTATGATTGAAATATTCATACATGCTTGTGCCAAGAAGTTCTTGAGGTAGAAAACCTAACATAAGTGTAGCTCGTGGGTCAACGAATAGAAATTTTCCATCCATCGCATGACGAGACGTGAATTGTAAGTTGCGCAAGACAGGATCCGAAATATTGTTATTATTTTTATTTGCGTTACTTCCATACGAAGTATTCGTTGTTGAATTACTGTTGCTTTTCACATTTCCATTACTTTTCGAGTTGTTAGGTTTGTGAAAGCTATTGTTGAAGTCAACTAATCTTCCGACAGCAACCAAACAACTCAGAGATAAGTTGCATTCACCATCAGTGTCAGCTTCTTGTTCTTCCAGACCAATTTTCGCAGTTGCCCATGATTTCAAATAACCAGTGCATTGAATTACACAAAACTTCTTATCTGAAGTTTGTTTCTTGCTGCGACGGGGACAGTTAACGTCTTGTTCTTCTTTGACTTGAACGGCGCTTTTACATTTCATACGACAAAAAAATGAACGTCTAGCTCCAGGAGAAAGACGCGTTGATCTCTCAAGAACGTCGTGCTTTACAGGAAGCATCGCTGTAAATATGAAATTTAATAAATTTTCAATCATTTAAATTGAAGAAAATGTTTACTTTTCGCATCGATTAATCGTTCCCTTGGACTCAAATCTGATGAACTTAACTGTTCCTTAATTTTTGCTACATCTGTCGATAAATATTTATGATAATTTTATCTCCAAGACGCGCAATCAAAAACAAACCTTTGGGATGTAAAATATCAAACCAGCTTTGCCCTAGCAAATCTCCTTGTGAATAATTTAAAACTTCTGAGACCGATTCCGATACGTATAAGATTCTTCCCCGATCACATCCGACAACAAATAAAAAACCTTCAGCAGCTTGTAAAATCAACATTTTCAATTCTTGATCTGATAAGAATGATGGCTTGTAATGACCCTCTGTGTATGAATGTACTGTGCCTCTGATCGTCTTCAAATGTTGAACTGCCATTCGAAGGACTGTTAATTTATCCAATTTTCTAGACATTGCATGACACATTGGAATCATTGACGATAGCTCTGTGATGAAATTATTCATCTTATCACGTCGTCTCTTTTCGATTTCCGAATGATTTGCCCTTTTTGAAAATAAAAAACAAGCCAAAGATATTACAATATTTGTTTTGTTACTTAATTCAAGTTTTTTTCTTACTTTTTGTTCTCATCTGTGGTTCTGACAGATTTTGCGTCATCATCATCAAAATCGCTGACTTCTCTGTTGGAAGTTGACGAATAAAACAAAATAGGCAAGAAATTACAACAATTGTCGTCAAATAAACAAAAGAAAATTATTTTTAATTGTTTTTTACATAACTTTATGTTGAACATTTTGAAATTATGAGTTTAAAAATATTTTAAGGATTCGTTTTGTAACTCAATTAAATTTCTTAAGAATATGTGTTTTGAAAGCTTTTCAGCATCACTTTTAAAGGGTTTCAACAAACTTAGGAACTTTCTTTCTTGTTTCCATTTCAACCCTTTTAAATCACAATTTATTTGTTAACACTTTCACACTTTTATTCATATTTCTGTGTTCATCGACATTTCCATGTTCTAAATAATGTTCCATTAATTTATTAATGAAATCAAACAAGAATGAAAATCGCGCGACGAAACTTTGAAAATGATGGAAATTGTCGCGTGGAGAGACTTGTAAGGATTCTTCGTTAGCATTATAACAACTGAAGGTGATTGTTTTAACATTGAAAATCAATGAAGAACCGTTTTTTACTTACGAATAAGAACATTTTCTCTTTCTAGATCCTTTTTGATATTCTTCATTGTTTTGAACTGTTTCATTGACGTTTGACTTGTTTGAAGTCTCCCTAGATGAATTAGAAGTGATGAAGTTTGAACCAGCCGTCATTTCTGTGCTATTAATGTTGTTACTTTCGGCGCATAAATTAGATATGAACTGTTTACTGTGAAAACATATTTAAACTTTTAAATCTCATCAAACAGCTGTGCATATTTATCAATCTTTACTTTGTTTGTTGAGAGTTTAAATCATAATAAACGTTAAATTCTTCTCCCCCAGCTTCTTGATTTGTTTGAATGGATTGCAAAACATTTTGACTGTTCAAATCTTTCGAATGCTGAGGTTTCAGCTCTTCTAATGTTAAAAATTCACGATCATTGTCTGGATCTGCTAGCAAACGGGAATAAGGAAGATCTTGAAGAGAAAAATTTCGGGCAACCATTTTTTAAATATCCTTTTTTAACTTGACTTCTTTAATCTTATTTTCTTTACAAAAAAACACAGGAAATCCAATCGTTTAATTTTATTTATGTTTTTGAAAGTTTTAACTAAAGTTTTATGCAAGAAATATTTTCACCACCTTCACAAATTTCTCAAAAAATCATAAAATTACCATCGAAGATTTTTTTGCAATTTTATTAAAAATGTTTAATTAAAACTCCTTGAAATCTTGTCAATAGGTAATCACTAGATTTATACACGAATTTTATCTTCTGACTCGAACATTAAAAGTTATATTTTATATTTCCATTGATTTGCAATTTAAAGGAAGATCTTTTCTTCTTTTGTGACGAATAAATACATTGTAAGTCAGTAACGATTCAAAAACAACTGTTTTAAACTCTCGACAAGCAATCTCTTTTATTACTGGCTTGCTATTGATATATTATGTACATAATTTCAAAATTCTAGGAGAGAACCTGGCTATGCGCATGTATATTAGAGTTTTTCATTCGTCATCCGAATCGTGATGTAAGCTAACTGGTCGTACTATTTGTTTTTTTCTTTTTTCTCCAGTATTAATGTTATGCAACAGGTTTTCCTAACCGACAAAGGGGGTGGATCCTGATGTAATAGCAGTTTTTTACACAATCGGTCATTCGTATATTTAAATTCTTTTATCTGAATATTTAGACTGGGGTTGTTGCTCCTTGAGAGATTCAGATAAATATCATATTTGTTCAAAGTCAAACAGAAACATTTATTGCTGTGTGTTTGTCATTATCTTGAGTCAATCCTTTGGATTTTTTGTAGCGTTATTGATACTTAACAGAAATGAAAGTTGCAGAATTGTTGTGATGTTAGAAGTTTAAGAAAGTTGTGGGTGGAATCACTAGGAATTTTTTAAGTAAGAAAATATTTTTACTTAATGTCACTGAAATATTTTTCATTTAATTAAACAGAAAATAAATACCTAGAAGGTTTTCTTTCTAACATTTCTTTCTGGTTTAGTTTCTTGAATGATTATAATTCTTTTAATTATAGAAGTAATAATAAGTTAACGATGATCCCATATCAAATTATATTATTTTTGAATCACTGTCATCGTATAAAGTTTCATTATTCTTGTGTTTTCTATTAATAAAATTTGTTTCTTTTGTTTTCCTTTTGGAAAATGCATTATTAAAGAAGTTTTTTAAAATGTTTCATAAATGTTCTGTCACATGATACAGAAAAAAAATATTGCAAATGAATTCCACGTAGGTACTTAGCCAGTAATCTTTTTACAATGACTAAGTTGACAATTAAATTCGAAGACAAATGCAAACAAAGGTTAATTAAAAATTTCGCGGAAAAAATAAATCTTTTGTTACTATAGAGATTCAGACTCAAAAAGGGTGATTTTGATATCAGTTTTTTGTAAAATAAAAGTTGCGAATTTCTGTTTGTGTTCAATTTAAACGACCAATGTCAATGAAAAATATTGATGAACTCGATATTGCATATACCACGATGATGGAAAGGAAATAATAAAACTTCTGGAATTTGAGATCTCATTATTTTTGCAACCTAATTTCAGAAGAACAGATATTCGATATTTCCAATTAGGGAATCAACACCTGATATTTTTCTTTCACTGTCTCTGACTGTCTGCATAAATCGAACTGCATCATCCAAAATTCTTTGTACTTTTTCATTCAGTTAGCAATGTCTAGTAGAAATGAAAAGAATAAAAGATTAATAACAGTTGATTGAATAACGAAGCAATTTAATAAAAGTATATTTCGAGATAAAGCAAGTGGAAAATTATTTCTTGAATTTAAAACAGCGTGAATGAAGGAAAAATGTATAATGTAAACATGAATTTAAACTGATGGGATTGTCAAAAACACATCTAAATGTAATATTTATCCATCTGTGCAGAAGAAGGGATTTATATCGTTTAAGGAGATGTTTTTGTATTTTTGACAATTATTTGAGTAGATATTTTAGATATGATTTTGTCATTTATTAATTCAACAAATGACGTCAAACTTATGTTCTGATTAAAAGTACGCCTAAAAAGGTTGTTGAATCAAATTATTTAAAATTTTGTTAATAGCATTGCCTTGACTTGACTTCAATGACTTTACTTGCGTGTCTCACCATGAAAATTTTTTCTGACTTGACTTACTCGAGGGACTTGACTCGAAGCAAACCCCAAACGAGATAAGGCTGGTTAATAACAATTTCTCGATGTCGTTGAAGTCATTGGCGCAGCTTAAATAGATTTTGAATCACGTCTTGGTATAAAGAATAGTTAATTAATGGAATTTCGTGATGTATCAAATGTTTCATATTAGTTGGGTATTTCGTAAGCGCACGTGAGAAAAGGCTTAATAATTTCGTTTTTCATGGAACGTGATTTGAAATCATATCTTATCGCATATTGAGGATATCATCTTTCCACACTATAAGTCTGTCTGTGAAATTTCTTGCTAATTTGTCCACTCAAATAGATAGATTAAAGAGTTGATTTCATTATCCAGAATTCTATAATTATTCACCTTCATTCACGTACCTCACATTTCTCATTTTTTCGCATTATTTTTGAAAGAATTTTAACGGGTGCAAGACTTGATTTATATTTTTCATTATCAAGGTCGTTGCGGAACGCTCATTTTATACTTACATTATAATCAATTGAATGAAAATATCACCTGTTGCTATTGCAGATTTTTCACAGTTAAATGTAGAAAATTATTGAACAAAATCTTATAAGATTTTAAATAAACTTCTCATGGGTCTCATAAGATTCATTTATGGAATATTTTCCAAACTTAGCTGCTAATTATTGCATTTTCTGTGTATGCAATTAATAAAAGCAAATAACTTTACTAACACTAAGTAAAATAAAAGTTTTAAGTAAATTTAATACGACTACATCATTTATTTTGTAATAACTATGAGAATGCAAAATGATTTGATGTGTTGTGTGACTAAAATATTTAAAAATGAGTTGTTTCATCGTTTAATGTGACAAATATTCATCAAAAATCATAATCTACGTTAGTTTGACATTCAAATGACGTCAATTTCGTGAACGTTTGTCTTATAACCCTTAAATTACAAAAAATGATAACAAAAGTGTGCCAACTAAAAACAATGAATAATTACTTCATTTTAGATCTTCACTTATTTTATTTCTTTCTTTCTTTTCTCATATTCAAAGATTATGCTATATAATAGTATATTGAGAATTATTGTATTTGGAATGATTTCCTCTAAACAGTTACAAATATTTAAAAATTATTCCTTCATGATAATTTTCAAATTTGGTTTGGGATATTAATTTGATCAGCCGAAAACATTTCTTGAATGAAAAAGCTATGTTTAGGGAGAGTGATGAGAAGCAATTCTTGATGAGAATCAATTCGGTAAAGCATTGTATGTGATGCGTCTTTTAAATCGGCCCTTCGATTACGCTTATTTTCATTCGGCGATAATAAACTGTTCTGGCGAAAAGCAGAGCAGAAACCAAAAACATTCCAGCATAAGCTGCGAAAATTCCAATGTGATTCTAAGAAAGGTAAATTTGATTAAAGATTATCTTCATTTTCAATACCAATTTAAAGTTTCTTACAAGGGCATTAGCGCGAGTTATCCATAAAACAGCAATTCCTATCGCTAAGAATATTATTCCAAATGCCATATAAACATTGCTCCTATTTTTAGCAAAATCTGCACCAACTGACGACACTTTTCGACAATGAGGGCATCTAGCAAGTGCATTGGTTAAAGTGTTAAACTAAAGAAATTATTTTTTATCATTAGTTAGAGATGAGAGAGGAAAGACAATTTAGTTATACTTACGAGGAAAGTATCATGGCACCAAGAACAAGTGACTCTACACATTCCAGGCATCGTGGCGACAGGAGGTGTAACGGGGCTTAAAAATAAAGCATTTTCATTCAATGTTTCAATTCTTTTAAAAAAAAAGTTAAACACAATTTGTACCTTGGAGCCAAATTTATAATTCGCTTGCAGTTTGGTCGTGGACAGGCAACACGCTGAGAGGAACTTTTACAAATCAAGAGACAGTTACATGGACATCGCACGTATTTTTTTCCAGGAGGTGCATTTCGTATTGGCTTCATAATTAAATTTAATTAAATTGTGCATTTAATAACTGTTTTCATATTCAATTACCGTTGCTTCATTACATTGATTACATTTAACAACATGTTGTTCCCGCTTCCATGATATATCAATCATTGCTGAGCAAACACGACAAGTAACCATAGGAAGTCCTCGTTCCTCATTCGATGAATATGCTGGAGGCAACTCATCGGGACCAATAGAAGAAGCTGTCGTTTGATTAGTTTCCTCTCCAATTCCGGCATCTTAAAAATGATATTTTCAAATTATTTTCACTACGCTTATTTGATGAATCATAGAATACATTCATATACGAATGAAAACAACATTTATTGATATTGTGTAGATATCAAATACGATGCTGAAATAAGTATTTTCGACAAGGATAAAGTTTATTATGATAATAACTGACCTGAACTATCGATAGTTATTTCTGTGTGATTTTCATTCTTTAATAGAGGTTGCTTTTCATCCATTTTCTTTGCCATATTATTGATTGTAACTGATTAATACTAATAAAGAAAAAAAAACTGATGCACAATTTGACCTTAATACTAGAGATAACTCGAACTTTTCTAGGCTTCAGGTTATGAAAACTGTTGACTATTAATTATATATGAATATTAGAACCATAAAGAAATGATTGTTCAGAGGACCGGCCCAAAAATTAAAAAAGAAAAACTTTTTTCCAGATTAAAATTTCTTTTCGCACACAATAAGCAACGAAGGGTAAGTGAATAACATCTATTTGCGACTCTTTTTGAATGTTTATAGAAATTAACAATGGAGTTAGATATTATAATAAGAAATGTAGGTAATATAAACTCTTGAATTCGTTGACAAACTTTGTAATGTTAGTATTGGAAGTTCAATTAGTTTTTTAGAATTATCAGAAAATTTATCTTCATATTCCCCTTGCGAAACTTATTTCATATGTATTTCAGAACTGTACAAATGTGACGGATTATGCAGTTTTGGTAAAACTTTGAAGATCTGCGGTAAAACTTTTATTATTCAGACGTTTAGCGACATCTATTGCTAGATTTTTGTTGCGCGAAAG